GCCAAGGACGAGCCGGCCGCCATCGACCGCATCTTTGACACGGCCAGCAAGCTGATCCTCAACCAGCAGCAGATGCACGACCTCGAGCACAACATCCGTCCCAGGATCGTGGGTCTTCCCGGCGACCTGGCACAGGACAAGTGGGGGCTGTCGGACGAGCGATGGCAGGAGATCAGCGAGCAGAGCGATGTGATTGTGCACAACGGTGCCGAGGTCCACTGGCTCTACAACTACGAGGCACTCAAGGGCCCGAACGTCCTCGGCACGGCGACGGCATTGAGACTGGCCACGACCCACCACTTGAAGCCGCTCCACTACATCTCGACGATCGGCACGCTGCCGATGAAGGGCTCGGCCCAGCCGCTCGAGGAGCGAATGTCGCTGAACTGGAACCTCTCTGGCGGCTACGCACAGACCAAGTGGGTCTCGGAGCAGCTGGTCCACAAGGCACGATCGAGGGGCGTGCCGGTGACGATCATCCGACCGGCCGCGATCGTCGGCGAGAGCCGATACGGAGGTGAGCGAGTGGTGATGTGGTGATGTGGTGATGCGGTGATGTGGTGATGTGGTGATGTGGTGATGTGCTTGGTGAGTCCTCGGCCGACACTCACTCACTTTCTCCATCTCTCTCGCCACCAGCATGCAACGTTGATGACTACATCTGGCGATATGTCAAGGGATGCATCCAGATCGGAATCGCTCCCTCCCATGCAACCCCCGTCACCCTGACCATGGACCCGGTCGACCATGTGGCCAAGGTCGTCACGGCGATTGTGGCCTCGGAGCAGGCCCTCTCCAACTTTGTGTTTCATGTCAGCGACTCGGAGAACAGGTGAGGATGTGGCTCATGACATGCTGGGGGAGCAGCGAGTGAGAAGGAAGGGCATGGATAGAGAATGGATGGGACAGCACCGGCTCACCACACCAACCCATCACACACCAACCCATCACACACCAACCCATCTCACACCGACACCCCATGCTCAGCCTCATCGCCGAGAAGAAGATCTTTGAGATCGTCAATGCCATGGGCTGGCGAGTCATGTTCGAGACACGCGAGCAGTTCAAGATCCTGCTCCACTCGGCTCCCTCCATCGAGACCAACGCCCTGTTCCCGCTGATGCACATGCTGATGGACATGTCCGTCCAGGTCGACAACCCCAACACCCGCTCGATCTATCCGACACCGAGTCCCCCGGCCGAGAAGGTCGTCGAGCGATGTCTCCGATTCTTGGACCGTGTGAAGTACCTCCCTGCTCCGCCCGAGCCTGTCTCGCCGCTCCAGACGGACGACTATCCCGAGGTCAGCGTCTTTGGCCGCACTGGCCGCAACTGAACGGCACAGATGTGCTGGACCAGGCTGCACCGATGGGTTGTCCTGAGGCATGGCCAGCAGTGACCGGCAGTGGCAGTTGATGCACTGCACTTGGACGGCCCTCGGTGCTTCACCCAGAGGTCTCACCAGTCAGATCCTGGTTGCTCGACCACACCATCGATCCAGTGTCCTCGACTGAGTCCTCGACTGAGTCTCGCAGCAAGCACACTCCTCCTTCTGTCGTTGCTTTGTATTGTGCTTGTTCTTTCCATCTCCGCCCCAACCTTCCCCTGGGCTGTTTCCCACTTGATATCCACTCGCTGTTCTTCTCGTTTGTCGGTTGTCTTGTCTCGGTTGTCTGTTTGGCAGAGTATGACTGGGAGTATTGCACCATCATCGCCTTCATGCCACTCAATACAGCGACGCTTTCTTTGACTCGGCTGAGCAGTCATCGCCAAGTCCCAGATTTCCACCCAAGCTACTCGAGTCGGCAGACTTGGAGTGCATGTTCGCTGTGGTCATCATGAGCCCATTCAGGGAACTTGCTATCTGCTCCTGATCGTTGGCCTCATGCACCGTCCCAATGACATGTGCCTGCTGGCCTTGCTCCTTCGGACGAACCCTGGCAATATTCGCGACTTTCCAGGGCACTCCGTCTCGCTGGCCGGCATTCAAGACGCATACAAGCACACCGATGCTGCCACCAGTGTCCGAATCGTCTTGATTGCCTCGGCCACCGTCACCGGCTCTGTCTGCATCCGTCGCATTTCACACATTGCCCTTGCCCGGTCCACCCATGTCGCATCTCTCGCTTCCACCGCCTGCACAGCCCACTGCATCCCCAGCCTGTGCTTCGCCCGCTCTGCTCCCACCTGCGATATCGAGCCACTTGCTCTTTGGTTTCGTCATCGACATCGTCCTCCACTCCGAATATGCCCCGCTCCCGCTGCTGCTCAAGTGTACCAGCCTCGCAAGGCTGTATCGATATCGATACGATGACGGCCACTATCTCTGGAAATGCCACATCTCCAGACTCATCCAGGTCCCGATAGCTGACCTCTGCGATGCCCAACTCCGACGATCGCTCAAGGCCGACAGCAGAGACAGCGACTCCATCGGCCTGGATGAAGTCTATGGCCATCATGGCATCGGCCGACGAGACTCCCCCTCCTCCGAGACCAATGCGCTGCTGCCATCCAGGCTGAAGGAGGCCAGCATGTCCTTCAAACACATTGCCCTCGGCTGCTTTCGCTTCTTCGCCCGCACCTCTGCCAAGAGTGCTCCCTGCGAAGATGCCTTTTGGAACCTTGTGAGCTCGGACGAGACGCTCTTCCGGGCAGCGATGCGAGCCTGCTTAGAGCGACACCATCTGCTGATGACCCGCTGGCCGTATCTGCATGCTGCATGGGCAAGCGAGTTTGGCAGCCTGGGTCGAGATTCCGTCAACATCTGGAACAGGAGCATTTCGTCGCTGCCGGACTCGATGGCCTCGTTTTCGGCCCTGTCGAACGTCCGGGTCGAGAACAACCGTCTATCCAGCCTGCCCCACACCATCGGCAATCTGACGGCGCTGACGGGCCTGTATCTGCAGAACAATCGCCTCGAGGCTCTGCCGCCGTCCTTTGGATTCCTGCGTTCCCTCGAGCATCTCAACCTGCTGAACAACAGGCTGACAACCCTCCCAGAGTCGTTCGGGCAGCTCCGGTCGCTCTCGGAGCTGTTTCTCCAGCGACAGGCTGGCCTTGCCCGGCTGCCCGACTCGGTGTGCGAACTGACGTCGCTCGTCAATCTCAGGCTCGAAGACAATCGTCTGGCCACCCTGCCGGCCAGCTTTGGCCGTCTGACGTCGCTGCAGTTCCTCCATCTTGAAAACAACCGGCTGGCCGGCCTGCCCGAGTCGTTTGGGGATCTGCGTTCGCTGCGGTACCTGCGGCTCGAGAACAATCTGCTGGCGGCTCTGCCCGAGTCCTTTGGCCGGCTTGTGCACCTCCCCGAGCTGCATCTCGACAACAACCGCCTGGAAGCACTCCCGGAGACCTTTGGCCAACTGGCGTCGCTCTCCGAGCTCCATCTCGAGGGCAATCGGCTGCGGCACTTGCCCGAGACGTTCGGCAATCTCGCTTCGTTGGTGCGGCTGTACCTGCAGGATAATGAGCTCGAGCGGCTCCCAGAGTCGATCGGCAGGCTCGGGTCGCTGCGGTACTTGTACCTCAAGAGCAACAAGCTCCGGGCCCTGCCGCCGTCGCTCGGCGAGCTGACGATGCTCCCCGAGCTCTACCTCCAGAACAACGTGCTTGAACAGCTGCCGGTGTCGTTCTGCCGGCTCGGGTCGCTCACGAAGCTCAATCTCCAGAACAACCGACTGAGTGCTCTTCCGGACGAGATCGGCAACCTGTGCAGGTTGCGCATCCTGAACCTGCAGCACAACCGTCTCACGGCCCTTCCAGCATCGTTTGTGCATCTGCGGGCGCTTTCGAAGCTGTGCCTGCAGAGCAACCGTCTGGAGACCCTGCCCGACGACCTGGGCTCCTTGCAGGCTCTGACCGACCTCTACATCAACGAAAACGGAATGCAGACGGTGCCGCGATCTGTCCAAACACTTTCGCCGCGATGCAGGGTCTTCTTCTACAACGAAGTGCGTCCGCTGGATCTCCGGTCGAGCAGATACTGATCTGGACAATGAGCCGAATTGTGGCTGGAAGAGCGGGATGGACATGATGGACATGATGGACATGATGGACATGGAGATGGACATGGATGTACAGCGTGTTGAAGGAGACATGGTATCTCAGACACAAACACGCCTGGCCGAGAGCGACCAAGTGGGCGACATCGTTTCCATTGGCCCCGTGGAATCTGTCTGTGCAAACCCCGATATCTCACCGGCCGAATCCATCGTCATCGAGCGAGCGCCGATCGATGTCGTTCAATGTGGGCGGTTGCATTCACCAACCAACCGCGGACAAACAAAAGTATCAAGGCGGCCATGCTCGGAACAGTGCATCCCCTTGGCCGACTTGGGCTGCTGAAACAGGGCCTGGCGTCCATCCCCAGAAATCCAGCCCGCCGTTCCGCCACCACAAGCCCAGCGGCGACTCGGGTGGATTGCAACACCGCCAGCCGGCCAATCGACAGCGCAGCAGACAATGTACCTTTGTCGAGCGCGGGTCCTGTTGGGCGTGCGCTTCAGCAAACGTGGCCCCGAACCAAGTTCGGCTTGCCGGCTGCTGCCGCTTCTCAGGCTCCTCGTTCCCTGCGCCCAGGCCGCCGTTCTGTCCCTGATACATCTTGCTGCTCTGCGTCCTCCGCCAACTCCTCGTCCTCTCTGCGGTCCGGTCTTTGACTCGTTCGCTTGCTCCTCGTCCCATGTCTCCAGGCGACCCTCGCTCCAGAATTCTGTTAGTCCGGATGTCACACAAATCTCTCCAAAGGCGGCTTTGGCTTCTGAGCAGGCGGGTGCTGCCATTGATCGTGCTGTCGCTGCTTCTGACTATCGGCATCGTCGTCCTGGGCAGGGCTGTGGCCAGGTAGACACCGTCCCCTGCTCTGCATGCAAGAGTGAAATAGTTACCAGCCAGATCCCGCGACTCCTGATCACCCGGATCGCTGCATCCCTCCCCCTGGTGGAGCTGTTCCTGGCTTCGCTCGCGGCTGCGGCGCCTCCCGCCTGTCTTCTGACCCATCGATACCGCCAACATGTCCAGGGAGACTCCAAACGCAGACTTTGTGTATCAGCCCGAGTTCAGAGTGAACAACACAGACTCTCCGACTGTGCCCGTTGGTTTGGCAAATCCCACGGTTGATCGACTGCTGGACCTGTTCGAGTTTAGCGACAAGGTCCAGCTCCGGGAAAACGACATCTATGGCCTGTCCAAGCGCTGCCAGCTCTTCCGTGATCTCTTCGGCACCATCTATGACTCCCGTGGTGGCCTCTATGTCGATGCTGTCTTTCAAGCCGGTGGAGAGGAGAAGTTGAGGAGGGTTCGGGATGCTGTGAGCAAGATGGAGTCCTTTTTGTATCCCTACTTCAGCAAGGACTACCACATCCAGACGCTCACCGGGCTCCTGAGGAGCTACAATGGCCAGCGTGGCATTGTCATCTCCACCGGCAACACCCATTATCGGTATGCCCTCCATCTGATTCAATCCCTCCGCATGGTCCTCAACTGCACTCTGCCTATCGAGGTATTCTACAACGGTGTAAAGGACCTCAGCGCCAACAGAGCCGCGGCGCTGAAAGCGATCTCGGGTGTCCGAGTTGTTGATCTCTCCAAGATGCTCAACCCAGTCGGCATCGGCGGCTGGTCCATGAAGCCCTTCATGATTCTGTTCTCGTCCTTCAGCGAAGTGATCTTTATGGATGCCGATGCCCTGTTCCTGCAGGACCCAGCGGTGCTCTTCCAGCAAAAGGGATACATCGAGACTGGCGCGGTGTTGTTCCGGGATCGCACTTTGCTGCTGCAGGACATTGCCGGAAAGCGGGTCAACTATACCCTTAGCATCGTTCCGAGCCCGTCCGACAAGGTTGTTCACGGGCGCCTCTTCCGCAACATGAGCACGGACGAAGGCGACTCAGGCGTCCTGGTCTTTGACAAGGCCCGAACCTTCCATGTTCTGCTTCTGAACAGCAAGATGAACACAGACTACTTCAAGAAGGACTTTTACAAGGCCTTTCATGGTGAGTGCAGAGAGTCATGGCATAGCCTGCTTCTGTGCCGCTGCCGCTCGTTTGGGGGTCACTATCGGCCGACAGCGGTCGTCGCTCGAATTGCATCGCTGGAATTGCATCGCTGACGTGCTCTGGGCGCCACCATTCTGTGTTCAGGCGATAAAGAGACCTTCTGGATCGCATTCGAAGCCATGAAGACCCCTTATTTCATGAGTCCGAACGGAGGCGGCGCCGTAGGGTTTCTCGATCCAGACAACAACTATGTTTGCGGCGGGCTCTACCACCCCGACGAAAACAGACAGCCCCTCTGGTTCAACGGTGGCATTGTCCCCAACAAGCGCTTCGAAGGCGACGACGCATTCAATCTGACACACTGGGCGACAGACTCCACGTGGCACAACGTCAGCTGGATCACCGATACGGAGACCAAGCCGAGCTGCATGAGGCCTGCCAAGTCTGAGGATATGGGCTTGCTCAAAGGCCCATATGCCGAGGCCGCCAAGGGAATCATTCGGGTCTGGAACGAGGTTGTCAGGCCACTGACGACCTGAGACCTTCTTCAACAAGCGGTCAAGTTCTGTATACTCAGTGCTGAGAGCCTGTTCGGGTTCTTTTCTGTGCTGTCAGCAAGCATATGCTGCAGTTTTGTCATCAAGTCATGTCATAGTCTTGGAGCCATGCAGAGCAGCTCATCATGGTTTCATCACATCCACAGCTGCAGAGTCCCCGCTGGAGGAGGAGGCAGCGGCGGTGTTGTCCACTTATTTATGAATCAAATCGATCTATATCGCATCATATCGAGACTGCATCAGGAGAGCGAGAGCGAAGCAGCCGAGCACCCCAGGGCCAGCACATACTTTCTCGTTTGAGTGATACAGAAAGCGCACTCAAGGACAGGGGATCGTTTCCAATTGACGCTTTTGCAGCGTAGTTTACAGGCAATCCAATAAAAAACGGGACACCCGGGTTTTTGACCATTCATCGAATATTTTGTTACCCAATGTTATCGCGCGCTGGCCATGACCATTCGCCACACATCCGACTTTCGCACCGCCGCATTGCGATGCTACGCCCTCATCCATAGCCTGCGTAAGGTCGCCTCCATATTCAGTGTATCCAAGAGCACCATCCATCGATGGCACCGAGGATGCAAGCTGGATGACCCATCCCGGGTCCCAGCTCGCAGATCCACTTTCTTCGAGCAGGCATGTCCAGTCATTCGCACCCTGATTGAACAGGACCCGTTCCAGACTGGTCCTGTGTTGCGATGCAAGCTCGAGTCCATCCTCCAGAGGAAAGTATCACTCACACTCTGCCACACTGCCATCCACCGAGCAGGTCTCTCACACAAGAGGGCAACACACCTCTACAAGTCCAAGCGACTGGATGAGCGAGTGGCACAGTTCAGGGACCAGGTCCGCTCCATCGACCCACGACGGCTCGTTTTTGTCGACGAGACAGGGTTCAGGAGATCCATTTTCCCTCTTTACGGATACTCGCCGAAGGGTGCTTCGCTTCGCTAGCGCAATCATATGAAGCACAAGTCTGTCTCGGCTGCATTTGCCATCAACCACTCTGGTGTGCTGCATCGCATGTACATCCCCACATCATTCAAGACACACTCGATGGTCGAGTTCTTTGAGCGAGCGAGCTTCCCAGACGACTCTGTGATTGTGATGGACAATGTCAGCATGCACAAGACAATGGCTGTCCTGGACTGCATCGAGCGCCGAGGATGGTCAGTGATCTTCACCCCACCTGCTTCACCCAACTGCAATCCCATCGAGAACTTCTTTGGGGTTGAGTCCCCACCGATTTGGGGTTTAGTCCCCCAATCACGCCGCCATTTTCGCGTTCACATCCCTGGCTTCAACCTCTCGGCGATTTTTGAACAGGGTCACTTCCCCAACCAGCCCGCGCAGACGGGTTCCTGCTCTCGGGTATAAATGCCACACCTTCGTCCTGCTGCTTTCTTCCCTCATCTCGCCTTGATCTGATCATCGCGCCATTGTACGATAAAAAAGTCTCTGTTCTGACCAGTACCACTGGCAGGCATCCAGCATCCTCTGTCCCCATGCCTCCGAAGCGCAAGGGTACCGGTGATGGCCAGCCTCGGCCACCCAGGCCCAAGAAAGCCAAGTCACAGTCGGAGCCTGTCTCTGGTTCGTCTTCTGACCCCACGCATGCTTGGTCGTCTGTTGCTCCGTCGCTCACCACCACTGCTTCTGCAGATCCAATGGATGTCGATCCCACCGAGCCTGGTCCATCTACTTCCTCGAGTACCGGCAAGCGATGTCGCCAGTGCGATGGCACCGATCACGAACGTTGCAACACCAACAAATGTCCCAAATACCGGCCCCTCAAGAGTTCTGTCGTCCCTCTCGTGGATGGAAGGTCATCCGCCCCTCAGTTCAGCTGCTTCAAGCAGACGATGGATGGCTGTTGTCTCAATCCCGCTCTCCGCGACAAGATCCAGGCCACCGTCGAGGCCATGACCCAGATCCAGTTCGAGGCATCCAGGCTGCTCAACCTGCACATCCTCCGGTGCATCGAGCAGGATCTTCCCGTCCCTGTCATCTCCAAGTCCACCCCTGCTTTCATCCGCCAATGCTTCAAGATCGTCCAGGCTGGTGCCCTCTCGCCGACCGGGGACAATGAGAAATACAACGAGCATCTGGTCGCTTCCTTTCGCGACTACCAGACCACTCGGCACGCAGACCTGCCTCCGGCCCCTCGTCTGCCTGATGGTGCTCACAGTCAGCTTCTCACACTGGCTGTCAACGCCTATGCCACCAACTGCACCACCCACCTCAACCTGGCTTACTGGCGACTCCTTCGCCGCTTTTGTGCTGCCGTCTTCCCAGCCAACAAGCATAAGCACGAAGCCATCGAGGCCTGTCTCGAGCTCTTCGAGAAACCAGGGCAGACTCCACCCAAGGCCGATCTCGAGTTCCTCTACCCGGACTTTGGCCACATCCTGGACGAGTTTCAGTACAGCAGCGACCAGGACCGCTTCCGGGCCCTCCATCGCCTCTCACACCATGTGGGAATCCTCGCCCGAGACAAGATGGTCGACAATGTCCACAAGTGGATCGACTGTGACATGCCCGCCCTCCGAGTCACCGAGCTGCAGCGCCAGGCCAAGCTGGACGAGCTCACTGCCCGAGGCATTCCCTCCGACGACAAGAGGTTCACCAAGGCCAAGTCTGAGCTCGGCACCACCAAGTCCAAGATCAACAAGCTGGCATCCAGGCTCAAGTGGGCTCTCAAGTAGCTCGCTCTCGACACTCCTCCGGCCGTGTGCACGATGGTCCCTCTGTGCACAGCCAAGGCCAAGTATGTCAAGATTGACACGGTCACTCTTTGGCAACTCCTTGACACCGAACATCGTCTTAGACTCACCAGGGACAAGCTCAAGGATGAAGGCAAGGACGGTGTCAACAACCAGGATCGTCTCTGGCGCAGTTGCTTCAAGCTGCGTAGTTCCCTCTTCCAAGAGCGGGACGTGGACAAGAAGCTGTTCAACTACGAGATCAGCACCGATGGCATTGGATGCACCATCGGTCTCGTCAAGTTTGTGCGTCGAACCGATCGCACCGGGACCATCGAGCCTCCTCCGACTGCCGAACAGCGTATCCAGGCCCACATTGGCGACCCAGACCCCAACCGCACCACTTGGATTGGCATCGATCCTGGAGTCGGCTCCATCTTCACGGCGATCATCCAAGCACCGGGCCACCAAGACGAGGTGGTCTCATTCTCGAATGGCGACTACCAGCACATGTGTGGCCATACGTCCAACACCAAGTGGCACAACACCATGAAGTATCGACTCGGCATCGAGACCTGGATGTCGACCACCCCCTCGCCCAAGGTGTCATCCTCGGAGGCCTTCAAGGTCCATCTCACCCATGTCCTGCGACCGGAGCTGCGAGTGCAGCTCGACTTCCACCTTGGCAAGAAGGCCCGTCACCATCGATTCACGGGCCACAAGAGGCGCCAAGTGGCCGTCGACAGGATGTGCAAGGCCGTCCTGAAGCACGCCCCGATACGGACCGATGTGGTGATCGCCTTTGGCAATGCGTCATGGCGACAGGGCAAGGGCTATGCATCCAGCCCTCGGAGGCAGCGGTTTGCTCGGTACTTTGAGCAATTCGAGCACCACCGACGCCGTCCCAATCACCCTCATGGAAGCGTCAAGGTGGCCTCGACGAACGAGTTCAACACCTCGCAAGTGTGCTCCAAGTGCCTGGAGCCAGTTCGGTTGGAAGGACTCGATGCGCCCAGTGTTGCGAATTCCCACTTTGTCAGGAGCTGCAAGAATCCCAGCTGCCGGACAGTGTGGAATCGCGACGTCAATACGGCGCGCAACATGATCACAGTATGCAGGTCGATTGTGGAGATCGGAGAGCGACCGGCGGTCTTCACTCGGAGGCTGCCAAAGTGATCTGTTTTATTTCTTGTGGCTTTGCTTGACGCAAGCACAGCACATACTACATGTTCATGGAAACGGCTATATTGTCCCGTTTTTTTCTGAATAAAGTGTAGGATACTCTGCGTCGATTTCAATAACGGTGACCTTCCAGCTCCTGAGCGAGATCCGGGGATGGTGGCCACAGGTCAAGAGATCGACTGGCGACGGGACGACCAGGGAACCCATTTGGATTTGGATTTGGATTTGGATTTGGATTTGGATTTGGATTTGGATTTGGATTTGGATTTGGATTTGGATTTGGATTTGGATTGTACTGTATTTGGATTGCACTGTATTTGGGAAGGCTGAGCGACGTACATACTCCTCCCTGATGCACTATATAGCGCATTGATGATCTATAGAAACAAGCGATGACTACAATAGAACGGGCGCGGGGTGATCAACGTGGTGCAGGGATGCGGCAGAGAGTAGAACAGGGTGGTGGGATCTTCTTGGCAAGATGGGGCGCAATAGGGATCGACACGGCGGAAATCAGCCATCACGGTACTTGGAGAGCGGTTGCTACTCGATGATACAGCATCACCACTGGTCCCTCCCCCTTCTCGAGCCACACCACGGGCTCCCCCTGCCCACTTTTGAAAGTACAGAATACAAAAATGGGTCCAGACAAAGAGAATGTGTGAATCGAAGGGGTGATGGGAAGGAGGAAGAAGCAGGTTCGACATATCTCAAATCTAACAAAATTCACACCGAGAAACGCCCGGTGTGTGAGGCAGAGCAGTCGCAGACATCTCGAAGGGGGGGGGATGAGTCTCGCATGGAGCACCTCAATCTCGGCAAAGAATCAGAATCAAAGGAACAGGGTGGGAATGGCGGCGAAGCTTGCTGTTTGGAGTCCCCTTGTTCGGAGAGAACGGACGATGGGCCTTCGAGATTGGGGCAGGAGAGAGAGATCGATGCTTCCCTTTACTTGGTGGTGCCTCGGCTCAGGAACGAAAAGAGTGTCTGCGAGACACTCCGCTTCAAACGCGGCTTTGCAGCAGTGGGCGTCAGCGGCTCGGGACTCGGAGGCTGCTGGTTCCGGTTCTTGGGATCGATCTTGACCTTGGTAACAGGCGATGTGCGCTGGCCCCAGCCACCTGATGGCAAGCATACACAACCGAGTCAGTCGCATAGTGGTTCACAACATGAAACGAGAGCTGAGTTGCTCGGTCATAAAAGTCGACATGCATCAAGGGATGCACGTCAAAGGAACGATGCAAGAGATGCCATTAAGGCTGGTGGGACTCTGAGACAGCACGCCATCAAGACTGAGATTGTCGGACAACACCATCACATCTTGGATGCAAACGCCATACCTGAGCCATTCATGTGGATTGCATGGAGCGTGGTGTGGCGTTCGAAAGCAGCCAGGAGACGCTTGGTGCCCGCAGCTTCGATGGAGTTGCCTAAAAGTCGGTTGTTGGTGGAAGTGGGCGAATCGATACGCAGAGGAGCGTGTGAGCGATGCTTGCAAAGGTACATCCAACACACCCACCCAGCCACAGCTTTGCTGCCAAGAGCGGACAGATCGCGAGACGCAAGCGTCTCTGCTGCAGGAACTGCCATAGCCTGTATGCTTCAGACATGCGGGAGCTGCCTACCGATTAGATTCAGTGACTTGATCCGGGTGCTGGCCGTGAGACACTCGGCGAGGAACACCGCACCCTTGTCCGTGATGTCGTTCTCTGAAGATCGAGGGTGTGCGTCAGGAGTGCGCATGCGCTTGGTCTACCAAGCCCACATATGTCGCCACCTTGGGCGGAGTCCAGCAGATCCGGTTGGTGAAGGTGTACTCACGGGTCAGATCGACGTCCGTCAGGGAGGTGCTGCCACGGATAGCAAAGCCAATTTCAATAGCACCGGCGTCTCCAAGAGAGTTGCCTGGTCGTTCGAGCCATGTCACAGAGGGAATGGTGAGCATCACATGCGCAACTCTACGGCAAGAGCAGCACAGTGTGCCGCAAGCATCGGTGCATCAGCCGGACCAAAGTGGGCGCTCTACTTCCAGTGCCATGCTCTGGCAGCAGACTCTCTGAGTCAGGACGAGCCAAGCAAAGCCGCAGTCGCAATCCGCTTCAATAAGGACCGTGGCACACTCACAGTTCAGTCGGAGAGAAGTCAGGGTGGTGTTGTGATGGACGAGGGTGTTGGCGATTGCCTGAGCTCCAACGGGCCCAATACAGTTGGCTGCGTACAGGAGCGACGGTGTGGTTGAAGACGTCGTGGAGCAGTCAGTAAGGCTCACTAGGGGCCGCAGTATGAGCAACCGAGGCCATGAGGCGACCCACGACAGCATCCCAAAGCTGACGCCACTCACAGCTGAGGTCGAGTTCCTTGAGGGTGGTGTTCTTTGACAGGGCCTGGGCAATCAGCTTGGCGCCTTCGTCGTTGATGCCGTTGTCTGTTTTGTTGTGGGTTACGGTACAGGGGATTATCAGCACACCGACGAGTCCGCTGCAATACTGGGCAAGATCTACCCTGAGCTAATGCAAACAGAGAGGCAGCATCGCAATCGTGTATCCTTACAGCAGAGCGTCAGTGATTGGAGTGACGAGTTGTGCTCGAGCAGCTCCATAGCAAGGGCCATCTCGGAGTCCGAGAGCTGAATCAGCGAACAGTTGCTGTAGCCCCAGCTGCCAAGCAGAACCTTGGCCTGCAGCGACTCTTCAAAGATCTTGAGGCATTCCAGGTGCTTTTCCTTGGACTCTGTGAGAATCTCCTCAGACTCGGAGGCTGCTGGGTTGTGGAGCATGGGGTGGAAAGAATGAGGCCAATGACGAGGACGGAGCCGACGGAACGGTGGTAGAGTGTGGCGATCTAACAGCGCGGAGATGGAATCTTGGCGAAACACGTTGGCTCTGCGAGAACATGATTCGCACGTACCGGTTGAGCTGTAGCCAGACTCTCGGCGTGGATAGCTGATGTCCGACTTGAGATCCAGGTCGGAAAGCTTTCGCCAGCGGTCCTGGGCGGCCACAGGGCGGCGGCGCACCTCCATGACGGATTTTTCCTGGGAGGACAGGTGGACCTTGCACGGATACTGGAGCTGGTCTTCGCGCACAACGCTCTTGGTGGCGGGGCGGCTGTACTCGTTGGAGCTCAGCATCTGCTGGCGAAGCTGCAGCTTTTCGATGGCACGCCAGAGCTTCATGCGCTGCTCCCAGTCGGCAATGCGCAGGATGATCTTGAGGTCCTCGCTTGTCATTTTGAGCAGGTGATTTCCAGTCAAGCTATCTGTTGACAGAGAAACGCCAAACACGGACAAGGACGGACAAACATAGTGGCAGATATTGGGGATCATGACGGGTACGGCAAATACAGCCATGGAGGATGTACCGATACAAGGACATGGAGTGGGAGAAAGAAACTATCAGCAGGTGTCGATCGGGACTGGAGACAAGGTTGCGCTGGACAGATCGGTGGCGAGCGACATGCTGGTCGACAAGCAGAACCCAGAGGACAGTCGCGGTCTTACTGTTCAGGTTGGAGGAGTGCAGCGAAAATCCGTTGAGATGCAGCCAGGTGGCGACATGCAGACCGGTCCAGGTGCGGACGTTGTATGGCAGGGTGGTGTGCTCGATGGGGATGTCGGTCTCATCATCGACGCCATTGTCGGCTACCGAGTCGTTCAGGACCTCTTGCAGAGTCAGCATCGTGTGCGATATGCGGCTGGGACTGGTGTGGCTGGATGCAAATGGGCGCAGGTGCAGGCAGGTGCAGGCAGGTGCAGGCAGGTGCAGGCAGATGGAGGCAGATGCAGGCAGATGGAGGCGGGTCGACTGCGAAGGAATCAGGAAGCAGAGACGGGCTTGGGGAAACAGGAGAGACCCGATCGCAGATCAGAAGGAAGTCTGGGCGGACGGAGCACGCCGCTAAAAAGGACGGTGCCGGAGGACAGGACAAGGGCGAAGGGCCGGCGCGGCGCAGCGGACGTGGACGCGGCTGTGTGACGCGGCTGTGTGACGCGGTCGCACGCAGCGCGGCAATGGCAATGACAGCTGGACTGCGCTGTTGCTGTCGACAGAGACTGCGACGCTCGCCGTGTGTCACCGCCGCCGCCGCCGCGGTCGCGCATGACGCCACCGCCAAACACGTTTTGGGCTGCCGCTCGCGTCGCACCGCCATGCGCGTCCCACCACGTTCCTGTCTCGTTGCCTGAGCCCCCAAGCACGCTCCTGGCCCCGTCGTGACTGTTGACGATGTGCCTCCAACGCCACCGCATTGCTATCGCCAGGAGGCCGTGGCCATGCTGCAGATCGACCACATCTCGACTGCATCCCGGCACGAATCTCGACCACATCTTGACCACATCTCGAACGCACCCCGGCACGCATTCGTCGCTCGGCTCCAAGGCTGCCACGACCCTCATGACCAGGGCCGGACAGGTCGCCACACCATCCTTCCCCTGCAACGTGCTTGCTCAGCATCTGGCGCGGGCCGTCTGCCGCTGCTTGTTGGCCCGTCAGGCTGGCGGCCCAGCCGTGTTGGTGTGCCGCTTGCGCAGCCAGGCCCACCCATCTCCAGGCCGGGGCGATCTGTACTTGCATCGGTCCAGCGGTCGTGTTTGCATGATCTATGCCTTGGCAATCTCGCCAATCTTGCGGACAAACTGCTCAATGGACGTTGCCCTGACCTCCCCCTTGGATGACTCGCTCTCGGCACCCTTTTTGGCAGCCCTGTCGCCGCTCTTGCGCTTCTTGTTGTCGCTTGCTGCCGGTTGCGGGTCTTGCTTGGATGCGGCGATGGCATCCTGGGCCTTTGCAATCACGGTCTTGCTCGCTTTGCTCTTGAAGATCGCGTGGACCTCGGCGTCTTCGGTCTCGAGAAGCGCCAGCAGAATCAACGACAGGCGCTGTGTGTGGTGCGGGTCATGCGCCGCCTGCCCGATCCAGAACGGAATGTGGTCCTGGATCTTGGCTGTCACTGCCCGAGCAAACTGGATCGACTGCTCCGAGCGCGCAGGCTCGCTGGACACCTCTTGGCTTTCGCTCTTCTTGCCGCCCCACGACCCCGCAATCATGTCTTTGACGATGCGCGAGGCGGGGAAGTGGAGAAAGACGTGGGTGTCGAGATCCAGACCCTCTTCGGCCTGAGCTTTCTTGGCAGCCGTTGCCTCGGCGTGGAGCTTCTTGATGGGATGGAACACTTCGCCAGAAGCCGCTCCTGACTTGTCCTCGCCGGACTTCTCAGCCTGCTTGGCTGATCCGGTGCCCTCGACCAACGCGGCAACAGCCTCGATCAGGGCGGCCTTGTCTCCTGGTGTGCCATGAAACAAGTTCGGTATCGTGAGTGCCTGTGTGGCCTGTGTGGCCTGTGCTCCCACATCCCGCCCAAGACGGTACTAGGGAACCCCTCAGTGTGCGCTCCTTCTGCAACAGCGATACCGCCGTCGCTTCCCACACCCAACTGCCCTTGCCGCCTACCCGCACGCTCCCTGACACAGCGGATACGAACCTTGACTGGTCCGGAAGAGCTCGAGCAGAACCTGCGAGCCGTACTTGTCGCGAATCAGCAAATTGGCGTTCTTCACGGCCACTGCTATCAGCGGCTCCGAGATGGCCTCCAGCATCTCAGCCCGCCGCTGGACATCGTCCTTCTTGGATGTCTTGGCACGGACCTCGTCCAGCTGGGCCATCTCCTTGATGATGTATGCAGGCTGGTATTTGGGATTGCGGCCGCAGAGCAGGAACAGCAGCACACGGCTTGCATACTGGTCCTTGGCCAGGTCGAGCAGGTTGCCCTCGCCGCCAGCCACAATCGGCGTGCCGGCTACCAACTCGCCGACGACCGCCTTCTTGAGCAGGACGGTGTCGTCCACAGAGTCAAAGAGCGTCAAAAGAGCCACATGTCCGTACTGCTCCTTGGAAATCTTGATCACATACTCCTTGAACGACTTGATGATAAGCTTGCGATCCTTGGTGGTCGAGTGCAGGATCACCAGCTGGCAAACTTGTGAGCCTTCGCGGGTGTGCAAGATCGAGGCGAGGTGTTCCTTCACCAGCGTAATCATCTCGTTCAGGCCCTTCTCATCGGTGAGTTGCATGTACTCCAGCAGGGCTCGATGGACGATTGTGTATGGGCCAATGCTGCTGAAGCCCTTCTCTAGCAAGCCCGTCAGACTCTCGCGCAGATGTTTCACGATCGACGGCTTCTTTGCGGGATTCTCCTGGACAATCGTAAAGACGCTCTTCGAGCCCTTGCTCTTGAAGATGCTAAACTCTGGGCCATAGAACTCCTCGATCAGCGCCGTTCGCTGCTGTGCATTCGCAAACTGCGAGTAAGCTTCTTCCAGCACATGCGATGCGTCGCGGTGGCGAATGAGCTTGCGAACATTGCCGTACAGCTCCGTGATAACGTTGTTGCGATATTTGGGGCTGGTGGGGGACCAAGTGCAAGCCGAGTTTGCAGATACGGGTCAGAAACTCAACCGCGGATCCGAGTGCTGATTTGGGCGCCTTTGGGATCATGCTGTGCCCGTGGACGGCGCTGCGTTTGCAACAAAGCTGCTCTCGAGCACCCTTTAGCCCACATTCATTGTTCCTGCGCCATAACGCCATCGTGTCGGGCTGTTCCTGCAGCGTGACTCACCAATAGTTCAAGATCTTCGACACGATAAAGCGCCCATACTGGCTCTTGGACAGCTCGGCATAGTAGCCCTTGAGCTCCGCAGCCACAATGTTGCGGTCGTCCAACGTGCCGTACTTGAGAATGGACTGCACAATGCGTGAGGCATCGTGCTTGAAAATGATCTGTGGGGCACCATCGGTCGCATGGAGGTCAGTTAGCTCATGATCACACCACGGCCCATACAAATGCACCAGCATGCCACAGGCAGTTGCAATCCGCCCTTTCTATCCTTACATCGTGGATCTTGCCGGTGACCAGTCCCATCATCTCCTCCATGAACGGCGCGCGCTCCTTCGCTGTCAGCTTCTTGACCCGCAGTCGCTCCCAAAGCTTTTTGATCTTGAGCACAAGCGGCGCATTGGGCTTCTGAGCCTTGCGCTCGAGGAGCAGAGCCTTCTGGCCCTCGCGATCTGGCCGAGACTTTTCTACTGCGGGACGAGTTGCCACATCGACTTTGGGGTTAGAAACCAGAAAACAGGCAACAAACCCGCTCATAGGAGCCTCACGAGTATTCGGACAATACATTTTTCATCCTAGAGCACAAGTACCGCTGCCACGAACCTGACTTGTCGTCCTCGTCATCCTTCTTGGCTCGCTTGGCGCCGCGAGGCGAGGCCCCCTCGCCCTCATCTTCGTCTTGGCCATCGTCGTCTCCATCGATCTCATCACCATCGTTGTCGTTGTCGTCGTTGTCGTCGTCGTCGTCGTCATCGTCGTTTTTGATGTTGCTGTCATCAGACTCCCAGCCATCGTCCGAGTCGCCGTTGTCGTCCGCGCCGTCCTCGGCTTCATCCAATACCTCGTCCTCGGGCTCCTCCTGGACCTTGGACTTGACATGTGCCTGGCTCTTCTGCTTCTTGGCAATGGTGCCCGTGTTGGATTTGGGCGGCGCGCTGGATTTGCTCGCTTTGGCGAGCTGACTCGACTTGCTCTTGGCCATATTCACAGGATGCTCGCTTTATCGAATCGGTGCGGATTTAGGTGGAGGTTGCGGTGATGAGCGGCAACCGAGGGGAGGCAGAGGGCCGGCTGATCGAAGCTGCTTGAAAATCGATCTGTACAGAGCAGAATACCCGTGGTGTGGAGGTGCTGCTGCTATTGCTGCTGCTGCTGCTACTGCTATCGCTGTCGATGCTGCTTTTGCTGTTGCTGGCCGAATCGAAGAGATGTGCGTGCCAGACCCTGTCGCTGTCGTCGATCGCCTGGTGTGCTTGACCGATTTTCGCCTTCCGACACTGCTTCGTGTCTGGGGCAAAAAAAAGTGCGCCGCTTATGTCATCATTAATTTCATCGCGCCGCGCATTCGAGCCGCCGGATCAAGCCGCCCGTCCCACACACACACACGCGCGTGCCTCCCCTCATCCCTGCTTTGGGCGGCCTGGCTGACTTGTCATTGATCTGGCGGCCCCCGAACGCACCCATCCGATCCTCTCAGGTCTGGCCTGGCTGAGCCACCGATCCGACGCAGCAGCAGCAGCGGCGACAGCAGTATCGGCAGCAGTATCTGCAGCAGCATTATCCGCGCACACTCACACGAATAGTCCCTGTCGCATCCCACCAACACCTCTGTCTGATTAGTCCATCATGTCCATCATTTGCCAAACCCGTCTGGCCGAGGAGCGAAAACAGTGGAGAAAGGACCAGCGTACGTATCACCTCGCTCCGGCAACTGTCTGTCCGGGAAGGAACCGACCCGGTGGCGTCCAAGCACCAACAGACACAGTCGTGCCAGGACTATTCCGGTCAGATCGGCTTGGCTGCCCGGAGGATGGAGATGCGATTGGCGGTGCTCGTTCTGCCATGATGTCTATGCCTCGTTCTGCCATGATGTCTATACCTCATGTTCCATCGTATGCCTTGGCGATCCGCATTCTCCAAATACTCACCGACTCGACCTGCGATCTCCCTACTACGACATGCGATCTCACCGTGTACGACACTCTTCCGATGGACAACGCTATACTGCTTGCCTGGCACTTCCTCCTCGATCGCCAATCTCACGCAACGAATCCCACGAACCCTCGGATCATCCGATCGCCAAATTTCATTGCTGCGATATTGCAATCTTGTCTTTCCATCATCTTTGCGACCAGCATTCGGCTTCTATGCCCGTCCCGAAAAGGATAGCAACGGCAACCTGAATCTCATGCGGTGGAGCGCCGGCATTCCTGGCAAAGCCAACACCGACTGGGAGGGTGGCCTCTACAAGCTCGTCCTCATCTTCCCTGAAGACTACCCCCAGAAGCCGCCAAAGTGCCAGTTTGTTGCCAACTCAGGCCTGTTCTTCCATCCAAATGTCTATCCGTCCGGCACCGTCTGCCTGTCGATCCTGAACGAGGAGCAGGACTGGAAACCCTCCATCACCCTGAAGCAGATCCTTCTGGGCATCCAGGATCTGCTCGACAGCCCCAACCCGGACTCGCCAGCCCAGCACGACGCCTATCTGCTCTTCAAGAAAGACAAGGAGGCCTATCGTGAGCGAGTTCGGCAGCAGGCTCGCGAATACAGCAACAAGGATTAGAATGAATGCACTCGTCCCGGATCTTACAACGCTGGAGGCAGTCGGGGCCAGATGCCTGCGCGAGGGGGGCGTCCATCGGGTCGATGACTTTCCTCCTTGGCTATGCGGTCGCCACCCCGCTGCATACCCGCCGCCTTTCTCCGTGCTGCCCTTTGCATGACGCTGGCATCGGCTGTGCCCTCGATACCGCCACTCCGGCATCCCCCTTCCGCCCCCCTTCTCCGCCTGCCTCTCCTTTACGTGAGACAATAAAACGATATCTTGCTGAGCCAAATTACTGAGACGCTCTGTGCTGTGCCATGGGTCGCTTCTCGGACAAGTCGTCGCCAGGAACTTCCATCCGAAGCGAACCGATGGGAGAGGCGAAAGGCACGAACAAGAAAAGGACTCACTCCGAGAATCAGCCACTGCTCGAGGATATCGGACGTCGCTCCAAGCGTCTATCCAACTCGTATTTCCGCTGTTTGATCAAGGTTCAGGCAACCGATCTCCCACCAATACGCTGCGCACCACCATCCGTTGCCCAACGAGCATAACATATCAGTGGCCAGTCGTGCGGAACCTTAGTTGTCGTCCATCTCGTCTTCCAGGTTCTCATCCAGCTGCAGCAGATTATCCATGGCATGCAGGGTGTAGTCGATAAGGTAGCTGCCCGACATGAGCTGGTCGGCGTGCTGGTAGTGCCTCTCGGTGTACGGCAGCAGTGCCTCGAGGATCTCCTTGGACTTTGCCAGCCCCAGAATGCGCTCCTGAGGCAGCTTCTCCAGAACTACACGAAGAATCGCCTGGCTGGTCTGTGAGTGCTTGGTGTTGGTGTTCCAGTCTCGGACGTAGAGCAGAAGCAATTCGATCTAGTCGGCGCGCCCACAAGAAAGGGAATGTATCAGTCTTGAGTAGCATTTGCATTTGCATTTGCATTTGCATTTGCATTTGCATTTGCATTTGCATTTGCATTTGCATTTGCATTTGCATTTGCATTTGCATTTGCATCGCTGTTCTTTCCACTGGTTGTTCAGGGCAATGCAGAGCACCCATCGGCAACATACCTTGTCGTCCTCGAGGTTGCCGAGCACCAGCTCCAGAGCCTTGGATCCAAGCAGACTGTCGGAATCATCCTTGGCCTCGATCAACTGCGAAAAGATCTTGAGCAGCCTCATGGGCTGCCGGAGTTCCAGCGCCAGCAACACCGCGTTCCGATAATCCTTCTTCAAGAGGAAGTTGGAAAGATCCTGCTCCTTCAGCACCTTGTTTTCGTTCTCGGCCTGCTTCTGCTCCTCTTTCTCGATCGTCACGTCCTTCCACAGATGAATGGCCGAGTCGACGCCGCCAGAGGCAATCTGCTTCTCGTCCTTGCGCACAGACAGTGCCCACACCTACACCGGGAGCAGTGTTGGAGCGCGATTAGATAGAAGGATGTATGCAAGTTGAGACAGCCACGTCTGCCGGAGCATGCAGTCATTGTTTGGCTCGGATGGCATTGACTGACCTTGTCTTCGTGCTTGTCGAGAGTCTCGACGCACTCGCTCGTCTTGATGGTCCAGAGCTTGACAAGACCGTCGGAGCCGCTCGAGACAAGCTGCATGCCCATGGAAATGAAGCGCACCCGGAGCACAGAGTTCAAATGCCCCTCCAGAGTCTAGCGAGCCCAAAGTATGGATGGATGAACGGTCATGTGGGCATGTCCGGCGGCGTATGGTCAGTATCGGCTTCAATAGGTTTCCTCGACAGCAATCCCCCACAGGCCCGACGCGGTGCTCCTCCAGAGACCGGCCGACTGCTTTACCTTCAGACAGGTAAAGTCGCGGATGGACCATAGTTTGATGGTCTTGTCGCCAGAGGATGTTGCCAGGACTTGATCGACAGGTGAAAATTCAACGCACCATACACCGCGCTTGTGGCCCTTGCAGACGCCAAGCAGGGATCCGTCGCTGACCGACCAGATCTAGTGACAATTCAATATTGCCAGCAGACCAACAAGCGATCATGCGTGAATACAGCGTTCACCGAGCACTCCAACCATTTCACCCTGGGTCCAAATCGCGGTACACCCGCCGTTCCAGCAAGGCTTTGCTGACCTTGGCAGTCTTGTCTTGTGAGCCGGTGGCAAAGACCTTGTCGTTCGGGGCAATAGCGATTGAGTTGATGTCCTTTTCATGAGCCTGGAACGTGTAGAGTGTCTTGAGCTTGGCAATGTGGTCATCGGCTGTGAGGAGGCACACATGTCAGCGAACCACAGCACATCGCTGCCACCATGCGACGTACGAACAACAGGGTCGCAGCCGAGTGTGGACTCTGCGCACAGGATCGCCAAGCCCACCTATCGTAGACAAATCCCAGACTTTGATCGTTCGGTCCTGCGAGCCAGTTACGGCGAAGCTGGAGAAACGACGAGAAAATGCAACGGCGCCAACAGCTTCTGTGTGGCCAACGCATTCACCGACACAATCAAATCTGCAAATCGTCCCATTGACAGGATCAGCTATCTGAACAGCAGCAATCCATAGTACAGCAAAATGGTCCTTGAGCGCGACTGCGATCAAAGGCAGACATCATCATCGTCATGGCCAATAGCGAACGGAATGGCACTTACTTGGAGTGCTCGTTCATCCGCCACACCAGGGCGCGATGGTCCTTGGAGCCAGAGATCAGTAGCGTGCCGTCCGACGACTTGTCGAGCGAGATGACCATCTCCTTGTGTCCTTGGAGGATCTCGCAGTCAGTGGTTTCCAGATCAAAGATGCGGATCTGGATGATGGAGGGCAACGATTCATTGAGAATGACGCCCACTTCTATGAATGTTGTCGATGGCAGTACATCGGTCACAGGTCCAAACCGATCACGACACTGCACGTCCCTCTCCCTCTCATCTGTTGGCTCCTGGTAACGACGTGTGAAGGGTGGGGACGAACCTGCTCGCTGTTGGTGGCGACGGCAATTTTGGTATGGTCGGGCCCGACAAAGGTAGCGTCCAGGATTTCATCGTTGTAGCCCACAATTTGCTTGACTTTATCGAGAGTCGTGCCGTTGAAGAAGAACAGGTTCTGGTCGCTGGTCACCGCCATCAGTTGGTTCCGTGACTTGAGCAGTCTGGACGAGAATGCATGAGTATACATCAGCTATCGGCACATTCGGGCGATTCGCCCCCCTTATTTGACCGAGCCCGATCGTGATTAAGCTGCAATCATGTTATCGGTGACTGCAATCGATCGGGATGCATCCAAGCCGCCACGACATCCCAGTGTGCTACTTACTGAACATCCATAATCGTATGACCGCCGATCACACCCGACTTGTCCTGGGCAACACACTGACCCGTCCTGACGTTCCATATACGGATGAAGCCTGAGCGGAGCAGGGAACAATGCACGCACCGTTTGAATAGCGCTCCTTTGACGAGGACGTCCATAGCCAGACGCTGCTCGTTGGACAGGTCGACGGGACAGGCAGGAAGAGCAGCCAGCGGAAATACCATACCTTTGTCGCCTCCAGTATAAATGAACAGATCGTCCTTGGATGCTTGCACGCCGTGGGGAGCAGCCGTCAGAACACCGACAGCCTCAACCGACTGCGAGAAGGACAGGTCCATCGGTTCCAGCAGAGCAGTGACGGTGATTGATGGCGAGTCAGCAGCCCGTTCAAGCCAGACGCTTTCCGGCCATGACAATATCGAGAGGGCGGAGGGATCGCATCACGATCATGCTGGCGACTATCTTGCAAAACACGCTCGGCTCAACTTGCCTCGAGGATGGGAAGCGTCTTGAGAAGGTTGCCGGACTTGAAGTCCCAGAGATTAACGACTTTGTCGCGAGCGCAGCTGATGAGCTGGCTGCCATCCTTTGTAAAGTCCAAGCCACGAATGACACTGACATGCGAGTCGAGCACGGAGATGCACCTGGGAGACCCGAATGCCATCAGAAGACACGATGCAAACACAGATTAGCGCCATGTCCAAACGCCTCTCGAGCCATGCAATGTTTGGGCGGCGAGGCTCCCAGGTCCACCTCATCACCATGAACAGCACCAAATACACCCACCACCCATCGCCCATTGTCCACCGCCCGTCCTCACCGCTTCTCGGTCAGATCCCAAATGCGAATCGTGCAGTCGTCCGCGCCAGAGACGAGTTTCAGCTGTTTGGCATTTGGATGGAATTTGACGATGGAAACGATGCCGCTATGGCCGGTCAGGTTGTGGGTGCAGAATCCGCGATCAACGTCCCAGAGCTTGATTGTGCTATCGGCTGAGCCCGTGGCCACCAGGGTTGACGTGGGGTCAAAGTCCATGGTCAGGACAGGAGCTTGGTGAGCCTTTGAGCCGTGTCGCATTCATGGCACATATCACAAGGTTTGCCCGAGTTTTCGTTACAGATTCAAGGCATCAGTCCAAACATCGGCGAATATTTGATGAACGCACGCGATCCAGGCGACGAGGTCAATACGAGAGAGGAAGGGCGTGTTCGAGGACAGGATCGTTAGGAATGTTTCCCTTGGAAGCGCTCACGACGCCCCTCCAGCAGACCCGGCGGTGTCTATTTTGCCCACCTTCCAGCTCCGGATCTCCTTGCCGGTTGCAATCTCCCATATTCGGAGCAACAAACTTCGGCTCGCTGTGACGAGATGGTTGCCCTCGGGTCTGGCGACCAAACAGGTCACAACATCGGCCTCCTGCGGAGAGTGTGTCGATGAGACAGAGTCAGCGGGCCTTGTTAATCATCTCGGTGTGTTGATTGCCCAGGACTAACCGGTGGGAGCGGTACATGCAGCGCTCATTGCATATCCGAGGGACCTCTGGGTAGCCTCGCACGCCGCCGTTCCTCGGCTGCTATGGTGACATTCGGAGGATGCCTTGCGGCTGCAGCAGCATTACCCCTTCAAGAGTATGGACGATCTGACCGCTCTCCAGGTCCATGATGCGAACGTCCTCTCCGATGGTGGTGATCAGGGTCTTGTTGTCCTTGGTGACAACGACTTTGCCACCGGTGTAGATCTCCTCGAGGCTCTTCTCGATATCGAAGCTGTTGATCGATTGCGAAATGACCGCGCAAGCACACGGGAGCCACCACGCCGAGAGTGATCGCCGTCGACAATATGCAGGCATCATCGTATCGAGGGGTTGAATTGTCGCATCGGAGTGGATAAAGTTGGCACCGATCGAGATTGTTCAGTCGGGCGTATATTCAGCAAGCGCACATTAGCAGAGTCGCATACGATGCAGAGCATTTCAGCGCGCTCGTTACCTGGATTTGAGGTGAACGGGCTCGCTCATTGTGTCTGTTTTTCAAAGTTGGTTCGACTTGCTGTGGAGGACTGGTCTGCATCGGAGCATACATTGAAAAACGGCAGCAGGGCATCAATCGACAATGTCGATGGGGTTGGTGATGTCGTTTGCGTCGCGATCACTCATACTGCTGGCACCGGCTGGCCAAGCAAGGCGGCCCTGCGTCTGGCTATCACGCACCTGGAATTTGTGCAGCCGGTTGGTGCTCGGAGCTCGATCAGTGCTCGCTGCTCGATGCTCGGAGCTCGACGACTGGGAGGCGGGCCGTCCTGATGTGCGATGCGATTTGCGTTTCCAAAAAAAAACAAAAAAGTCGCACATTATGTAATCCACACACACACACACACACTGATGCACATGCAGATCCATTTGCTCGGGGACAAGAGCCCAGCGATGCCTGGTGTCGACGATCGCAACCACTGCAGCGCACCATGCCCGAGGACGTCGAGGCGCTCAGGACAAAGGCAGAGGTCTCGGCGCATCTGGCCCGAAAGCTCGTGGACAGCTGGCTGCCGGCCGAGGCCTCCACGAACGATGGCGCTTCGACTGCCGCCAAACCAAAGTAATATCCGCATTTGCTGCTTACTTGCCAACCACCGATGGAGCTATGGCGATGATTCGTTGCCCCGGAACCTGCAAGTGCGGCGGGATCGATGCGTATCAACATCCGATAATGTGCATCGACATTGGTCCAGGCACTCGACTGGTTCTGCCGCGATCTGATCCTCCCCCCCCCTTACCGCTTGCTTGATAGACTCGGCAGCCTTTACAAAACACCTGAAAACAAGCGAGCGAGGCTGGCAGACGTCCAAAAGTCAGTTGCTGCCAAGAAGAAGAGACAGGAGGAAGCCCAGATTGCTGCGGAAAAAGGTAATATATGATGCTGGGCCCAGAGTCGCTGCCCTCTCTCTTGAATCGTTGTCAGCCCTCGATTCACACATCGTTGCCCCCACTCTTGGTCCCAGCCCTCAACGATGGCGAAAGCCGAGCGGCGGCCGTAGCATCAGCATCGGCAACGCCAAAAGGCTCGTCCAAGCCAAGGGCCCAGGTAGTGGATGTCTTTGCGTCGTATCTCAGCAAGACAAAGAAGAAGAAGGCAAAGTAGAATGGACGCTACCGATCGGAACACCGGCAAGGGAGCAAGAAGTCAAGGACCGATCTATGTATTTGCTCACAAAGGCTGGAGTGATCTGGGCTTTTATTTCAAGGCCAGGGTCAGGGCCCGAGGACAATGCTCGGACTGGTCAACACACACGGCCTGGGCAGCCGGGATCGGTTCGGAGAGGGCGGCGGTCTAGCATCCACCACGCAGGGCCAGAACGAGATGCAGGACAGAGCCAGCCTCAACGTTGTAGCTTACGACGCTTCGGTCATCGGCCCTATACCGAGGCGGCGGAAATATAATATGGCAGTGGTTAGGCGATGATGGCGATGATGGCGATGATGGCGAGCATGAGCGTGCGTCTGGGCAAGATCGGCTGGTCGACAATTAAGGCTGCGGAGCGATACATACATTTGCTTTCCACCAAAGATCAATCTAGCAAGATGGTTGGTAGACGGAGGTGTACGTTAGTATGTCCGCGGCGGGAGCTGTTGCGTTGGAAGGCTGCGGCTCCAGCGGTCGGCTGCGAGCCCGAACGGCCCCGGATACGGCATGTCGCAGCTCGGCGAATCTCGGTGCAGCTTCCAGTTTCTTGAGCTGACGATGCTTCTTGCGTCCCGGTGATCTGTTACATTATCCGTCACGCTCTCACCTCTGCTGAGCAGGAGGAATGCCTTCCTTCTCTTCAACTCTCTCCTTGATACGGCCAATCTGTCGAGCGGCAAGAATCAGTGGCGCAATTCGCCGTGCGTTCACACCGACAGAGATGCCAACCAGCATGAAATGTGCCAGCACAAGCCAAGGGGCCGAGTGATAATCGACTTACGGTGTCTGACGGCTCGATATCGATTTCGATCTGGGTGGTCCGGACAGAGGGCAATGGTGATGCCGGGTGATACCGGATGGCAATGCCAGATGCCGACGGGAGGCGGCTCGGTGAACACCAACAGACAACTACGGGGCGGGCTTGCCGGGAACTGGCAGGGACGTTCGATTGCACGGCAACACTCCACGATTCAGTCTCACCTCCTTTCCGGTAAGGGTCTGGGGAGAGAGTAGCCGTGGTCCGGCAAGACAGAGCAGGAGTTGATGTCAGCCAGGGGAAAGGCCAAGCAGCGTTCGGCGACATAAAGACACCGTGCAGAAAATGTCCAACGGACCAAGGACGTCGAGGCCGGCGACCTCGGGGTGGCCCGGCAGCGTGCACCCTACCTTGACCTTGATAAGCATCTTGGGAGGCGTTGTCTGTGATGATAGAGGGCAGAGGCGACGGAGATCGAACGAGAGACGAGCTGGTGCTGGCGCGGCACAGACAGGCTTTTGAGGCCGTGGCACAGCGAGCCAAGCGCCGGCAGGTCAGCGACCGATCTGCAGCCGATCCCCAGCCGATCTGCCGCCGATCTGCATCCGCACCGGCCTCCTGCCTCCCCCGCATACCTGCAGCCATGAGTGCCGCCGAACAGAGAAAGCTGCTGGAGCAGCTTATGGGCAAGGAAGCTCTCGGTAAGGCCTGGCCACCATCGCGGTAGCCAAACGATCTCTCAACTCTCGCAAGGCTGCCTGCGTTGTAGCCCTCGGTATCAGTGCTGCACTGACCTTCCCTTGCCTCGTCGATCACGCCGGCAGGCGGAACCCCCGATAATCTGCGTTTCGACGACCCCAAGGTTTGCAAAAACTACCTGTGTGGATGTAAGGCCATATCTGGGAGGCAGTCGAGCATCTCTGTCGTGCACTTCCAGGCGTTTCCAAACACTTGTGCGGGTCAGGATTTGTCTGACGCACCTTGTTGCTCTATTTGATCGAATGACTTTCGATCGGACTGGCCAGTATGTCCTCATGAACTGTTCACGTAAGTTTACCAAAGCTTCGGATGGAGCACTGTCAGATTGGGGCTCACATGGCTGCTTCTCGACGACGATGAGTCGCTGACGCTTCATCCCTCCCTTGGTTGTCTAGGAATACGGTATGTCCGGAGCACCGCGAGATGTTCGAGACGAGGGTGAATGGGAGGACCTGCTTGGCCGAGATCAGAGGATGGCCACGATTATCTGACGATCTGTTCGCTTGACCAACTCGTCGATACGATTCAGAAAATGGACCTCGGTAAGTGCGCCAGCCGAGCGATCTCGCTAGTTTGCAGCATATACTTTGCCTCCTCGTCCGCAGTATTTCTTTTCCGTGATGGCAGAAGGCTATCGTGATCGCTATCCGGTCTGGGCTGGACTGCCCTTGCCGCAGAGCTGACATCCCCCCCCCGACTGCATCTGTAGGCGCCTGTACCAAAATCCACTCGGATAAGCTGAAGAAGGACTACGAGGATGCTCGCAAACGAGACCGGAATGTGAACTACGAAGAAGAGTGGTGCCGAAACATGAACGAGTTTATTGCCGAGTGCGACCGAAAGATCCATAGTGCACAAAAGCGTCTGGACAAGAATCCCGAAGACGCCGGCATCAACATGGCAAGTGGCGGCAAGATGGCTGAACAAAGCGGACGCAAAAGCATCTCTATGAGGCACTGCCGATGCACGAAGCGGAATAGGCTCGTTGCCCACAGGGGGAAAATAACCATTCTCGACTCTCCTCGACAGATGAAGGAGATCGCCGATGCCAATGCCGAGATCACGTCTCTGGTCGACGAAACTGAAAAACTTGGTGTGTTGGCGCGCCGGGCGATGCACTTTGGTTTCGGTGTGGCTGTAGCTCCAGGTCATCGGTCGCATACATCTATATTGTGACTCGTGCTCACTCTCTCATCATAATCCACCCACCGCCAATGGCCTGCAGCTGAAGATGGCGAGGTTTCCAATGCCCTGCGGGTTCTGAAAGATCTTGAAGAGATCCAGGAGCGGAAGGCCAGGAAAGAGGTGCGCCTGATTGGATTCACTTCAATGCGCGTATGCATGTCAGAACAGCCTTGGGTTGAGTACCGCTTACGCTCGTCCATGTGTCCGTAGCGGGAGTTGAAGCAGTATATCAGCAGCGAAACCACCTCGCAGCAACAGAAGCTGCGGGTCTGCGACGTTTGCTCTGCTTTCTTGTCGGTGTTTGACAGCGACCGCCGGCTAGGTAACGTACTGTTTGCGTGTTGGTGGGAAGCAACACACCCTCCAGCAACAGCGTCAATCCGATAACGATGCGTAGATGTGGTCTGGTCTGGTCTGGTTTGGTCTGGTTTGGTCTGGTTTGGTCTGGTTTGGTCTGGTTTGGCGTGGCCAAGTTGCCCTTGCCTTTTCACATTCTCCATATTGACTCTGCTGTATATGGTGGACTGGCCCAATCGCAGCGGATCACTTTGGCGGAAAGGTAGGCACGGAGCTCCATTGGCCCAGCAGATTAGGCTGTGGTTTGTTCAGGCAATTGCCAGGCAATAGCATGCTAGTGTTTTCGAAAGGCGTATACGTCTCATCCAGAAGCTAACGTGCTTGGGCCGGACTCTAGATGCACTTGGGTTACATGAAGATCCGGCAGACTGTCAAAGAACTCCAGGAGAAAGGCGTCAACCGACGACGAGATGCGGGCCGAGACGGAGGCCGAGACGGAGGCCGAGACGGCCGAGAATTCCGCGACCCTCGGGACTCCCGAGACTTCCGAGACCCCCGAGACGATCGCGGATATCGGGGCGGTCGATACGACGACCGACGACGCGACGAAGGCCGACCCAGATGGCGCTCGCGCTCGCCAGAGGCCCGCCGTCGATCTCGCTCGCCAGGACGAAGACGCTACTGATCCCATCGCAGTGCAGACACATCACTGCGCCGTCTGCGCAACGGGCTTGGGAATGAAAAAAAGTATCCTTCGGAAGCAAAAGCGCTCGAGAAACTTGCGGAAACTGCACCAGGAAATGCACAGCAGCGTGAATGCCGACTGTTGACGGATGCGAGTTTGACAGCACCACAATACAGATCATCCAGGATCGTTGAGAATTGCATCGATGCTTGCATTTTAGCATGGAGTGAGATTGGAGACATGGTCGATTCCCGCGAATATCATCAGAGGCGGCTGTGGCTGAAGAGGCTTCGTTTGCAGGCTGGCTGGGATCAAGGGAGGCGCAGCAACACAACGGAGATGATTCCGATCTTGACAACTGGAATCGAGGCGGGGCCAGGCGCATCGTCGGTGCGGGATGTGCTGAGTTGCTCGCAGATGATTGTGCCGCTGCATGTCGTGCGGAGGTTCGGCACGTAGTCGACCTGATCCCTGCGAGACTTCATAATGATCGAATCATGTCGATCATCGCGGTGTGAGCGGGAGTGCCGGATCTCATTGCTCGCTTGTTGTACTCGGATTCGATGGCAGAGAGCAAAAGCTCGATGGCAGTGCTGAATATGGACCTGAATAGGGTGTCCTTGCGGTTGAGCTTGATCACGGAGTATGCGGAACATCGCTGGGAACACCAGTGTATGTGGCAGTGCAGGGTAACACCGACTCCAGCCAGCAAATCATCGGATCGAGCCAGGCTTGCGTGTGTGTGTGTGTGCTCGATGACCAGGGTTTGGCTTGCCAGTGTTGGCTTGCCTGGGTCTGGCTTTCCTCTCTGTCTCTTGTCCATTTGCCATTATCGTCACCAACGAGCATCCTTCCAGCATCCATCTCTCGCACCATGGCCAGCAGAGCCATCATCAGCCCCGCTCCCGAGCGTCCGTCCTGGTACATCTCGCCCAGCGACATCACCGACCGCTCGGCCAACCCCATCGGCCGCGGTGGCTTTGGCGAGGTCTTCACTGGCACATACTTTGGCTCCAAGGTCGCCATCAAGCAGCTCCTTGGAAACCACAACAACCGGGAGCTCGCTGACTACAACCATGAGATCGATATCTGGAAGCAGCTCAGCCACCCCAACATCCTCCCTCTGCTCGGTGCCTGCGACAAAGACGATGACGGCAACCCGATTCCTCCCTTCATGGTCTCGCCCTTCATGCCCAACGGCACCCTTCGCAACCATGTTGCCAATAACAACGTCCCACTCAAGGAGAAGCTCCGTCTCCTCTTCCAAGCTGCATCGGCTCTGGCATATCTCCATTCCCGTCGCATCATCCACGGCGATCTCAAGGCCCTGAACATCCTCCTGGACGGCCTGAACAACGCCGTCGTCACCGACTTTGGCCTCTCCCGCACCAAGCACACCTCTGCCTCGCTGGACCGCAACCGATCCATGGGCCCGACCGGCGGTACCGATGGATATATTGCACCCGAGATGCTGGACGACGATGATCCCAGTGGCACCACCATGAAGACCGACGTCTATGCCTTCGCCATCACAATGTATGAAGTCCTCATCGATGCCAAACCCGTCTGGGTCACCAGCAACGGACAAGCCATGCTAGGCCGAGCTATCGAACGCATTTCATGCAACGGCAAGCGCCCCAAGCGTCTCGATGGCATCCCCGACGATATCTGGGCCCTCATCGAACGCTGCTGGGCCCAAGATCCCGCCGCCCGCCCTGCCTTCACCGAGATCCTTGCCGTCCTCCAGCCATACGATCTTGCCGATACTCCTGTCCTCCCTGCTCCCACCCGCGTCAGGATCCCATCTGTCCGCCCACTTGCCAGCCATTTCGCCACTCTCAGCGTGAACAACCAGCCCCCGTCCCAGTCCAGTCGGCCCGCCGAGTTCGTGTTCGATGGCATCAAGAGCACCCGTCGCCGACTACCTGGCGTCCTATTGTCCCGCGTCAAGCAAGGTGACCCCGCTGCCTGTCTCAATGCTGCCAAGTTGGTCTCGGAGGGTCTCCCTGCTCGCCACAAAGATTGGAAGCTCGCCGCCCAGCTCTACAAGGCCGCTGCCGACCGCGGGAGCCTCGAAGCATCCTTCCAGATGGGCTGGCTCGGTTTCCTTGGCGTGGGAATTCCCCAAAGCGACCGCAGCGCATTGTGGTTCTGGCAGGAAGTCAGCACCAAGTCGGATGACCAGGTCCTGAAACCCATCGCGACCCACATGGTCGGTTGGATGCATTATCTTGGCCGGGGAACCCAACAGGACAAGCGGAAGGGTGTCAAGATCATCCGAGACAACAAATCGGATGAGTTCACACTTGGGGAAGCCGAATGTCTGGCATGGTCAGTTTGCGACAGAAAATCGAATTCATCAGCGGCCCGCAAATTCTTTGAGCTATGCCAACTGGGATCAGAGCGCGACTGGTTGTGCAAGTATCTCTTGGCCATGTGTTTGTTCCTTGGATTTGGAACCACGAAAAATCAGACCAAGGCAATGGGCGACTTCGAACAACTTGCCAATGATGGTCGCAGTGACTGTCAGCTCGCAATGGGAAGGTGTTTCTACGCTGGTTGGGTGGGATCGGAGGATCACAAGAAGGCATATGAGTGGTGTAGCAAGTCGGCCGATCAAGGCAACTCGTACGGTCAGTGGATGGCTGGTGTGTGTATTCTCTGTGGATATGGAGTTGCCAAAGATCTCACCAAGGGAAATGCGTGGCTCCGCAAGTCGGCCGAGCAAGGCAATCAATATGGTGAGTTTTGGTTCGGCAACTGCTTCCATTTTGGCCGTGGTGTCCCCAAGAGTATCGAAACTGCGATTTTTTGGTACCGCAAGTCCGCCGACCAAGGCCACTGGGATGCCATCACCATACTCAAGTCCCTCGGCAAGTGGCCCTGATCTCCGAGCTCCTCCCGATCCACTCCCGAACAACCATATGGTAGCCAAGCAAAACGGCCCCCACACCGATCCCAGGCACACCGACATCATCTGCCTCTACGTGTCGGTGAGAGTCGCAATTTAGGTTGTCTCGAATCGGCTCAACCATCAAACTAAAGTTCTTTACTTTAATCTCTATTGTACTTGCCACGATTTCGCCAGTTGAACTTGGTCTCCTCTAGCAGGCCAATCTGAGGACCAAATCCCACCACTCAAACTGCCACAAATCCATACACTCATATAACCAAAGCACAGCGCCCACATCAAGCGCCATTCCCAACGATTTATATTGTGAAATGGTTCGGCAGTCTTGAGAAGATTATCGAGGTGCTATAGATGGCATCGCGGACTGCCGAGTTGAGGACTGCCGCTCCGACAACCAGGGTTGCGAACTCAGATAACATGGAGAAAAATCAAAACAAAAAACACAACAATGCAGATCATCACAAACCAACAAAACCCTGAGTGGCTCTCTGAAGTGGTGGACCTCGTGACTCTCGTCGGCTGAGCGCTTCTGGCGAGCTCCGCTCTTCTGGCCTCAGCTCTTCTAGCTTCCTCAGCTCTTCTAGCCTCCTCAGCTCGTCTAGCCTCCTCAGCTATTCTTGCGGCCTCAGCTATTCTTGCGGCCTCAACTCTTCTGGCTTCTTCGGCCATTCGGGTTTCTTCGGCTATTCTGACTGCCTCGGCCCTTCTAGCTCGCTCCTCGTAATAGCCTTTGACCGAGGAGCTCTCAAGGACGGCTTTGGCTCGAATTTCTCCCTCGAGATCGGATGAGTTGTTGAGGTAGTTGGAAAAGGCGATGTGGATCTCGGGGGTGCTCAGGTACATGGGCTACGGAGCACGATTCAAGTTAGTCCGAGTTTGTGAGCATTTTATGCGACGGCTGGACCTACCAGAATATAGCAGATACGGAGTTCGTTCGGCCAACCGGGACAAAGGGGGACCTTGATGGAATGGTTTCCGTGGCGAATCCACTGGGGAGCTTTGTCGATGTTAGCCCACTCGGATGGTGCAAGCATGATGGGCTTTTTGGACGCTGAGACAAAGTCAGTTGGATTTTCGAAGGAGCGAGAAAATATTTTGTCATGGTAGGTCCAGATGATTTGGTTGTTTGAATAATCGCGGGACAATATCGAGTTGCCCTGTTCCGAAATGATAACGGAGTTCACACCATCATTGTGTTCTTCAAGAGTTTGTTCCAAACGATTGGTTGTGGCATCCCAAACTTTCACCATCTTGTCACTCGAGCCAGAAACAATCCACTTGCCATCGGGCGAGATCGCCACGGAGTTTACACTTTCGGTGTGTCCTTCGAGAGTGGACTGCAATAGGCCAGTGGCAGAGTCCCAAACTTTCACCGACTTATCATTCGAGCCAGAGATAATCCACTTCCCATCATATGAAATGACCACAGTGGTGACAGTATGGGTATGTCCCACGAGACTGTGCTGCAACTTCCCCGTCAAAGCATCCCACATCTTGATGGTTTTGTCCCCCAATGCAGAGACAGAGGCAAACCACTTGCCATCGGGGGAAATCACAACAGAGCTCACAGCGTTTGCATGTCCATCAATGGTGTACTTCAGACTGAAGGTTGTGGTGTCCCATATTTTGATCCTATTGTAGTCACCTTGATCGACAATAGCAACAAAGCTACCATTTTGCGAAATTGCGGACGTATGGACCTTGGTCTTGTGTTCAGTGAAGGTTCTCATGATCTGGCCAGTGCTAGCATTCAGATGCTTGATCGTGCAATCGACCTCCACAACCACGACATTCTCGCCATCGGCCGAGACCATTATGGAAGAGACATCCGGGTGTCCTGAGGAAGACCAATTCATTTTGCTTGTTGCAACATCCCACCGTTTGATTACCCCAACTTTTGATTTCGAGACAAACCAGGTTCCATCCCGCGAAATCGCAAGCAGGGCTACTTCTCCCGGTTGTCCTTCGATTGATGGCTCAGGACTGTCCCAGTGGCGTTTGACACCCTGGGTCACCAGGAACGGGATCTTGCCTTCAAGTCGGGCAGCGTATTTCTTGTAGATGGCTGTATCCTTGGGTGTGAATGCATACCCCGAGTTGTAGACCTGAGGGGCACTCTTGCTGATCGGATCGCCAAACTCGCGGACGAATCTGTGTGTGTCCTTGACCAACTCTTGGGCCGTGTCATCGAAGGCGGTGCTGGGAGTCAAGGCGAGTGTTTCTTCCAGCGAGCCAAGCTGGGTTGCGAATTCCGGAATCACATGAACCAGCGAGCCGGCTTCCAGCCAGAAGAATACATGACTCGTCAAGAATCGGCCAAGCAGATCACTGAGATTTTCCGCGCGATACTTTTTCCAGATCTGCCGATCGAACGACTCGTCGGTGGCGCACCACACAAAGTGTGTGATCCAGTGGGCAACGCTGTATCGGAGCGACGGTGTAATCTTGGCTGCGACCCTAATCTCGAGGTCTGGGATGTTGTCGTGAAAGTCGAAGATATCGCAGATGTTGATCACAGGCTCGTGGGAGAGGATCACAGATAGGCAACGTGAGGCGAATGTTACGTGGAACTTGGGGGAGACATGGAAAAGCTCGCTGGCAGACTCGTCTCCGAGCAGATAGGCAACAATCGACTTGTGCTTCTGAGCCTTCACCATCAAGCTACCCTCCTTATCGCGGCTTAGTTTGCCGGGATCGAGAACGGGTCCAAGTTCCTTGACGCACCGACGGACGATTCGGATATCAACTCCAAAGAGGTCAGCAATCATTCGGATGTTCAGAGGAGACTGCGATATGGCGATAGCCGAGATCAACAGAGGGAGCTGCTGCTGATTGCGGGACTGGGCATAGACGTTGGTGAAGGCTCGTTGGGAGTGGGCATTATCGGTACCACCGATAGCTGCAAACCACAGATCAAACTCATCGTCGTAATCATCGTCCGAATCGAAATCGTCATTCTCATCGTTGGTAAGCAACTCGGGCATGTCTGCAAGGAAGGGGACGGAGACGGGCTTGTATGCCAGGATTGCGGAAGAAGGTGTCTCCAGAGTGTGGGGCGCAAGCAAAGACACTGTAGCGGTGGAAGCCTCGAGGATTGGCTGGAACGACTCCAAGCGACGAGGGGCGATGATAGTGGGTCGTTGCACTACGTCTTGAATGGGAGAAATCTCAGTGGACTGACGGAGGATAGCAAGGATTTCGGGAAACTTGGGTCGCATGGCGGGATCTTGGTGCCAGCAGCGCTCGATGAGGGCACGGATGTCGTCGGGGATGTCGTCGAGACGCTTGGGACGGTTGCCTCGGAGGACTTGGCGCTCGATGGCTGTGGGTCTCATTGGCTGGCCGTCGGCGGTGACCCAGATGGGCTTGCAGTCGTTGAGGACCTCGTACATGGTGATGCCAAAGGCATAAATGTCTGTGGTTATTGAAGATCCCATGGGGTCGTCATCATCAAGCATCTCCGGAGCCATGTAGTCAAGGGTGCCGCCAGTTGGCTGGTCGCGGCGAGTGCGGTTGGCCGTGGCCGAGGTGTACTTGGTCCTGGCCATGCCAAAGTCAGTCACGACGGCATTGGATGAACCATCCAGCAGCACATTGAGGGACTTGAGGTCGCCGTGGACAATGTTGTTGCCGTGGAGATAGGCCATGCCAGAGGCGACTTGGTAGAGGAGGCGGATCTTCTCGCCATAGGGTCGAGGTTCGGTGGCGGAGAAGTGGCTGTGGAGGGTGCCGTTGGGCATGAAGGGCGAGACCATGAAGGGCTTGGCGGTAGTGTCGCAGGCACCAAGTAGGGGAAGGACATGTGGATGAGTAAGTTTGTGCCAGATGCCAATCTCACGACCAAAGTCGGCGAGCTCGTTCTGGTTGTAGCCTCGATAGAGCTGCTTGACAGCGACAGGGGCACCATAGTATGAGGCAGTGAACACCTCGCCAAAGCCGCCGGCTGCCAGTGGATTGGCCGACCAGTCGGTGATGGCATCCTCGGGGATGTACCAGGGTTTTTCGATCATGGTTCGACAGAAGGAAGATGGAATGAGGGCAGCTGCTGGCGAAACTAAACGGGATGGGGACCAAACCGCCTTGGGAGGGCGACAATTCTTGGTTTTTATCTCCCGATTTCGGCCGTCAGATGGTGGCGGAGATGGGTGTTCCATTTGATCAAATGCGGAAATTGCAGAGAACACAACTTTGATTGTTTCATGTTGTTGACGCGATTCTGAAACACTGTGTTATACGAGATGATTCGAATTTGGAAGACCCCGCCTCATCTGGGAGATTTGACGAATGGCATTGGCCACTCCAGTCTGTCGCTTTGTGCTTGGCTGTTTTCTGATCTCGCCTATTGTTTGTGTGCAGCCGCCAGGTCCTTTCGCCCGCATGTCGGCTCTGTGCGATCCGCTCAGTCCTTCTGGGAGATTCTGCATCGAACCATGCGCGTTGTCGTCCTTTGGCGAGGCGCTATCGTTCGTTACTCCTGATCCATCGCCCGGCCTCGATTCTTGCGGGAGCCATGAGCGGCAGAGATATCAATCATCTGCCATGGAAACCAAGTCTAACATGTCGGCCGCCTCGGCGTCTGAATATACAGCAACAAGGCAGCCAGATTGCCATCAGCGAAGCCACAGCCCGCAAGTCCATAGACGACGCGTGGAGCATCTTCAAGACCACGATCGACCTGATCGCCAGCGAGACCATCGGAAGCGCCAGCATCAACCCTGGTCGGATCGAGGGCACACAGGGGCCCGAAATCCGACGCCTGGAACGAGAACGGCGATGCCTGAGCAGAATGCTCGCCCAGACCCCCGAGTACGACACGGAAGAGCTGGACGACCTGCGTCGTCAGCTCCGGTCCACGAGAAAGGCCATCACCCAGCTCAAGCGCAAGAACGGCATACGGTCATGGAAGGAATCCATGGCCACCATGGACACCCAGAAGTGCTCCGAGATGACCAAGACCATCGGAGCGATGCGCACGAGGAAGGAGAGGGAAGGATCACATCTCTTTGACAACTCGGATCCGACTCTCGAGAAACTCGTGGTGCACTTTGGCAAGGTATCCTCTGCCTCGCAGGACAGCGGGACAGAGTACGACAGAAGTATAACCCCACCACCCCTGAGCACGGAGGCGACCCTCCTGCCGCCCGACAAGCGGCTCCCAGAAGTATCGCTGGAGCACATCCAAGAGACCATCGAGAAGGCACCACGCCGCAAGGCAACGGGATCCGACAAGATCAAGAGCGAAATGCTCATACCAGTCGCACCAGTGATAGCCGAGTGGCTCCGCCTGATCATCATGGCGGCGCTCAAGGCCAGTGTGGTGCCAAGCGAATGGAACAGCGTGCTGATCCACCCAGTGTACAAGCAGAAGGGATCGACCCTGGACCCGGCCATGTATCGCCCTATCGGTCTCACTCAGACTTGCAGGAAGATCGTGGAAAGGATCATGCTCCCCTTCCTGGCAGAACAGGCAGGAGACATGGACGTCGCCCAAGGCGGATTCCGAGCCAGACGAGGAACCCTTGACCAGATCGTCGCCCTGGACACCCTGATCAAGCACCACAAGATGAACGGTGAGGAGTACTCTCTGATCTTCCTCGACATCAAAGCCGCCTATGACACAGTATGGCGCGAGAGACTTTGGACCAAGCTCAAGCAGCGAAGAATGAACGGCATCACCCTCGGCTTCCTCAAAGCCATGTTTGACCGGGTATCCATCCAAATGGTCAGCAAGGGCCGAAGATCCAAGCCAGCATGGCTCCGGAAAGGACTGATCCAAGGATCGGTGCTGAGCCCACTCATGTTCAGCGCCTTCATCGACGATCTACCAGGACCGAATGGTGACCAGGACAAGAGAAGCAGCATCCAACATGGCCAAGATGGGCCTGACCCTTGGGAACCTCATGGCCAAGACACTGACGATTGCATACCGCACGTTCTTGCGGCCAATGATGGAATACGGCCTCGCCCTCGACGCCATCCCAAAGAACGAACAGAAGCGGCTCCACCGGACACAAACCTTCTGCTTGAACTTACTGTTCCGCACCGCTCGCACGACTTCACACGGAGCACTGCACCTCAATTGCGGATTACCCACGATGGCGACAAGAGCCAAGGTCCTCGGCATCCAATGCCGAGCACGATGGGAAGACGTCGCCACACACGACGACAAGATGATCGCCCTCATCACCCGCTTTATCCGATCCACGGCGATGAAGGACCAGCCATACCTTGGCAAGCCCTTCTACGAAAGCATCCAATGGAACCTGACCTGCACCCGCAAGGAGAAGAACGCCACGTTCTCGATGTCCATGGCCTTTGCCAAGGACGACGACTCGACCACGGATCGCACACAGATTCTGTCGGTCAAAACACTCATGCTGACCCACGATGCCCGCACATCGTTCAAGCGAGGACAGCAGCTGACGGCTGCGTGCACACCAAGAACAAAGATGTCGGGAGTCTGGACCCAACTTGGACCAAGCATCCCACGAAGACTACACGTAGTAATGGTGTGGTGGAGACTGGGGGCATTCCCCGGGCACCCACACGGCAAGTACCGCCTCTGCAAAAAGTGCAAACGCAACGGCGAAGGCCGAATCGAGCTGAGCAGATCCCACGCACAGACGTGTGTGGATGAGGAAGACACCTTGGACGCCCTGGTACAGGGCTATAAGGATATTTTCACTGGATGGACCGAGCCCGAGACCGAAGGTGTCGGGCCTATTGATAAATTGTTGGATATGCTGGGAGAGGTTGGCAAGCTGGAAAACGAAGAACCCATCGTGGGACAGGCCTTCAACGGTCTGTGGACTGATCTGGAACAGATCTTCCATACCCTGATGTGGAGACTCGCTGGATGGCAAGCCAGGCCCGGCGACATTCCCGAGTGGGACTTTTAAAACACTCGATGTACTCCATGAAGCGCGAGATGCCGGGGACCACGGGGTCCTGATGGCTAGCGCACTGCGGTTGAAACGAGTGCACAATGAGAGCGAGGGCTGATGTGAGGGATGGGATGATGTTGGGCACTTGCGACCCAAGAAGTGCCTCCTCTTTCCGAGGCGGTCCCTGACAAACACAGTCCCAATCTCGAACATGGACGAACGGCGCCACCCCACTGCCACAAAGTGTTTCATGTGGCAATATTGGGAGGACTGAGCCACCCTGTCACCCCAGAGGCAGCTCGCTCTGTCCATCCCTTGGCTGCCTCGGTTTCTGTCTCTCACCATCCTCCAACCCCGTCCAGCCATGTTGACACCCACCAGCAGCCAGCACTATTCCTGTCCTGCCCACGGCACCGACCACGATTTGTTCCTCTCCTACCAAGCCCAGACTGATGCCGACACTGTCCAGGCTCTGAAGGAGGTGCTCACCTCGGTCGCCCTCCGTCGATATGGCAAAACCCTTTCCGTCTTCCACGATGTCGACTGCCTCAACAATCCCAGCGACCCTCCAGCCAGTTCTATCAATGCCCTCTCCACCAGCAAGGTCATCATCCTGCTCCTCAGCAAGGCCTCGATGGACATGATGAAGGACAAGGCACTCTCCGACCAAGAGGACAATGTCGTCCTCGAAATCAAGACCGCCCTCGATCTCAAGGATGCCAATCGTTCCCTCCCTGTCCTTCCCCTCGGTATCGCCACCAAGGAGACCAAAGATGGCGTCGATGTCTTCACTTCCTTCCTGCCGTACATGGTGTCCCTCCCCGACGACCCTGCTTTTGCCCCCCTCAAGCAGATCCTCGGCAGAGTGAACCAGATCCAGTCCTTTGGCTTCCATCCCGACCAGATGCACAAGCGAGTCTACCGCCTCCTCAACCTCGTCCATCCCATCCCACCCAACATGGAGTTCATTACGGCCATTCATGACAAATACTTTTGTGATTCCAAGTTCCGATTCGATCCCGCCCACCTCGACACCCTGCTCAAGCACCTCACCCTGACTGGCCGCGCTGTCATCTCCGGCATGGGTGGCATGGGCAAGTCTGTCCTGGCTGTCCAGATCCTGTTCTTCATGATGGGCATTCTGAATGCGAGCAACAAGGACGACCTCCATGTCATCAAAGCCGAAACCATCGGCATCAAGCCGCAGTACCGCCAGGTCTTCTGGCTCAACTGCTCGACCGAGTCGACTGCCATCGATGGACTCATCGAGATGTTCCCTGGTGTCAAACCCGATGAGATCAAGGAGTATGCCTCGAGGTTCCTCGCCAACACCCACGGCTATCTCCTGGTGCTCGACAATGTCGACGACATCGGTGTGGTCGACTCTGTGTTTGAGCACTCCAAGTCGGTCGGGTTCAGCGGCGATGTGGTGGTGACGACCCGGCTGGCCTCGCTGCCTCCTGGTGCATTCGCCAGTGCTCTTGAGACCAAGGCACCGTGCTTCCAGCACGATCTGCTCCGGCTCGTCAACTGGGACGACAAAACCACACTCGACTATATCATGTCGTCGTCGCCAATGATTGTCCAGCGACTTGTGTCAGACGAGGCCAAGAAGTCCCTCGACAGCATCGTGGCCAAGATCAGTGGATATCCGCTCGTCATCCAGACATTCATGACATTTGCCGAGAACTACGACACTCCCCTGTCGGTGCTCGAGGCCACGTTTGCAGGAGCATTGGCGCTGCAGGATGGCGATGACGATACGCGGTCGTCGCTCAAGGTGATTGTGGATCTGTCGCTGGACTCTCTGATGAAGCGAGGAGATGAGGGCATCGAGGCAGCCAGGCTGTTCGGTGCCCTCAGTTTGGTTGCGCCGATCAACATCCAGTTCGAGTTGATCAAGGAGATTGCAGAGCAGTTGGAACTCAAGACCGAAGGTGAGTTGCGAGTGGATCAAAGTGCAATCAATGGTGTCAGTGTATGGAACTGACCAGCCCATCTGTCCACAGTGACCGATCTGATCAAGATGATGGTCCAGAGTGGTCTCCTCCGAAGTGGAACCGAGGGACAGTACTCGACACACTCGCTCACCCAGCAGGTGGCTCGAGAGTACGTCCAACGACATGAAGACCTGGATGCAGAGGCAATTGAAGATGCAACTGGTGAAGTATTGATCGAGTTAACCGAGTCGATGGATCTCAAGGCACAATCATTTGCGGAGCATCTCGATCAATACGCCGAATATACAGTGCCAGAGGTTTACACCAAGCAACTGCATGACCGGTTCGAGTTCCAAGTTGCCACATTGGCTATCCATAAGCCACTCTACACCAAGGCGATGGAGACATACAAGAGGCACTTGGAACGAGTTACGGTGCTTTTTGGCACCCGCGCGCATCCTCATGTTGCCATGACTCTCAATAATATGGGTGAAGTGGCAAGATTCCAAGGACGTCTAGATGATGCACTTGCTTTCTATGAAGAGTCACTCGATATCTATGTCAAGGTCCATGGTACTCGCGAGCGTCCTGATGTTGCCGGGACACTCAGCAACATGGGTATTGTGGCAAGATCTCAAGGACGTCTAGACGATGCACTTGCTTTCTTCCAAGAGTCACTCGATATCTTTGTCAATGTCTATGGTACACGCGAGCATCCCAAAGTTGCCATGGCCCTCAACAACATGGGCAATTTTGCTTATGGACAAGGACGTCTAGATGATGCACTTGCTTTCTATCAAGAATCGCTCGATATCTATGTCAAGATCTATGGTACACGCGAGCATCCCGATGTTGCCTTGACTCTCAACAATATGGGTGAAGCGACAAGATCCCAAGGATGCCTGGACGATGCACTTGCTTTCTTCCAAGAATCACTCGACCTCTATGCCAAAGTCTATGGCACCCTCGAGCATCCTCATATTGTCACGACCCTCAGCAACATGGGTATTGTGGCAAGTGACCAAGGACGCCTGGGCGATGCATTTGCTTTCTACCAAAAATCACTCGATATCACGATCAAAACCTATGGTACCCGCAAGCATCCTGATGTTGCTTCGACCCTCAACAGCATGGGTAATATGGCAAATGATCAAGGACACTTGGACGAAGCACTCGCCTTCTACCAAGAATCCCTCGACATCAAGGTCGATAACTATGGCACCCGCGAGCATGCCGATGTTGCCATGACCATCAACAACATGGGTAATGTGTTACGATCCCAAGGACGCCTGGACGATGCACTTGCTTTCTTCCAAGAATCACTCGATATCTTTGTCAAGGTCTATGGTACGCGCAAGCATCCTAAAGTCGCCGGGATCCTCAACAATATGGGCTTGGTGACAAGTGACCAAGGACACTTGGACGAAGCACTCGCCTTCTATCAAGAGTCGCTCGATATCTATGTCAAGGTCCATGGTACTCGCAAGCATCCTGATGTTGCCTCGACCCTCAACAACATGGGTAATATGGCAAATGATCAAGGACGCCTGGACGAAGCACTCGCCTTCTATCAAGAATCCCTCGATATCAAGGTCGATAACTATGGCACCCGCGAACATCCCGATGTTGCCATGGCCCTTAACAACATGGGTGCAGTGGCAAGTGGCCAAGGGCGCCTGGACGATGCACTTGCCTTCTTCCAAGAGTCATTGGCAATTTGGACCAAGGCATTCAATGACCCCGAGCATCCGTATATCCAGATGGTTATGGGAAACATTGCTGAAACCGAGAAACAAATCATCGAGCGAGCCTAGGAGTTTCGATATCAATCCTCGAAGAAGCTGTAGTATTAGCACGATAAAAGATGTCCCTCATCGTGTAGCTGCCCCATCCTTTCCTTATCAGCATTGTGAATGTCATATCCCTCCTAGTGTGATGCTGAGTCGTCGTATTGTCCAATAACATTCAAGGGCTCGTTTCCACCCGCCCCATAACCTTTTGGCTCTACAAAACGATCCTTTTCCCACTGATCCTTTATGTTGTCGCGCAAGTCCAATGCGCGCTGGCCATGACCGTTCCTTCCTGCAATACATTCGCCATGTGTTCGATGGAGACATGATGGACAAACAGCTGTACTTCAGCCTGACCCGGCGACGGCGATTCAAGCGACTCGATCTCCAGGTGTGCCCACAGTGCCGGGAAGCCAAGCGACTCGAGAAAGCCGAGTATCTTGATATCGATACACTATGGAGCTTCAGGCCTCTGAAGTCAGAAAGTGACCGTCCCGTTTCTTTCTGTATTGACTGCGGATGCAATATACATCGGACTCTCTAGACAGCGCCGCGCCGACGTAATTTCTCGACATCCAGATTTCGGGCCAACAGGTCGCTCGCTGTGCTTTCTCGGCGTTCGAGCTCCTATAGTGGTGGTGGGTCGCCAACACTACTTGGCAAGTCTGAGTCTCCCTGGGCTGACTGCGTATCCCTTCCCTTGCTTGCCTGAAACTTCCCCAAAGGCAGCCACAAACCGGCCACTTGGACATGCTGTTTGACCATGGTGGATAGGCGTGTATTCTTGATCGAGAAAAAGTGACATGTCTGACCCAAAACCAGTCCATGGTGGAGTCACCGTCCCTCTAGAACAGTGCCCGAATGAGTAGCAGCCGCAGGCTGTTCCAGATATACATAATCCAGTCGAGCAGTGAACCTGGAGGCTCGGGTGCAGGCTTGGATCCAGCAGCCTCCCGGCGAATCGTCCCGGTTGCCCGGGCGGAGGATCTGAGGTGGGTGGCGATAGAGAGCTTGACCAGATCGAGCTGCGACAGCGACGATGCCAGGAACCAGGCTCGCACCCCTCCGTCGGCCGACAGGTCTGCAGTCGGCTCGCCCACCTGGATCCGGACTTGGTCGGCCGATGAGGGCTGCTGAAACTGCATACCAAGTGTTTGGCAGAGCAGGAGGACGGCGCTTTCCATGAACCCATCGCCAGCGCTCTGGGTAAAGACGGCATCGTCCAGAACCCAGACAACCTTTTGCCGGGGAGACTGCCGGGTCAAATCGACGAGCTGAGCCAGCCCCAGCAGAAACGGCACAGCGCCGACATGCTTCTGGTACTTGGAAACGAACTGCGAGACTGCATGCAGGTCACGCTCCGAGAGAACTTTGGCATCGTTTGGGCTGCGGTTCTCCTGGAGGAGTCGCTCGAGCTCCGCCGAGAGGTGATCCTGGTGAGTGCGGTGGAAGGCTTCCCGGGCCAAGTTCTTGATGCGGCCCAGCCGCCCGGGATCAAGAGTCTGGAGAGCGACTCCAGACTGCGGGTCGATGCCGAGCTGAGCTAGAAGCGTTTGCGCCTGGGATTGCTGCTCGCGGGGCAAGCTGTGCAAGCCGTCCAGATCGATACGGGTTCCAGACGGCGACGAGTGGGCTTGCTCGGCCAGGGAAATCGCCAGCTCGAGGTACGGGGTGTTCAGGCTGAACGCCTGCTGACAGACTTGCTCCCAAAGGGCATAGATGGATTCAGGCGTCTGGGCCATGTCGACGGAGGGATGCCGAGCCGGGCGGGCCGGATGCAAACTTGGTGCCGAGGGAGAACGGCAAATCCAGATCCAGCACGGGCGACCCCGGAAGGATCGAAGCGGTGATCGAAGCAGCGACACAATGAAAAAATTTCTTGTTAAAAAAATGAGCGAGAACGAAAAAACGCGCTCTCGGAGCCACCTCGGTCGGCGAGAAGAGCAGTCTCTGGCGAGAGACCCCCGAGGGAAGGCGAGAAGCCTCTCGCCGTCACACACACACACTTTGCACAAGGGAGTCAAACACCTCCCATCGACCATCCCAAGAGGGATGGCAACCCCGAAGTGGACTGCCCAGAATATGGGCGACCCGGCATCCACTGTCGAAATGCACAAGGAACAGTGCGAAATACTTACAGTCTATCCAGAAAGAAACGGGACAGATCCCATTTCTGGCTTCAGATGTCTGAACCCGCTGACTGACTTGTAGGCCCAGCGGGCAGGCCATGGCATTGCACTCCTGTCTTCGTTGGCAATCGCTTTGTTTTGGTTGGTTTGGGAAGCACAGTCTTGAATACACCCGGTCGATCTCCTGTGGCGATGATCGACTGGCATACCGAGATCATATTCCTGGCTGCATTGATGTCTCGATCCCACAGCGTATGGCAGCTTGTACAGCTCCGTACATAATGTGGTTTCTCGACATCAAGATACTTGGGTGACTCGAGTCGCTTGGCTTCCCGGCAATGTGAGCACACCTGGGACGTGTTGAACTCGTTCACCGAGCACACATGGATCTTGGAGACGGATCGGTCTGGTGGTCGTCTCTGGTGGTGGGTGAACTGCTCAAAGTACTTGGCGAACCTGAGTCTCCGTGGGCTGGAAGCATATCCCTTCCCCTGTTTCCAGATGCATTCCCAAAGGCAATCACCACTTCGGTCTCCTTCAGTGCCTGGTCGATGACTTGCTTGCACATCTCGTGGACGGTGCGCTGTCGCTTGCCGTAGAGATCGAGTCGCTTGAATCGCCGTCGCCGGGTCAGGCTGAAGTACAGCTGTTTGTCCAGCATGTCTCCAGTGAACACATGGCGAATATATCGTAAGAAAGAAGGCACTCCAGGGATCTTGGGGCTCGGTGTGGTGCTCATCCATTTCTGCAGACCAAGGATCTTGTGGGTGCTCTGGATCCACTTGGTCGCTTGGGTGGTGCCAGTTCGATGCTGGTACTCCTTGTTGGAGAACGACACGATCTTCTCGTTGGCACGCTGTGCCTTGGTCACCTTGACACCGTCTCGCTCCTGGATGGATGGTTGACCGGGTGCTCGAATGACAACGGTGAAGATCGATCCTACTCCAGGGTCGATCCCAATCCATGTGGTCCGAGAGTCGTCAATGGGACCGACCCTGGTCTGGATCCTCTGCTCGGGAGTGAGTGCGCTCGTCTTGTCCGTGGATTTTGGTTTGGCATCAGGGTCCTTCTTCTCCAGGATCTTGTACTTGAGTGTGGTGATCGAGCACCCGACTCCATCGGTGGTGATCACGCAACCAAAGAGCTGCTTCCCCTCTTTCCTGACACCAAAGAGTCTCGGATCCAGCTTGAAGTTGGTCTGCCAGAAGGTCTCTTGCTTTGTGGTGCCATTGACCTTGGTCTTCAGGTCGTCCCACTTGAGACCAGTGCCAGTCTGGTATCCAAGGATTTCCCACAGTGCTCTGGTGTCGAGCTTGATGTACTTGGCTCTGGCATCGCAGAGCGGGACCAAGGTGCACTGTGCTCGAGGGACATTGTGTCGCTTCTTGGTCTGGGCAAGTCGATCGGTCAATCGCTTGATCCGCTTCGTGTTGATGGTGATCTGCTTGCACACCTCCTCGTGCTGGGTCTGGAGTGCTTCGAGTCTGTCAGCCCCGATGTGGTGGATGGGTTGACACATCTCCTCGTTCAGTCGCCCGCGCTCTCCTTTCAGAACATCGGTATCCCTCGCGAGCCTGGGAATGATCATCTTCTGAAAGACCACCATGAAGAGGGCCTCCTTCAGGTGGGTCAGGCGAGAGACTTCACTGGCCAGAATTGGTACGACTTTGTACAGGTCCTGGTGGCTTTCGTACCGAAACTCATACAACTGGTCGGCATGGTGGGCGAAGGATTTTCTCAGATCACCGAGGAGTGTCTTGGAGAGGGGATTCTCCATCAGCTTCATGCACTCATCGACGTGTGTGTGCCGTTTCACACCCTTGGGAGCAATCAGGGCCAGGTTGCAGTATCGACGGAGGAGAGACCAGTATCGATCGAGAATATGGGTCTCACAGTTGACTGCATAGGTCTTGACAGCCAAACCAAGGACCTGTGACCCAGTGCCCTTTGGGAGGGACACTGGAGGCAGGATACACGATCCACTCCATGTACTTCGGTACATCTCATATGTGTCGAGGATGTGCCTGTCTTCTTGAGTCGTGCCTTTCTTGGCACTCACTGTTCCTGTCTGCACCATATTGAAGCATTTTCGAACAAACGCGGGTTCACTCGACGACACAGTGGGGAGGGTGATGCCCTCGTCCAAGCACCGCCTGAGATGCAGCTCCAGGAGACGAGATGCTTCGTACTGCACTTGAGTCATGGCTCGGACAGTCTCCTCGATCTTGTCGTGCAAGGTGTCGTTCTTGATGATGGCATCGAGAGTGCACTTGATGATTGAGTACTCGGCCTTGACTTGCTCGTTTGGGCCACAGTCAGGCAAGGTAGAGCTCCAGAGTGTTATAGAAACGGCACTTTGGGGTGTTGCTTCTGGTATGACCCTCTTCCCCGCACGTGGCACATACAGGGACCTTGGGTGCTTGGCTGACCATTTCAGCGACCGAGGCAGGGCTGCTGTCGATTCTGGCTGTGCACTTCTTGGTGAAGGGCCTAACATGGTTGGTCAGGCCACAGGCACGACACGATTTGATGACGGGTTTCTTGGCCACAGGAGAGTCATTGGGTGATCCCGGGTCGGGATCGGGGGGTGTCTTTCGCTTGGGAGCCATCTGGCGAGAAAATAGCAGCGATGGCTGGTTCTGCCCTTGGGGAAGAAAAATTCTCCTCAAAACCAGCGCATTTTGGGCTGGCAGTGATACTGTGCAGTGGCGTCCTTGATTCAGATCCAGAAACGCATCGCTCGCTCAATCAGTCGTGGGAAGACATCTTGTCAAGGTGAGTCTTGCCTGATAGCCAAACGATCATGTCATCTCGCTGACACACAGCCACGCTTGACTAGGTTTCCAACCAGAGAGATTCAGATGGTGGTGGTTCTTGTCCGCAATCGGAGTGGAGCTTCCAACAATGATACAATTGGTCATTCCTCCACACCAATTGCCCACCACCACCGTCAATCGGCTCAAGGTGATACCAAATGCCGTCAACCGACCATGGCCGGATTCCAACTATTGCTGCTCCACATACAACGTGACTTTCAGGTGACCGAGATGAGCAGCCGCGAGGGGCCGGAAAATATTGATAGTGCGATTTGTCAGGCGCACGAGTTTTCCCTGATTACCCTGGATATTTGACCGCCTCATCCGCCCCACTCTCGCTCATCCTGCTCGCCTGCTTGCCTACTCGCCTGCTCCCACCATGCCGCCGATCGCACGAAACGAACGACCCTTCGATGTCATCCGTGAGTGCCCGCCCTGTGCTGTGGCCATCGTCGCTGCAGATCGAGGAGTACTTTGTTGATCGCGTCCATTGATCCCACCTGCTCCGATACGGTTCGCATGATCTCCAAACGACGGACATTTCCCTGCATCAGTTTGGTATGCGCACCATGCTCTCGCCGCATCGGACTGCATTGCAATTGCACTGGGTCACATCGTATCGCCTGAGGCTTGCCCTCCGATCGCTGGAATGCCGCCCATGGCTTCCGTGCGATCCAAGGAAACTACAATTCACCCTACCCCTTGCATCTCAGGGGTGCCACTGGCTTCACCGGCCAGTATGTCGCCAAGCATCTTGCCCTCAACGGCCCCGCGGTCAGTGCACATTCCCATTGCATTTTTTGGGTCCTGAACACCACCACAGACACATCGATTCAGCATGCGCTCGCTGGGGTGGATTATGCCCAAATCAACTATTTGATCGCCACCAGCAGTTTCCATCGTCATCTGTGCTGATGCTGCCCCCCTCCTCCACCCAATGACAACTAAAGGGACTGAAATGGGCCATCGCCGGCAGAAGCGAGTCGAAGCTCATTCAGGTCCGAAACAAGCTCATCTCCTGGGCTGGAACCAAGGTCGAGGTAGCCACCCAAAGCCAGCTCTTCAAGCACACACGGGTCTTGCTGCTCGAACGCCTATTGGATATGTCGCTGACAGCTTGCTTTTATGTATTTTTGGCGCTCTTGCTCATGGGAATGATGCCAGAATCTGCCGATCATCATCGCTGATTCGGGTGACTCTGCCAGTCTGGATGCCATGGTTGGCCAAACTCGGGTGGTCGCATCGACTGTTGGTGAGTTGGATCGTCAAGGTCGACAATTGCATCGCCAAGGTCGACAATGGCATCACCCTCCAACCACAGCATCGCAAGACATATGCTGCATTTGGCTGATCCGTTTCCGTCCGCTAACTCCCTGCAGGGCCTTTTGCAATCTATGGCTTTCCGCTTGGTACGTTGCCATAATGCATATGCTGCCCGCAGCACTGTTTGTCAGGCAGCCCATCTCTGCTTGCCGCTGAGGTCGGCAGTCTGAGCAAGTGGTACATACTCACCGTTGGACTCGATCGCTCCCCATCTACCACCACTGCATTCTACAGTGGAGTCGTGCATCCGAATGAAGACTGATTATGTCGACTCGACCGGCGAGACAGACTTTGTCAAAAAGGTCAAAGACCTGCACCATCAGCAGGCCGTAGAGGCCGGCATCAAGATCGTCAGTCAGTGTGGCTTCGACTCGATCCCCTCCGATCTGGGTGCGCTGATGTGAGACCGTGAATCGGTGTCGGAGAGTGTACCGCAGTTCAGGTCGACGGCTCGTGAGCCAAATGAAATGTTCTGCCAGCATCGCTTGGTATGCTCTGTGGACTCACTCGCAGCTGTCGGAATTGCCCCTCCTCGCCTCGTCATTAGGATCGCCGACCACCTTCGCACCGCCCACAAAGCCTCCACCACATCGATCCAGCTGGTCAACAAGGTGGCCAAAGGCGGTGTTTCCGGAGGAACCATCGCCTCGGTGTGCAACATGTTCTCCAAGCCCATCAAGGAGCTTCGCGAGCTGCTCGATCCCAGGATCCTGATCCAAGATGATTTGCCCGAGTCGATCGCGCCAAAATCCAAATCCACCTTTGTCGAATACGTCCCTGCTCTCAAGGCTTGGTGTAGCTACTACTTTATGGAGGGCACCAATATCCCGATTGTCCTTCGATCGATCGGACTCTTTGCAAAGCGCCACATTGACCAGGCTGCCCAGGCGTCGTATGGAAACAACGTTATGTATCAGGAAATGATGGTGGCGCCGCTCTCCGGAAACGTCATCGCGGCCTTCATCCTGTCGTTTGTCTTCAAGTTTGGGGCGGCGCTTTTGTTTTTGATTCCGCCCTTGCGAACGTTGGTGCAGAGGCAGTTTCCAAGCGGAGCCGGGCCAACGGAGGAGCAGGTCGAGAAGGGATACTGCCATATCGAGCTCCTTGGCGAGGGCATAACGGACGAGGTAAGAGACAGCGCCCCAGGTTGTGACTGTATAAACCAGCGCCCGTGGGGATTAGCAGGTTGCTGGTGTGACCAAACGACTTGTCCTGGTTTGGACAAGGCATTGCATGATTGGAATGTGCTGGGGGAGGTTGATACTGCAAATGATGAGGCAGTCGCGCTGACGAGGTACCGACTCTCTGGCACCAGGCCGCCAAGCCCGTCAAGGCTCGCGGATCCATCAAGACCGAGTTTGATCCAGGTGAGGCACCGTGGACTTGCATCGTGGCGTCGCACCTCCCTCTGTCTCTCTGTTGATGGTGGGCGCTGTGGCTTGGGTTGGCCAATCTCCTGCGCTCGACCAACGCTGCAGCCGAATCTGAACCCTCGTTGCTGCGACAGGATACGGCGAAACTGGCAAGATGGTTGCCGAATCTGCCCTTTGCCTCGCCCTCGACCGGGGCAAGCTCGAGACGGCCGACCCGGCAGTCGTGGGACCGTTTGCGCCCTTCCGTGGAGGTGTTCTGACCCCTGCCACGGCCATGGGCATGGTCTTGGTGAACCGCCTTCGAAGGCAGAGGATGGAATTTGCGGTGTCGTCCGCAGACCAAGCCTGAGTGGCACTCCAGGCCTCATTTTATCACGCGTGAGACTCTACCATTCTCTGAGATGGCCAACTTCCCTCATCCTCTTCGGACTTTGCTGTCCCTATATTCTTCTCGGGCTGGTGAAGTAGCAGTATCCTCACCATTTTGAGTCTTGCTTCCTGTTGAACTGCTGATCGCTGGCCTCTTACAACGGGAGAAGTATCGACAAAATACATTGCAGATGATCCCATCTCCATCGTTTGGATTGTATGTGGTCGATGAGCAAACTTATCGCCCAGAAACAAAGACGGTGACGTACAACAACCGCACCCAAACCGATGAATGCTCGAACGCATGAGCAAGCACAAATCCCAAGTTGCAACACGGAGCCGTCCACAATGTATTTCTGATCTTCGTTTGTTTGTCATTTGATGTCGTTCGATTGTTCGTACTCGAGCGATCTGTGCGGACCAATGGATTGCATATTTCGGCGCTCCGCTACTCCGAGTAAAGTATAGAATGGATTGGGGAGGGGCGACAACCTTCGCGATTCGCTAGTAGGATTGGTGTCAGACATGGCATCGTTGCTGGACAAGCCTTCACTCGTAGTTGGCCATGGCACTGGTATTGGCCATGAAATCAGAGACAGTCCATACGTTCGATGACTGCCGGCATGGCGGAAGCGGCATCCGACCAGGGTGAGGGTGGGGATCTGCAAGTCAGTTTCCGGGCACAAATGACTCGGAATGATCACGTTTGGCTGTGCGGCTGTTGCGACAATGCCATCCATCCATCCATCCATCCATCCATCTGTGGGCCACGAGCCCTCCCAATACCGGCTTTGCTTGAAAAAAGAAAAGTTCAGCGAATGACGCACCTTGTCGACCATCATCTTGGAGTCTTTGGTAGTCTCGGCATGCAACTGGTCATGCAAAACAGTGATGTGCTTGACGATCTGCTCGATCCCGGTGGTGGGCGAGAGATTCTCGCACACTGAAATGTCAACAGAAAGGGATAGGAACGAATACGTCTCGTCAGGAGGCGGATGGTATGATCGCGTGGGTGCTTGTGTGTGAATGGCAAGGTGAATCTCTTCCGGCTCGAGCGTACTTAGGATATGGCTGTTGAGCTTCTCGGCCACTCGCTCGCGCCGCTCCTGCGAGAGGTATTCGGCCATGGGCGAGCTTTGTGGATCGGCATAAGCAATCAGCGACACAATGTCCTGCAGGATGGCCACGTAGCTTGAGTCGAGCGTGCTGAATTGGCCGAGCTCTGGGACGACAGGGAAGATGATAGGTGTGGTCAGGAGGAGAGCCGACAGAGACGCATTACGATGCCGTTGCGCTGCCGCTGCGACCCGATGCAACCCGATGCAACCCGATGCAACCCGATGCAACTCCGACACCAGGACAGAGTCTCCGCGAAAAGCACCATAGCGTCATGCAGGTCCATGATCAGGCCGTCGCGTGCACATTCGCACGCACCCGCATGGGCAAATGTCAGCGCGGCCTCGGCGGAAGTCTTGGTGAGCTCGATAAACTCTTGGCACTTGAGATCGAACAGAACTGGAAGGGCCGATGGATAGACGCTTGTATCCAGCACGCAGAGCGGCGCCGTGGTGCAGATCTGGATGGCCTCGCGAACGTTTCCCTCGAGGACGAGGGAAAAGAGCCTCTTCCTCCAAAGCAGCGAGCGATCGGCGGGCTCGGCTTTGAGAGACGGCGACGCGGAGAGCGAGGCAGAGGACTGCGAGAATGCCACGGCCGTGTCGGCATAGCAGTGGTGCAGCAGATACTCGTGGATCATCTGATCAAATGTTTTGTTTTGGAGGGCAAGCGAGGCGAGCGAGTCGTTCTTTGTGCCCTGGAGGGAGCCGGCTTTCTCTGCGAGGGACGGAAGCGTCATGATGCCAAAGCGCAGGGCGACAGAGAATAGCAGGAGATGAGGGCGTGGGAGGTGGCGAGGCTGTGAGATCAGTTGAAGCGCTGGCGTATGAGCGTATCGATTCAGTTAGCGAGATGAGCGTATCGATTCAGCTGGCGAGATGAGGATGCTGATAATGCCGATGATGCCGATGATGCCGATGATGCCGATGATGCCGACAGAATGGCAAACCTCCGATCGATGCCCAGCGCGTCGGAGATGCGACGCGGCTCTGGACGCAAACCGGGACGGACAAACCCGGGACGGACGATACGCCACGTGCACAGCCACCCACGTGTGCGCCGCGTGCACAGAACGCACGGAACGCGCACACACACACAGCGCTGTCTTTGGCTTGGCCGTCTGGTCTTTTGGGGTTCTCGTCCTGTCTTCCCTCCTCTGCTCTGTCGGCGCCATGCAGTCTATGACACAGGTACGCCGTCCTGGCCCTCGCCGCTGCTGCTCCTGCTGCTGCTACTGCCGCCTGGATACCCGGGCCGGTTGCGGTGTTGCTGCAGAGGCCTCTGTCGCCTCGCTGTGCATGCTGCCACCCGCAGGGCCCTGCCCCGGCAGGAGTGCGTCGGTTGCCCTGCACCCTTCCCCCTCGAAACATCCAAGGAGACGAGCTTCCCCCTGGCTTCGCTTCGCTTCGTGCTTGTTGTCGCTGGCCGGCCTACTGACACTGACGTTCTTCGTTCACGCACACGCCTAATCTCACCCACTCGCATCGCGGGGTGCCATGCTCCATCTACCGCTGCCATCATGCTTGGGGGGGGGTGTGGCAGAACAACCTGCCTCAGTCCGAGACCCCGGCTCAAGCCTCCGAAGGTATCTGCCCCAGTGCCTGCATGTATCGCTTGCTCCTCTGCCCTTGAAGCTCGCATCGATTCGTCCGTCGCCGCGATCGTCGTGCACGGCTGCAATCCATCTCTCGCTCGTATCGCCACATTGGGTCCTGTCTGGTTTGGGTCCGGCCCTGATCTGTCTCTCTCGTCTTTCTCCCTTCCTCCCTCTCGTGGCCGTGCCTTCGATGCCCCCAGTGAGCCACATCGAAGCCCTGCTCCCCGATCTGGGCCTGGAGGTCGAGTCGACAAAGCTCTACAAATGGCAAATCAACAACTGGTCGTCGCTGAACCAGTCCGACCGAGTCCACAGCCCCGAGTTCGAGTGCGGTGGCTCTCACTGGTGCGTTCCTGACTCTTACCACACGAGCCGAGCTGGCTGCTATCCTGCCCTTCGATTCGGTGGCCAGCCTCTTGCCGTTGGCTGATCGGACAAGCACACCACCCAACCCCTGACCTGTCTCGCTCTGGGAAGTGGTGATGCGAAAAGTCACAAGTGGAGATCTGTCGAGGAACCGGCTCTCGTGTCGCTAACGCCAAACACAACACCCCTGATCTATCCAGGAGAGTTTTGCTCTTCCCCAAGGGCAATCGCACTCCAGACAGTCTCTCGGTGTTCCTCGAGTCCGTCGAGGCTCAGACGATCCAAAAGCCAACAAAGTGGCATGTCTGCGCCAACTTTGCCCTTGCCATCGCGAATGCAGACGACGACACCATCATCAAATCGTCCCGTAAGCGCTTGGCTGCCGCGTCTGCCCCTCTGCTCTGCCCCGCTTCGACAGCTCTGCCTACACAGCTTAGTGCAGATCGCCCCGCACCCTGACCATCCTTATCGATCCTCCCGCCGACGGTCCTCAGACGTTCAGCACCGTTTCAGCCCAAGCGAGCAGGATTGGGGCTTCAACACCCTCGTCAAGCAGAGTCTCCTCTTCCAACCCATCGAGAACTTTAGCCGCCCGATCATTGAGCAGGATCGAGTTGTGATCATTGTTTATATGCAGATCATCAAGGACTCCACCGGAGTGCTCTGGCACAACTTTGTCGAGTAAGAGTCTCGTCAACAGCGCATACGCATCCAGAGCCTGCTGTGCAGAAATACCATGCTGGTGGCGCTGTGCGACGGGCTCTGGTTGGTGCGTGTGGGTGTGCTCGGCTTGCTTCAGCCTGAGCCACAGGCGATGGCCGCGACTGGCACCCCTGGCAGCGATCGCCGTGGCCGCTCGTACTGACTTTTGGCCGATCGGTGTCCGTGCTGCTGTGTTTCTCTGGTTCTGGTTCTGGTTCTTGCGGTTGCACAACTCCCCGTCATCAGCTACGATTCCAAAGAAGAGACCGGCTATGTCGGACTCAAGAACCAGGGTGCAACCTGCTACATGAACTCGTTGCTGCAGTCGCTCTATTTTACCAACGAGTTCCGAAAGGTAGACCGTCCGACAGCCGCAGCCGTCCGGCATCAGCCACCACTGGCGGATTCTGCGCATACGCAATCGATACGCTGAGCGGCACCCAGCGCACTGAATAGTGCAGCCATCCTACCGCCTCTTCACAATGCTTTGAAACCCCGCCATATTTTGGCCTTGGCGGCGCCCGACTGTTCTGAACGAGGTGGTACGTCAATGCTAATGCCGACTCCTTTCGCTGGATGCGCCAGGCTACATTCCAGATTCCCACGGAAAACGATGACCCCAACAAAAGCACCGCCCTTGCGCTGCAGCGCGTGTTCTACAACCTCCAGTACTCCTCCGAATGCGTCGGTACGTTGGGATAACAGTCTTTCTAGATCCAGCACCGACTGTTTGCCGTCGCCGCCGTCCATGGTACCGGTGCTGTGCGCGAGCATACTTGCTTATTTTCTTTTCCGCCTCTGCATCCCCAGGCACCATCGAGTTGACAAAGTCCTTCGGTTGGGACATGCACGACTCATTCATGCAGCACGACGTCCAGGAGTTCAACCGTGTTCTCCAGGACAATTTGGAGAGCAAGATGAAGGGCACCGCCGCCGAGGGCGCCATCTCGAGACTGTTTGTTGGCAAGATGAAGAGCTATATCAAGTGCATCAATGTCGAGTACGAGTCGTCCCGCACCGAGGACTACTATGGTACGCCCGAACTGCATTCCGACTTGCCCAATTGTCTACGATCACAAACGCCAAGAGCCTCCCTCCTTCCCTCGTCGCCGGCACTGGCCCTGCACTTGGATATCTCCGCGCCTGTTTATATCTGTCACTGGGCCGTGATGTTGGAACCCCCGTTCGTCTGTCGCGATTCGGCGCTGCTCGCTTCTCGCTGTTGCCTCCCTCGTCTTTCAACCCGATCAATTCCTCCCCCCTGAACGCTGCGCTAATATGTGCCCGTCCATACCAGACATCCAGCTTAACGTCAAGGGATGCAAGAATCTCACTGAGTCGTTCCGAGAGTACGTCACCGTCGAGACTCTTGAGGGCGAGAACAAGTACATGGCCGAAGGACATGGCCTCCAGGTGCGTGGGTGAACTGTGCACCGACATTGCCGCTCGATCCTCCCACCCCGCCCCGGGATCGGCCCGGTGTCAGTGCTGCCGTGATACGCAACCAATAGATTCGGTCTGCACTGGATCGTCCACGGCCAACTCAGCTCCGCCAGATGTCGTGGCAGATCTCTGAAATCTCCATGTATTTCAATCTACTATTTGGATCGGTAGGATGCCAAGAAGGGCGTTATCTTCAATAGCTTCCCACCCGTCCTCCATTTGCAGCTGAAGCGCTTCGAGTATGACATGATGAAGGATATGATGGTCAAGGTAAGGGGCGCTACCGGTCGCGCAGCGGCTTGTGGGTGGTGCTGTGCTGTGTTCGTTGCCATGTTGTGTTCTCATTTAACCCACACGCACTGCCAGATCAACGATCGCCACGAGTTCCCCGAAACCATCGAGCTTGATGAGTTCCTGGACCAGAGCAGCGCCCCCGGCCCCAAGCAGACGTATGCCCTCCACGGCGTCCTTGTTCACACCGGCGATCTCCATGGCGGACACTACTGCGCCTTCTTGAAACCCGAGAAGAACGGAAAATGGTTGGTGCCAGCGATCCTGTGGCTCGTTCTTTGGCCGTAGGGGAAGCGGATGATTGGCCAAGACGCCGGGCACTGACATGGCTTGCCGCCCTTCAGGTTCAAGTTTGACGACGATCGGGTCACGCCCGTATCCAACCGCGAGGTCTTTGAGGACAACTTTGGTGGTATTCCCGACGCCAACCCTCAGTTCAAGTCCCAGTTCAGATCCGCGCGACACAGCTCCAACGCCTACATGCTTGTGTACATCCGCCTCGACGACATCGACCATATTCTTGCGCCAATCAGCGAGCACGATATCCCCAGCCACGTTGGTGACGCCATTCAGAGGGAGAGAGAAAAGCTCGATTTGCATAAGAAGGAGCTCGAAGAACGCCACTTGTATCTCACCTTCAAGGCACAGTATCTCCTCTGCAGCAACACCTGCCGAGCTCATTTTTGTGATATATGTGTGAAGGCGCAGACAGCTGCTCGTCGAGCTAACCGTGTTTTACCAACAGGTCATCAACGACGATGCTATCCGAAAACATCACGGCTTCGATCTGTGGAACTTTGAGGAAGCGGACTACCTCGACAGCGAGATTTTCTCCGGACGAATCAAGAAGGATCAGCCGGTGCACAAGTTCAAGGTAGGCACACATGGTGCTTTCCACGGAGCTGGCAGGGATCCGAGTGCGAGACGCTTTGTCACAGAGACTATGAGCTGTATGTCGGTTGGTCTCTGAGCTCTGTGCGCCAACCTTACATTGAACTGCTATCATGCCCAGGCCCTGGTTGCAGAACGCTTCCGTATTCCGCCAGAGCAGATCCGCCTGTGGTCCATGGCCCCCCGCCAGAACAAGACCGTCCGGCCCGATATGCCTATAACGGAGGGCGACGATGAGAACCACACGATGGAGCAGATCCGCGACAAGTTCGCCAAGGGCTCCCATGAGCTGCGCTTCTATCTTGAGCAGCCCGACTCGGCTCTCCAAGGCGTGTCTGGCGGCCAGGTATGTGTACCTCTCGAACCACACTCACACAGCTTCGATTGATCCGGCAGTAGTCTATGACTGCGCAGCAGCGGCGAGTTGCCTGTGAAGCTCTCGATGCTATTTCTGATATGGGGGGGGGCTTTCTTGATTGGGATGACGAGTAGGCTTCCTTCTTCATGCCAAAGGACGAGAACACTCCCGCTGGATACTTCATGATCTTTCTCAAGTACTACGACCCCTTCAAAGCCAGGATGGAGTGAGTCTCAAGCCGACCCACCCTGCTGTTGTCGCTGCTATGTCACACGATCATCTGGGCAGGACCTGTGTGATCTGACCATTTTATGTCCCGTGCGGATACACACAATCTCCTTGGTTGACGCGTATGTATCGAATCACCGCTCAGATTCATCACCAAGTTGTCGGTTAAAAACCGGGAGAGTCGAGTTACAGATGTTATTTCCATCGTCAGCAATGCCATGGAATTGCCTTCTGGCACACCCCTCAGGATTTACGAGGTACGTGGTCTTGCAAGCGTAATGGGCTCAGTCAGTATTCGATGAAAACGGCGCCGAGTCCGCTGCTTGCTGTGTTGGCTGCTGTTACTCACCCCTTCGAATACCGTTTGATTCGACAGGAAGTCAAGCCCAACATGATTGAGCTGATAAAGATCAAGTCGACTTTCAAATCTGCAGAGATCGGCGATGGCGACATTCTCTGCTTGCAGCCAGATCTCACTCCCCAAGAGTAAGTGGCGTCTCTCTTGTCTCTCAGAAGCGGCACTCGAGGACATCGCGTCTATGCGTTGACTGGTGCCGCCTGTCATCAGCGCCGTCCTACGTTTTCCTGATGCTCAAGCCCCTCACCATCCCCCTCCGCTGTTCTCCCGTTTATCTCGGCCTGGGAAACAGAATTGAGCGTCTCCCCGATCCAAGCCTAGCCACAGTCCCTGCCTACTTTGACAGCCTGTTCAACCAGATCACGGTCCTGTTCCGTGAGAGACAGAACAAGGACGGCAAGTCCGACATCCAGCTGCAGCTGTCCCGCAAGATGCCGTACAATGTGGTGGGTAGCACGGGCGATGATGACCACAGGAATGAGGAAATGACCGGCCAAGATCGATCCCGTGCCACAGCCGCTGTCCATTGTTCTGGCTGGGTCGTGGGTGTGAGAAGAGCCGAAGCGGGATAGGAGGGGGAGGCTGGGAGCTGAATCTACCTGCGATCAGTTGATTATTTATATGTCCTGATGTGTGACGAATCCGGTATGATGTCTCTGATCCCAGGTTGCCACCAAGCTTGCCGAAGTGCTCCGCGTCGACCCTCTCCATCTGCGATTCTATCAGACCGATGGCATCCGCGCTCCGATCAAGCACCAGAACATTCTCCTCCAAGAGATGCTGCCGGCTAGTTTCCAGCACGTCGGATACAACAACAGTGGATACTTTGGTGGCGGCTACGCCCACCCCATCCTCGCCTACGAGATCCTCGATGTTGCCATCACCGAGTTCGAGACCAAGCGGATCGTCAAGCTTACCCTGGTGGACCAGCACCAGCACGAGACCGTATGTTCCTCCTTGCCGTCGATGGCTTGGTGTGCCGCGGGGGTGAAGGCAGGGCTTTGTGATCAGCGGCGGCCTGCGCGGTGGCCTGCACGGTGAGAGGATGGACAGTCACAGGACGAAGGACGTTTTTGGAAGGGCGGTGGCAGTGTTCTGAGCTCTGTCGCTGCCATCAAAACGGATTGGTTTGGAGAAATCATATCCCCTCCCCTCCCCTCCCCTCCCTCCGTTGGACTCGATGATTCATCCAGCAGGCATGCTCACGCCGCCACTTTGTGCGCTCGTACCTTACATCCACAGGGCCCTGTCGATGTGCTTATTCCCAAGGAAGCCTCGATCAAAGACTTGGTCTTGACCTTTGCGGCCAAGGCCAACGTCGATCTTAGCCACATCAGCAAGCCGCTCGTTTTCGAAAACCTGTTTGGCAAGTACGGCACCACCTACACCCTTGACCAGCCCGTCTCGAAGATTCCTGACCAAATCCCGCTCTATCTGGAGGTGGGTTGTGCATTCAAACGCAGATCTGTCTTGTTTCCGATCGGGATCCTGCCGCATGTGGCCCGAACGCGCGCGAGCGAGGAACTGCTTTGAGTCGTCTGAACTTTGCTCCAGTGTGTAGCATCGCTGCCCCAACTCGTACTGGTCAAAGATCGAGCGAGCATGCTGACTATTTGTGATCCATGGCGATGGCAGGACACCTCGGTTCTGGATGAAGTTGGACCCGACGATGTCGTCATCAAGGGCTTGCACCTGTCCAAGGAGCTCAACCGCTCCCATGGCCTGCCCTTCCATTTTGTCTGCAAGAAGGCAAGTAGCCCACGAGATCGGCCCCATATTTGCCCCTGGTCGACAGACCAGCTGTTGCCTGGCTAAAGGAGGGGAAGAGTCTCTCTCCTTCCATCGCATCGCATGTCCCTGCGCTTTGCTGCGACCACTCCACACTCCCTCCCTCGCCTCGGCTACACCACGTCTCTAGGATGAATTGCCTCTCCGTCTCCAATCCCGATTTCTCACCATCTTGATGTGTCACCATCTCTTGCAGGGCCTCATGGCGGCCGGAGTCAAGAAGAGCCTTCAAGAGCGCGTCGGTCTGAATGACAAAGAGTTTGCCAAGGTCAAGCTATTCCACGTCCAGGCCAGCCAGGTGAAGCCTATCGAGGATGGTAAGTCCGCGATTGTCTGCTTTTGAAGCGTGCACCGATGATCATGGCAGCGATCCGCTTGGTCCAGCAGAGAGGGAATCAATATGGAGCCGCCCTCGATGCAAGGTTGCATGACGTTCCGATATCAACCCTCCTTCCCATCCTTTCCTTGACAGGCGACATTTTGTCGGATCTGTTCATCAACGAGTTGGACTACCTCGGCTTGGACCACCCCGATCGCAGCGCCAAGACTTTCAGCTACGAAAAGGCCATCAAGATCCATGTATGTAGTCTTGCGTGGCCTCGATCGCAACAGCACAATTCACCTAGAGGACCAGTATCGCGGGGAGAACGAAGGCGGTTGAAGTTGCCAGCCGTTGCGGCGCACTGCCACAGGGGGTTCGCATGAACTGCACACGCACGACGGACGAGACTAACCGAGCTCGTATTATTTCTTTTTGTGACAACTCCAGAACTGAGGGGAGACTGTTGGTTCGCGCCGCAAGCCACAAGCGATTCCTACTCTCCTTCACCCCACCCACTCAACACGGATCATCGATTTGTGGGAAGCATTGTGTGGGCGGAGACTTTATCCAATCGAAAGCGTGCGTGGAGGTGAGCAGGGTATAGGGTATTGAAGGGAAAGCCTGCCGAACGCAAAGAAACCGACACATCCAGCCTCTCCCCCCCCCTCCAGCATGGTAGCTGTTACCGGAGCCGATGTACGTGTGCAAGTTGCTTGCACTCTTTTCCGTACACTTGCAAATCCAAAATAAAAGATAACGGAGCGACGTAAATGGATGTATTGCAGCGGCGTGGTGGCAACGAAGGTGAGGAAGGAGAGGAGCTGTGTGGATGAGACGGGCAACCGAATCGGGTTCATCGACGCGGACGAGAGGGAAGAAAAGGAAACAGCGGAAAACAGGGGCGTTCGATGCCACCAAGCAGCGTGAGCATGTGTGCGGGATGCAGATACAAATGGGGGCAGACACAGATGAAAACAGCAGATCGAGCCACAGACAAGGTGTCGTCCAACAACGAGAAACCAAAGCAGAAGGGAAGGAGGACGCAGGATAGGGCCACCATCCACAATTCACAGCCCACCCGAATCCATCCACCCGCTTCGTATGCCAAGTGACAGGTGCGGGTCACAGATCATCAACTTTGCTTGAGAGGGGAGAGGAGATGGAAGAAGGGAGGAGAGAGACGAGAGACCTCCTCCTCCTCCGCTCGTTTCGAGCTTTCGCTCAGTTCTTCTTTTTCTTGTCGGTGCCATTGGGCTTGTTGCGGGCAAACTCGGTGAGCTCCGCAACCAGCTTGCGGAGGGCATGGAGATTGGCGTCGCCAGAATAGTAGACGTCGCAGCTCGGGAGGCGATAGCTTGTGCCGGTCTCCGACACCAGCGCAAACTCGATCCTGAAGCGAGCAGCAAGAGGAGCGAGGGTCAGTACCAAACAGAGACCGGCGGGGAGTGCAAGAATGGCTATGGATTGCTGTGGATTGCTGTGGATTGCTGTGGATTGCTGTGGGTCATTTGCTTACCTGTAGCCATAGACTCCCCGACGAAGTTCCACGCGCACATTTTCGACCTGCGGGACAAGCAATCGCCAGACAGATGTTGCTTTAGAGCCAGTGCAAGATGTACCAAAGCCAATATCCTGATTGCAGTTGCGAGATCGCAGCTCGGATGTGCCGTGGAGGACGAAGCAACGAGGGTACACATACGGAGACAAGCTCGTCCAGCTGGATACCAACAGGAGTGGATAGAGGGACGATCGAGTCAGCAAAATCTCGGATCGACAGATCGGCCCACGCCGTAAGAATCATGTTGGACACACAGCCAGCCAGCCAGCCAGCCACATCGCCCAGCGAGACATCCAAAAGCAGACACTGCATGGGGCTGGAGAGGTCTGGCCTGAGATGCACGATGGTGCCGCAGACCAAACTCGGCTCGCAACATCGCTCCAACCGTCAGATTTAGTGCTACACCCCCCCCCTGCACGAGGTCCCGTGGACGACGACGTACCGGCGCTCCTTTGATCCACTTGGTGCGGATGAGGTCCGCCTTCTTGACCTTGATGGTGTTCTTCTTCTGGTTAATGGTCACGGTGAAGGTATCGTCGAGCACGGCGAAGGCGACATACAGTGCCACGCTGGCATTCAGCGCAATCTTCCACCAGTGACGGGTGATGTCAAAGTTTTCGGTGCGCATCGTCGAAAACAGGATAAACAGCAGGCCGATCAACAGGACCACAGCCGACCAGACATAGTCGCGGGTTTCGGGGCCGTTGAGGCGGTAGACGAGCAGCGACGAGCTCTGGCGCACCACCCTGGGCTGGATGACCTTGTTGCTGAGCTTCTTCCACAGGACCCGGAGTTGGCTGAACATGGCTGGCAGACGACGATTGAGCGACTCGGCGATTTGGAGATTCGGGCGGGCGAGCGAGTGGGCGGGCGAGCAGGCGGGAGCGAAACAGGCTTCGGGGCGACGAGTGGCGACCGATGCAAGATCGCAAGCCGCGGGTTTTATATGCCGGCACGCCCCTTGCCCGTCGCGGCCTTTGTCGCCGAGCGCGTGCGCCGGACGGGCGAATCGCGTGTCGGGGCTCGCAGCACGTGCGCGCCGGCCGCTTGTCCCAGGCGGCTCATGGCGACGGCCAGGCCGACCGCGGCTCCATGCGCCTGGGCTTGATCTTGGAACGGCCTCCGATGGCAGAGAAACAGGGACACTGTCCCGATTTTAGGTTTTTTCTTTCCTGGAATGACTATACAGCAAAAACAAGATCGCTGGTTACCGCCGCCAAGGCTCCCAGCAAACAACGCATCAGCAAAACAACGCCTCGTCGGGCGGCATCGAGCAGTAAGGCACAGTCGAGGGCGCATATCACAGCAGCAGGTGAATCATGAGAGAGAGAGAAGAAAAGAAAACGGCCGCAATGAACATTGGTGCGGAGATGGTGTCGACGAGGTGATCTTCCGTTGCAAACAGGATGGCAACTTCAGGACGCGCGCGTTGTTCCTGCTTGGTATCTTTCAGACACAATCCGTCGCATCAAAGTCGGTGAGAATCCGTCCGGGATCGGTGTCGCTCAGCGATCGGGCCGCCTCGGTTTGGTCCATGCAATGCTCATCGGTGACCAGGCGCGCTGGTGCCCCTATCGGAACTCGTATACTGTAACACGGAGCATTCTTAGTAGTCGCAAGCACAGCACGACGTCGCCGAGATGCATCTACTCGGCTCGTCAACCAGGTTTCCAGAGACAGTGTGATGGGTAAAGGTCTCACAGACTGTGAGCAACAGCACTCGAGCTTACCCCCAAAGTGCCGCTCGGACTGGTGGCGGAGGCTCAGTCGTTGGAACTTCTCAGAGCTCTTGTGCTGTTGTCGCAGAAGATAGCGCCCCACGATGATGTGGTGAGGAAGATGTTGGATACCGATAATGAGTTAAAGGGTAGCGGGTATCAGAGCGCGTATCAGCGGAAACTGGAAAGACTCGGATCGGCCACAACAAGACCAGCGCCGAGTGGGAGTATCCGGTCAATGTGCTGCCTTTGCCAGACTCTGACAAAATCTCGCCAAAGGCAATTTGTTTCGAGACTCGGGCTGGCGGCGCAGACAATACCGACATAGTAGTATCCAACAAGTGTCCCAGCGGTTCGGTCGTACGCAATGTAATAGAAACCTGCAAACGAGGCACCGGTGATGGTCTCGATACGGTGGTCTGGGACCAGAAAGTGCTCCTGCAAGTACAGCCCGTTTGTCGTGAGATTAGAGGCTGAGCAAGTGGTGGTGACGAGTCCCTACGGTTGCCCATGCACTCAAACACGGCGATGCCTTGCCTTCCATCGCATAAAGAGTACATTCGCATTCGTGTTGTCGCACTGAAAGTTCTCTGAAGCAAAGCACTCTTGGTAGGGCTCGAAGGCTGGGAACTTTGTCTATCCATAGCGGTGTGCGGGCAGGAATCGTCGGTCGAAGTATTAAATCCCATCGCCATTCCGTTGGACAGTTGGTTAGTGGATTTGCATCGTTTGATGGAGTTGATCGGCCAACGAAGCACCAGCGGCGAGCGAAGAGGTGTCGTGAGTCAGCCAGTTGCACGCTTATGATGCCGATGTGCCGACGTGCCGATGGACTATCATGCCCGCATCGGACACAGAGACATCGAAAGTTGGCCAATTGTCTTCCAGCCTGCAATCCGAGTCTCACCCCCCCTTGACACTGCCTCAGAGCTCCAATGACACGAAGCCATACCCAGTGCATGCGATCGACGTCGGCATCGGCATCCCACTTCTTGGTCAGAAACGAGTAGCGATCGCCGACAATCTCTGCCTCGAAGAACGTGCAAAGCGTGGGCCATTCCTGGATGGCCGCCGGAAAGCAGAGACGCTACGATCAGATCAAGGCACAGTTCCATGCGATACAATGGCTGCAGCAACAATGTCGAACGGCGATCGCACTCGGGCCTGCAAAGGAGAAGGAAAATATGGGCTCCCTGGGTTGGATCATGGCACCCAGACACACCTCTGTAAGTCCCTCGATATGCAGATATCCGCAGAGGAATGACGTGTCCAAATCGACATGCTGTGGAGTGGAGGAGACCTTCCGATTGTTAGCCGAGGATCAGGTGTGGATGGATCGATAGAGTGCCCACATGGCGGTGGAACGACACAGGATCGATCCTTGAGATGCATTCACATGAGTCCGGCTGGCGAACGACCACAGTTTCGCCGAATCGCAGGATCGGCATGTCCGGAGCGAGGACATTCTCGTATCTGCTCCGCTCAACACACCTGTATCTGGACTGTAACATTGTAGCTACAACGACCGCTCTTCTGGGTGCCCTGAAATCGGGAGCCCGAGTAGAGATGGCGGCATTCGCGGTTTCGGAGCCGAGCCTTCTGGGTCGGAGAGAGGGTATGTGGGGTGTCTGGGGACGGATCGGTCGCGGGCGGTGGTAAGGGGCGATTCCAGTTCATGGAGTGCAGCTGGAGCCGGCGTTTTCGCTCTGCGGTGCCGGGCATCGAAGGCTGGATGAGAGAGGCGAGAGCCTGTGCCAAGCTGAGCAGAGGTACGGTCTTGGGGAGAGGGGCGATCGAGCAGCCGGCTCGATTGGCGGGAAGGTCGAGGACACTATGAAAAAATTTCTTGTTAAAAAAATGAGCGAGAACGAAAAAACGCGCTCTCGGAGCCACCTCGGTCGGCGAGAAGAGCAGTCTCTGGCGAGAGACCCCCGAGGGAAGGCGAGAAGCCTCTCGCCGTCATACACACACACACTTTGCACACACACACACACACACACACACACACACACACACACACTTTGCAAGGGAGTCAAACACCTCCCATCGACCATCCCAAGAGGGATGGCAACCCCGAAGTGGACTGCCCAGAATATGGGCGACCCGGCATCCACTGTCGAAATGCACAAGGAACAGTGCGAAATACTTACAGTCTATCCAGAAAGAAACGGGACAGATCCCATTTCTGGCTTCAGATGTCTGAACCCGCTGACTGACTTGTAGGCCCAGCGGGCAGGCCATGGCATTGCACTCCTGTCTTCGTTGGCAATCGCTTTGTTTTGGTTGGTTTGGGAAGCACAGTCTTGAATACACCCGGTCGATCTCCTGTGGCGATGATCGACTGGCATACCGAGATCATATTCCTGGCTGCATTGATGTCTCGATCCCACAGCGTATGGCAGCTTGTACAGCTCCGTACATAATGTGGTTTCTCGACATCAAGATACTTGGGTGACTCGAGTCGCTTGGCTTCCCGGCAATGTGAGCACACCTGGGACGTGTTGAACTCGTTCACCGAGCACACATGGATCTTGGAGACGGATCGGTCTGGTGGTCGTCTCTGGTGGTGGGTGAACTGCTCAAAGTACTTGGCGAACCTGAGTCTCCGTGGGCTGGAAGCATATCCCTTCCCCTGTTTCCAGATGCATTCCCAAAGGCAATCACCACTTCGGTCTCCTTCAGTGCCTGGTCGATGACTTGCTTGCACATCTCGTGGACGGTGCGCTGTCGCTTGCCGTAGAGATCGAGTCGCTTGAATCGCCGTCGCCGGGTCAGGCTGAAGTACAGCTGTTTGTCCAGCATGTCTCCAGTGAACACATGGCGAATATATCGTAAGAAAGAAGGCACTCCAGGGATCTTGGGGCTCGGTGTGGTGCTCATCCATTTCTGCAGACCAAGGATCTTGTGGGTGCTCTGGATCCACTTGGTCGCTTGGGTGGTGCCAGTTCGATGCTGGTACTCCTTGTTGGAGAACGACACGATCTTCTCGTTGGCACGCTGTGCCTTGGTCACCTTGACACCGTCTCGCTCCTGGATGGATGGTTGACCGGGTGCTCGAATGACAACGGTGAAGATCGATCCTACTCCAGGGTCGATCCCAATCCATGTGGTCCGAGAGTCGTCAATGGGACCGACCCTGGTCTGGATCCTCTGCTCGGGAGTGAGTGCGCTCGTCTTGTCCGTGGATTTTGGTTTGGCATCAGGGTCCTTCTTCTCCAGGATCTTGTACTTGAGTGTGGTGATCGAGCACCCGACTCCATCGGTGGTGATCACGCAACCAAAGAGCTGCTTCCCCTCTTTCCTGACACCAAAGAGTCTCGGATCCAGCTTGAAGTTGGTCTGCCAGAAGGTCTCTTGCTTTGTGGTGCCATTGACCTTGGTCTTCAGGTCGTCCCACTTGAGACCAGTGCCAGTCTGGTATCCAAGGATTTCCCACAGTGCTCTGGTGTCGAGCTTGATGTACTTGGCTCTGGCATCGCAGAGCGGGACCAAGGTGCACTGTGCTCGAGGGACATTGTGTCGCTTCTTGGTCTGGGCAAGTCGATCGGTCAATCGCTTGATCCGCTTCGTGTTGATGGTGATCTGCTTGCACACCTCCTCGTGCTGGGTCTGGAGTGCTTCGAGTCTGTCAGCCCCGATGTGGTGGATGGGTTGACACATCTCCTCGTTCAGTCGCCCGCGCTCTCCTTTCAGAACATCGGTATCCCTCGCGAGCCTGGGAATGATCATCTTCTGAAAGACCACCATGAAGAGGGCCTCCTTCAGGTGGGTCAGGCGAGAGACTTCACTGGCCAGAATTGGTACGACTTTGTACAGGTCCTGGTGGCTTTCGTACCGAAACTCATACAACTGGTCGGCATGGTGGGCGAAGGATTTTCTCAGATCACCGAGGAGTGTCTTGGAGAGGGGATTCTCCATCAGCTTCATGCACTCATCGACGTGTGTGTGCCGTTTCACACCCTTGGGAGCAATCAGGGCCAGGTTGCAGTATCGACGGAGGAGAGACCAGTATCGATCGAGAATATGGGTCTCACAGTTGACTGCATAGGTCTTGACAGCCAAACCAAGGACCTGTGACCCAGTGCCCTTTGGGAGGGACACTGGAGGCAGGATACACGATCCACTCCATGTACTTCGGTACATCTCATATGTGTCGAGGATGTGCCTGTCTTCTTGAGTCGTGCCTTTCTTGGCACTCACTGTTCCTGTCTGCACCATATTGAAGCATTTTCGAACAAACGCGGGTTCACTCGACGACACAGTGGGGAGGGTGATGCCCTCGTCCAAGCACCGCCTGAGATGCAGCTCCAGGAGACGAGATGCTTCGTACTGCACTTGAGTCATGGCTCGGACAGTCTCCTCGATCTTGTCGTGCAAGGTGTCGTTCTTGATGATGGCATCGAGAGTGCACTTGATGATTGAGTACTCGGCCTTGACTTGCTCGTTTGGGCCACAGTCAGGCAAGGTAGAGCTCCAGAGTGTTATAGAAACGGCACTTTGGGGTGTTGCTTCTGGTATGACCCTCTTCCCCGCACGTGGCACATACAGGGACCTTGGGTGCTTGGCTGACCATTTCAGCGACCGAGGCAGGGCTGCTGTCGATTCTGGCTGTGCACTTCTTGGTGAAGGGCCTAACATGGTTGGTCAGGCCACAGGCACGACACGATTTGATGACGGGTTTCTTGGCCACAGGAGAGTCATTGGGTGATCCCGGGTCGGGATCGGGGGGTGTCTTTCGCTTGGGAGCCATCTGGCGAGAAAATAGCAGCGATGGCTGGTTCTGCCCTTGGGGAAGAAAAATTCTCCTCAAAACCAGCGCATTTTGGGCTGGCAGTGATACTGTGCAGTGGCGTCCTTGATTCAGATCCAGAAACGCATCGCTCGCTCAATCAGTCGTGGGAAGACATCTTGTCAAGGTGAGTCTTGCCTGATAGCCAAACGATCATGTCATCTCGCTGACACACAGCCACGCTTGACTAGGTTTCCAACCAGAGAGATTCAGATGGTGGTGGTTCTTGTCCGCAATCGGAGTGGAGCTTCCAACAATGATACAATTGGTCATTCCTCCACACCAATTGCCCACCACCACCGTCAATTGGCTCAAGGTGATACCAAATGCCGTCAACCGACCATGGCCGGATTCCAACTATTGCTGCTCCACATACAACGTGACTTTCAGGTGACCGAGATGAGCAGCCGCCAGGGGGCCGGAAAAAATTGATAGTGGGAGTCTCTCGGGTGACCAGCGAGCGGGGCGGGACGGAGCGGGAGGGACTCGCTCGCTTTGGCCGCTCGCTTTGGCTGCAGACGGAGGGGATTCGCAGCCAGAGTGCTCATCGAAATTGATAGTGATATCCGCTGCAGATGCTCGTTGGGAGCGACGGATAGCGGATGATTGGGCTCGAGGCCGATGGGTCTAGTCCTCTGGAACTTATATCCCTGGGTGCCCGTCGAATCGAGTCGGTCCAAGACTCTAATATCATCGGTCAAGCCCATCACCGCAGTGCGAGCGCTCATCGATGGCATCCGGCAGACGATCGATCGATCGACGCCATTCAATCCACACATTTCGCCTACAATCAATCTAGAAAGAAACGGGACAGTCAATCTCTGGCATCAGCGACACAAGTCTGCTGATCCATCCAGTGAGAAAGCCATGCGATTGTTTCTCGACCCGTTTATATTGAATTGGCTCTACACGTTATTCAGAAAAAAAAAACGGGACAATATAGCCGTTTCCATGAACATGTAGTATGTGCTGTGCTTGCGTCAAGCAAAGCCACAAGAAATAAAACAGATCACTTTGGCAGCCTCCGAGTGAAGACCGCCGGTCGCTCTCCGATCTCCACAATCGACCTGCATACTGTGATCATGTTGCGCGCCGTATTGACGTCGCGATTCCACACTGTCCGGCAGCTGGGATTCTTGCAGCTCCTGACAAAGTGGGAATTCGCAACACTGGGCGCATCGAGTCCTTCCAACCGAACTGGCTCCAGGCACTTGGTGCACACCTGTGAGGTGTTGAACTCGTTCGTCGAGGCCACCTTGACGCTTCCGTGAGGGTGATTGGGACGGCGTCGGTGGTGCTCGAACTGCTCAAAGTACCGAGCAAACCGCTGCCTCCGAGGGCTGGATGCATAGCCCTTGCCCTGTCGCCATGACGCATTGCCAAAGGCGATCACCACATCGGTCCGTATCGGGGTGTGCTTCAGGACGGCCTTGCACATCTTGTCAACGGCCACTTGGCGCCTCTTGTGGCCCGTGAATCGATGGTGACGGGCCTTCTTGCCAAGGTGGAAGTCGAGCTGCACTCGCAGCTCCGGTCGCAGGACATGGGTGAGATGGACTTTGAAAGCCTCCGAGGACGACACCTTGGGCGAGGGGGTGGTCGACATCCAGGTCTCGATGCTGAGTCGATACTTCATGGTGTTGTGCCAGTCGGTGTTGGACGTATGGCCACACATTTGCTGATAGTGACCATTGGAGAACGAGACCACCTCGTCTTGGTGGCCCGGTGCTTGGATGACCGCCGTGAAGATGGAGCCGACTCCAGGATCGATGCCAATCCAAGTGGTGCGGTTGGGGTTTGGGTCACCGATGTGGGCCTGGATGCGCTACTCGGCAGTCGGAGGAGGCTCGGAGGTCTCGGTGCGATCGGTTCGACGCACAAACTTGACGAGACCGATGGTGCATCCAATGGCATCGGTGCTGATCTCGTAGTTGAACAGTTTGTGATTGATATCCCGGTCACGGAAGAGGGAACTACGCAGCTTGAAGCAACTGCGCCAGAGACGATCCTGGTTGTTGACACCGTCCTCACCTTCTTCCTTGAGCTTGTCCCGGGTGAGTCCAAGGCGCTTCTTTGGACCCAGGAGTTGCCAAAGAGTGACCGTGTCAATCTTGACATACTTGGCCCTTGCAGTGCATAGAGGAACTATCGTGCACACGGCCGGAGGAGTGTCGAGAGCGAGCTGCTTCAGTGCCCACTTGATCCTGGATGCCAGCTTGTTGATCTTGGACTTGGTGGTGCCGAGCTCAGACTTGGCCTTGGTGAACCTCTTGTCGTCGGAGGGAATGCCTCGGGCAGTGAGCTCGTCCAGCTTGGCCTGGCGCTGCAGCTCGGTGACTCGGAGGGCGGGCATGTCACAGTCGATCCACTTGTGGACATCGTCGACCATCTTGTACCGGGCGAGGATTCCCACATGGTGTGAGAGGCGGTGGAGGGCCCGGAAGCGGTCCTGGTCGCTGCTGTACCGAAACTCGTCCAGGACGTGGCCAAAGTCTGGATAGAGGAACTCGAGATCGGCCTTGGGTGGAGTCTGCCCTGGTTTCTCGAAGAGCTCGAGACAGGCCTCGATGGCTTCGTGCTTATGCTTGTTGGCTGGGAAGACGGCAGCACAGAAGCGGCGAAGGAGTCGCCAGTAGGCCAGGTTGAGGTGGGTGGTGCAGTTGGTGGCATAGGCATTGACAGCCAGGGTGAGAAGCTGACTGTGAGCACCATCAGGCAGACGAGGGGCCGGAGGCAGGTCTGCGTGCCGAGTGGTCTGGTAGTCGCGAAAGGAAGCGACCAGATGCTCGTTGTATTTCTCATTGTCCCCGGTCGGGGAGAGGGCACCGTCCTGGACGATCTTGAAGCATTGACGGATGAATGCAGGGGTGGCCCTGGAGATGACAGGGACGGGAAGATCCTGCTCGATGCACCGGAGGATGTGCAGGTTGAGCAGCCTGGATGCCTCGAACTGGATCTGGGTCATGGCCTCGACGGTGGCCTGGATCTTGTCGCGGAGAGCGGGATTGAGACAACAGCCATCCATCGTCTGCTTGAAGCAGCTGAACTGAGGGGCGGATGACCTTCCATCCACGAGTGGGACGACAGAACTCTTGAGGGGCCGGTATTTTGGACACTTGCTGGTGTTGCAACGTTCGTGATCGGTGCCATCGCACTTGGGACATCGCTTGCCGGTACTCGAGGAAGTAGATGGACCAGGCTCGGTGGGATCGACATCCATTGGATCTGCAGAAGCAGTGGTGGTGAGCGACGGAGCAACAGACGACCAAGCATGCGTGGGGTCAGAATACGAACCAGAGACAGGCTCCGACTGTGACTTGGCTTTCTTGGGCCTGGGTGGCCGAGGCTGGCCATCACCGGTACCCTTGCGCTTCGGAGGCATGGGGACAGAGGATGCTGGATGCCTGCCAGTGGTACTGGTCAGAACAGAGACTTTTTTATCGTACAATGGCGCGATGATCAGATCAAGGCGAGATGATGGAAGAAAGCAGCAGGACGAAGGTGCGGCATTTATACCCGAGAGCAGGAACCCGTCTTTGCGGGCTGGTTGGGGAAGTGACCCTGTTCAAAAATCGCCGAGAGGTTCAAGCCAGGGATGTGAACGTGAAAATGGCGGCGTGATTGGGGGACTAAACCCCAAATCGGTGGGGACTCAACCCCAAAGAAGTTCTCGATGGGATTGAAGTCGGGCGAGGCAGGTGGGGTGAAGATCACTGACCATCCTCGGCGATCGATGCAGTCCAGGACAGGCATTGTCTTGTGCATGCTGACATTGTCCATCACAATCACAGAGTCGTCTGGGAAGCTCGCTCGCTCAAAGAACTCGACCATCGAGTGTGTCTTGAATGATGTGGGGATGTACATGCGATGCAGCACACCAGAGTGGTTGATGGCAAATGCAGCCGAGACAGACTTGTGCTTCATGTGATTGCGCTAGCGAAGCGAAGCACCCTTCGGCGAGTATCCGTAAAGAGGGAAAATGGATCTCCTGATCCCTGTCTCGTCGACAAAAACGAATCGCCGCGGGTCGATGGAGCGGACCTGGTCCCTGAACTGTGCCACTCGCTCATCCAGTCGCTTGGACTTGTAGAGGTGTGTTGCCCTCTTGTGTGAGTGACCTGCTCGGTGGATGGCAGTGTGGCAGAGTGAGAGTGATACTTTCCTCTGGAGGATGGACTCGAGCTTGCATCGCAGCACAGGACCAGTCTGGAACGGGTCCTGTTCAATCAGGGTGCGAATGACTGGACATGCCTGCTCGAAGAAAGTGGATCTGCGAGCTGTGACCCGGGATGGGTCATCCAGCTTGCATCCTCGGTGCCATCGATGGATGGTGCTCTTGGATACACTGAATATGGAGGCGACCTTACGCAGGCTATGGATGAGGGCGTAGCATCGCAATGCGGCGGTGCGAAAGTCGGATGTGTGGCGAATGGTCATGGCCAGCGCGCGATAACATTGGGTAACAAAATATTCGATGAATGGTCAAAAACCCGGGTGTCCCGTTTTTTTGGATTGCCTGTAATAAACCGCTGTATCATCAGCATCCAATCACGACTCGGCCATTTTTCGAGAGCCGTGGCCGGAGCAAGGTCCCTTCATAGGCAAGCTTGATACTCTCCAGATTCATCGCTGCCCGCTACTTTGCCTGGGCCGTCGCCTGAATGCCTATTCCCTCTCCCCATATCGTTTCTCAATCCTGCTTCTCTGTCCATCCTCTCTCTTCGTCACCCAAATATGAAAGTCCGTATCTCCGTCGGTACGTGGAACATGAACGGCAAGGTCGATTTCCAATATCATTCTCCCAAACTCGGGTGCTATTATGCAGGTGGACGACGAGGCAAGTCCCAAACAACGTATTAGTCTGCTCCCTGTTTCTCATGATATCTGTACTCTTTGCTCGCTTCGTTATGCAGATCCCACAAACCCAGAACATGGACAGTTTCCTGTCGACGAGGGATGGCACCGACGGCTTTGACCTCATTGTCGTTGGGGTGCAGGAATGCCAAAGAGCGATCGACGCCTCGTCCGCCCAGGACGCTTGGGATAAAAAGCTCCTCGAATATATTCTCTCCGACCACTGCCTTGTGAAGTCGGAGTCGCTTGGAGGAATCCACATCGCTGTGTTTGCCAGACACGAGCACATCGCCCTGATATCCAGTAGGTCGACGCCAGCGCCGTTTCTTGCACAGTTCAGCATCGACCCCGACGATCACAGTGCATCGTCAGTTGGACCATTGCCCCGGAGCCACATCCGTTCTTTGCACCGCAAACTCCAGATCGGATGCAAAAACACATTCTCATCCATCCATCGTCCACATGCAGACATCCATACACATCGCGTTCCCACAGGCGTCGGGAACGTCTTTGGCAATAAGGGCGCCGCCTCGATCTCGTTCACATTCGCCGGATCGTCGTTTCTGTTCGTCAACAGCCATCTGACGGGTAAATACCCCGCCTGTGTCCCTGGATTGCACTCGGAGCCACCCTGGCCTATATTCTGACCCTGTAGGCACAACACTGATACCACCCCCGTCGAGTAGCGCACCAGGAAAAGACGGTCGAGCGCAATCAGGACTACCTTCGCATCCTCGAGAACCATCCACCTTTGCAAAAATTCTCGCTTGTTGTCTGGTTCGGGGACCTGAACTACCGAGTCGAAGGAACTCGCGCAGTTGCCAACAAGCTACTCGCCGACGGCGCTCTCGAAGTGCTGCTCAATAACGACCAGCTGCAAACTGAGATGAAGAAGGGAAACTGCTTCCATGGCTTCATCGAGGCACCCATTCACTTCCTGCCCACATACAAGCTTGACGTGTATGTATTCATGCCATAGATTGGGAATCACTTTCCGCTGATGGATACCGCCCCCAGTGTCCTGGCAGCACAGGCGGCGACTCTACGAATTGGATGTGCCTCTGATGCTTTCGGGCCCTCAATCTGCAGTATCGTCTGCGGCACGCCTTGGACTAATGGCCACATGCGACTCTTGATTGAACTGCTGTCGTCAGCGACTCTGCTGCTCCTTTGCCGCCGCAGGCGGCCCCAGAGGAAACCGACACGGTCCCTCCATACGATTCTTCGGCCAAGCAACGGATTCCCTCCTGGACCGATCGCATTCTGTTTTGCTCCGAGCCCTGGGTCACGGTCACTCCGCGGATATATACCAGCTGCCCCAAGATTCGCGGATCGGATCACCAGCCTGTTCGGGCCGTCCTGGAATGCCTCATCCATCGGAGCTCGGTTTCAAATTTCCATAAACAAAAGCAGCAGCCCAGCCGAGTCTGCTTGGTCCAGTGAGTTGCAGCAGTAGGCTGTACCTGAGAATGAGCACGGTCTCGGAGCAGCATGTCTTGAATATATTCGTCGACAATATGTGGTAATGGTCGGATTATCCAGCGTGATCAGAACGGAACAGCACCTGATTGCGTACTCTCGCACTTCGGCCCTGCCTGCTGTCGGATTGGGTGAGTATAGTCGTGAGATACAATACGTATTCGGTCGTCTGGATAAAGCGTTGTTCTCAGTGTCAAGACAGTCGCTCGCTGTGACTTGGATGCCTCTGGTAGCAGATCTAGTTGTATTCGCATCCAGAGAAACGTGACAGCCCTGGTTCATAACCGGGTGTTCCGTTTCGTTCGGGGTGATTCGACATCCCCTCGATACCTCACGACCAGGTTCCATCGCCCGCCATCAAGTTGGCGCCCAGAAGCGCCATTGGCGCTTTCCTGATTGTCTGTCTGCCCTTCCTGTGCTGTTCTGCCTTGCCCTTCCAGTGCTGTATCGTTCTGCCTTACCTTGCCTGTCTTCCCATCAAGTAGCTTTCTCCTTTCTCCTGATCGAAGCAATCCTTCGAGCCCGACACGCGCACTTTCCTTCCCAACTGCCCAGCATCTACCCCCTCGCAATGATGGCCGAAAAACAAGGCGGTAAAACCCAAATCAGCCCAACATCGCCCGAGTTTGCGTATCTCGAATACAACCTGCAGCTCACGCTGCATTCCTCCACGGCCAAGATCGTCAGCGCGTTCGCCATCTCGAACCCGCACCTGGGCAATCAGTTCGAAAGGAGATGCAAGGCAAGCTATGCGTTGCTCCGCGCCGGCAACTGGCACGATGGTGATCAGCTCGCAAAACCAGCCGACTGTAGACTTTCCAACCCACCAACTCGATCGCTTCAACGTGACCAGATTTCTAACATCCGCGCCCCAAATTGCCTCCCGATCGATCGTGTTTGGGCGCGATGATCGTCCATGATAGGACATCTTGGTGCTGCCATGCTGGGTCGAGAGCTCAGAGTTGATTGGATCCAACACTGAGGAGGAGGTCATTCGACGGGGGTTTTATCTCACTGGTCAAGAAGGAATGAAGTTTGCCGTGGGTAGTCTCCTCAGGAAGATTCGCGCGGTCGATGGTGAGAGCCCACAGCGAACAAACGCATGCAACGCAACGCTGCCTCGGGACTCGGTGGGAACTCACGCGCTGCACACATTTGCAGGAGTTAAGGGTCAAGGCGGCGACTCGGCAAAGAACCTGCGCAAGGCCATCTTTTGCCGCATCGGCGTTGGACGAGCGTACGTCTCCAGCGAGGCTGGATTGGACAAGAGGGCCATTCCAGATGGTTACGATAGCTTCTACATCCATGACGGTACGAGCCAAAGCCTGCTTCTCTGGGGATTGGAGCGGTGCCGACAATCACCGAGATTGACTTTCCTTGCGCCGGCCAGACGACCAGTCGAACAGCAACTCTGTCACCAGCGAGGGATACTACCATGAGTACTATCTCAAATCTTCGGCGCAGGTCTTGCCCCAGTATCTGATTCACTACGACTACGACGCCAGGCGGGAAGTGGCCTCGCGCGAGGTTCGGCCAGCTCGCTGCAGAATCGATATAATGTCAGCAGGAGATCGCCCAAGCTGCTTGTCCTGAACCACAGTCTGCCTCGTCCACGCCCGCCAGAAATCCAAGTGCGACAATTGTGAGAAGGAGGCCGCCGTCGTTTACTGCCAGTCCGACGCTGCCAACTTGTGCCAAGATTGCGATGCCCAACTCCACGTTTCCAAGCTGGCCTCGCGGCATGTTCGCACGCTGATCGGGAAGGTAAGAGAGCGCCGTCGACACCTTAGGGGTTATTTGAAGCAGACCGAATAGCGGTGCGTATTCCGGTCAGTGTTACTAGCGCGAGCACCGCACTCACCCCTGACTTTTGTTGTGAATGCCTGGGGGGGGGGAACCAGGGTGCCGATGTCTTTGGACACTGCCGTCACCACCCCGAGAAGAAGATCGAGTTCTTTTGCAGCCAATGTCATGTTCCAGTCTGCGTCTACTGCAAGATGGTTGGCAATCATGCCAACGGAGAGGCGGCCAAGCATCAGCTCGTCAGCGTCTCGGAGGCATACCACACGGTGCTGGAGGAGGCTCAGGCGGTATGAATGACATCTGCACGCCCGTCGCTTGATGGATGGACTCGCATTTGGCCTCTTGACTCACTCGCCTGGGCCTCTGGCACCAAACCTATAGCACGATCCGATTTTGCATGCCCGCAGGTCCGAAATCACCAACCAAATCGCCTGCATCAATGCGCGTGCCAGGGCTGTTGAGAAAATGGCCTGTGTGATCGAAGGACAGATTGAGGAGATTTACAAGAAAGCGATGCTGGAGCTCAAGACTGCCGCCCAGAATAAGGTGGGGCTTCTTCCAGAAGGCCGTGGCCGTGGTGATTTGCCAGTTCAAACGTGGTGCCCCAAGATCGAGTGATGCCACTGGCCAGACCTTGACAACCCCCCCCTGGATACCCCACCATGCTCAAAGCTGCTGCCTCTGACCCTCCTGCTTTCATCCATGCCCCATCCAACATGTTCTTGGATAATATCCGTCCCTCCCTCGGCCACTGACGGTGGACAAACACATTCTGAACTCTCCACGATTCCGTCACAGCTCAACGTTCTGCTCGGCGATGAAGTCGAACTCAAACGGCAGTTTGGCGAGATTGCGATGCTGGAGGAGTTTCTGAAGTACCAGCAGTCTGGCGAGGCCACCCAGTTCCTCTTCAGCTGGGTCAGGCACCAGCAGCTCCGCTCCGAGCTGCACGACTTTAAATTCTTCCGCGAAGACATTGATGTCGCACTGGACCTGAAGGTGGGCGGAGAGTGGGTTGCTGGTCGGTGCGGTTGTGTTGGCGAAGCACTTGATTTGGTTCAAGCAGCCTAGTTGCTTTGCTGGAACGGGTAAAATCGCTCACCCGAAGCTCCGTTTGACGCAGGTTGTCGGTGGCATCACGATTGCGACGGAGGAAAGCTTCAACTCTACTCCAGGGCCGCATTCACCGGCCGTCCCCTCGGGCTCGCCCAGCAAGTGGGCAAAGTCCAATGCAAACCTCAGCCCCGTAAAAGATGTAAGCGTTCAGTTGGCAGCGGTGAAGGCTTGCACGACGAGACAGCGCCGTCGCAGCTTGCCGATTCTCACACAGACTCGCTCAGGAGCCCCGACATGCCCCTCGACTCCCAGTTTCGAAGATGGGTCAGAACGAGCGCCGTGTGCAGAGAAGAACCTCGGTGAGCCTCGAAAGCAATCCGGCGAGGCGCGAGGATTGGATGGATGTTGATATACTGGCTCATCGCTTAACCCCCATCGGATATTCAACCACGATCGCTTGGACGATACCCATCCGCCGATAGGACTTTTTCGCAGAGACCCTGGGGACATTTGACCAACTGAGCATGAATATTGCCCCTTCGGCCGAAGATCTTGGTTATGGCGGCTATGACGACGCCAGCTCCGTCAATGACGAATGATGAGGACAATGTCAGGAGAAAGCTGCGTTGGAAAACGCAAGCCAGTTGGCCGGACAGCAAAAGATCGAGAGCGCAAGCACTGCTCTTTGAATGAATGGAAGTAGTTGCTGACTATAATGCACCGCGCATATCGACTCCGTTGTACCCGCAAAGAGCAAGTTGCAAAATGCAGAGATGCAGAATACAAGGATGCAGAGATGCAGAATACAAGGATGCAGAGATGCAGAATACAAGGATGCGGATCGCATCGCTGGTGCCGCACTCTTTCGCCTGCGAGATCTTGGTGTCAATAGATGGGCTCTCCAAAGACCTCGCTGATGCAATCAATGTCGTCTTTTGACAAGTCGGGCCACGACAGAACCTGTAGATCTTGTCGCATGTGCGTCTCGCTCGAAGTGCCGGTCAGGGGTGTGATCCCAAGCTGGATGACAAACTTGAGAAAGACCTGCTCTGGCGTTGCGTTGCGCTGTGCGGCAATCCGACGGACAGGCTCCGAACGAACTGCCTCCGGGTTGCCAGTCAGAGTCCAGAAGCTTTGATAGACAATGTTGTACTCTCGGCAAAATCGACGGATTTCTCGGTCGTGCTGAGTCGACTCGTGGAATCGGTTTTGGACAACCCGGGGCTTGACCGAGGCATCGGTCCACAACTGTCGAAGATCTTTGAGGGAGTAGATGTTGCTGATGCCGAGCATGCGGACGACGCCTTGTTGGTGGTACTCCTCGAACACCCTCCAGACCCTCATGGTGGCTTCGTGCGTGCGCAAAGGCGAATGAAGGACAAGCGAGTCGAGGTACTGGAACCTCGCCAGCGAGAGGTCGACGGACTGGCGCACCTGCTCCTCGAGAGGGGCATTTCGGTCGTAAGGGGTGGTATCCGGGTCCTGACCTGGGTTGACGAAGATAACAGTGGGAAATGCGGCAGGTCAGAGGGTCAAGTTACCGAAAGCCATCAACGAAACTGTGATAGAATCGAGAGCGGCCAGGTGTCGCAGGATCGCAGGATCGCAGGATCCGAGACCCCCTGATCGAATTTGGCGTACCGCCCGGCGGAGTGAACTTTGTCTGCAGAAAAATGTCCTTCCGCTGGATGCCAAGAGTCGTTGCAGCCGTCTTGATGGCCTCGGAGACGAGATCCTCGCGATAGTGGCGGGGCTGGCAGGCGGTGTCGATGGCAGAGTATCCAGCCTGCAGCGCCTTGAGGACCAGACCCTGGGTTAGCTCCTTCTTCCACGCCGTTCCGTAGATGATGCCGGGTATGCTCATGTTTGTCGGGGGGGGGATAAGTGAGGTCGATAGCGGCTCCAGTGTAAGGATCGATGGCAAAGGCAAGTCAAGGCAAGGCAAGTGCCAATGAACAGGACAAGACCAGGGTTGATATGCAGCCAGTCTGTGGCTACCATGCAGCCAGTCTGTGGGTACCATGCAGCCAGTCTGCAGCTGCTCTGTGGCCGGCCAGAGCTGGCTGGAGCCGTGCGCAGGCGCGGGTTTGCTTCTGATCGCAAATCCGCCGTCGATCACCGTTTGGCTCGGTCAGTCCGCGATCCCTGAGCACCATGGCCATCCTGGCTGCCCTGACGTCCCGAGTCTGCCCTTCTCTCGGCAGCGCCCGCCAGACGCTTGTCGCGGGCAATGCGTGGTGCCCTCGTTTCAAGCCCTGCCGATCTCGCATTCTTGCTGGGCTGGCCCACTTTTCGCAAGGTGTGTCGTCGGTGCCAACACCATTCCCTGGCCAGCGCTACCGTTCGGCGTATGATCTGGAGATGCAATTGCCATGCGCTTACACTCAACGAGGCTTTTGCTGGCTGATGGGTGCTCGATGACGAGTCTTCTCCATGCTAAATCGAGCAACGATCGACTCTGTTTCAGCCAAGAATCCGGAGAGCCTCACCGTCCTGGACCGCGAGTACCCAACCGACAGCTGGATGAACATTCCGCCGTCGATCCTTGCAAAAACCGTCTGCCGCCTGCACCTCCAGCCCGGACACCCGCTCAATCTGCTCAAGGCTAGGATCGAGGACCACTTTGAAAAGTTCAGCAAAGACATTGGCTCCAAGGGCTTCCGTGTCAAGGACTCTCTCAATCCCATCGTCACAGTCGAGCAAAATTTCGACGATCTCTTCATCTCCAAAGACCATCCTGGCCGCCGCCCCACCGACACCTATTACGTCAACGAGGGCCATGTGCTGCGAACGCATACCTCCGCCCATCAGCGCGAGGCTCTCCGCACCCGCGATGCTCCAGGCTATCTCGTCACAGCCGATGTTTACCGCAAGGACGAGATCGATACAAGCCACTACCCCGTTTTCCATCAGATGGAGGGCATCTACACCTTTGATCGCGCAAACCTGGAGACCGAAGCTGCGCTCCCGGCATCGCTCTCAACCCCAGCCAACGTCGAGGTCACGGGTGCCAAGGTCTGTTCGGAGACCAATCCAGGACAGGATGTGCACACCCTCCGCGAAACCGAGCTTGTCGGTGCTCATCTGCGCACCTCGTTGGAGTGCATGGTCCGCAACATCTTTGACGACCCGAACCTCCGAATCCGCTGGAACGATGACTACTTTCCTTTTACCGCTCCGAGCTGGGAGATGGAGGTGTGGTACCAAGACAGATGGATGGAGCTCTGTGGCTGCGGCGTGATGAAACAGGAGATCCTGGATAAAACAGGTTCGTTTGTCTGTGGAGCTTGTGCTTCGACCTCCGTAGCAAGGACCACGACCCAGCGTCTCTGGGTGGAAAGCGTCTGTCTCTAACGTCGATCTACCACGGATGACGCACATCGGTGTCCTGACTTTTTCCATCCTGCACTTTGATGCGCAGGCAACGAGAGCCGGATCGGATGGGCTTTTGGCTTTGGACTCGAGCGAATCGCCATGGTGCTCTACGGGATTCCCGATATCCGACTCTTCTGGTCGATGGACGAGCGCTTCCACTCGCAGTTCAAGAACGCCTCCAAGAGCTCGGTGGTCAAGTTCCAGCCCTACTCGAAGTACCCGTCGTGCTACAAGGACATTTCGTTCTGGTGCCCCGAGAGCTACCACGAGAACGAGTTCTCGGAGGTGGTTCGTGAGGTCGCCGGCGACCGGGTCGAGACCGTCGCACTGGTATGGATCCGAAGAGCCGACTTGGTGGCGTTACTGGTGCTGAACTCGGCGGCGCAAGGACCAGCTGTGGGCCAGAGTGCTATGTTTGTCTGGCCACTGGCTCATGCTCCATACGGCTGAGCGACTGATCTTGATCCCGATCTCTCCCTGAATCCACCCCTTGACCAGATCGATAAGTTTACCCACCCGAAAACCAAGCGAACGAGCCGATGCTACCGAATCCAATATCGCGCCATGGACAGGTGAGACGCGAGGCAAAGTGGAGTTGCAAGTGGCTGCTGGCCAAGGCCGACTTGTTCTCGACTCGGGCGAATCCCTTTTCCCGATATTGATCGTCCTGCGACACCTTTGGCAGGACCCTGACCAATGAGGAAGTGGACTCTATCCAGGAGAGTGTCCGGCAGATGGTCAGTGACAAGTGCGGTGTCGAGCTGCGAGGATAAGCATCGACCGCCACAAACCGAGACACACCACTGCTTGTCGAGTCGGATGCTTGCTTCCCATATCCCACAGCCCGATTATACGACTTGATGGACACTGCTATACGCTGGCGTGGGATATTCTAGAGCCCATATCGACCGTGCCGAGACAGCCCGTGAGCGAAGCGCCTGCTTGAGCCCCTGGACAGTAAACGAGATCGTTGCTGCCCGAGCTCAAAACAGAGTGTCCTGTTTCGTTTTAGACATGCTGTAATACACCCATATGAGCCCTGCGAGCTCAAGGAATCTGCGATCCACCGACCACGACGACCGATGGCTGGGACCGCCGCGCCGATGGGCTTGGACTGTCTGTGGCGCAGTGAAATCTGACTCTCACATGATCACGCCGTTTCTTGTGCGGTTTGAGCTCGTTTCTTGCGACCAGTCCAACAGGCACGTCCAGGCCACATCGACAGCCATCGCCGCTCAAGACTCGCACCCATGAGGATCGCCATCGAGGGGTGCTGCCACGGAGAGCTCGACAACATCTACGAGGCTCTGGTCCATCTTCAGAATGTCAACTCGTGCAAAATCGACCTGCTGATCATCTGCGGCGATTTCCAGGTACAGCAAAGCGATACCAAACGCCGGCAGATCGTCCAGCACTCCCCTCCCCCCGATGCGAAACGCTCAGACGGCGGGTGGAACTGCTCCTCGCCTGGTCCTGTCTGCTCGTCTGGCGGATCACTTTGCTAGTCCTGCTGCTGGTCTGATGCATGACTGTCCCGGACAGCCAGTGGCATCGCCTGATCAGTGCCCTTTTTGCTTTGTCGCCAGTCTATCCGGAATCTGGCCGATCTAGATGTGATCGCATGTCCCGATAAGTACAAAAGCATGGGCACATTTTACCGTTACTACAACGGAGAAAAGGTTGCGCCTATCCCAACCATCTTTATCGGCGGAAACCACGAGGCCTCCAACTATCTGTGGGAGCTGTATGTGCCCACCACCGTCGCACTCGTCTGAACGAGGCGACCGTCTGCATCGCTTCGACACAGCGCCTGTGTGGACTGGGCTCAGCGATCGGGCCCAGATATCGGGTTGCTCATCGGTTCACGTCTTGTCTCTTGCTCTTGGAATGGCACTGCCAGCTATCATGGCGGTTGGGTCTGCCCGAACATCTACTTCCTGGGCTTTGGCGGCGTTGTCAACTTTGGTGGCCTTCGCATTGGCGGTCTCACGGGAATCTACAACCCAGCACACTACGACAAAGGTGCGGCTCTGCATTACTACTGGCTGCAGTCACGAGCTGGCTGCGCCCTCGGCACTCAAACGAGCCCGGCGCAGACTTCAGGGATGCAGCATATCCGCGAGCAAATGCAGCGCAACTGCCAAAGAAAACTTACCATCTGAATCGGCAATCTAGGCTTCTTTGAGACCCAACCTTTCAGCAACAAGAGCTGTCGAAGCATCTACCACGTGCGAAAGTACAACGTTTATCGCATGGCGCAGGTAAGCATCCCTGGCCAGTGGGGTCGCTGCTGTTCCCAATCCGACCCTTGAGCTGCTGGGCTGCCGCAGGTCGGCGAGGATATGCGCCCGTGTTGATCGCGTCGCCTTTTGTTCGCAGATCCGTCAACCTCTCCACTGCTTTGTTTCGCACGACTGGCCGAATGGCATCGCGGCCTACGGTAATGTGCGCCGACTCTTGAAACTCAAGCCGTATTTTGCCGACGAGGTGCGTGCCTCCACAACAGCTCGGCAGAGCCGCAGGCATTTTATTAGATGCCGCGGCAAGTTAACAGCATAACATGGCACATGGAGTGAGCAGTGGCTTCTCTTCCATATCCTGGACTCGCTGGCTCATGTTGCCTGTTTGTTTAGGTTCGGACGGGCACCCTGGGAAGCGATGCCAACCAGTTCCTGCTCAAGCGCCTCAAGCCCTCCTACTGGTTTTCGGCGCACTTGCACGTCAAGTTTGCCGCTGTCTATCCGCACGAGCCGGAGCACCCAGGTCCCGAGAGCGCCCAGCCAGAGAACCCTGACGAGATCCTCATTTCTGATAATGAGGATCGAGACGACAATACAGCGCCCGACGAAGGTGCCAGCAGCAACAAAAAGGGCGAGGGCGAAGAGTCCACCCTCGACACCAGGCCGACTTCGTCTGAGCAGCAAGCACAGCCGAGTGCGCCTTCCCGCCGAGTCACACGCTTTTTGGCTCTGGACAAATGCCTTCCTCGCCGTGATTTCATCCAGGTCGGTTGAAGCCGCCGCCTGGTTGTCTGCGCAACTCTTGCGATCAAGCGATGACGCCACAAACTAACAGTCTAGGATCGCCCTGCCTATGCCGCTCAGGTCATGGACATCCCTGAGGTCGAAGGAAGCGGCCCTTACGAACTGCACTATGATGAAGAGTGGCTGGCCATCATGCGAGCAACCCACGAGTACATGTCGCTCGCCTATAACCAAAAGTCACTCCCAGACGATGCGACGATTCGAGCGTGAGTATGAAACAAACTCCATCAAGTGCAGTGCAGACTCTGATGCTGGAGTCATACGCATCGGCAATGTCCCGCCCACGCCGACACGCGTTGACTCGATTTCATCCAAAACGAACCAGTAAAATCGACCAAGAGCTGCAGTGGATCAAAGAGAATGTGTCGTCCAAGCCCAACGGTCTCAAGGTCCCCCTTGACTTTGTGCACACTGCTCCCAAGCACAACCCCACCAGCCAGCCAATGCGCCAGCCTGAGAAGTTTGAAGCACGTAAGCGGTGAAGAGCGATGGCGGTGCTGGCTGCGATTGCGGCTGCTCTGGTGTTTATGTCCGTGACGGTGGGATTGGCGAACATGAAATCCACCAGGATGCTGTTTGGGTGAATGGGAAAATGCCAGGACCGGAACATGCCAGGATGGGCTCCCAGCACCAGTGTACCGCCGAGGACTGCCTCTCCGCGGCTGCGCACCCGCCATCTCGATCTCTTGATCCTGCTCGTCCTTCTCACCCACGCTGAACCTCCGACCTCCTTTAATTGGCCATCTGTCACCCAGTCCGACCCTGCTGCAACCCCCAGACGCAAGCTCTCTGTGACTTGATTCAAATTCCCAACCAAATCAACCCCAATGGGATCCGCAGCTTCAATCGCGAGTCTGGCGGTCGTACTGCGCCCAAGCTACCTCCGCCTAAAATCCAGGCTGCGACGACAGAGTCCGCAAAGCGTGCGCCTCTCAAGCTGCCGCCGCCCAAGAGCAACTTATCTGCAAACGCACCTGGCGACGAAGCCTCGGCCTCCGCCCAGGAACCCTCCGTTCCCGACCCAGAGCCGGAGACAATGGACACCGCTCAGCTCGATCAAGTTGATGAATCGTCGCGCACTGCCGACGATGTTGGCGATGCCGACAGTGCTGCCAAGGCCGTCGATGCACCCATCGACGACGAGGCTGCTAGCACCCCTCCGAACAAGAAGCAACGGCTTGAGGGCATCGTGGAAGATGCTCCGAGTGAGCCAGTGGATGCTCACGATGCTTAGCTCGTATGGCAGGCAGTAGTAGCAGCCTTGCCATCCGAATACAAACCGAGTCCACCATCTATTCGTCGCTGGCGAATCGCACTATAGTCGTTGATAATGCAGCGCAGCAGATGCAACATGTCCGTACATCCAGCATCCAACACACAGCGTCCAGCGGGCCGAGCATTGTTCCTGGCTATGCAAACTGGGCTGCCCGCCCTCGGACAGTGACTTTCTCCAGGAACCGGGCAGCTTGGCAGAGCCGCTCATGTTGTCGTTGGCGCCGAGTCTCGTCGGTTCGAGGGCCCCGCCGAGCTCGAACCCTGCGACGGCATGACTAGCGAGACCGATGAGCGCTCGCTGCCGCCCGCTCTCCGGGGAATGTCTGAGTCGGCCTCGAACTTGCGAATACGCAGCCGATAAATGATTTCATCGATGCACAGCTCCACAAGACAGTGATTCCGCATGATCGAAACCTCTGGAGGACAGGTTGCAGAGTAGCCAGTCAGGGCAAAGCAGTTGGGCAAAGCAAAGCGGTTAGCGCAGACAACCAACCGAGCCGGGGCAAGTACGCCGTTTGTCCTGCCGACGAGCACGGGGACTGCCGTGACTGAGGGCAAGCACCGATTGTCCAAACTTACTGGGCCAAGTGGCTCGCTCGCCTGTAATCGTATAGTTCACGAGCATGTCCGAGTCGGGGTTACCAACAAGCCGGGTGTAGTCGTCGGGAGAGATGTCTGGAACGATCGTGATGTCGCCGTAGTACCGCTGCACGAGAATCGCTTGGACCCTGAAGAGGAGGCTGTTCCCGAGCCCAAGCTCCGAGAGCTGCATATGGCAGGCAGAGTCGTTGGCGGGCAGCGTGTGAATACCCAGCATGAACAGCGCATAAACGGGCACTGAATCTGCGAGTGCTGCACCTGGTATAGACGGTGATGTGCCTCGGACCGAATCAGATACGAAAGCTTGGATGTGAGTTGGTCCACGGTGGATGGGCTGAAGGTATCCTGCATAAATGGGACAACATGGGGATTGACTGCCACCATTACGCATGCGATCAGAATGGAGTCGAGCGACACGTGCAAACGGTATGGAAAGGGATTGTGGAAGCAATCAGTGGAAACACCCAGTGGAGTCAGTCGAGGCTTATCGAGTGGTGCGTGCTGCAAAAGAGTCGCTCTACTACATCACACCATTTTGGCATCCACGTCTCGCCCTGAGCTCGGCAGAACGACCATCACCTTGACTAACGATGAAGTGGTTGACGTTGAAAAGCTCAGACAGACGCGCGATCGGCAGGTCGCTGAAACGCATAGCAACAGAGGGTGGGCCACATAGTAACAAAGCGTAAGTCGCGGCGGCCCAACCCGAACTGCCTACCCGCAAGCCACGATCACAGCCGCAGCTTTCCACACATACTTTTCGACAGACCCGTCGATCCACTTGTGTCCGGACGGGTTCCACTGGATGATCTTTCCGTTTCGGTCCTTGGCCATCAGAGGCGCGGATTTGTACACATATGGAATGGCACATGACGCCGTGCTGATATCCGAGAAGAATGCACTCACGAGTCAGCTCGAGACAACGACGGAGTCCGGAGCAAGGAGCTGGGCGCAAGCAGACAAGACACCTACACAGCTGACCAAATGATCTGCGACAATAGCGCATCAAATATGGGTTGGGCTCAGTACAGGCATCGAGACAAGGCGGCCTCTCGCCGGCGCGGTACGTTCTGCGGGATGCGACACCCACGGCAACGCACCACGTTCGGGGCAGTGAGGTAATTCAGCAACTTGGGCATTTCAAAGACAGTCGACGTGCTGACGGTAATGTTCAGCACCCTCCGGGTCTTGTTGAAGGCTTCCTATGATTTTGGCGGATCCATCAGCATGCATATAGACCACAAAGTGGGAAGGAGCAGCTTGCTGGGCACAGCAAATCTCCTGCCGGTTACCAGAAATGTGAGGTCGCCAACGTTGTCTCGCATGGCTTGGACAAAGACCTGGACGTCAAATACTACGCCTAGAACATAGGGAGAAACACCCCCAGGCAACAAGACAAGTAGAGAGGATTGATGTGGGCACATCCAGTGTCAGTCGCTCCCCGACCCCTTACAACAAACTGAATACGGCCATCGCCGCCACCGCGAATGATCAAGTGCAGGATCGGCCATCACCGTCTTTCAGTATCCGAAGAAGTCGTTTAAATATGTTCCCGTGATCTTCCGCCGATTCGAATACATTCTGTAACAGCGGCACGAGCGCCAGTTAGTACTCGGTATCGTAGTATCGAGAGTATCGTGGTGTCCGATGGCCGGGACCGATGGCCAGGGCCAATGGATCAACTTTTGGCCGACCCAGCCTCCACCCACCAAATTGAGGGTGTCCGGCTCGAATATGTACGGGACCTCAGAGTCCGTCCGGGTGCATAGCACAGCGGCGATGATGGCGCCGCAGGAAGAGCCGCTGATGATGCGTGGGAGAAGCTTCGTCTCATAAAGCGTTTTGATGACGCCGACATGGGTCAGTCCTGTGGCAGTCATAGAAATGATCGTAGGATCCAGGGGAGGGGGGGCCGCAATAGGGAGAGAGTGAACCGAGTTCAGCATCTTGGAAGCCGATGCGACTGGTAACTGTTTGGTCGATGCGTTACTTGACTACTATCGACGAACTACCCAGCACACACACGATCATATTCTCGTCGTCGCTCATTTGTGACCTCACCAAAGATGGCCCCTCCGCTCAGTAGAAGGGCAGTTCGTCCATATGACTTCTGGATGCTAAGAAAGAGATCGAGCTTGGATGCATTCGGCAGGTCGTCCGACTCGGTGTCGCAGATGATATTGAGCTGCTTGGTGACTTCTTCGATGTAGTCTTCGATCAGCCGCTTGGTGCCAATATGCGTATGGCCGTACAGCTGGCGACAGACAGTGACATGAGACTTTCGATAGAGTCGAATGTAGGCAGCAATCCCATTTGCTCACCAGATAGTGCGACAGTGCGACAGCAGGATGGCCCCGTCCGTATTGAGGCAATATGGCAGTGGGTCCGCTGGCCGATGATGTTGCTGGATCGTCCGAGACAAGACCTCCGTCCTCCCACATGAGCCCAGATTCACTCACTTTGTGGTTTCCCATGTTCCCAAGATCCCTGTTCAGGCTCGTCCGGAGGAGAAAGATCATCGATGATATGTCGCCCGAGAGGCGGGCCTTCTTCAGCGAGACAAGGCGCTCTTGAATAAGATGGTAGTCGTAATCCGGCGAAACAGGATCTGATTTCCACTTTTCATTTCCTGTTCGAGATCAGAGTCCAAGTTGCAGATTGACGGATGTATATATGGATGGATGTATATGGATATCAGTCGGACAAGCGAGATGAGGGGCTTGGTTCGTCGTCGGAAGATGGATGAGCGTGTGCAGGAAATCAATCGTCTCATCCATCCATTGCCGCTGCACACACCTTCGAGATCGTCGAGGACCAGCGAGGCAGCCGCCCATTGCTCATAGTTGGTAGCCCGATCCTAAAGAGTATCCGAGCTCGTCAGCCGCTCCACTTGTTCATCAGCAGTGGAGCCGAGTCACTCATGAGCCGAAACCACCAAGCCAGCTCCAGACAAAACCTACACGTATGCGCTTGAAATACTCGATGGTATCGTTTTGGTGGAGCATGGCCAGGTAGATTTTCTGGCGTGTGAGGTGTGGGGTGTTAGCAAGACCCGATGGCCACAGGCAAATGGTGACCAGCGGCACCTGTCCGAAATATGTCCGGACGGCAGCACTGCATTGTCCGCGTTGAATAAATCAGGAGTATCCAGTCGGGCTGATGTTCAGGGGTTGGGAGATGCCATCGAGGGCACCAATGGCGGAGAGGCGGCATCCAGGGGACAAATGGCACCCCCCTCGCATCATCTGTCTTGGGGGCTCGGCGGTCATCCGGCCTCACCTTCATCCAAAAGCTTGAGACATCGCTGACGATCATGCCCGCGAGCGAGAGCAGGTTGCGGAAATGAAGCGCCAGCCGAGACTCTGGCGATATTTCCGAACTGTTCACAACGGGGCCAAGAGTGACGGTTGGGGACTGCGACGACCGCAGAGGATGGGCTGGATCGGCATCGCTGTGGGCATTTGGGCCGAGATTGTGGTTGCTGGCGCCGATGCCGGTGCTGGTGCTGGTGTTGATGTGGATGGGACGAGGCAGCTTTGGGCTCGAGAGACGCGACGGCAGCGACGACATTGCAGAGGCAAAGCCAAAGACGGAGCAGGGACAGCACAGGACGAAGGGCCCCAGAAGCAAATGATAAGAGAATGAGATCTGTGATTCTGGCGGCTCGGATCGGGCGGGCAAATATGGCCGGCCAGCGACTGCTGGGGACTCACAGGCAGAACGGGGGCCTGCTGCTGGACCATGCTTTTCACGTGCGGGGACGCTTTGATCTGATCATCACCATCGGTAAACAGCCAGGATACAAGAGAGCAGGAAGGACTCATGTGCAGATAGCATGGTGTGTATTGGAATGCCGTCTACACCGACGTCATGGTGATGGTCAGCACCCTGGTCTCGCGGTTGAAGACTGCCTCGCCGAGCTCGGTGTCGATGGCCCTGGGCAGACGCAGATCCAGATCGTATCGCTCGGGTGAATGGAACAAAAGTCGATCGGACTCAATGTCCACCGTGCAGCTGCGGGTGGAAGTCTGTTTGGACGTGGATGCCGAGCAGGTTTGGGACAGAGACATGAGGAGCTTGTCGATCGGGCGACGCATCCCTCGATACAATGCATCCAAACCAGCGCAGATGCTACTTACGAGATCAGGCAACTCGATGGTGGCAATCACGTCGCTTCCCTTGACGACCAGGTTGTGCTTGGGCTCTTTCAGGCGACGTAACGCTTGTGATGACGAGGATGCAGTCGCAGCCGGTGAACCTCTCAATCTCTGAGCTGTCGCCGAGGTCAACACCGGATTGATCTCAGAAATCTGGGGTCGCTGCGTCCGCCGAATGATGTGCTTGGAGAGCTGGCCCTTGGTTTTCAGCTTTGGCAATGTGAACTCTGCAGGAGTTGATGGCGAACGGATAGCATTCGCCAGCGAAACGATACGGAATGAGCGCAGCCGCCGCTTGGGCATGGTGGGTGTCGACAGGGCCAAGACGCTTCGAATCGCCCCACGATGCCTGGTGATGATCGGTGTCGTTGGGACAACAGGGAGGACAATGATTACCTCGACTGAGATCCAAACGATGCTTCTCCTCAACCCACTCCATCGACAGCTCGACCAGGAACAGCTTGAAGTCCTCGTCGGCCATGCATTTGAGGAAGGGCTGCGTGTTGATACACGCATCAAAGACAAGGCAGGCCCTGCCGGCTGGAGGATCGCCATAGCATCAGTATGAGCACGGCAGAGCAGTTTCGAGAGGGAATCTCAGGCCCGATCGCTTACACTTGTCCTTTTCGGCCTTGGGACCCGAGAGTGAGAGTGGAACGCGGAAGGCGGTGTTGTCTTCGGCATTCAGCGCCCGACGAATCTCTTCGTCGGATGCCAAAGGCGGCGGAGGGATTTGCTCGCTGTGGCAGAGGTTGATGAATACCTACAAGGGCAGCAGCACGAGCATCAGCATCCACCAGGACATGCCCAGAGTGATCGAAAGCACGTTCGGCAACACCAGCAGCTCCGTCGTCGGCCAAGTCTCTCTTTATCAAGCCCTGTCTATCTTCTCGAGCGAGTACATCTTGTGCGAGATCTGCGCCTCGGCGGCCGAGCAACGCCCAGGACCATCGCCAAATGGGCATGCTTCATGCGTCTGACCTTCAGCCCGGCAGCCCAGTCGCCAACTTCGGTTTGGTTGAGGGTCTTGACGACGAACCCGGGCTCGGGGACAACTTCAAAGGCTTTTGGATGCTCGTCGGGCTGGGCGAGCGGGTCGGCAGGAAGGCCGGAAAGGACCTTGGCTGCGAGCTCTGGGTTCTCAGACATGGTTCTGAGAAAGTCCTGGAAGGACGGATCAGCCATCTCGTCGGTTGGCTGTGAGCGGGATGGCTGCGTGGCGGACGCCAGAAGATCCTCGATGGACATGGCGACGGGGCCGTGAGGGAGAGATGCGAATCGGTGTGTGCGTGAGGAGGGGGGAGTGAGGCCAGGTGTTGTGTTGAAGCGATCGGCGATGGCGGGACAGATCAGGGCCAAGTGTGGGCGATCGGCCATGAGGGTTCTGTGCCCGAAATGGCGGTAGCCCAGCGGTGTTCCCTCGCATCGACCACCGCCTTGAGCAGAGTGGTCTACAGGCTGCCCCGGGCCAACGGTGCGATTGGCGATGGCGGGGCTGCTCAAGGTCCCGGGCGAAGCTGGGTTTCTGCAGACATGCTGGTTGTATGTATTCAGGACCTCAGAAATGGGTGTTCCAGGGACAGCCGGATCGAAGATGTCCAAGGTACCCAAAGGCACACATTCAACCAAGAGCCATGCCCCCTCTCCCTCTTGTTCAAAGTGGCCAGCCGTCAATGGGATCATGTGCTTTTGATTGCAGTGGTATTTCGGATTGTGACTACAGCAATGTTCGCTGAAAACCCCGGGGCAGTCGGGGCGCCCGGTATTTTCGTCGAAGGGCTGTATTGACCTCATGCACCTCCCCTATCGGAACATCTCTGTGTTTCTAAAGCTGGAATTGTCCGTGATGGACGACTTGTGGGCCTTGTATTCCATAACGCAGTTTGCAGGCAGATTCAGAACCTTCTTCAGTGTATCCCTATGGCAGCACCGAGTGTCGCAGCAAGTTACGGTGGTCAGCAAAGCCGTCGGCTCGCCCAGTAGATGCTGGCAGCCTCTCAGGACTGTGTCGGCCGGATCTCCAGCCCATTCAGTGTGCCAGTGCGCCGGGTCGCATGCCTCCAGAGACACAGAGGCGGTTCATGACCAGAGGTCCGGGTCAAGAGCACAGCGAGAGCACAGGCACGAGTCATCCGAAAAGCGCAACACGGCAACATACCTGATTTTCAAATTGACTCGGCTGTCATCAGCATTCCTGTTCCACAGGGACAAGATGTCCTCCGAGTGGCGGATCGATATAACGGCCCCACAAATCTCATCCCCGACATCGAACTGGTCGCCGATTAATGAGATGACCTGGGATGCGTGGGGCATGGACACAACATGGGCCAGAGCAAGGAACGTATGCTGGTCAGGACACTCGCATACCTTGCAGCGTGCGAGCTCGTTATCCTCTCCTTGCCCATCCAACGCTGCTCCGCGCAGGTACATCAACGTACCAAGCTTTCCCAGTAACGAGATGCAAGTCCCTTTTTTAGCCGCACCTGGAGGCCACGCAGAACAACAGGTTAGTGGAACACTGGTCTCGCAGATGACCAAAAAGCGCACCCTCATCCGTGTGATCGTCGGCTCGATCGGCACACGCTCGCATGAGGACTCGAGCTGATTTGACTATCGAGACTGCCTCAAAATGCCGTGCTGGTACCCACAATCCATTTTCCACCCTTGATGTTGTCTTCCCAAATGGGACGCAAGCCCGATTTGAAGAGATGATAGTCGCTGATTGTGGGCAAATCGTGCGGGCGGTTGAGATGGCTGTACACGGCCCAAAACTCTTCGATCTGGCAGGACACGGGCAGGACACGGGCAGGACAGGAGCAGGACGACATGGTCAGCCGCAGGTTTCCCGCCACAGAATGTACGGCAAGGGTGTTGGTAGACAGCGATGCAGAGTATGCTCCGGAAAGTCCCTCAGCCGATCCGGCAGGGCTGCGACGCTCAGAAGTGGTGATGCGGCGAGACAGACGGTTCCGCACCGATGCAAATCCGGCAATGCGCTTGATGGCCGAGTTGTAGTCCTGCAGCTTGGAGCCTGGTTCTCGGTGCATGAACCTGGATGCGAAAGCGGCCACAAACACACGGTCAGCATCTACCGTCGACAAGTCCTGCAGTCCTGGAGTCATGAAGGAAGTGGATCCGACCGATCCAATCTCATCGGATCACAGCACATCCTGTTGTATCCTTTCGTGTCGGGGGGATCACATCCTGCCACATCGAGTAAGCCACGCCGGCGACTCGGCTGGACTGGGCCAAAGCGCCTTGAAGTAGAGGGTGTGTACACGGCAGCGCTTCGATTGCGTACAGCCAATCGACCGGAGCATGCACCTCGAATCCTGGTGTGGGACAGTGTGGGGAAGCCAGCGGCTGCAGTGACAGAAACGCACCAAAACGCCCATCCAGACTTCAGGAGGTGGCCCTTGGATGGAAAGGGAACTATCAGCTCTGGAGACGGCTGGGTGGAGTCTGCGATGGTGGTTTCAGCAGAGCCGTTGGACAGCGATGTCGGATTGTGGGACGAGTGCATGGCTTGAGTGGGCGAGTCGGTCGGGTGGTTGGTCGGGCAGATCGGGCGGGCAAACGGGAGAGAGGCCACAGGCGAGATCGGGCAGGCTTGTGCGGGGCTTGCGGGCGACGGATATGGGTGGGCAGGATGCAGCAGGGCTCTGGGCGACAGACACCAGGGCCGGGGAGGAGGAGGGTGAGTGGGGGGGGGCGATGGACGACAAATGCGATCGGAGACGAAGAAAATTTTTGCCATCCAAAGGACTGGCGACGACGAACACGAGAGCAGGGAGGCGGCGAGACGGCGGGCGAGACGGCGGGCGAGGAGCGAGAGAGAGCAATGGATGACCCACGAGCAGCGAGAGGCAGCGAGACGGCAGCGAGGCCGGAGCGAGAGCGCGGCGAGATCCATGTCGCTCGCGATCGATATCGATCCGCGGACGATCGCCATGCCGTCACCGAGGCCGTCACCGAAGCTGCCATCCAGGTTGCCGTCCAGGCTGTTACCGAGATCTCCACCAAGACTTCCATCGAGGCTGTCTCCATGATATCCCCCATGATATCCCCCATGATATCCCCCATGATATCCCCGGTCCATCGGCGGCTGCTTTCCTCAACGCCTGCGCATTGGCACAACAACCCGCTGGTATGGTGCTGCTGTCTCCGTGCGATCGGCGGCCTGGCCGCCAGCGTCACCATCCTCACAGTCTCCAACATGCTGCATGCTCCATGATCCAGGGCATCCCCGCTGCAAAATCAGCACCACCGTCGCTGCCTCGGGCTCACAAGGGGCTACCGGCTCGGACAAAGATCCACGGCGTCGGCCACATTGTTGCCGTTGCATCCGGCAAGGGCGGCGTTGGTAAATCGACGACAGCCGGTAAGGATTGCAGTGGGTCAGCTACAGCCGGTGCACTCTGCCGTACCATCGCCACCGCCCAGCAGTCAGACTTCTCACTCGTGCATCTCGATGCCATGCAGTTAATCTCGCCGTGGCTCTGTCGACTCTGGGCAAGAGCGTCGGCCTACTCGATGCGGATCTGTTTGGGCCGTCGATTCCCAAGATGATGAACCTGCAGGGCGAGCCAGAGATTGTCCAACGACCGGGCGTGCCAAGTACGTCGAGTTTGATCTGCAGATGCAAAGCATGGCCGGTCGCAGGGCTCGCGTGCTGCTGGGCGAATGTGGAATGTCGACCACGGCCGTTGCATCTTCCGCTGCGGATCTCACTCGATGCGATGCGGCTCACATGCGAATCCCGTCGTCCGTGCCGTATCCAGTATCGCTTCTTCGCCCGCTCACCAACTATGGCGTCAAGTGCATGTCGATGGGGTTCCTAGTCGGCGCTGATGCCCCGATCGTCTGGCGAGGTTTGATGGTTAGTTTGGTGTGCGTTGCGCCTTGGCCCGGTGATGCCTGCCTTTACACCAGGACCGATGGGAGATGCCAACCAGAGGCTTCGTTGGACAAGATAACCCACTCACCAGGTCGCCGCTGCTGCCGACGTGCCAGGTTATGAAGGCGATCGAGCAGCTCGTGCGGCAGGTGGACTGGTCCGACACCGATATCCTTGTCGTCGACATGCCGCCGGGCACGGGCGACACCCAGCTCTCGATCACACAGCTGGTGCCTCTCTCGGGCGCCATCATTGTGTCAACCCCGCAGGATGTTGCTCTGCTGGATGTCAAGAAGGGCATCAACATGTTCAAGAAGGTGGACGTGCCGGTGAGTCGGTCGGAAGCAACCAATCTGCCACCTGGCCTCGCTATATCATCCGCATTCGTGCCAGGCAATCGCCGTGCTAATCGATATGGCCTGGCTTCTTGTGCGGCGCAGATCCTGGGTCTTATCCAGAACATGAGCTACTTTATCTGTCCAAACTGCTCGCACCCGTCACACATCTTTGGCAAGGACGGCGTCGCCCAGACCTCCAAGGACCTCAACATCGCCATGCTGGGCGATGTGCCGCTCGATGCCTCGGTCTGCGAGACCTCGGATGCAGGACAGCCGATCGTGATTGCCCGCCCCGACAGCGAGCACGCCAAGGTGTACCGGTCCATCGCCCAAAAGGTCATCGACAAGCTCGGCATGCCCTAGAACTCGGAACTGGTCCGCTGCGTTGGGGCGACCGGCAGGCTTTTCGGCGGCCGCAAAATGGACCGGATCTTGCTTTGGATGAATACACATGTCCGGGAAACTACCATGCCCGCCTCGATTCGTTGGATCCATCGACTGCTGTCCACCAGCGACGCATCGATATCGACTGACAGCCCTTGTGCTCCCCCTCGCACGATCGGCTGACACCCATGGTCTGTCCGTCTCTGTTCAGTCCACCCGCGCAGCCCGCCGCGGTTTTTGTTTCCGGCTGCTGCCCGGTCCCTTGCTCGATCCCCTGGCCTCCCGAAACGATCATCGGCGCCACCAAGCCCCTCGCTGGGTTGCAAGTCCACCGACAGCCCGCCTCGCCCGCCTGGCTGCTCTTTTCTCTCCCTCGCCAGCCCAATGCTCCTCTGCCTGCGCTGTCTGCTCGACTCTGACGACGAGCCCGGTCCATCGCCGGCCAGCAACCCTCCGTATTCGCCACCGACCATGACGACCGCCGATTCCTCCTCGGCCCAACAGCACGCCAGCCCTGCCGAGGCTGTCGCTGCCTCTTGGCGACACCCGCTCGAGGCCCTCATCAACCTCGCCCGCGACGAGCCCGACTGCCTGGCAATCTACACCCACGAGAACTCCTGCACCGAGACCTTCAGCTACCGCCAGACCTGGGATCGAGCGTACTCGATTGCACAGGGGCTCAGGACCCTGCCCAACTGGTCCGAGGACGACAAGGTCGTTGCGCTCTACTGTGAGCCCGAGACCCACTGGGTCTTTTACACCTACGCTCTCTGGATTCTTGGAAAGTAAGCGTCTCCCGAGCCGCCCGGCTCAGAGCTGCATATCCCGGAACCATGGTCGGGGCAACGCCCAACGCTCCATGATCCAGGCAGCAGAAACGGCAATGTTGTCCCCCACGACGGGTCTTGCTCCTTGCGCCGTGCCTGCCATCTGGTCGAAACGCTGGCTCTTTCCACCCCTTCCCCACGGCCATGCTGCTGCTGGTTGTCTGCCCTCCGCTCTGCCCTCCGCTCTGCCCTCCGCTCTGCTCATACCCTCGCTCCTCATTCTCGTAGGCAGGTCATCTACTTTGCTCTCAACTGGCCAGCCACCGTCCGCAACCATCTCGCCCAGAGGCAAGTGTCTGGACCCCTCCAGCTCGTCGCTCCCTGCCCCCCCCACGACTCGTCCTTGACCTCCAAACTCAGCCACTCACATGGGCTACCGCACCCGTTCCAGATTGAACATCAAATACGTGCTCTATGGCCTATCCAAGCCCGGCCGTGTCCACGGCTCGGAGCTCATCGACGCCCGCACCTTCCCCTTGCTCGAGACCATTCCCGAGCCCTCGCTCGCCGTGTGTGCGCCCCTGAACGACTTTATTGGCTTCTTGAGCACTTCCGGCACCACAGGTGAGTCCTGCGCTGCCTCGGTGCAATCAACCATTGATATTTATCAAGCTTGTGCTAACGATCAGCGTCCTGGATTTCTCTTCCAGGTATTCCCAAGACGTAAGTAGCCTATGATGGCCAGCCATGTCACTGCTGTTGCCCTCCCTTCGTCGATATCAGCATGCTCCAACACACCCGCCCGCCCCTGTAGATACCCGGTCGCGCACAAGCTTGGATTGTCTGTCCGTTCGGCGATGGATCTTCCGTACATCCGCCAAGGTGTATTCCAGGTATGCATGGTCTCAGCCCTGGATCCCCCAGGGCATTCAGTCGAGGCATCGGGCCAAGCGCCACCTCCGAGCGCTGACAGCCGTTCCATTACTATTACTGCCCTTCTCATCACCTTGCGATTCTGTGCTGTCCCTCTGTCGCCGCACTGCCTCCAGGCACCCTCGTTCACCGCAGCCATGATGACAATGCTGCTGACGCCCAACATGAAGAGCTCCATGTGGTTCCCAAAGCCGTCGCCAAATATTGTCGAGAAGGCAAAGGGCGTCGTTGCCCTGCTGGACGACGGCATGGACTTTGTCAAGGCGGTAAGAATCCAACAGCTGCTGTATCATCCGACATGTCTGGGAAGAGACGGTCCATGTGGGCGATATGGCCCGCTCGACCACCAGCGGCAAGCGAAAGCTGACTCGGCTGATGCACACGCCATGCAGACTCCCTCCTTTATGAGGATCGTGTTCAAGACTGCCCAGTCGATGCGGGAGCACGTCCAGTGGCCCGAGGTCAAGTACGTCGTCCTCATGGCCGAGATGATTCCAGTACCTCTGGTCCAGCTAGCTCGCGACCTGTGCCCCAATAGCATCATCCACTGCGGATACGGCTCGAGCGAGGTAAGTTGTTGGGAAAATAGGATGGCTTTCGTGGTAGCGACGCTGATTAATTGTGCCGAGAGTCCGCATCGACTTTGGTCGGAACGCGCCGTTCTGATCCTGCACTTGCATCTCTCTACCTTCTGTTGCTACTGCCATCAGGCTGGCATTATCCAGGCGTTCTCCATGTGCACTTTGCATCCAACGGATCCGGTCCCCACCAAACTGGTGTACGTCTTGCGCAAGCCAAATGTGCGCTGTCTTCTTGTAGATGACCAGGGCGACCCAGTAGCCCCTGAACCCGGCAGCACCGGCATTCTCTGTCTAGCCGTGCCCAAGGAGGATCCCGTCCGCGACCACCCCAACTTTGTCCACTCCAACCCCAACGACAAGCTGGCATCCTTTGGCTTCCTGGAGGACGGATCTCCTCGCGTTTGCACTATGGACTGGGTCGAGATGGTGGGCGAAAAGTCATTCTCGGTGATCGGAAGGTAAGTCGTATTGGTCGTGCACATGGCACCGTACGCACGGAGGCGCTGACTCGACGATTCTGTTGCTTATGCACGTGCTGCCCAACAATCTCCAGAGTTGGAAGAAAAGTCAAGGTCAACGGCGTCTATGTCGATCTCCAGGTGCTCGAGGACCTCCTCGTGTCCAAGATGTCGGGCTTAATCTCGGACTGTGCCATCATGCAGACCCTGGAGCTCAAGATTGTTATGCTCTATGTCCCCAAGGAAGGCAACGGCCCTCGCCTGCTTCCGCGCCAGATCCTCGACATGGCCGAGACCATCTTCAAATTCGAAAACATCTCCAAGGTGCCCATCAACAACTGTATGGAGTTGCACGAGATGCCCTTCAACGAGTCCGGCAAGCGCGACCTCAAGAAGCTCAAGCGGATTGCCGAGCGCACCGACACCTACGGGCTCGCCGTCAACTACCCGCCTCTGCTTGTGGAGGACTCGAAAGAGTCCCGGATCGCCGCCAAGGTCTCGCGGCTCGGCAGCGAGATCCTCGAGGCCGAGGCCCTTGATGGCCGCGACTACTACATTGCCGGCGTCGGCTTTGACTCTCTCACCGTCGGTCGCCTGGCCCTGGTTCTGCACCGAGAGTTCGATGTCGACATCTCCCCCGTTGTTCTGCTCTCACACGGCATGACGCCCAAGAATGTGGCCCACATCATCATCGACATGCTGGATGACCGTCCCTTCAGCCCACCCACGCTCGATCTGGCTGCCGAAGCCGCCAAGCTCGACGACTCGACCGTGACCTCGGCGCACCTCCCTCCGTTTGAGTTCCAGGCTGCTCCCCGAACCATCCTGCTGACCGGCGCCACTGGGTTCCTTGGAGCGTTTTTACTTGCAGAGCTCTCGCGCAAGTTCCCTTCATCCAAGATCATCTGTCTGATTCGCGGTACCGACATTGCGCACGCGACCGCCCGTTTGCGCGAAACCGCCGAGATCCTCCTGCTGGAAACCCAGCTCGTGGACCAGTCCGAGGTTATTTGCGGCGATTTGTCCAAGCCTCAGTGGGGGCTCTCGGACGAGAAATGGGCGGAATTGGCAGAGCGCGTCGATGCCATCGTCCACAACGGCGCTGAAGTGCACTGGCTCTACAACTACGAGCGGCTGATGGACGTCAATGTCGGAGGAACACAGGCGGCTCTGCGACTTGCCACCACTCACCACCTCAAGCCGCTGCACTACATCTCGACCATCGGGGCCATTCCGAAAACCAAGCCTGCGGACAATTTTGTCCTCGAGAAGGTTTATCCAGACTGGAACGTCTCCGGCGGTTACGCGCAGACCAAATGGGTCTCTGAGCAGCTCATCGAGAAGGCTCGCTCGCGCGGTGTGCCTGCAACGATCATCCGGCCTAGTATCATTGCTGGCGATAGCGTGCACGGAGGTGAGTCAGACTCGGCCGGTCGAGCACACGGACATGAACAGCACTAGACTGCTAACTCATCGCGCCTCTTTTACCTTTGTATGTGTCCACAATGACATGCACCACCGATCCTATCACATGCACTCGTGGTTCCCTCCAACCCCCCGGACTGATCTCGCGCTTGCTCAGTGTCCAACGTTGACGACTACATCTGGCGCTATGTCAAGGGATGCATCCAACTTGGCACTGCCCCGGCCCATGCAAATGTCGTCAAGCTCAGCCTGAGTCCCGTCGACCATGTCGCCCGCATCGTGGCTGAAATCGTCTCGTCGGAGATCGCTCTGTCCAAGTTTGTGTTCCACATCAACGACTCTGCATTCAGGTACATATCGTGGTGCACGCAGCCAGCGGCTCGCATCTGGTAGCTGGCTACGGTCTCGTTTTCGTGCGAACATGCTCACGCCACCCGCCGCCGTTTCCTCCAGTTTCAGCGAACAAGAGCTCTTCCGCGTCGTCGCGAGCTACGGCTGGACACTGATTACCGAAAGCCGTGAGAAGTTCAAGAAGCAGCTCTCGTGGGCCAGCGATGCCGAAGCAAACGCCTTGTTCCCGCTGATGCATGTCATGCTGAACATGTCCTTCGATGTCGACAACAGCAACACCCGCTCGGTCTATCCCCATCCCAGCCCGGCTGCTGCTGAAACCGTGTCCAAGTGTCTCCGATATCTCATCAAGATTGGCTATTTGCCCAAGCCGGGCGATGTGTGTCTTATCGGCGACGATGCCCCGACTAACGCTTTGAAGCCGTTTGGCCGAACTGGCCGTCACTAAGCCACAAGAATGGCCTTCGTTGCGCTGTCGTTTCGATTCCGCTTCATTCTGGTTTCTTTCCATTTGCGTCGCCCCTTTCACCTTCCCAATGTTGTAGCTTTTTGTTTGGCAAAAAAAAAAAAAGAAACGAGGCATCTCCTACTTGAAGCCAATAACACAAACATTGACTTACATCACCCTGGCTGGCAAAGAATATCCACCAGATGGCCAACTAGATTGCCCATGTTGGACCGGACCGAGACAGGGGCGAGAATGATTGTTTGAGCAAGCCACAGCCAAATGCAACATGTCCGTCGTCTTTTGCCTCCCTCGTTCGCTTCCTGCACTCGAACTTGACAACAGCAACAACGACGCTCAAGATGGCTGATGGTGAATGAAAGCGTTGCCGACTGAAATGATATGTAATAGACGACTGACTCGTGGTTGCCGGGACCAGACGACTTTGACGCTTTCCTCAAGCGGCATGGGCTCGGGAGGAACAGGAAGCGACTTCTGGAGAACGAATGCGACACCATCGACTCGGTATGTGCTGCTGAAGTGGTCGAGTGTGGTCGCTGTCCAGTGGCTGATTCTATCAATTCGAAGATCCTTCGTTTGCCAGATGATGAAATGAAAGCAATTGGCCCCACACCTGGGGCCGTCACCAAGATCAAACGAGCCAAGCAAGGCCATCAACAGCAATCCATCACCGCCCCTGCTCCAGTTAGCGCCCCTGCCACCGAGCGAGAATACAACCCGCCTGTCCTCAACCCTGAATGGACTTGTGCCAACGGCTTCCATATCCACGACATTTTCATCAGGTTTGTCGGTGGCGCTTGTTGTTGCCGATGATCCATTCACATTCATCTCGCATCCATCTCATCGATATTGCATCCATCCAGCTATCGCGTGGCCAGTCAGGAGGTGACTGCTGTCAAACTCCACTCGGCCCTCAGTGTTGGCCGTGTCGGCGAGCAGCATCCCTCCCATATCTACCTGGATGTCCGTTGTCTCGAGAACGGACTGAACTGGGAGGATGGCTTTATGAACGGCCTGGCCAACTCCAAGGTCTTTGTGCTCCTCCTCTCCGAGGCTGGACTCGAGAGAACCAAGACTGCCGACACTTGCCCAGACAACCAGTTCCTCGAGGTGAGTGTCGTCGATCCAGTCCAGCACCATCATCACCATCCACTCGCCATCCACTCACTGACGATCCTATCCCAGATCGAGCTGGCTCTGAAGCAGATGAAGGAGACCCAGAACACCCGCTCTCCCGTCCAGATCCTGCCGATCCTCATCAAGTCCAGTGCGATGATCGACGGCACCAAGTACACCAGGGACTGGTTCCCCAACACAATCGACTTTCCCAATGCCATCCACTGCCACAGAGCCAGTCCCTCCAAACTCGGCCAGATCAGCCCTCCCCTCACCGTGCGCCAGACTCTCGAGGAGTTGCTCAAGTTGCAGGCGCTGATTGCCGCCGACGACTATGCCGTCACCAAGTGAGTGTGTCTGTGTCGGACTTACTGATGGCATCCATCAGTCCATTGATGCAGACCATCCAGATGCTGACTCACACATCCACAGACTCGTCCCCGAGATCCGTGAGACCTGGAAGAAGACCAGCCTCGTTGCCACTGTACCAGCCTATCTGCCGAGTGGATCGACTGTCCTCACTGCCAACGAGGACCACGCCCTGCGACTCCTCCTTGATCCTATCGACTCGGCCCTGGACAGGGAAGCACTTGAGCATCTGTTTGTCGAGGGCACTCGCCAGTGGCTGTTCGACCAGACCATCGAGTGGACTCGTCTGGTCTCTGAAGAAACAAGGGTCCTGTGGGTCAATGCCGTTGCTGGAGTGGGCAAGTCTGTTGCTGCCGCCCAGATCGCCAACATCCTCCAGGCAAACGCACAGCTGGTGTCGGCCCTGTTCATCAAGTACAACGACATCCGCAAGAGCGATCCACGAGTGGTGTTAAACACCATCGCATACGGTCTGTGCAAGTGGTACTCGCCGATCGGCCGCAAGCTCCTCGACGCCGGTCACAAGAAAGACGACCTCGACAAGATGAGCATCTCCGAGCTGTTCAAGGCCTTGATTGAGGATCCACTCGCGGCTGTCGGTGGCTACAAACCACAGGAAGCGATCGTGATCATGGTGGATGGACTGGACGAGTGTCATCCCCGCGACGAGATCCTCGGGTTCCTGGCCAGTGGACTGCAGCGACTGCACACAAAGCATCCGTGGCTCAAGCTGCTGACATCCCGTCCCGAGGACGATATCAAGGCAGCATTCGATGGAGTCCCGACCAAGACGATCGAGCCCTCGAGCGAGGAGAACATCCGTGATCTCGAGGTGTACATCCATCACCGACTGCTAGTGCACGGCACTCTCATTGACTCGGACCGCACCGAGGCAGTCGCCATCCTGCTGGACCAGTCCAAGACATTCGTGTGGATCAACCTGATCCTCAACACCGTCGATGCAGCATCCACAGACGGCCCGGTGACACTCGCCACGATCAAGGACATCAACGACAGCGCCGCCGATGTCGGCCAGCTGTACCACAAGACATTCGCCAAGATCCATTCGCAGTCGAGCCACCCGGCCGAGTCGGTCACGGTGGCGTCGGCGATCGCCACGGCCCAGTCGATCCTGACCCCGCAGATCATCGCCGATGTGTTTGGACTCGAGATCGGCGTCGTTCGCGAGTGTCTCACGAGCCTCACTCTGGTCCTCGATCCTGGCGCCAATGGACTGGGTCCCCGAGACAGCCAGTCCACCAACACCGAAGTCAAGTTCAACCACAAGTCGGTGGCGGACTATCTCCTCGGCGACACATCGACTGGCCATCCATGGCATGTGTCGGACTCGTTCCACACGGTGTTTGCCAAGGGATGTCTCGGAGTGATCCTCTCGCACGAGCCGGTGATCAACATCTGCGAGATCTACGACTTTCACGACAAGATCGCTGACCTAGAGGACAGGGTCGCAGCCAAGATCACACCGTCGCTGCGATACAGCGTCGCCCACTGGATCACACACTTTGTGTGGTGTGTGGGTGGAGTGGCCGAGTCGAGTCCGGTGTGGCAGTCGGTCGAGATGGTCGATGTGGCAGCGGTGCTCACTCGGTTCGTCAAGACACATGTGTTCTTCTGGCTCGAGTGTGGGTCGCTCACACATGTGGTCAAGCCGATCATCGAGCAACTGGCTGTGCTCCGAGGAGTGATCACAAAGGCACCCAGCACCATCGTCGACGACACCACGAAGGAACTGGTCAAGGACACGTATCGATTCATCCGCGAGTTTGCCGATCCGATCATCAAGAGTGCACCACAGGTGTACAACTCGGGGTATGCATTCACACCGAAGGAGACGGCGATCTACAAGACATATGCCACCCAGCTCGAGGACAAGATCCCGTTCCTGGTCACGGCTGGTCCAGCACCCACCTGGGATCCGTGTGAGATGACATTGACTGGTCACTCGAGCCAAGTGAATTCTGTGGCAATCTCGCCCGATGGCAAGTGGATTGCCTCTGCCTCAGACGATGAAACTGTCAAGGTGCGTAGTGTTACCACGGGTCAAGTCAGTCGTAGCCTTGAAGGGCACATCAAGCCCGTAACCTCGGTGGCGATCTCACCCGATGGTAAATGGATCATCTCTGGGTCATACGACAAGACTATCAAAGTGTGGGATGCCACCACTGGCCAGATGGAACGCACCCTCGAGGAACACACAGGCGCTGTGAACTCCGTGACGATCTCACCCGATGGCAAGTGGATTGCCTCCGGTTCCGGCGACAATATAATCAAGGTGTGGGATATCAACTCGGGCCAAGTGAAGCACACTCTCAAGGGGCACACAAGTAATGTGAGCGTCGTGGTCATTTCATTCGATGGATTGTGGATTATCTCTGGCTCTAACGACTGGACCATCAAGGTGTGGGATACCGCCACAGGCCTGCCGAAGCACACCCTCGAAGGGCACACCGACTGGGTGAGCTCCGTGACCTTCTCCTCCGATGGCAAGTGGATCGTCTCTGGCTCGGATGATGCGACCATCAGAGTATGGGATTCGGCCACCAGCCAGCCGAAGCACACCCTCGAGGGACACACGGACAGTGTGACCTCTGTGGCGATCTCACCCGATGGCAAGTGGATTGTATCTGGCTCGAATGACAAGACCATCAAGGTGTGGGGCGGCATCACAGGCCAGCTGAAACAGGCCCCGAGGGCCACACCGGCGATGTGAACTCTGTCTGATCGAATGGCTGTTCATTTGCGAGTTGGTTTCGTACACTCGCCAACTTCCCTTTCATCCCGCGCATCTGGCATTCCACAGTGTGTGAGTTCAACAATGGCTGTGAGTGTCCTTGAAGAGTAGCAGCGGCCTTGGATACACTGGGACACCCCGTTTTGAGCCATGACGGGGTTTTCTTCTGGAACCTGAATACACCCACCCACTCATCGCAATCATGGCCAAACACAGCACCCTCGATTTCCGCATCGCTGCACTGTGACCGGTGGTCTTCACTCGGAGGCTGCCAAAGTGATCTGTTCTATTATGGCATAGTTAGACGCCTGCCGTCGCATACTACGCTGACAAATGGGTTGTGGGCAAGTGTCCCATTTCCCCCTGAATACAGTGTAAAGTCCACACTCTCCATGTCGAGATCGGGAGCAAGTTTGTGTCTGGAATCCGCTTTCGAGGGCGCGCTGGCTTCACATTCGCTGCTGCTGAACCTGCTCCAGATCTCCCTCTGATCGCCCAGCCTGGATCTGCATCGCATCCCGACCAACCAACGCCGGGACTGGACATGGTCGACATCTTCCAGACCATTCTGGACCACCACCACCAGCATCACGGTGTCCGACAGCGCCTCGATGAGCATGGACAATCAGCAAGCCAGATCCAGATCCAGACCCAGCATCCAAACCCACGCCCCCTGGATCCGTTCGATCTGGCCCACAGCAGTTCACGAACACCCGCGATGGCCTCGTGGGAGGAACTGCATCGGCAGTGGAGCGAGCACATCAGCGGATCGTGGGCTGCCCATCTGAGCCAGCCGACATCGCTCCATCCGCTTGGTCCCGGGGAGGTGTGGGGCGCATTGATGCACGAGTATTCCTCCGGCATGGGTGTGTCGGTGCGTATGGCACTGCTCATGCTGCAGCGATGGACAGATCGGATGGCCTGGCCTGGGTCGGCGAGGGAGTGGTAATGTCTGCTCTCTCGGCGCCGTCATTCCCGTCGCCGAATCTGCCGCTTGGCTCCCCGCACGGTTGACCTTCGTCAAGGATCCCATTTGCTCTGCCGTGCTGCATCTCTCCGCACCCCGCTTATTCTGACCTGCTTCACCCGGCTCGCTCGTCCAATCTATCTCACTCGGGTCTGTATCGGCCCAACCCCTCCAGCTCGCCGTTGCCTACGAGACCTTTGGATCGACTGGACCAGCAGCGGACCCTTCGATAACCACAGCCACAGCCGCAGCTCCACTCAACCTTCCCAACAGCATGCCAAATCATCCCACCACACCGAGGCTTCGTCCACGGGCAGGCTCTCGCTCGTCGATACCATCCAACCCTGAGGATCGAGTCTCCAGCTCCTCCGAGCCGCCCAGCCGAGACGAAGGCGGCTTCAAGCTTGGAAAGCGCAAGAAGGGGGTCGCAAAACAGGGTCGCTCCAAAAACAAAATCCCAAGCAGCCTCGACGACCTGACCCTTGCCGACATCATCCAGGATTGCTCTGTCCGGGTGCAACGGCGATCGGGCACGGCGAACGCAAGAGAGCTGGCTCGTCTCTTGGAGGCTCTGCGACTCGAGCGAACCAACGAGAGAATCCAGGATCAGAAAACACCTTACCGGTATATCGATGTAAGGACTCTGGCCATCGTCTGGTGTGCTGGTGCTTGCGGACCTGATCAGGTGTGGAACTCGCATGTCCGGCGACTCCCGCCTGATGATCGATCGATCCACCGTGCTCACTGGTGGCTCATGTCTACACCACCGACCAACTCATGCTGTGGCTCGGCCCCATCGTGCGCAATGCAGATTGCTGCAACGCTTGCTGAGCCAAAGGTATCGGGTCTCCATCGAGTGGTCTTCCCACTGCGAACATCGGACATCATCGCCGCACAGCGGTTTGCGCGCAAGTACAACGGCAACATCGAGGTCTATCTCGCCCGGGACGTTGGCGTGAACGACCCAATGCCCTTCCTCCGGAGAAACAAATGGAGCAGTCTGTACGAGATTCATATCGACGATACCAAGTTGGTGAGCAGCTTGTGTCCATTTTGAAGAACTTGAAGTGGGCTCGACCAACTTAACTTGATCGATTCTGGTCAGGGGAGTTGGGAATCAGAGTTGCCTTGCCTTTGATGCAGCGCTGACGCACGCTCTATCTTGAACGACGATCCAACTGTCGACTGGACGACTGGACGTTGAAATCACATTCTCAATCAACGATCTATACCGCCGAACGACCAACTTGAACCTTCGAACAATTGTGCTGCACCAAGCCCGCCAAAGGACTGTCGCAAAAAATCCTCGTTGGAAGCTGCTTGTCGGCCTTCAACCTGAGCCAGCATCTTGGCCAGGCACTCGAAGAGGCCTTGCACCACAAACGAGATCTGGTTTTGTTCTCGGTGATATCTCCAAACAGCCCGATCCGGGTTCCAAACACGCCCAAGATGGTGGTGCTCTCGGTTGCCTATGACGAAGACAAGTATATGCTGTTGCTGAGCGAAGGCGCAACAAGCTCCAAAGTGATCGGCGCCGCTGAACCACAGGCACCGGCACAGGCACAGCCTCCAGCAGAGCAACCCGTACTGGTTTCGGAGACTGCCCAAGAGTCCAAGAGTGTGCTGTTTGGGCACAGCGAACCAGAAGAACAGGCTGCAGCCGACGACCGAGAGAGTAGCGTTCCCATGGATGTATCGGACGGAGAGTACACGGCAACGGCAACACCGGCCACCGCAGCGGTAACAGTAACAGGGGCAGCAACAGCAGCAACGGCAACGGCAACGGCAGCGGCAGCGGCAACGGCAACGGCAACGGCAGCGGCAGCGGCAACGGCAACGGCAACGGCAACGGCAACGGCAACGGCAACGGCGGCTCCAGCGGAAGCATCGCTCGATCAATCTCAGTCTCCTATAGCCACATCGCCACCCAGACCCACAGAGGCTCCTCAGGCCGAGCTGGAAGATGAAATCGTCTCGCTGGTGTGCCCAATCGGCGCCACCCGTGTGCTCTACCCTGTCAGCGGAATGAACTGTCGGCACTTCCAGTGCTTTGATCTGGCGGTATGGATCTACAACGGCGCAATACCATGGCGTCAGCTGTTGGTCTTGCGGTCTGGTGGACTTGCTGGCTCTGGACAGTACCTGTGCTTACACCGCCCCTACCGCCTCTCTCGTATGCACCCACTCGGCTACCGACCGGCGACGGCTCCTTTCTGCTCCGACGTTGCGACGAGCAATCAGTCGTTCCTGGTCTCGGCCAATGATGAAGACGAGCGGCGCTGTCCAGTGTGCCACATCAAGATATCTCCGGACGAGGTTCGTCAAAGCGTGGGGAAGGAGGAGGAGTATATAGGTTTTGTTCTCGCGCCTGCACGGAGCAGCTTTCTGATGGTAAGGCACCCTCTTTTTGATGTTGTCGACGGGATGATGCGTGCAGGATCTCCGATTCAGCAGCGCCTTCTTCCATCTCTTGCTCAAGTTTCCAAACGTCACGCGCTTCTCAGTATCAGCGAACGGGACCACCTTCCGGCCCTTGGCAAACATCAAATTGTAAATATCACTGCTTGTTTTTGTTCGGCCTCAGAGAACGCTTTTGTCACAGCCGCGCTTCTGCTACCACCATTGCTGTCTTCTCGGCGCGAAATCACGAGGGGGGTGCAGTGGCCGATGAATGAGTAAATGACTAAATAAGGGAGGAAAAGAAAAACAGAGCAACGTGCACAGATTTGACATTGGGCCGCCGAGCTTTGGTGCTGCACAAAGCAAGATCGAGCATGGCATGGTCGGCGGCTCCAGTTCACAGACAACGGCGAGTGATACTTCATGCGATGATAAAGATGGTGAAGCAAGGGTGGGGTTTGGGCCACCATGGACAGCCACGAGAGTGAAGGACACTGGAGTGGTGGCTTGAGTGGGGTATCCTTTCGGCCGCATTCACGGTCTGGGTGGGCAACAACGATACCGTCGTCGCTCGGCCAAGAAAGCCCGGCTTCATTGGGAGACCTTCATTTCTTCTTGCGGGAGCCCACCGCGGCTTTGCCCCTCGCCCTGGTCGAGGTGACACCGACCCTTGCCTTCCTCGGGGCCGAGGTGTTCATCCTCTTGTACTTTTCTGGATTCATGCTCTTGGCCATTTTCAAGTAGGACCGGGCTCTGGACGCCTCCTTCTCATCGGACGAGGTCTGCAAGAGCTTGCCAAGACACTCCCATGCCTCGGCACTGTTCAGTTCGGTGGCACGTTCAAAGAGTTTCACGGCGATCACCTCGTTTTTGGGAACCACGATCCCGTCCCGGTAGCAGATCCCAAGATGGACGGTGGCGTCTGGGTCGTTGAGGGCCTGGCCTTGTTGAAAGAGCTGAACGGCTCGATCCTTGTCGACATCTACGCCCCTGCCATCAAGATAGCATTTTCCGAGGGCGTTGTAGACACGGGGATCCGGATCGTCCGCCTCGATGCACCTTCTGAAGTAGTGGAGGGCCACACTGTGGTCTTCCTTGACTTGGTGAAGGCCGCTGAAGTAGCATTCGCCCACTTCATACATGCTTCGGGTATCCCCGCGCTCGGCAAGCTTCAAGTGGTGCTGGAAAAAGGCATCGTCTTCGATGTCCTGTCGATAAATGGTCAAGTTTCGCTTGGCCATCTCGTTTCCTTGCGCCGCGCTCTTTTCGAACCATTCCTTGGCCTTTTGGTAATCTTGGATGACTCCAACTCCATCGCTGTAGCTAACGCCAAGGTTGTTTTGGGCAACGGGATGGCCCTCGCAGGCAGCAATCAAATTCCATCGGAAGGCCTCGCTGTGGTTCTTCCGGACGCCCGTGCCCGCGGAGTAGCATTCGGCAATGTCCTTCTGCGCTTGTGCGTAGCCATGGTTGGCGGCACGAAGATACCACCGAGCCGCCTGCGTGACGATGGCCGTGACGCCGGGCTCACCGAAGAAATAGATATCGGCCAGCTGCGCTTGAGCCTTCCAGAAACCTTGCTTGGCGCTTTGCTTGAGCCAGACCAATGCCTTGTCAATATCCTTGGTCCTCAGCACCAGACTGGCTTTCTTTTTTCTGCCGTCGACATATGTGTAGTCGACACGAGTGTCGCAGCCGTTGGCTTCATCGCCATTGTAGTAATACATCCCCAGATGGAACTCTGCAAGGGCGTCGCCCTGGAAGGCGCTTGCATGGTAGAGGTTCCAGGCGTAGCCAAAGTCTTGCTCGACGCCTTGACCTTCTTCGTAGCACATGCCCAGACAGAACTGCGATGGCGCAAAGGAGTGCGAGTGGACGGCCTCGGTGTAGTACTTGGCAGCTTGGCGGTAGTTGAAAGCGGTGCCGTGCCCAAAGTAAGAGCAATCACCCAGAAGATGGATGGCAAAAGCTCGGTCCAGCAGGGCGCCGCGTTTGCACCACTGAAGGAACTCCTTGGCCATCTCAGAGTCGCAGCTGAATTTTCTGGGATCATCTCCTTCAGAACTGTATGCAAACAGCTCTTCAGCAAGCTTGAAGTTCGAGCAAAGCGACTGGCGGTAGTAGTAGGACGCTTGATCGCTATCCTTTTCGACACCGACGCCATTGAAGTAAAGGAAGCCGATGAGAAAGGCCGACGGGGGGGTCAATTCATGCGACGAGACTTGCTGAGCCCTCTGAATCAGCCGCTTCAGATACTGGACCGCCTTGGGGATGTTCTGCTTGACCGCCCAGCCGATTAGGTACATCCAAGCTAGGATATATCGTGACTGTAAGTGGCTGAGCCCTTCCGAGCAGTACGAAAGCAGCGCCAGCGCTCGAGGGTTGGGGTCCGCTGCTGTTTGCGCGTCGACGTTCAGCAGCATCACCGAAAGCCTGAAGAGAGCCTCTGGATTCCACTGCCTCAGAGTTTGGTTGGTGGAGAACCCGAGCTGTATCCAAAGGGGCACCATGTCGGATCGATGAGTCAGCAGCGGATCCCGACCCGCCAGTAGTGGCTGTGTGCAGAAATCGACCGAAATGGTCGGACAGACCCCATAGCATCCCAAGCAACAGTAAGGAAGCCGCCACAGACGAAATCAATGCGGAAGGTGGCGAGTATCTGCCAACTTACATGCTCCAACTCCGTCTTTGTAAATCCAAAGTTTGTTACGGTGTTATATCGGCTCAGAGCATTCTAACACAATGCAAACTATGATCAGCGTGGCGATCAAGATGATGTATTGACTCAGCAGGAGCACCAGAGTCGTGGTAGCTCACCTGTTCGTTCTCGCCATCAGTCAGAACTACCTCAGAGTCTTCGATCGGCCTAAGGTTATTGAGGAGGTACAGGCTCTTGCCATTCGCTCCGATGAATTCACCCTCCTGGGTGAAGCCAGATGTATCATCCAGAGAGAGTTCAGAGAGAGGGTTAGGCCCCATCGAGACCTACATGGGATTTGCACCGACCAAGCAGCGGGTCCATACATCCAGGCGGAACTAATGAACGTCGACTTGGGCACACAACACTCGAACGGAGCCTACGCACCTCATCTGATGGGTCGTCCATGCTCATGTCGTTTGGATGCTCCAAGACCGGCACGATTGTGGAGCATCCAGAACCGTGGTCTCCTGTTGCGGTACGATGGGCTTTTTCTGGGTTTGCGCGCTTGGCCGGTGAGCGACAGGGGGCTGAGTGAGTCATCGGCTGATCAGCAGCGTCGGTAGCGGAGTCGGAGCCGTGATCGGATTCATCGCCCGAGGAGTCGCTTTCGCTCGAGTCATGCGAGTGGTTTCCATCCGAGGAGTGGCTGGCGTCGCTGTGTTCACTGGCGGGCGACTGGGGCCGGGTCGGCTGATGCGGCGGCTGAATGGCTGTGGCTGGTGATACCAAGTTCGCTGTGGAGCTAGATCCCGGTGAGTCTGGAACGATGCTCTCCGGGGTCGCGATCGAAGCTGCTGCTGGAGCATGGGGATCATGGAGATCATGGAGGACCGAAGGTGAAATTGACGGCATATCGGGTCCAAAGTCATGCATCTATTTGCAAAGGAGTTGGTCAGAAAGGAACTGAGCATCGAGCGGGACCGCAGTTTTTCAACGGAGAATCTGCCGGGAAGAAACGCCAGCGTTCGGCTAGTCTGCGCCTACATTGATGTCGAACATGGAGCCCGCTGAGAGCAGAGAGCTGCTTGCGATTTGAGAGTCGAGCAGGTTTCCCACAACCATGGACGGCGGTTGGTCCGATAGAGCAAACGCAGAGTTGGTTAAACCCGCCTGGGCGGCCAAGACGAGCCGCTCGCGTCGAGCAGCCTTGAGAAACCGATTTGCGTGGCCTACAGCCAAGCCGCATCCCAAAAGCTCGTCTCGGCTCATGTCCAGCAACTAGATGGTTACCATTCCCCGCCGCGAGAGACCAGATCGATGGTGGCGTTTCGGATCCGGGCGAAGGAGCGGATGGCGGGATAAATGTAAGCAATGCAGCTGAGGTAGGAGGGCAGAGGCATGTGGCGGCTGGCGCTATAGCGACGGTTTGGAGAAGCACACGCAGCTGAAACAAGAACAGAGACTGACCACATCGAGGGTGTCGAAGCCTTGGGCTAGCAATATGGAGATGTACGGAGTGAAGTTGTGCCTTGTGAGCCAGGATCTGACGGCGGGCGTTTCGTCCTGCATCTAACCGACGGCGGGAATAATTTGGAGCATCAAAGCGCGATGTTGTTGAGATATAATGAGTCCAGTCGATGAATTATCCAGAGAGAAAGCAGGAGGGCAGGGTGAGAATCAACCCGAAGCAGACGATGACGAACTTGGTGTCGGAAATCCGCACCGGGCATCGCGAGGAGCGAGACGGCAGCCAGAGATGCGTGGAGCTGGTTGCGAACGTACCATCGGAGGCAAGACGACACACAGGGGGCGGGTCGGAGGGGAGCGGTGAGTGCGAGTTGGAACAAAAGTTTGCCCAGCGAGTCCGGGAGATGGACAGGGGGCGGGAGCCCGACAGTGCGGTAAAGATCAACACCCGAAAGCGAAACAGCGCCCTGCGGTGAAGGCCAGGCACGGAGGAAAAAAAAAAAAAACAAGCGGCGAGGGGGTGGGCAGAAGACTGGAGTTGGATTCAAAAGACGGGGCCGAGAACAGGAAGCGAATGGGACTGCCGCCGCCAGATCGTCGACAGGCCAGACGAGACCGGTGCGATAGACAAAAGGGACTCGGCGATAGACAGAGGGGGTTCCGCAATAGACAGAGGGGGTTCCGCAATAGACAGAGGGGGTTCCGCAATAGACAGAGGGGGTTCCGCAATAGACGCAGCGATCGATGCGGCGATCGATGCAATGGATGCAGTGGAGGCAGCGAATCCGGCAACAGATGCAACGGAGCAGATGCGGCAAGAACCCGCCCCAACGGCCTCCCAAGCCCCACGAGAGACAAGGGAACAGGCATGATCTCGGCGGCAACCCAAGACCAGCCCAAGACCAGCCCAAGACCAGCCCAAGACCAGCCCGCGGCTCCTCTCTCGTTCGATTGTCCCTCATCGCACCGCCGGTCGGCCACTGCCATGTCTGCGTCGCCTCCTTCGGTCTCCGCCTCGCCCTCCTCGTCGCTGTCGCAGCCACCGCTGCTGCCGTCTCAGGCAGCCGCTGCCGACCCTGTCGCCCAGCGGCTCTCGCAGCTCACCGCCCAGCTCTCGGACCGCTTGTCCAAAGCAGAGGAAACCATCATCCAGCTACACAGCGTCACCAGTTCGCTCAAGGTGAGCGTCCAGACCACTTGTTCTCTCCGCATGCTTGCACTGGCACCTCAGCCTTTGCCAGAATGACCCGCTGTCCGTCGATCGTCCCTTGACGGTCAGCATGCTGACTGCAGAGTCTCGTGCAGGAACAAGTCAAAACATTCAAACCAAAAGCTCCGGCCGCTCAGGGTAAATCGACACTCGACATAGGCTCGTCGGATATCACGGCTCGGGGGCTATCAGTATCGTGAGGCGGAAATCGGCAGCCTGGCAGCATCAATCCCACCAGCACACTAATCGTCAACTGTTGATCGTGCCCAGCGGTTCCCGACTCGCCCCTGGACCAAGTCCGCAGCGAAAACATGGTGCTCAAACAAACAGTCAAGCAGTACGAGCAAGCTATCGAACTGATCATGACACAGTTCCGCAAACAGACGGTATGCATTTGCTGGTGGTGGGGCACTGTTCTCGCAGAGACCGAGTCCGGATGGATTGGTTGGTGCTCGAAGCAAAGAGACAACATCGACCCAGACTCATGATCGCATATCGTCCAGGCATTTGTTGTCGCAGAGAAAGCAGCTGTCCGGGAACAAGTCCAGGCCATGCTCGATGAAATGCAGGTGGGTCCGCTCGCAACAGCGCCGCTTGAGCCGAGCAGCATTCAGCGAGACTGACCCTTCATGATGCGGCACCGGTCGCCCTCCAGACTGAAATCCACACCCTACAATCCGAGAAGGCGCTGCTCGAAGCCGATCTGTGTCGGGCTCACACAGCCATCCGAGAGGCACTAAGCCAGGACTGCGACTTGGACATGGCCGCTGCGTCGCAGGCGCTGTTGCGGGAGAATGAAGCACTCCGGGAGCTGCTTGCCCTCAAGCAGCCCGAGCAATCCGTTTAGACCTGATCACTTGGGACACGGCCATGCCTCTGCTACCAATGATGATAAAGCCGGCGCCTTCAACACCAAATACATGTGGAGCCTTGCGACATGGATACATCTACTCGGCTCGGCACGAAGTCAGTCGCAAAGCTGACGATACAGCGCTCCTGCATCCAATACGGGTATCTGATCGTTCGAGGCTACACCACACCCGCTTCCATGAACATGTAGTATGTGATGGCATGCGTCTAACTATGCCATAAGAAATAAACAGATCACTTTGGCAGCCTCCGAGTGAAGACCACCGGTCGCTCTCCAGTCTCCACAATCGACATGCACACTGATCCCGGAGTGCCAGCGGTGAGTGGTGCTCTTGGACATACTGAATATGGAGGCAACGTTTCTCAGGCCATGGATGAGGGCGAAGCACCGCATCACAGAATGGTCACCACCAGCGCGCGATGGTGTTTGGAAACGAAATATTCGGTCAATGACCAAAAACCAAGGTGTCCCGTTTTTATTGGAATGACAGTAGCAGAAGAACCCGCGATCCGGCATAGAATTTCCCACGCACCGCCGGCAGCGACACAGGCGCTTTCGACTAGAGGTCCAGATGTTCCAACCCCGACGACCACTCCTGGACATGTGCGCATTTGAGATCCGGAAGGCCAACAGCGGTGCCAACAGCGGTGCCAACAGCGCTCTGCTGCGTCCTGGGGTGGTGGGTGCGACACCCTGGATCGCCTCGGACCAGCACCGCGACAATGCACAAGGGCCCACCGCCAAGCCGAGGAGGGCTGGCCTGGATCAATGGGATGATTTTCCGTCTTGGGTTTGCCAGCGCAGGCTTTGCGCTCTCGCCCGCATCGCCCACATCATGAACTTGGACACTGCTACCCTCGCCCTGGGAGGCGCCGTCGGCAAGTTTGACGATGGCAATCCACCGCCCCTGTTTCGCTGCTCTTGCTCATCCGTTGCACTCGTTCTGCTGCAGCCCTCGCCGGCACGGTTGCCTACCTCAGATCTGCCCCTGAACCGGACATCCACCCGGCCCACCTCCGAAGCCAGAGCGATGTGAGTTGACCACATTCCCACTCGCAATCCTTGGCGGGCGACACTTTGCGAGAGCAGCTTTGCTCCGGTGACTCCGTGGCTGCCGAGCCATGACGGCATTCGCCCAGCCAAGATTGACCTCCTTTATATGCGGCCGATCTGCAGATTGCCCGAACCCGAGTTCAAGGCGAAACTGCCATCATCCGAAACAGAGGCACTCCAAACGGCGTTCCGCTGCTGCGAACCTCGAGCAAAGGCGACTGTCTGACGGTCTACGGTAGGACCTGGCGATGGTGGTCACGATGGCGACGGAAAGATGCTATAGCCATCTTCGTTCACTTCCACCTCCTTGTGCCAGTTCAGGCCAGCAGATTACAGATGCCGCTGTGGTGCAGTCCTCATTGTGTTGATGTGGGCCTCCTCCGTTTCTCCCGCAGAGCTGTTCCAGTCCTCCCTGAAGAACAACTCTGGCAAGCCTTATCTCGGCCATCGTGTTGGCGCCGGACCATATGAATGGATTACTTATGGTGAGAGTACCGCAATGGCATCGTGGAGGCAGACATGATGGGTGGATGGGTGAATGGATGGATGGATGGCTATGCAGGGCTCTCGCAAACCGAGTCATTCCCAGTGTGCTTCCGCCAGATGAGTGATGCTAATGTACATCGGACCATCATGCCATTTCCTCGTCTCGCCGCCCAGACCAAGTCGCCGTCCGGGCCACCAACCTGGGCTCGGGACTCTGCGCCGTCGCTGGTCTCAAGCCCGGCAGCTCCGACAATGTGGGCATCTGTTTGCAGAACTCACCAGGTAGGCCGCGAACCCGCATTCCGAACGATCTATCTGCTCTATCATCGGCCCGGCGGTCTGATGCAGCTGCCTCCTTTCCTATCCAGCCTGGTTGGTCACCGATCTCAGTAAGTGTGCGAACATGGCCTTCTTGGGTCGAAATCGTAGCGACCGGCTACAGCTTTTGGAAGGGCATTGCACCCGAATGCGTATTGCACCAGAAAACGCATTGGGCTCGAAACCGCATTGCACTCGAATCCCACCACACCCTGTCGCATTGGCGTGCTCTCGACCGTCGTCGCTGATGTCTTGTTGGCGATGCCTCGTCACTTTGGCTGCCGTCAGGTTGCGCGAGCTACAGCCTGGTTTCGGTTCCGCTCTATGAGACCTTTGATCAAAACTCGCTCGAGTACATCATCAACTTGACCGAGATGAAGATCGTCGTGTCCTCCTCCAAGAACCTGGATCGGATCTTTGAGCTCTTGAAGAAGTGCCCCCAACTGAAGGTAGGTGATTATGATACAGCTCGATTGCATGCATGGAGAGGGGGTATTAGAGAGCAAGTTCTCCATGACCGGTGCAAGATGACCAGCGCCGCGCCCAGCAACTTGGCTGTGATGGCTGATTTCTTGTTTGTCAAAGGCCATCGTCGTTACAGATGCGGAGACCGTATCGGCAGATCTAGTTCAGAGGGCTGCCGAGGACTCGGCCAAGATCCTGACGCTGGCCGAGGTCGAGAAGTGAGTGTCGCGGCACACAGCACTTGACAGGTCGATGCCCAACACTGAGGCAGCATGGGATGCTCTTTCCCCTCAAACGAGGGAAGGTAGCTTGTCCTTGAAAGTCGATAGTCGCCGATGCAGTTGACTCATGTATCATGTACTTGCTCCAATGATAACACAGGATCGGTGCCGGCAATCAGCTTCCACATGTGCCTCCAAAGCCTAGCGATGTCTTCACGGTACGTGCGCATCGGCTATCGTGAGCACAAGCGGTCGTATTTGGAGCTGTATTGCTGTTGGTTAAGACCCACATTGACTCGCTGTTCCAGATCTGCTTCACCTCAGGAACGACCGGCAGCCCCAAGGGCGTCATTGGTCTGCACAGTAACGCCGTCGGTGAGTTCAGGCAGCCTTCAGAGCACATCAGACATCCGCACACAAGGACCTGACTCATTTGTGCATGGATTGTGTTGTTCCTCCGAACTAAAACCCTCACCCACTCCCACCTTTTCTCGCTTCACAACACCGCACACCTGGCAAATTGGCTATGGCCGATGCAAGCCTGCATATTTGGCATCGTCGAAACGTTCCCCAAGGAGCTGGCATTAACCGACCAGGATCGCCATTTATCGTTTGTATGGACCCCATTCCTTTGCGACCGACGCCATTGTTCGGGCTCCTGAGCCATCGGCAAATCTGACCCGCGTCTGTCTTGATTACAGTTGCCCTTGGCGCACAACCTTGAGAGAGCCTTGACCTACGCCTTCACCTACTAGTAAGCCCATTCAGCAGCTCTCAGCTTGCTTTAGCACGCCGAGGGATCCTTTATAGATGAGACGATGTTACCCCTCGACCAACCGAATCAGCTGACCCACTCTTCTACGCCTTGGCGACCGATAGCGGCATGCAGATTGGGTTCTACCGCGGCAGCATTCCCCAGCTGTTTGACGACTTTGAAGCTTGTCAGCCCACGGTATGACTCGCGTTAAATGATGGCAATACCCTGGGCAATGATGCGACGGCCCGTGACCCGTAATAACCATATTATTGGCCTGTGTCCGCCGAATCCGTACCGCAGTTAACGCTTTGTGCCTGTGTCATAGGTCTTCCCGGCCGTTCCGCGCCTCCTCATTCGACTCTATGACCGCGTGAAGCTCCAGATTTCTCAATCCAGCCCCATCGTCAAGATTCTCTTTGACTTTGCGTACGCGCAAAAGCTCAGTCTCCTTCAGAGCGGCTGGTGAGTCGTCAGTCGGCAAGCGCAGCCATAGCCGGGAGGCTGAAGAAGTGGGCTTTGCCTTAGCTCCTGACCGTCGCCTGACTGTATTGATCGTCTATTGGTTGTATTGATCGTTGTAGCGTTAGGCGAGATACTATCTGGGACAAGATTGTTTTCAAGAATATCCAGAACAAGCTTGGCGGACGGATCCGTCTCATGGTAGAGTTGAATCGACCCGACGCATACTGCCGAGCCTTGCCGATAGATCCAAGATTGACGAGACATGCGCGAGACGGGGGCGGAGGTGGAGGGAGAAGTAGCGTGGGTGCGGACGCCATCTTCGACAGACAGCCTTACAAAGAGAGGAATTGACCATGCCTTCTTTGATTGCTTGACAGCTCACGGGATCGGCTCCTATTTCGCCCAAAGTCCTCGAGTTCCTGCGCATTACCCTTGGCTGCCCAATCATGGAGGGCTACGGCTTGACGGAGCTCTTTGCAGGAGGATGTGTGACGATGGTGTACGACCACCTCCAGCCCTTTGGAGCGCACGTTGGTGAGTCTGACTGAAGAGTATGCAATCCGGCGCGAGCTGATGCGAGCTGACGCAACCTGGATGTCCCAGGACGCTTGAGGAGACACGGTTGAGTCTGGATGCGACCGACCCGTGGCAGTGCAACTCATCTGTAGCACTATCGGTTGCGGATACAGTTGACTGCACTGAGCAACAATAGCTTGTTTGAATGATACTGACCCAACAGCATCATCCGATGCTGGTCGCATTTGATCAGGTGTTCCATTCCTTTGCAACGAGGCCAAATTGGTGGACGTGGCCGACCTGGGATACCGCGTTGACGATCAGCCCAACCCTCGCGGAGAGGTTTGTACTATAGCAAAGGATTTTGAGTGGTTGAGAACCCGAACTCTGCGGCCTCGCTGTAGCATTGGCAACAGCGATGAGCACCACAAATATACCCCCACGACTCGAGAAGCCAACGGTGGCGCTGGTGGATTGAGGGATTGATGGATTGATGGATTGATGGATTAATGGATTAATGGAATGCTAATACCGTCCCTTTCTCAGCTCTGCTTCAGAGGAAACGCAGTTACTCCAGGTAACCAATGTTGCTCTGGCCTGTCTGGTCATCCTGTGAGGGACAGTCGACAGGGTTCTTCACAGCACGGAAATGAGCTTACGGAGGGAAGGCAGTCAACGCTGCTGCATGTTGTAAACTGGGTCGTCCCCGTGGCTCCGCTGATCATTCGATGCACCTACAGGCTACTACAAGAGCCCAGAGCTTACTGCTGCCGCATTCGATGAAAACGGATGGTTCCACACGTGCGTTGTGTCTGCGATACTGATATGCGTTAACCACTGTGTCGATGGATAGGCACTCGGATAGCCCATATGGCCGACTGACTAACTAACTGACTAACTGACTAACTGACTGACTAACTGACTGACTGACTGAATGGCTTGTTCCCACCATCAGGGGTGATGTCGGCGAGCTCTTGCCCAACGGTACCATCAAGATCATCGATCGAGTCAAGAACCTCTTCAAGTTATCCCAAGGCGTAAGCGTCTGCCCTTGATGTCGTTGCACTTTTGGGCCGTATATCGACCAAGCACGATTGATTTGTGGCGATAGCTGCTGCGTGTGCCGGGTATGTTGCGTGGATGACTAACGGCTCTGGTTCTCGATCGGCTTGCCTCAGGAATACGTGGCGCCCGGTATGTGTGGCAGAAAATGCAAGAATAGCAAGGGCTATTTCGAGTAGCGTGTGGATGATGCACCATTGGATATTGCAAAGCGCCGTGCTGATACATCAGCTGCCACGGTTGACTCTGGGAATTACAGAGAAGGTGGAGAATGCCATCAAGAACAAGTAAGTGTGGAGGCTCCTACAGCGATGGCTCATGCCTCGGCTTGATGGCGGCTGTTGGAGCGCTTCGTAGCGTCTTGTAGGGCTGGTTGCAATGCAGGACAGCCATCCGCCGCATTGACAATCACGCAGGGAGGTGCTGATGGCAACGCAACACTCTGCCAGGTTTATCGGACAGGTGTGGATTCACGGTGACTCTTTGGAGTCTTATCTCATTGCCGTAGTTGTTCCCGAGCCCGACACCGTCCTGACCTGGTAAGGCGACCTGGCTGATACGACTCGTCTGAAGCGACCACGCTAAACAATGCACGAAGGAAGCCGATCATCGCGAGTTGGTGTTGCTCGTCGTATCGATTGCACCCGTGAGCCGCATATGACTCAAATGAGATGTCTGAACAGGGCCAAGCACAACGGACTGGAGGGTAAGTCCATGGCCGAGCTGTGCGAAACTGAGGCTTTGAACAAGCTCATTATGGACAGCATTGTCGAGTCTGCCAAGGAGGTAAGCCGCCACCACAGTCGATCAATCTGCTTGCGACGAGTCTCGGTTATGGCACAGGCACGATCGTAGTAATGCGAGTGGGACTGCTGCTGATGCGACCGCGCTGCTTCCGCTCACACAAATTTATGTGCCTGCTGTATGCAGCACGCCCTCAAGAGCTTCGAGACTCCGCGACGCATCCATCTCCATCCTGATCTCATGACCCCCGAAAACGGGTTGCTGACTCCTACGCTCAAGCTCAAGAGGTAGGTGATGTGCACCCACCCAAGCTTGTAGCGATGGATACGTGTGGTCTTTGATCGCTGAGCGAACCTAGCATACCATGGATCAACGGGCACTGATGCCATAATTCGCTGGATGGTATCAGAAACGTGCTCAAGACTCATTTCAAGACCGTCACTGATAAGCTCTACGGTCGCGCCAAGTAATGCGTTTGCAAGTCGACAGCCTGTACCAGAAGTCGCTGCCCGGAAGTGTCTGGCGTGGCTACTGGAAATGCTGGCCGTTTGTTGGTCTGACAGCACTGTGATGTCGGGGGCTCGTGTGTCTATCCTTCAAGAATCAAGACCGAGCCCCGTTGTTTGCACGGATGTGGGACGCGGGAGAGATCGGGATTCGAGTGCAGGGAAGAGGGTATGATCGCAAAGGAAGAATGTATGTATCCAACACCCTCTCAATCACACACGGGGCCCTGTCGACATTCGAGAGCGATGCCGGGGTGTTTTGTTGGTTCAACCCGACGGCTGGTCTGGACCAGGCTTGGCGTTCTTGGTTCGCAGCTGGTTGGGAACGAGACGGAGTAGCGGTGTAGTGGAGTGTTTCTCGTACCAACCCCTGCCTGTTGTTGGTTTGAGGGAACACAGTTTTGAGATGATTGCAATGAGTAGGCGATGTGTTCAGGTTCCAGAAAAAGCAACTGCCCTGGCTCAAAACGGGGGTGTCCCATTTCGCTATGGGGACACTGTAGACTATTGTGTATTAGGTCAGGGTGGCGAGAAAGCAACAGGTCTGTGATTATATAACGCCGGCGTTGGGTCTCATTAGAGGGCGGAGACTCGAGAGGCTGATACGGTACGCAGTCGGTGGACCCGGGGAGTGGCGCTCTAGATGACTGGGAGGGAAGGGTCCGGGTGGGGAACAAACATAAGTGACTTGACAACAATATTGAGCGGAGGAAAGACCTGGGTGCTGCCTTGGTATGGATTCAGATAGTAGGTGCAGTTCGGGACGTTGATGCCGTTGACGATGTTGATATTGCAGTTGGCCGTCAGCACAGGGAGAACAGGGTTCGAGGGATTGTACTGCTGACAGCCCCAATCTTTGTAAAAGTCAACAGAGTAGCCCTGAGGAGCAATGGTGCCAACCCTGTTGACGATGCCATCGCTGCCGGCTGAGAATCCATAGCAAGTCGTGATGGGGTCCGCGGTCTGAGCTGCCTGGATGCTGGTCCAGGCCGACGTTCCGCCACCTGGAGGAATATTACCGACGAGCTGGACCGCTGTTGGACGTCACGACAAGTGGATCGCCGTCCGAGTTAGCGTGCACATCAATTCTTCCAGGCAACGGGTTTTCGCCGGGCGGGAATGTGATGGGGCTCCCCGTCGTCCAACAGTGTGCTACATACCTCGACAGCCGTCGCCACTTGCAATAGCAACGACGTTCCCGTTGCACATTGCTGCTCGCTTCGCACGAGTAGGTCTGGCCGCCGGAACGAGAGCGTGTGCACATGGCCAGGCTGGAATGCCGCCGCAATGAGGATGAAATCGACCCGGATCGGAAATGTATAATAACCCGTAATCAGCAACATAGTTCCAGCATCAGAGAAATGTATGTGTCAATGTCGCCCACGTGGCAGTTATGAACAGAAGTGCTTACTCTGGGCTGACAGCAGGACAACAAGCAAACAGGCGGTAGAACGGAAGCTCGGCATGTTATGCTTGTGTGTCGGAAAGAATTGAGCGATGGAACGGATGGTTTGGAAGATCGACCAGAGCTTGACCGCAGGCTTTCTGGATGAAATATACTGAGAGTACAGGTGCTTCCTGAGGGGATATCTCATTTATAGCCGCCTTGGGGGAGAGAAGCGAGCCTGCGTTCCATGGAAGACTTCTGAAACGAACGCTATTGATTCTAGATAACACGGACGACGCTGCGCAAGGCTGGCTCCGAAACTGCTCCGGGGCGGGCGACAAGCTGGAAGAACAATTGCTTGTAGCTCGATGGCCATCGACTCTCACGGGGATCCGATCAAGCGACTGCAAGCGACTGCAAGCGACTGCAAGCGACTGCATGGAGACGGGCGAGAACGAGAGAAGGTTCGATGGGCATGCAATCAGGGGCACCGGAATCGCGACGGTGACACACGGTAGAGTCACGGGAGCAGCCGCTGCATCACGTGCATCACGTGCATTGCGTGAGCAGCGCCAGAAATGGCGCACAGCCACGTGCCGCTGGGCATGTTGCACAGAGGCACTGCCGCTTTTGGCGACCGCAGTCGCCTGAGCCTGCACAGCGACCTCTCCGAGACCGACATGACCGAGGAGATATGAATGGAAGAGGACGACGAGTCGACGGATGAGCTGTTGGATGTCGCTGCTGGATGTCGCTGTTGAATGGCGCTGTTGAATGTCGCTGTTGTTCTCTTGCCTGGGCTCGGTCTCGCTCCCCGATCTCGCTGCTTGCAACATCTCTCTCGCCGCCATCTCGCCCCCGCCTCGCCCCCGTCTCGCTCGCCCAGCCACTCTCGCCCCAGCAACCAGGTTTTTGCCTTCCCTGACCTTCCTCGTCTGTTTTCTGCCCCCCATCTTCTTCCCTCATTGCTCACATCCGTCTCCCATCCTCATCGTCCCTCGCCATGGCTACTGAATTCAAGGACGTCGACATTGCCGTCATCGGCGGCTCCGGCCTCTACTCTCTCGAGGGCCTCACCGTCCTTGGCGAAGTCAACCCCCTCACTCCCTGGGGCCATCCTTCTGACAAGATCGTGGTCTGCCAGACTCCCCACAACACCAAGATCGCCTTCCTGGCTCGCCACGGCCGTGGCCACTACGTCAACCCCTCCGAGGTCCCCACTCGTGCCAACATCGCTGCTCTCAAGCACATTGGTGCCAAGGTCATTCTGGCCTTCTCCGCTGTCGGCTCCCTCCAGGAAGAGATTGCCCCCCGCCACTTTGTCATCCCCTCGCAGCTGATCGATCGCACCCGCGGCATTCGCCCCTCGACCTACTTTGAGGATGGTGTCACCGCCCACGTCGGATTTGCCGATCCCTTCGATGCCGAGCTGGCCGATCTGATCTACGATGCCTCGCTCTCGATCGAGGGCGTGACCTTCCACAAGGACAAGACCCTGGTGTGCATGGAGGGTCCTGCCTTCTCCACCCGAGCCGAGTCCAACCTGTACCGCTCCTGGGGCTGTGACATCATCAACATGTCGGCCATCCCCGAGGCCAAGCTGGCCCGCGAGGCCGAGATCGTCTACCAGATGATCTGCATGTCCACCGACTACGATTGCTGGAAGACCCACGAAGAGGCCGTCAGCGTCGAGGCCGTCATTGCCAACCTTGGTGCCAACGCCGACACCGCCCGCAAGCTTCTGCTCAACCTCCTCCCCACCCTCGAGGACAAGGTTGCCAAGGGCGAGCTCAAGTCCATCGCCACCCTGCAAGGAAGCAACCGCTTTGCCTGCATCACGGCCAAGGAGAAGCGTAACCCCGAGACCGTCAAGAAGCTCGACTACATCCTGCCCGGCTACTTCTAATTGCCTATGATCCACAGGCGACATCATTTGGCCCGCTACGCGCCCTTGCCCGATGGTGCACATCAAATCGTGACTTGACCCGGTCACAACTCCCCATTGAACGTAGTTTTATTTCATTTCTTCTTTTCTCGAAGCCAGGCATCATGCGATGCATACAACGTTTCCAAAATGAAATGGGACACCCCCGTTTTTAACCAGGACAGTGCTTTTTTCTGGAACCTGAATACACCCACCCACTCATCGCATTCATGGCCAAACGCAGCACCCTCGATTTCCGCATCGCTGCACTGCGATGCTACTCGCTGCCCCGCAGCTTGCGCAAGGTCGCCACCATCTTCAGTGTGTCCAAAAGCACCATCCATCGCTGGCACTCCGAGGCCAGTGTGCAGGTCGATTGTGGAGATTATTTCTTCCCCAAGGACAGGACCAGCCATCGTCGCTATTTTCTCGCCAGATGGCTCCCAAGCGAAACACACACCCCGACCCCGACCCAGGATCACCCAGTGACTCTCCTGTGGCCAAGAAGCCCGCCATTAAATCATGTCGTGCCTGTGGATTGACCAACCACGTCAGACCCTTCATCAAGAAGTGCACAGCCAGAGTCGACAGCAGCCCTGCCTCTGGCTCTGCCTCGGTCGCTGAAATGGTCAGCCAAGCACCCCCTCCAGACAATCCCAGTGAGGACACTGCCTTCCCAGCCCTCGTGGTCGAGATTCCTGCACTGTGCAAGCTGCCATACGCTGTGGGATCGAGACATCAATGCCTCAAGGAATATGATCTCGGTATGCCAGTCGATCATCGCCACAGGAGATCGACCGAGTGTATTCAAGACTGTGCTTCCCAAACCAACCAAAACAAAGAGATTGCCAACGAAGACAGGAGTGCAATGCCATGGCCTGCCCGCTGGGCCTACAAGTCAGTCAGCGGGCTTCAGACATCTGAAACCAGGAAGGAACTGTCCCGTTTCTTTCTGGGCCGACTGTAACAGATGGGATTGCATGTCCTGGGTTCGATAAGACAACCACTTCCGCACCGTTTCGGCGTCGTGGCCATACGACGACAAAATGCAACGGGTTGGCCTGTGGCTTGAAACCATCTGCCGAGCGTGCAGATACTTTTGGATCGCTCAGAAGCAGGCCAGTGCGCATTCCCGTACTTTTTGCATGCCAACCAAGTGGTTGGGTACGGTAGAGCTTCTCAGTCCTGACGAACCCGGATCTCGGTGGGATCGATGGGGCACAATTTCAGTTTCCTTGGGTGTTGCTGGTCAAAGTGGATATGTCTGCAATGTGTCTACGAGCGACCCTGGTCGTGACACTTTCGCCGCGGGAAGGAGCAAGGTTTGAGCAGGTCCGGCGGTGCATGGTCAGGCCAAATCGCATGCTTTTCGCGTCGGTTCGAAGCACTGGGCCGGCAGTGTCCACGCAGGTTTCTTTTTTCGCTTGGCTCGGCGCGCACAAGGCGAGCGGCGCGGTCGCGATCTCGGCCAATTGGCAGGGTGGGGCGGAAAGCCACAGCAGGCTTGTCCTGGACAGCCACACCCCGTTCTTTGACCCACAAAGACGCTCCCCTCGCCCTTTCCCCTCGTCATTTTTGTCTCGTTTCGTCCTTTCGGCTCCCTCCTCGCTCTCCTGCCCTCATCTGGCTTTGGCATCAACACCTTCGTCGCCCTCACCCCGCCTCTCCGCCATGCTCAGGGCCATCTCCTGTTGTTTTGGAGGGTCTTCAGACCCGGTCGACGGCCGAGATGTCTCCCAGCAGACCCCTATCTACCTCTACCAGCAGACCCACCCACCAGCAGCCCAACAGAGCCTGCCTCCTGTCTCCGAGCAGACCCAGGATGTCGTCGCCCAATCTGCTGACACTCAAACCCAAACCCAGACCCCTGTTTCCCAGCAGCCAAAGTTCCCTCCTCCGCTCGATCCGTTTGGCCCTTGGCTCCATCCCGTCGAGTGTCTCATCAACGGCGCCCGCGACGAACCTGATACTCTCCTGATCAACACTTACGAGAGCGGTGCCTCGGAGCGACTCAGCTATCTCCAGGTGTGGAAGCAAGCCTATTCGGTCGCCCAGGCCCTCAAGGCTCTCCCTGGCTGGAACGATGACGGCCACGAGGCCATCGGCACCTTCTGTGAGGCCGAATCCAGCTGGGCGATTGGCTCGCTCGCTGTGTGGATGCTGGGCAAGTGAGTATTCGCTATTGGTGCGGTGTGATAAATGCTGTTGTGATGTGAGCTATGAACATCAATTCAAGCAATGGACATGTTCACCCTTGCTCCGTGCCATGTCAAGGGTCGAGTCTCACCTGTCCTTTGAACTCCATCCAGGAAAACACTCAACTTTGCCCTCAACCTGCCTCCTGCAGCCCGCAGGGCCCTGTGCGAGAGGTTTGTGCTGGTTGCTATCGTGAGGATGAGCAGGCTGGTTCCTGCATCCTGGATTGAGCCAGCTTCTCTTCTGGGCTGGTCGACTGAGATCCTGACACTCACATCACCACCAACCGACAGACATGCAATCAAGTACATTCTCTACCACCACACCAAGCCCGGCCGCACCGAAGGCGTGACTCTGATCGATGCCGCCACCTTCCCGGTGTTGGACGACATTCCATCCCCGTCTCTCGAAGTCTGTGAGCCTCTCGATGAGTTTGTTGCCTATTTAGGAACATCTGGAACAACTGGTATGTGAGTGGAGTATGAGAGTGCCTGGGATTGCTGACAGAGTAAGCCCCAGCCACAAAGGTCGAGCATGGGAAGTTGAGCTCTAGCGGTTGCGACAGTAGATGACAGACATTGAAGCAACGGTTAGAAACCTATTTGACCTCTGTCTCAATCCTCAATACCGTTTCCTAATCACTCAAACAGGCATTCCGAAGACGTAAGTGACCCATGGCATTGCATCCATACTCCTCACTCGGATCGAATGAAGGATCTCACACTCAGCGGATTCTTTTGATTCTTCAGATACAAATTCCCTCATACTGGCGTAATCACTAGTCGAGGTTCTCTGGGACTCGAGTATATAAGTACCGGGCTGTGCCAGGTAAGACACACGGTTCTGAGCGACAGAGTTGAGCCATCCATGGATTGAGAACTAACACGGAATGGCAATCAGGCACCTTCGTTTGGTGCAACTCTGGGCTGGATGCTTTGCGCCCTGAGCCTCAAAGGATCCTTTTGGTTTCCCGAGCCCACACCCAACACTGTCGACAAAGCCAAGAGTATCATCAAAATGCTCGATGATGGTTTGTGGTATCTCTTTATGGTAAGCTGTAAGCGCCATTGACATTCTCCTTCATTCGGGTACTGACTAATTGTTTTTCTTTGATACCATCCTCTCAGCCACCCTCGTTCATGAAGATGATCATCGACGTTGCTCAGAGTCAGAATCCGAATGTCAAGTGGAATACAGTGAGAAAGATCGGCATGGGCTCGGAGCTCGTTCCAGCGAGCGTGGTCGCACAAGTCAAGAAGGCATTCCCCAAGGCTGATATCATATCCACATATGTATCCAGCGAGGTAAGTGTATGCATATCGTATTATCACCGCGTCATGGTACTGAATCAATCAATTATTCTTGTTCTAGTCTGGCCTTATCGGTGCAATTACGATTTTCCGTCTTCCAGCCACCAGCCAAATCGTTCCAGACAAGTTGGTCTACAGGTTAATTAAGCCCGGTGTTCGCTGTCTCCTTTTTGACGAGGAGGGCAACATTGTCGACCAAAAAGTCTCCAAGAGCGGTGTGCTCGTCTTTGCCGTCGACAAGGACCATCCCATCAAGAACCACCCCAACTTTGTCAACGCCGATCCAAACAACAAACTCGCACCCTTCGGCTTCCTCGAGGATGGCTCACCTCGAATCTGCACTATGGACTGGGTCGAGATGGTCTACGAGAACCAGTTCACTGTGGTTGGAAGGTGAGTCAATGGCTGGGTGTTGCATCTCATTGATGGTGAGTGCACATCTGGCACCCTGGGGACACATCCAACTCCTGTATCGAGAGTACTCACGCCATCCACTCCCTCACTCCACACCATCACTCCAGATTCGACCAGAAGATCAAGGTCAACGGCGTCTATGTCGACCTCAACGCCCTCGAGGAGTTGGTTCTCGAGCACATGCCTGATACCATCACAGACTGCACCTTTGTCCAGACCTCCGAGAAGGAGATCGTGATGCTCTACGTTCGTCGGAGCGGATCCAACACCGATATTGTTCCAAGCGAGATGATTCGTATCGTCGAGGACTTTTTTACCCTCAAGAACGTCGCCAAGTTCCCGATCCACAACGTCTTCCAACTGCACCAGTTCCCCCTCAACGACTCGGGCAAGCGTGATCTCAAGAAGCTCAGGCGTTTCGCCGAGCATGCCAAGTACTTCGGCAGGGCAGTCGAGTATCCTCCTCTGAAACTCGCCAACACTCCCCTGTCCCGCACTGCCGCCAAGATCTCCACACTTGGCAGCCAGATCATCGACAACCCCGCCCTCGACGGCCGCAACTACTACATCGGCGGTGTTGGCTTTGACTCGCTGAGTGTCAGCCGCCTGGCCCTCGCCATCAAGGATGAGCTGGATGTCGAGATATCACCGATGATATTGCTGTCGAACGGAATGACGCCGCTCGATGTCGCCCAGCTGGTTGTCGACATCCTCGACGACAGACCGATGATTCCCCCGACTGTTGATCTGGCTGCCGAGGCCGCCAAGCTCGACGATGCGAGTGTGACGGCCGAGGGTCTTCCTCCGTTTGTCTATCCCAAGGACCCTCGCGGCATCGTCCTGACCGGTGCCACTGGGTTCCTTGGTGCCTTCCTGGTCTTTGAGCTGGCCCACAAGTTCCCTCGGGCCAAGATCTACTGCCTGGTCCGAGCCAAGGACGATCAGGAGGCTGTCGAGCGCATCATCAGCACGGCTCAGAAGCTGGTCCTCGATCCGAGCCAGAGAGCCTTCCTTGACCACAACCTCAAATCTCGACTCGTTGGACTGTGCGGCAACCTGTCGCAGGACAAGTGGGGACTCTCGGACGAGCGATGGAAGGAGATCAGCGAGGAGACCGACATGATTGTCCACAACGGCGCCGAGGTCCACTGGCTGTTTGACTATGACAGACTCAAGGGACCCAATGTCCTCGGCACTGCGACGGCCCTGAAACTGGCCACAACCCACCACCTGAAGCCGCTGCACTACATCTCGACCATCGGCACGATCCCGATGGCCAAGAAGGCAGACAAGCCGCTCGAGGAGAAGATCTACTCGGCCTGGAACATCTCTGGCGGGTATGGCCAGACCAAGTGGGTCTCTGAGCAGCTGGCCAACAAGGCAAGATCGAGGGGAGTGCCGGTGACCATCATCCGCCCAGCCGTCATTGCTGGCGACAGCCAGTACGGAGGTGAGTCGAGTGTGATGTGGTGATGTGATGTGGTGCAGATGTCTCAATCGCTCATATGAACTGGCCATGAATCGATGGTCTCGATTGTCAAGTGGCACTCATCCACCAACTGACACCAACTGACTTTCACACCCTCCATCGCTCCAGTGTCCAACTCTGACGACTACATCTGGCGATATGTCAAGGGATGCATCCAGCTCGGCCTTGCTCCTTCATATGCCACTCCCGTCACCCTGACCATGGATCCCGTCGACCATGTTGCCAAGGTGGTTGCCGAGATTGCCGGCTCTGAGGAGTCCCTGTCCAAGTTTGTGTTCCACATCAGCGACTCGGAGCACAGGTGAGGACTGTGTGATGTGCGATATGGTGTGCGATGTGGTATGGATGGTGGATTCCGACTCTGATTACTCACTCACTCACTCACTCACCACAGTGTCCTCACTGAGACCAAGCTGTTCGAGATTGTCAATTCCTTTGGCTGGCCCGTCCTCTTTGAAACTCGTGAGAAGTTCAAGTACGTCATTTCCACCAACCCCTTGTACAACCAAAATGCCCTGTCCCCGCTCATGCACATGATGATGGACATGTCCATCAAGATCGACAACGCCAACACCCGCTCGATCTACCCAACGCCCTGTCCCTCGACTGTGCTAATCGCCAAGAAGTGTCTCAGCTACTTGAACCATGCTCACTTCCTTCCCAACCCCATCACGCCATCGAGCGAGTTGAAGGACGACGAGTATCCCGAAGTCAGCATCTTCACCCGCACCGGCCGCAACTGATCAGCGGACGGTGATTCAGCAATAGATTGATCAGGTTGTTTCTTCCCTCTTCCTTTCTGCTTGAGTCTCTTCTTTCCTTTCCTTTCTTTTCATCTATAAACGACGGATCACTCGATTGATCCGATCCCTTCGCTTCCAACATCCCGCAGCTTGTGGATGTTCATTCCTTTGTGATCATGGACGTCCTTGGTCTTTGGTCGAGTCATGTTTGGTCGAGCCATGTTGGGACTTCTGATGTGAACACGGTTGATTTTTCTTTGCGACCCGCTGTGGCAGGCTCTGAGCCATCTCGACAGACAAGGACCCAGTCTCAACCAGTGTTTCATATCCCGATTCCACTCTCCCGGCTCCATCGACACAAAGGAGGCTGTGTCTGCTGAGACTATCGGGAGCAGGAGTGCGTCCTCATCAACATCGATGACTTCGGAGCTGCCCTCCTGGGATCTAAATGAGTGACTGATTACCGGAATGGTGTATTTTACGGTTCGTTTGTCCAGGTTGAAGCACCCAGACGCGGAACACTGGCACTGGTTTGATACAAAGCTCTGTACAGATATGAGTCGTCGTTGCATTACTTGCATTCGAGAATAAAGGAGAAAGCCCTGTCCATTCAAAGAGGCAGATCTCTGAGGCTTGTGGGCACGGCGAAATTTGGCCGGAACTACGGTCCGGTTAGTCGGAGAAGTTGATTCGGATGGATCCGGAGTGGGAGCTGGCCGCCAGAATCTGGCTGCTGGTGCCGGAGCGGACGTGACCCTCGATCGACTCGCCGGGGATACGGCGCTTGCGGCTGTCAATGGTAACCTCGCCAGAGACATGAATGCCGCCAACGGAGGTCTTGAGATCGAAAGTGCCTTGGTAAGCCTGGCCGCGAACATCAAGGACAATGCCGCCATTGGTGTTGGTGGCCTTGAGGGCAAGATTGTCGTTTCCATCGGCAACATAGATGTTTGATTTGATGTTTCCGTTGACAGTCACGGCAGACCAGCTCGATCCGGCCCAAAAGTTTCCAAAGACATTTCCGTTGACGTTAGCGGCGTCAATCCTGTCGGCATCGACAAGCTGTGGGTTGAAGTGGCGAGTGAGCAGCAGATCGAGGGCCGCGCGATGCGCGATGAAGCACCCACTGCGGGTATCGAGGCTGCAACACTGCGGCTGGTTCGTACCTCCACAAAGAGGTTTCCGTTGACGAGCTTGAATGATGCAGTCGAGGATGACAGTTGCTACGGAGGTGCAGACAACGCAGCGGTTAGAATCCTGTTGCAGGCGCATCTCGATGTGGCGCATCCCTCTATGCTTACGTTAATAGAAACCTCCCCGTTAACGTTGTGGATGGAACTGGTGGTGGCTATGATATCTGATTCCTGGATGGCCACAAAGGAGAGATCGTGAGTCGGCCGGCGAGCGTTGTGTTCATAAGCGCGATCGCAGACGGTACTCACGGCCAGATTGATGTTTCCATTGACGCTGGCAAGTTTCAGATCTCCGAGGCGGAGGCGCTGGTTGTGGAAGCCGTCGATGGGGCCGGTGCTCTGGACACTGAGGGCGAGCGACTCCTTGGTGCCTTGAGGCAGAGTAATGCGAGCAGCGACATAGATGACGCAGTGATCCCGACCATGCGGAGACCGGCGGTGGTTTGGGGTCTGTGACGGCCGGCATGGTAAGCAAGTTCCCAGATACTGTAGAAATGGCATGCGAAAGCTTGTGGCGGGCAGGTCAAAGACTCACCTTGATGGTCAGGGACAGGGTCGTCTCGCTGTTGACGACTTCGCGGCTGATGTCATCCAGGCACCGCTCGTGGGAGACGTGGTAATGCGACTCGATGATGGCGTTGGTTTCAGAAGGATCCTCGTTCACACGGAGGGAAACGGTGGAGATCTGCGAAAAGTAGATCGGTTGCTTCGCAAGTCAGCGACTGCCGGAAATGCGCATCTGGCTGGTCCCTGGTTGGACTGGACAGGCGATCTTACCGCATAGCCCTCAACAACGAGAGCGATGGTGTCCAGGCGAGTGCCATCGGCGACGATCGGGTCGTTGTCGGGATAGACTGGGATCCTGGCTTCAGGAACGAATCGGATTGGCTCTTCAAACTCCTTGGAGGGGTCGATGTCACTGCTCGGCCAATCGTAGTTGCCGGTGAAGAATCTGGGGCCGCTCCAGACGTGGTGCTATTGGAGAGGTTTGAAGGGACGCAGTGTAAGGACACGGAGATACGGCATCGTCGGTGACGATTTGTGAACCGCATCAAGAAACGGAGTGGGAGAGTATGCGCGGCACTCTACCGGGAAGATGAGCGAGGAGAGAATCCACAGAGCAATGAACCAGCACAGGAGTTTTCCTGCTTGGCATCCCCTTTTGCGGTGGCGACACTCTGTGTGCTCGACGATCGGATTCACCACAATCGAGACGGAGCTGGGGGACTCCCGCTGAACGGCGGCTTCGTTGAGGAGGGGCTGCTTCTCGGAAGAAGGGTAGTAGCTTGGAGGCTGGTTGTGGGCACCGCTGTCAGACATGATGGCGCAGCAAAGCAGAACAGGAACGGAGGGGACGTGCGGGACAGCCGAGAACGAGAAGAAGAACAAGAACAAGAAGAGGCCAATCGATTGTGAATGCTGTTGCTGCTGTGGTTGACGATGCTGTTGCTGCTGCGGTTGATGATGATGCCTGGGCCCAGCCTGGGAAAGTGCTCCTTTTGTATCACTCGGGCTGAGCCCACGCCAAGGGAAAACGCCAAGGTGGCCAATGTCGCACGCGAGTACACGTGATATCCAGTAATCCCCGAGCCGGGGCGGATGGCACGTGCATCAATATCCCCATACATGGATTGTGCGACATTGGCGTCCTGGCCAATCGGCGCTGTGCTCGCCTGGGTTTCGCCGTTCAGACACCGCCGCAACCCTCTCCACACAATCCACCACGGCTCCTCTCGATCGTCATCGCTTTCGCCGTGCTCTCGCCCCTTGGCCACCGCCGTGTCGCATATCAGAGACTTGAGCACAGAAAGCATAGGCATATCCCAAGCCATTTATTGCTCCATCCTGCGACCAAGCCATTTTTGCTCCGTCCTTCAACCAAGTGACAATGTCGCAACACATTGTGGATCTGACCGGTGACAGCGACTCGGACGCCTCTCCTGATATCAAGCAGCGTCACAATCGGCAGGTCATACTCGATGATGAACACGACGAGCACGGCAACAGCGTCCAGCTCGTCCCTGATGGAGCTCTCAGGGAGAGATCGAATCAGGCCCCTCGGATCGTCCGCCCCCAGAGCCAAGAGACCCTCTGGAGCTCGGAATTCGCCCCTCATCCAAGCAAAGTGATCCAAAACATGCGCCCAGTGTCCCAGCCGCACCAGAAGCAAGCTTCCGCCGGAAATCCGCGCCCGGCGCTAGGCTCCTCCAGCACTATTAGACCCCCATCAGCTGCCCATCAGCAAAGCCGGCCCTTCTCGACTCCCTCCAAGGAAAACCGATATGGCTACGGCTATGGGTCTCAGCCCGGCAGACCTGACTCCGACGGCACTCCCTTCGCCCGAAGCTATCGAAACGACCAGGGGACCAGCTCGTCGTACGGGCGAAATGGCGGTAACCCCAACTTTGTGCGTACACCAGCTGTAATATGCTCGCAATCGTCAAGCTCCACAGCTGCAATCGTGCTGCCGCTACTTTGCGTGTTGCGACATTGCGCTTTCCTGGCTGGGACTATTTGCACACATGTGCACCCAGATGCCAAAGCACGAGCTGTGGGGTAGCGTCGCTAACCCCTTCCTTTTTCGATCCAGAACCCCAACCAATTTCCATACAATTACGTGCCCTCGCCTCAGCGCCCACCCGTGATAGTGAGCAAGTCGAGCCTCGATCGTAACGGCCGATCCACATCCCGGCCGGCCGAGTCGAGAAACATCTTTTCATCCCACTCGACCTTCAGCAACCCATATTCGATCGAGCCCATCGATTATGACGCCCAAATGGAGCGGATTCTGCGCCAATCCGCGCCCACCCGGGACGCCCAGCGATCTGGACCACCGAGATTCCAGCCAGAAATCGAAGTTCCTGAGAGGAATCTGCTCGAGCTGTTGGAGAGGTGGGATATCAGCAGATGATGTTCATTCCTCTAGCAAGTCGGTGTCTCTGAGAACTGACAATCCTCTACAGTATTCCCGACGACGACGAGACCATTCCTTACCATGTCCAGCCCAAGGACGTAAACGTCACTCTGCTCCGCCACCAGCTGAAAGGTCAGTGCTTGTGCTAAGAGCAGACGACGCCGCTGCTGCCGCCGCCGCCGCTCAACTTGAACTGATCCAAACCAATCTCGTCAATTTGATCCAATAGGCGTGGCCTGGATGAAAGGTAGACAGCTACACAATGGCAGCAGCCAAGGATGCGCCGTTGTTTGTCCATCTGGTCTGACAGGGTTCAGTATTGAGCCGAATCTATCATCGCTATACTGATACACATGAGTACTTGTCACCAGAGCGCGAGGAAGGCATCAACAAGGGCGGTATTCTTGCAGATGATATGGGTAAGACCTGTGCAACATCTGGTGGGGTTACGAGGACCGTCTCAACCACTTTCGCCGCTTGCTACCGTATGCCTCAAGCAATCTGAGCTGATGTGCCTTCTTGACGGTTAACCAGGCCTTGGGAAAACCGTCCAAACGATCAGCTTGATTGTCTCGAACCCTTCCAAAGACCCGGCATGCAAATCAACTCTCGTGGTGGCACCGCTCGCATTGATTCGTCAGTGGGAGAGCGAGATCAAGAGCAAGACAACCGATGGCCTTCTTTCTGTCCTTGTGTACCACGGCAGCGAGCGCATCAGCAGTAAGCTTTGGATGACAGCGGTCTTCAGACCTGGCCAACACGGGGCTTTCTTTGGCGCCTGTAAACTGAATATTGTCTCCCTACCCCAGATATTGAAACGCTCAAGACTTACGACGTCGTCATCACAACATACAATGGTCGGTATCTGTTCCACGAAGCGATACTGTCCACTGCTGAATCGCGAATCGAGCCCTGCTAACTATACCTGCTTTCAGTGCTGACGGGCGAGTTCCAGCCGCCAGCCAAGGATGAACGAGACCTGGACTCGGAGTTCATCAAGCCCGGCAAGGACTCTGGCCCGCTTTTCAAAGTGACTTGGTATCGAGTCATTTTAGGTACTGGAGAGCCTTCGATAGCTGCCAACAGCACCATGACGTGGATCCACCTGGATGCAGCAGCATTGTGCACACCATGTATCCTGATCTATTTTCTGAACTCTTCACCAAGACGAGGCCCAAACGATCAAGAACAAGTCCACAAAGGGCGCTCAGGCATGCTGCGCTCTGTATTCCAACTATCGCTTCTGCTTGACCGGAACGCCAATTCAAAACAACCTTGATGAGTTGGTAAGATTCGTGGTTGCAGCCCACCTTACTGGCACTGTCCCACGACCGGTATCCTGAAAGCGGGCATTTCGCATCGTACCGTGCTGGCGACCATTTGATATCCCATCGTGGCGAGAACATTGCCTACGAAGGTCGATCATTCTTGAGGGAGGGCCATGATGAGCTGGGTAGATGCTCCCGATGGCAGCTAACCACAACGACATCTGGTGGAATTGTTCGGTGGGCGTCAACAGTACAGTTTATTCAGGTTCTTGAGGGTCAAGCCCTACTGTGATTATGGTGAGATGTCACTGGTCGCAGTCACTGCCCCAAAGGCCCGCCGGCACCAGCAGAGCCGCAGCCCCGCGAAACTTGCATCGATGCTTCTGGTTGTCTTGATGGTCGCACTGACTGCTGTATTTGACCGATGCCAGCCACGTACAAGAGGGAGGTGTCCGATCCATTCAAACAAAGCCGGCCCAAGACCGCCATCAAACGGCTGCAGATTATCCTCAAGGCTGTGATGATCCGCCGAACAAAGTTCTCCAAGCTCGAGGGCAAACCGTTGTTGAACTTACCCCAACGCAAGGTCGAGCTCAAGACCATCCCGTTTTCACTCCAGGAGCGCCGGTTCTACGACTCGCTCGAAGATCGCATGAGGAGAAAGCTGGATGCGTACATGCAGGTCCGCAGCTTGGCCGTGCTCAGAGCAAATATTGACGCATGTCTGTGGCAAGCTGAGCTGGATCGATAGTGAACTAGTGCTCGAGTTGGTACTTGTCCTGGCAATCTGTTCATCACGGCGAGCACATTAGCATTAACCTCGGTTGCTGTTGCGCAATTCACTCCGCAGGAAGGAAGCATGGGCACCAACTACACAAACGTTCTGTGTTTGCTGCTGAGGTGATTGAACTGCGTGTATATCTGCAGACGCAACGGCGGCAACGGCATCGCACGAGACGATGGACCGTGCGTCTGAGACACTCTGCGTGCTTGTCGCACGACTAACCGCAGCTCTGCCGGGGTATATAGACTGCGGCAAGCTTGCAATCACCCTAAGCTTGTTGGTGGACAACAATCGGCCGAGAGCGACATCGGGCCAACCAAAGACGACAACGAGGAGATCGACGATCTCGCAGCCATGCTTGGATCGCTTGATGTCAACGTCAGGCAATGCAGGATTTGCCAAGAGCCGTAAGTAGCTGGTTCTATGTCGGCTGCACTCGCATCACGAGTTGTTGCGACGCTTGTGAGTTGAGCGGCAGCGGCACGGCAAGCGACGGTTTCCAAGTAGCATGGGGGTCAGTTCCCAGTCCAATATCGGCACTGCTGCAGATGATAGCGGTGATGCAGCATTGATGAAGTTACTTGCTTTCGCCAGACTCCCTGCTGGGAAGCCTAAGGGCGAATGCGACACCTGCAGTGCATCGGTTTTGGCCAAGCAGCCCACCCAGGAGCAGCTTGTGACATCAACCAAGATCGAAGCGGTAAGGCATTCATGTTTGGGTGTGCGTGGCTGGAAGCAGAAAACAAGGACAAGATGCGCAGAAGGATGACATCATTGACTGAAACGGCCAGACTGTTGTCCTCAACGACTCCACCTGTCCCAGACTAAGTGTGCCCTCTAAACTTGCACATAGATGCTCGATATTCTCAAGAACACGGCCAAGACCCACCCTGGCGAGAAAACCATCATTTTCTCGCAATTCACCTCGATGCTGGATCTGATCGAAAATGCCTTGAAGGAGAACGGCTTCAAGTACTGCCGATGTATGTTGTTCCGCGCTACCGTGTGTCTTGACTCTTCCAGAGACGAGTGTGTGGGTGCTGTTGATCGCATTGCCGATTCTCCACAATGGTTTTTGGTTGGAGTACCGCGCCGTTGATATGTTCCATGACCCATTAATGCATCGATCCAGACGACGGTCAAATGAACAATCAGAAGCGAGAAGACAGCTTGAGGCGAATTCGTGAACGACCCGAGTACACGGTGATGCTGATTTCTCTAAAGTGTGGTATGTATCGATTTGTCTTGGATACTGCATTGAGCCACTTGCTTACCACCTCAGGGGTCTCCGCGCCGATGTGAATGTTAACTTCGCGGTTGCCTTTGATCAGGTTCCCTGGGATTGAACCTTACGGGTGAGGTCACGTCGGGAGCAGGGAGACTGTTTGTGCACTTGTCTGAGGCAGTAGCTCCCTTCGCCCCCTCAGTACAGGACCCATACCTTATTTTAACCGCCGTTTCCCTGTCTGGGGCTGCTCTCGTGGTCTATGTAGTTGCAAATCGGGTGCTCATGATGGACATCTGGTGGAACCCCGCTCTTGAAGACCAGGCCATCGATCGAGTGCATCGGTATGTGACTTGCTGCTGGCCAATATCGTGCGACCTCGGGCTGTTTAGCCACGATGCTGTTTCTATTGAGTTGTCGGCATGCCCTAGGAAGCTGTAGAGGTGATGGCAGCATCGTTTCCCTCTGCATCACGGTGTCTGAGATTGCTCTATCCTTATACAACGAACAGCATTGGCCAGACGAGGGATGTGCTTGTCACCCGACTCACAATCGTCAGCACCGTGGAGGATCGCATCCTCAAGCTCCAGGAAAAAAAGGTATGGGCGCAGCCTCAGGGAGCCGAGCCGAGCCGAGCCGAGCCGAGCCAAGCATAGCCTAGCAGAGCCGAACAGAGCCGAGCAGAGCCGAGCAAATGCTCAAGATGGGGACGTGTGATGAGTTGCCTGTCTGCACCAGCTTTCCAAATGCTGATACAGTGTGCTTTTGGCCGCGTGCTCTCCCAGCGCGAGCTGATCGAGGGCGCCCTTGGGGATAGCATCGGCAACATCAAGAAGAACAAGAAATTGAGCGTACAGGAGCTCATGATGCTCATCAATGGAGGCGAATGAAGCGCGGACGAGGCCCAGCAGTCAAACCCACCTTCTCATTGTTTGATCCCGGTCTGACCACCCGATATGTGTGTAATACTTTCGTATTTTTCCTCCCTTCCCCTTGCTAAATTTGCCGGCTCGTATATACAGAGCTTATACACTGGATCGGTGTGATCTTTTATTATGGCCGGGGACACGGGAGTGGGGGGAGAGTGGCAGGAAGCGGGCTGCGGAGGCAGGGCCTGACGACTGTGGCTCAGGACTCCTCTTCGCTGTCGCTCAGAAACTCAGACACGTCTTGAGACCTTTGGGCCAGCTGGATCACCTCGCTTGTGATGGGTTTGGCTCTTCGACTGATGCCGGCAGTCGACAGAGTCGATGTGGACGGCGTGCTCGAAACAGGAGAAGAATTGGTAATCATCTTGGCAGGCGGGCGTCCGGAGGGCCGGCCCTTGGGCACGGAACTGGCTGGTTTGGGTTCTGTCATCAGCGAGGTAATGAAATCAGTACAGGAGTCACAGTCCGGATATGGAAGAACATGGGGCGGTCGAGGAGCGACGACGCAGCGCCAAAGCATGAGGAGCTCGCCGGGCCGGCGCCATTGCACCACCCAACCCGATTCCGAACGAGCAATCTGCCCATCACGAAGCCTTTTGGGCTTTCGGCGTACCATCCAAAAATGACAGCAGAGTGTTCTTCACGCCCTTCTTCCGGCTCTTGCCGGCAAGCCGGATCTTGGGCGCTTCTTCGGCGTCGCTGCCGTCGTCGTCGGTGCTTGACAAAAAGTCGTCATCTCCTGCTGAAATGTCTTCTTCTTCTTCTTCCTCCTCCTCGTCGTCTTCGTCTTCGTCCTCGTCCTCGTCGTCGTCGCCTTCATCATCGTCGTTACTCGCCTCTCGATTTTCCTTGGCGTTGCTGTTCCCGCTCTGGTTTCGTCCACCCATGGACCCATTGGCAAAGCCGGCCGAAGCAAACTTGAGCGCAGGATAGCTCGGTCCACCCTTCCGCATATCGGCGGGGCCGCCCAGTCCCTTGGTAAAGTCCAAGCCTGACAGAATAGGCTGATGGAATGATTCGGGCTTGAAGTTCTTGGCAATGTCGGTCAAGGACATGGTCGTTCGGTTGGCACGCGAGAAGAGCTGGAACGTCGATGCGAGAGCGCCGGTCGATGTCGACGAGCTGCTTCGTTTCAGAGGCGGCTGCTTGGCCGGCGGCGCCAGTGTCTTTGACACTGCTGTTACTGCTGTTGTTGCCGCTTTTGTTGCCGCTTTTGTTGCCGCTTTTGTTGCTGCTGCTTGTATTTCGGCTGCATTCTGGGAGGGCTTCAGGATCGATCGCAGCTTTGGAGCAGCATCAGGAGCCGAGGGGTTGAGTTCGGGGCTGTTGGGCGCATCGCTGAGGGGCGGCGAGTCAAACAGGAGCGTCTGTGACGAGTACTCGGGCGACTTGTCTCTTGGACGGGACTGCGATGAGCCGCTTGCCTTGCTTGACCTTGTTTCTCGGCGGCTAACCACCGCGTCATTCCGACGCTTCGTTCTGCCTTGAGTCCAGGTATCATCTTTGCTATGGCTACTTTCATCGTCCTCGTCTTCGTCTTCATCCTCGTCTTCATCCTCGTCTTCGTCCTCATCCTCGTCATTGCCATCGTCCACATCGTCTTGGTCGTCCTCATCTTCTTCGCCCTCGGCTTCGTCCATCGATTCATCCGCCTCCTTGTCGCCATCTTGAGGCTGATGACGGGGTGCGCTTTTCTGATTGCTACGTTTTCCAAGAGACAAAGCATGAACAACTCGGCCACTGCGATTCTGGCTGTCGTCAAAATCCTCAATCTCGTCTTTGTCGCTCGCATGACCTTGGCCGTTCGGGATCTCCTCTTGGCTGTCGACAGAGTCGCTGTCGTCTTCCGCACCATTGCCCTCGCCAGCGTCTCTCTTGATGGTTTGAGAGTCGCTCGGGCGGATGTGTGGCGGCTGGGTGACAGGCATGGGTTGCGGGGTGATCGGCGACGGCGACAGTGGAAGCAGCCGAGTCCGTTTGTGGTTGGGAACAGCGGTTCCGGCATGCCCATTTTTGTCGTCAGCGTCAGCGTCATCGTCGCTACGAACACTGCGCTTCTTGCTGGATAGATTGGTGGTGGACGTCGAGGACGATGACACTCTGAGACTGCCAATGTGGGATTGAGTCACCATATCCTTGATATTGCCCGATGCGCTGGGAGCTGAGGGGGCCGGCTCGGGTGTTGCTTGCTGAGGCGCAACGGAGGCCCTGGCCCGCTTGCCACTGTCCGCTTTCAGTATCGGAGATGTCGAGTCGCTTTCATCACTCGAGACGGCCGGGCGACGTGCAGTATTGACACTGAGGGCAGCCACAGCCTTTGACAACCGGGACGAGCGAGCCGACTGCATGGGTCGTGCTTCCAGTTCTTGAGAGGATTCGTAGGAGCTAGGGGCCGCCAAGTGCGAGCGAAGACCAGGACGAGCCCCTTGAGATGCCGGCTCAAAGTTGTCGTCGCTATCGTTGCTGTCGGTGTTATCGTCGTCACCAGCTTCAAAAGAAGATTCATCGGACTCGGTGACAGTCTCAGTGACGCCGACCGAATCGTCGTCTCTGTCGCCATCGCCTCTGTCGGCAGTCTCGTCAAGTCCATCGAGATCGTCACGCAGGACGGTTGCTTCTGAGTCGCTGTCGTCGGGATTTGAATCAGGCCTGGATGCGATCCTGGCTCTAGAGCGGCCGGCATGGGTACCGGGAGGGCCGGCTGGAGCAAATGCGCTTGCCTTTGGCGGGTATCGCAGGACAAGAGTGCGGGGAGGAGGAGGAGCGACAGACAGCATCATGGTAAGTGCGACAAATCTTGGAGGCACACATCGAAGGGTCTCTGATTCGGCCATGTCAAGGGCGCAGCCTCAGGTGACTAGACACCCCGAGTCATCAAAGTAGAGAGGTGCTTGTGGACGCAAGAGTGCAGAAGCGACACGGCGGCTGCTGCGTCGTCAGTAATGTGTGCGGGTGCGTGCATCGACTTGGAGGTACTCACCAGATTGGCGGTGCGCGGATCGGTCTGGCTTAGGACTGCAGTGCTCCTTCGCGCTGCGCTGCGGGTCATCATCTTGGGTGGGTCGGTAGACTGAGTCGGCGTGGCTTGAGTTGCAGGAAATGGAGTTTTTGGTGAGGTCTCATCGAACGCACTTGGGCTGCTCGCCGAGACGGAGGGAGATTCGGTCTTGGCTGCCCGCGCAGAGATGGCCGCGGGAGCGGGTTTCTCACTTTGGCCGGGCTTTGCCTTGCCTGTCTCGCTAGAAACCGCACTCGGCAACGAGATTGAAGAGGCTCCTTCACCTGGGTCCCTTTGGAGACCAGTAGGACTAGTCTCCGACTTGCTGGAATCGGCGAGTTTCTCGAGCGCCTCCAGGGCCTTCCGTCGCTTTGCCCGACGACTGCTTGTCTGAGGAGGCGCGGCTTTGGGCTCGGTCTCGGGTGCAAGTTTGGTCGCGGCAGTGGGCTGACTCGAGCTGTGCGCGGTATCCCGGGTCGTGGAGGTCGTTGGCAGCGCCCGGCGTGTGGGTGAGCTCGGCTGCGTCTGGGACGGGGCACGGCGGGGCTCAAGTTTGGACGTGTCCATGAGCTCAGGCGAGGACGGGGCAGAGAGCGTGTGCTCGGCGGCTGCGTTTGCATTCTGAGACAGAGGGAGTGAGCCGGTCACAGCAGCGGTCGTCACCGACAGGGGAGGAAGCTTCGCTGCAACAGCGGCCCTCACTGCCGCGATCGTGTTGGCGATCGGCGCTGATTTGCTTGGAGCCCGGGTCTGCACCACATTAAGGGGGACAGTCTCTGCTTGAGCAACTGTAGTCGTTCGTGTCGATGACGCAGCCGCGGGCTTGGGGGCCGTGTGAGATTCTGCTGCCCCGATCCGTGCAGATGTAGTTTGAGGACCAGTCACTGTCTTTGGATTGGACGCAGAGACGGATGCCGCTGAGCTGGACTTGGAGGGAGCTGATGATTTGACAACGGCCGGAGCTTTGGACACGGTCGGTGTTGTCGATGTCGATGAAGCGCTGGATGCTGTCGCGACCGTTGATGCTACTGGTGGCTTGGGTGCTGCTGCTGTTGCTGTCTTGGGTGCTGTCGTTGCTGTCTTGGGTGCTGTCGTTGGTGTCTTGGATGCTGTCGTTGGTGTCTTGGATGCTGCCGGCACGGTGGGTGCCGTGGATGCCGCTGGTGTTTTAGCGGCGGTGGTCTGGGACTTGGTGCTGGTGGGTGTAGTCGTCTTTCCCTGCTTTGTTCGCGCAGCCGTTGCGACCGATGGTGTGAGTATTGAGGGCGAGTGAAGCAACTGCTGACTCGCCCTGACGATCGCACTCTGGATTTCATCAACGCTGGCCCCAAGTCTCTTGACGAAGGCTTGGGATGGCGCCAGAGCGTCAGTGTCCCTGACCTTGTCTACACTCGATAGAATAACATCCTCGTCATCGTCGGTGCTTTCCACGGTGATTTCCGCCATGCCCGAGGGCTGGTGGCTGCGCTCATTCAATGAGACCAAAGCCGCTGAGCTCGCTGCCGAAGCAGATGAGTTGGATGAGTGCGTGGTGTGGCCATCGGCGCTTTTCGCTGGAATCGAGGCAGCGAGACCAGATGACTTGTTGGAGTCTACTGTGCTCTGTCGCTTGGTTTTGACACTGCCTTTGTTTGGGGCAGCCGCTGCACCAGCGATGTTAGACTCTGCTGTCCGAGTTGACGGAGTTGAAAGCGGCGCTGGCTTGGGAGGGACACTCGGCGATTGCGTCGTTTTCACAGATGAGGAGGTCGTTGGCGGGAGAGTGACGACAATAGACTCGTCACGGCCAGGTGCAGTTGCGCTGGTCTTGTTCTGAGGCTTGAGGGCATCGGGGCGAGGGGTATCTTCGCCAGACTTTACAGATCCTCGATCGGCCGACCGCGGCAGCTTCGAACTTGAGCTGGTGGCTGTGTCGTAAAGTGCGACTGCTGGAACCGAGGTACTAATCGGCGAAGCCTCGATGGGTGAACGATCAGCGGCCACAGGTTTTTGGCTGTCCGCGCGCGCCTTGGCGGCCTTGGCGGCCTTGGAGGACTTGGTCGCTTGAGGAGGAGGAGCTCGAGCCGGAGCACCAATAGGAGCGCCAGCCGGAGCACCAATAGGAGCGCCAGCCGGAGCACCAATAGGAGCGCCAGCCGGAGCACCAACCGGAGCACTAGGTGTGGTCAGCGTGGAAGATTGATCTACCATCGAGGGGGGCTTCGGGCAAGGCGTACTTGGCCGAGCCAGGACATCAGAAGCTGGGTCTGGTGCAACTGCTTCGAATCGAGTAGACTCAGTGACATCGGCGGCGAGTGATCCTGCATGAGGAGTCGCGGAGGGGGCGGGAGGCACAGATGCAACCGCAGCTGTCGTCGATGCGGTCTTTGGCCGTTTGGCTTTCGAGACTGCAGCGTCGTCAACAGTCACAGAGGTAGCGGTGGACGGCGGGACAGACGACGAAGCCGTCGACAGTTTCTGCTGCTGTTGCTGGGATTGTTGTTGTTGTTGCTGTTGCTGGGGTTGCTGTTGCTGTGGTTGCGGCTGTGGTTGCGCCACAGGCTGTTGGGTTCGGTCCTTGAGCTTCCGCTTTTTTGACTTGGCAGAGCTTGGGTTGATCGACGGCGAAGTGGCCGGAGGATTAGCAGGTGGGGTAGCGCCAGGAAGGGAGCCGGCCGAGGCCGGGGTTGGCGTTTTGAAATGGGGAAGGGCGTATGGATAGGAATCGGGGACCGCGAACGGCTGAGCTGGCCAAGCGGTAGGAGCCATGGCTGGTGGTCTGGCGAAATTAATCATTGGCCGCAGAGGGATTTGCTGCGAGACGACGGGTGGCTGCCAGGGTATTATGGGCGGGGGCGCTGCGGCGATTTGGGACGGCGCTGTGAACCGAATTGGCTGTGAAATGGGGTTGGCAGCTGTTCTGGGCTGGCTCTGTGGTGGAGCGGATTTGACAGCAGCAATAGTGGACGCCGATGGGGCTGCGGGTTTTGATTTACCAGCTGCTGCAGGCTGGCTTGATTGTGGAGCGGATTTGGCAACTGCTCCGGGCTGACTCGATTGTGGCGTGGGCTTGGCTGCCGCTGTAGGCTGGTTCGGCTGTGGAGTGGTTTTGGAAGCCGCTATGGTCGACACTGGTGGGGTAGTGGGCTTTGGCTTGACAACCGCTGCAGACTCACTGGATTGTGGTGTGGGTTCGGAAGCTTCTGTGCTAGGCACTGGCGGAGCTGCAGTCTTTGGCTTGACAGGAACATCGTTTGCGACGGCGACAGGAGACGGTGGCCGAGGGGAAGGCGTTGGTGGAGTGGCATCTGGGGTAGCGAAATGAAACAGTATCGTGGTTGTGAGCAACCAAGCTTGCGAATTGGCTGGATGACAGTGATACTCTCGTTCGATGGCAAGCACAACACGGGGACCAGAGGAAGCTCATCGTAGCTGCGACTGTGATAAATCGGCGTGGCCGATGTCTTTCCCATGTCAAGAGACAGGATCGGTGGGAACCGGCCGAGCACACAGGTCATCTCATCGAGAACGGGTACCATGCGACGATGCGAACGACGGGGGCACCTTTTGGAACAACAATGACGAGATAGATGACTTCATCGTCCACGAGGCCGTAGGAGACCGGTAGTTCCTTGGCGACAAATGTTCCCCGCGAGTTTTGGAGAAAACAGCGGCTTTCAGGGGAACTGGAGCGGATCGAGTGCCGTTGTGGATGATTGGATAGCCGCCAAAGAACAGTGACACCAGCGGACCGGGCGATGGAGACACGCAGAGTTAGCGGCGCAACAATCCGGTGAGCGAACTCGTGCGAAGGAGGATGTCGTCCTGAAACATGGACGGCCTCATCGACAGCGGCGAGGGGTCGGACCCTGAACAGCGGGAGCGAGTGTGCGTCGCCAAAGGGCAGCCCCACACGGATGGCCTACATCTCATATGGATCCTGGCCCAGTTGTTTCCGGACGGCGTCCCACATCTTGAGGGTGTTCTTCTCGAGCTCTTCGATCAGCGAGAGCGGCGGACAGATGACGAGAAAAGGCTTGGCGGTGGTGCCATCCAAGAAGGGTGAAGGCGAGAGTGAGGCGGGAGCCTGGCTGGGCGAGTCGCTGTCCTCGTCGGAAGCGCCTTGGTGCCGGTCGGACTGGGGAGTATCAAAGCGACTGCGGGAGGCATGGAAGGGCGAGATGCCGTACGACGACGACGGACGATGGACCGAGCGGGATCTGGATCGTGAACGTGAGGGAGAGCGAGTGCGCGAGCGGGACGATCGGGTGGCGACCGACAGATAGTCCTCGCGCTGGATCTCGAGGACGGAGGACTCGACTTCGGGATCGTGGGTGACGATGACGTAGGCATGGAACTTGAATGGCAGAAAGCCGTCCATGCGCTGGAGCTGAGCGGGCTGGTTCTGAACGACCATGGAGGCGCCGAGACGAGAGGCAGCGGGCGGTGTGGCCTACGATATGCAAAATGGAGTGCACAGGATTCGATGCACAGCGCGAGGATGCAGCATGCGATATCCGGGATGCGATATGCGGTGCTCAGTATCGGGGGTGGAGTATCCGATATGCAGATCAGCGGCGAGCGGCGTGGAAAGGTGCGACAAGGCCGTGTGGTGATGGGTCCTTGGGTATGTGCCTTCCGCTGGGCCGATGTGCTCGGGAAGAAGCAGCACTCGGCGCAATCCAATGAACACCAACAAAAAAGAAACGCCCAGGATCCAATCGAGATCATGTGACATCCACATGGCTGCGCCACGGCAAGTCCAGCCCGCCACACCCAGCGCGAGCAGCGGCCGAGAGAGCGAGCGACGATGCGATGCGATACGCCTGCTGGGGCACGCGGATGCCGCGGGCATTGGGTCTGCCGGTCCTGATGTGGGGGGGCATCGGCGCTTGGGGGGGTGTGGTGTGTCCCATTGTCTGCTCAACACACTGAGTTGCTCTCTGCGAGAAACTGAGAAGCCGAGAAGCCGAGAAGCCGAGAAGGCGAGAAGCCGAGAGGGCGAGAAGCCGAGAAGGCGAGCAAAAAAACGGCGCTTCCCTGGCTGCAGCCAAAGCCATCCGGCTCCAGCCGGGCGGCAGTCTCGGCGAGGGTGGGGGAGAGGCAGTCTCGGCCAATAGGCAGCGCGCCCGGGCGGTCTCGCGACGCTCTCGCGGCGCTCTCGCGGCGGCCTCGGCGCGGCCTTTTCAGCGGCCTTTTGGGCAAAACCTCCTGGTCCAGACGTGACCTGCATTCGCTGCTCTCCTGGTCAAGACGTGACCCACCAGACGTGACCAGCCAGCAAAAGACCTGCTCTCCGGCTCGCCATCGCTGCCATGTCCTCCGACGACTCCCATCTCGCCGACCGCGTCGACGATCAGCCACCCGCCGAGGATGACCTGGTACGCTGTCGTCGCTGCTGCTGCCTGCTGCCTCTGCTGCTGCTGGCCCCCTGCTGTCGCTGCTGCTCGGCTCCTTCCCTTGCAGCCAGTCCCCGGCCTTTTCCTGGTTCTGGGTCCTCGCTGTCGCTGCACCCCTCTCGTCACCGCATGGTCCCTTGTTGGGCTGCGAGCATCGTCTCGCGAGCACCATTTTGTGGGCACCCTCCTGCGAGCACCCTCTTGCGAGCACCATCTTGCGAACATCAACGGCCAGCATCGATCTCCTGCTGGCCTGGACACTCTCTTTCACCCGCCATTCCCCTCTTTCTCCATCATGCTCACCCATGAGCCCTGGGTCTTGCCGTGTCGGCTCGCGGCTGCTGCTGCACCGGACGGCTCATGCCTGCCTGATCGTCCCATCCGGCCACAACAACTGGTTCTGATCTATACGCAGAGGTGGAGCTGCCTCTCCTCACACCGTATTGCCTCTCCTCACTCACCGTACTAACCACCTTGCCCGTTTTCTTGGATGCCACAGAACCCTCTCCCTCCCCCTCCCTGCAAGCAGTCGCCATCTCTGGGGCATAATGAGCCCCCCAGCGCCAGCACCGCCTCAGAGTCGCCATCTCCAAACCAGTCCGATCCCTCCTCGGTCGAGCAAAACATCCACCAGCATCTGCTACACCACCAGCTGCAGCTCCAGCAAGACCACCCCCAGGACTCCCACCACGATCTGCAGCAGCTGGCACAGGCCGCTCAGCAGACCCCGCCCCAGCTCCAGCATCTGCAGCAGCACCAGCTCTCGCACATCTCGCAGCAGCTGGCCCTGCACCAGCAGCAGCAGCAGTCGCAGCAGTCCCTGCATCAGCAGCTCCTCCTGGCCACATCCCTGGACAAGGATAAGCTGGCTGCCGGGTAAGTCTCCTCAGCCGCTCTGGTGCCCTGCTATTGCCTCGCTATTGCCGGTCGCTTGGCCGTAGCTCGCTGCCCCTTTCGGATAGGCGCAAGTGTCGGCCAAACGTCCCCCCCCCTATTAGATGCCCTCCCCCATCCCTGAATATCCCTGCAACTTCCGACCTGTCTGACACCATTCTTCCCTTCTTGCTTCACCTCTTTGTCTGCAGTACAAGCCCCCAGGCGCTTCACTACCAGAACGCCATCTACGGTGCCATCGCCGAGTCTGCTGGCTCTGCCGGCAAGCCCCCCGTCGGCTCAGACGAGTGGCTCCGCCTCCGACGAGAGAACCACAAGGAAGTCGAGCGCCGCCGGCGTGAGACCATCAACGATGGCATCAACGAGCTCGCCAAGCTTATCCCCGAGGGCGAGAAGAACAAGGGCCGCATCCTCAACCGCGCCGTCCAGTATATCATCCAGCTCAAAGAACAAGAGCAGTCCAACCTCGAAAAGTGGACCCTGGAGAAGCTGCTGTGTGAACAGGCGTGCGTACTCTTTGACCCCTTGCTGTGAGATGGTCCCGCGACAGCCTGCCTCTCCCGCACACCACAGATGATGGCTATCTTCGGCCTGTTGCGACGCAACCGTCGCCGTGTACTGGAGCGATGCAGCGAATCAATACTTACCCACCCGATTGGCTACACAGCATCCAGGAGCTGAGCACCCAGGTGGACAACCTCAAGAACGAAAACGAGCAGCTGCGTGCTGCCATGGCCGCCATGGAAGAAACTCCCCGCAAGCGCTCGAGTAAGCAACGTGCCGGTGATCAGCCCGCCGATGCTCGCGTGTTGTTTTGCTGCCCAACCGGATGTGTTGTCTGTGGCGATCTCGACTCACTCTCTTGTTCTCGCCTCTGCTTCCTCTGCCCCGACAGGAGAAGAATAAAAATCCTGTATATACGGCTGTTCCAGAAATCCGGTGCTGTCGCCAAGACATCAATGCTGCCGATCGCCCAAAAACAGACTGAAGCCCTTCTGACCCGACTCTGCGCTTTTGGCGGCCGTCGTTTGTTCGTGGTGGAGGGAACGGCAACCTGTTCGAAACCTCCCATTTCGGAATATCCTGCGCAGGGCACCTGGCTCGATCGCGGCTGCTGGAATTGAGCCCATCTCCTGTATTCGCTGTGAATCCACTCCGCTGCGGTGCGAGGCAGCCATTTCGATCGTGCCAGCATACGCCTTACTCTTTGCCCACTGGCCCGGTTTGCGCATGCGCAAGCGCCAACTGGCTCCATCTTCTTGCTCCTTTGATCTTTCTCGTGTGCCTGTCCAAATTTTGTGAATCCGTTACCAATACATATCGCTCTCTCCTTTGTTCCTATCATTGCTGCTCATGTGTCCGCCACTCGAGGGCGCGAGTCAGTCGGTGATTGCCGGTTCAACAGATCCCGACATTGCTCTCTTTGGCCCAATTTGCGCAAGACATGCTGTAGATCTCTCTCCGTGAATCCGACGGCCGGTTGTCAAACCAAAGCGGTCCAGAAATACTGGGGCATTCGCCGTGGGAGCAGCCTTCCGCGACGAGAAGCCTCACGCTGTGCCATTGTACCTGCTGCAGCATTGCAGCGATCCGCCTCGACGAAAGAGTCATCCCCGGGCCGGGAAACGAGTTGCCGGCTGCAGCCCAGCCGATTTCGACCGGCTCCGAGCTGCGGGGCTCGTGGGATCGTTTGAAGGGCCGCTGTTGGCTGCTCGTCTCCAACGAGAGCGCGGATCCTCGTCAGAAGCAGCGATGGCCCCGAGCACCCCAAACGACTCTTTGCTTGATCGCCCTTCAAGCACTTGCTCTCCCTTCCCCCAGCAGCTGCCAGCCAGCAAAGCAGCGGCATCTCTATCTCCCAGCCACCACTCGGCCAAAGCCTTACCGACAACCAGCTCAGGCCGTGCTTGCCGCCCACTCGCCACAGCCGCGATCTCTGTCGTTGCTCTTCCCAGTCGCCGCTGCCCCAGGCCATGTTCGATCTTGCTTCACGCCGAGCCAACAGGCCCATTGACGTCCAGGAGGCTGCCCGTCTCTCGGCCAAGAAGAGACAAGAATCTCCTCCGGTATGCTGCCAATCCATGTGGCTATGCCCCTCCTGCTTGGCGGGCACAACCGTTTCTGGCTCAACAGGGCCAATGCATCAGCATCAGCATCGGCATCCGCATCAACCTCGTCCCCTCCCAGCGCTGCTACTTTTGTGTCTTGGATCATCGTCCTGAAACACTTATCCAAATCATCACCCGCTCGCTACCGACCGAATGATTTCCTATTTGCTCCAGCGACCAAAATCCTGGGCACCAAGAGGCTTGCCCGACACGACCGCCTCTGCTTCCGACTTTGCTGCCGCCGACTCGACCATCCAGACAGCGGCCGAAGCCGAGCGGCTCTGGAGCCAGGGCAAGCGTCTCCAAGCGATCGAACTCTACGATCAGTTTCGCGAGTCGTTCCTTCGTCTCTCTCGCTGAGTCGGCAAGATGGCCGGGGCTGGAGGGGGAGGTTTTCCGTGGGCAGATCGGGCCGGAGGCTGCGAGTGCTGGTTCAAAACCAGCCACAAGGCTATACATACGATCGCAGATCGCTCCGGGCCCGGATTCTTTCACGTCGCTGGTCCCGTTTCGACGACAACGCACACTAATTGGATATCTTTTGGCTTTGTTCGTGTTTACAGAGTCACTCCTCAGGATATCAGGGCGTATGCCCTCCGAGGTATCGCCCACCACCGTCGCGGCGTGGATCATCACCGGCCTCGAATTGCGCTCTCTATTTGCTTATTGGACACACCACCCCTCCCCGATCCGCGCCGAGGTACTTTGGCCGATACTGACGAGCAACCCGTATCGGCACCGCCCTCTGTCTCGACCACAGACTCGGCTCTCAGGCTCACTTATATCAGTGGATTGACCGACCCGTATCGCATCCTGGAGCAACTCGAAAGCGTCCTGTATCATCTGGCCGAGTGAGTGTCGTCGATGGCTCCTGCTGTCATCAAAGCCTTGGTCTGCCGCATTGCAATCCGAGCCTCTGGAGCAGTTGCCCACATTGGCTGTTGCGTTTCCCATCGATCATGCAAAAGGTCCCCCCCCCAATCGACCCCATCATGACTTGCCCCTCACCAACCAGCATACGGCCGTTTCGACAGGTATCGGGAACTCAGCAAGTCGAGCGCCGTTGGTGTCAAATATCTTGAGCTCTATGACCATGCTCTCCGAGCCATCCGAAAAAGTATGTCATGTTGGCGATCTCAGCGATCCGCCCACCCGTGCATCCTCGACCGCATGGGCTCGAGTTACGATGTAGATGATGTACCGGCTCCTGTCGGTGTTGCTTACCCTTGCACTTCACCACCACTTGGAATGTCAGTCCTCCAGCCTACAGAGACAGCTGTTCGCGCCGGGGCTCCCGTCCCAACCTTGAAGCCGGATGTAGTCAAGATGCTGGTCACTCTGTTGATGGATCGAGAGGTGATCTCGTCGACTGCTCGGCGTCAGAGTCTCTATGATGTTCTGCTCCTGACCAAGCAGGCACACGAGTACGTAAGGCGGGTCTCTGCCGTGGCACTGCGCTGTGCTGGAAGGATGCTTCGTTTACACCCGCAGCTCTGACCTGTACCGTGCTGGATTTCTGGCTTTCTCACCGACATCCTCTCTCCAAACGGTCCGATCAGGGTATGGATTCATCTTCAAGTTCACCTCGACGCCTTTGCCTACGATATTCCATGGCTGAGGTACCTGGCAACCATCATCGACGATCTCGCGCGCCGCTGGCTCGAGTACTGTAGCGCGGAGGAATACCCAGCAAAGTCGCTGTACTTTCACCACGACCCCGGACTTGAGTCATCCCTTTCGATCCACCACGCCATCGTCCTCGGGCTGTACGAGCGATGTACAGGCACTCGCGAGTAAGTCCACTGATTCCGTCCAAGCACTCGGCTTGTCGTTTGTGGTTCGTTTGTGCCACGGGCTCGAGCCCAAGATCGACTGACCAAACTACTGCTTGCGTGTGCGCCATCAACGATGATGGTTTCGATCGCGTCTGTCAAATAGGACCCTCGATGATCTCGAAGCCGCCATCCGAGCCTTCCACCAGACTCTCGACCGATTTGAACTCGACATGGATCCCGAGTCGTACTCTCGCGCGATTAGACAGGTCAGTAACCAGAGCCACCGTCTTTCTCTCTTGGTCTCTCTCAGATCTTGTGCGCGTTCTGACCGGACGCTGGTGTCGATCGGAGCGCTGGACTCATTTTGTGCCACTCACCCTACACCATCACGGAGCAGGAATGGGTGGCTCAGGCAGCCATGTTCGATGCCATGTTGATTACCCGGCAGCTCGGTACCGCGACAGGCGCTCTGGCGGTGCTTGATGCCAACAAGACGCAAGCTCGAGACCTGTTCAACATGCTGCGAACAACGTGCACTGGTACGTGGGCTCCTTCCTTCCTGCATATCCCCCCCGGCGCTGCTGACCACCCGCCGACACATTGGATCGTCCTCCAAGCCTTTACACAAGTGGGGGGGGTGTTCGTCATTCTCAGTCCTGCTGTTTCCTCTCGAACGCACTATGGCTCCTGGGTCACCGACCCCCCACCATGGGGTCGCCTCTGCATCATTATAACTCGCCCCCGTCTCACCTTCCTTCCCGAAACAGTGCAATCCAACAAGGACTTCACATCCTATTACGAGCAGCTGGCTTCGAGTCGTCTTAGTTTCTCCTTCCATACTCTTTTCGCAGTCGTGCGATTCTTCGGGCTGGACTGGCTGGATGTCAAAACACAAGACCTGCACCAGCTCCCGGCCAACCAGAGCGAGCCTGCAAGCCAAACCGGGTTTCCGTATTTCCCTTACCACAAGGTGACGGACTCGGACCTGGTCTTTTGGTGGATCCCGCTGAGCCATCGCACCGAACACGCCATCCAGGACATCCAGAAGAGCGAGCGGCTGCGTGAATGGATAAGGCGAGGCGAGCTGCACAAGTGCGACAGGTCCATCCTGGCTGATCCTTGGGATCTGGAAAGGTAACGTCTTGCTTATGAACTAGCTGGGAATCGGCCGTGGGTGCGAGCCGCATCGGTCATGGTCGTCCGGTCGTCCGGTCGGTGCAGGCGGAGGTGAAACAGTGAACCGACCTTCACTTGAGAAATCGGGTGAATCGTATTCACTGTGCGAACTATGCAAAGCATCGGGGCCAGACGATGCTGATACTGTTTCACTGACGGGTCTCCCTCGGTCCATCGCATGTGCTTTCGTTAGAGCGGTCCGTGTACTCGGTTGGCATCTCCTCGATGGTCTGGACGACTCCAAGCTGTCGGACCGATCTCTCCTGTCCGAGTTGTTTCCGTCCTTGGCGCTCCGTCCAAAGGTGTGTATCGTCAGCGATCTAAAAGTTGTGTCCTGCCGCACTCACCTCCCGCGCTGTTTGGACCGATGGCTCACCACTGCACTTTCCACTTTCAGCCCATCGATTCGCAGCTCTCCACGGTCCCAACGGAACGCGACCTGCGCCCGACCCTGGCCGACATTGAGGCGTTCTTCCTTCTCCTGATGCTTCAATGCCAGCTCAAGTGCATTCGCGACGGCGGTGCGACCAGCAAAGCTGGAATCATGTACTTGGCCAGCATCGGCTTCTGGAGACCGACAGCGCTCCAGATCCGATTCTGGCGCTCATGTCTCATCAAGTATGGCAACGTAAGTCGCTATTGAACTTGGCTATCGGCGAATTGATCCGCTCCTCCGCCGTTGCGTATCTGCTATTTGATCAGCCCGCTTGTATACGCATCATCAAGACACCTCGCATGGGCCCGTCACTGGTCTCGGATACCCACCTAACCTCCTACAACCTCGTTTCCCGTTGCTGATCTCACCGCGTGCTTGTCTGCTCATCTGTGATAACAATGCCGCCAAGACCGCCCGCTTGCGATCGTCCATGTCCTTTGAGAGCGACTGTTTGCCAACCGCAGAGATCGTCCAGGCGCTCTACGAGATCCGTAACACCCGTCCGCCTGTGCACATACCCAAGGCTGCCGACAGAATTTTTGGCTCAAAGAACAGTCGCGGTCAAGCACCGCCTGTCACCCCGACTGTGGTTCATCCTCAGCTCGACTATTGCCTCGGGGTAGTCTTTGCGGAGCTTGCCCTGCGCTACCGACTCGACCGATACGACGAAGCCCGATTCTACCTCCATCGATACGTCGACAACTCGCCCAATGCGCAAGCCAGCGCGCCGCCAATCCCTGCTGCCACCGGCCCCGGTGCCGACATCGTGATCGACCGGAACTGGCTGCCTCGAGTCGACGCCACGTCCATCGGCCATGCTCGCACGACCCTGGATGAGCTCCAGTTGCAGAAGCAACAGCGGCCCTTCCACGTTGTCATGCCCGAGCACGCTGCCGATGACTTTGAAACCAGCAGCGTCATCGAGACCGACAACATTCCCCCTGCGCGGTCGCTCAAGTACGACCGAGAGGATATCCGCACCAAGAGCCCAGAGCGATCCCCCGTTCACGACACGCTTGGCCTCCAGAGCAAGGGCATCAGTCCCCCTCGTTTGTCGCCATTTGTTACCGGCACCCGACCCACCCCTGGCAAGTCAGGCTTCTCCAAAGTCAACAGCAACTCCAAGAAGCTGATCCAGTCGCCGTACAAGGGCCTGGCTTCTGCCCCAGTGATTGCCTTCAAGCCCATGACCCCCAACCCGCGCGACGTGGACGATCTTGCCTTGGACGTGGCACCCATGACCCTCGACAACAGCCACATCCTCAAGAGCCCGTCGTATCGTCGCCACATGATTCATCCTCGCACTCCGGACGGCATGCTGCGGCCCGACACCTCATTCGCAATCAGCCCCATCAAGAAGACCCTGGATTTCTCCGCATCCCTGTCAAGCAACCAGAGCCAGTCGAGCGTCGAGGCTGTGCCGCTGTCCAACAGCCCTGCGGCTGCACCTCGCGGATCCAGAGTCGACGATGTGCGCGGCACCGGCCAACGACAGCTCCGATTTGAGCCCATCGCTGTCAGCAAAGAAGACAGTCGCAGCGACAAGGACGGCGATGACAGCGACGACGACGGTGTCTTGGATGATTATGACAAGCTCAGTGATCAGGAATCAGACGACAGCGAGATTGGTCGAGGTATCAACCAGGTAGGCATCCTCCCTCTTCCCCGGCAGTCAGCGTCCCAACTTTCGTTTCTTAAACCTGTCCGAGCCAGTCCGAGTCTCTGCCGTTCCGTGGGCATCTGCCGCCCCTAACTCTGTGCTCCACCTGTCTTGCTTCACCGATTTGCTCACCGATATGATCCTTTCAGGGGGTCTCGCGACGCCAGCGCCTGCTGCAAAAGATCGGCATTCGCTAGATGGCTTGGTACTCAGCGTCCCAATACACTTGACCGAATGGATCTCCGCATCAGTCGGTTGACATACAGACTGCCCCCCGGGACCGCCATCTGCTCGCCGCAGTTGTATTCTCTGCACGAGCGAACGAGCTTGGCACAGAGTCGGTGGAGATGCGTATATTCATAATCGAGCAATCGACCATGGACCTCAACGGGACGCCTGTTTTGTTTCATGAGCAGTGTAAATGACTGACGACCCGCTACGGTCCCGAAACTCCAACACATGCCGCACCATCTGGGCCCAAGCAACCGGATTCCCACCAGGGGATAGCAGTATCGCTGGCGGAGAGCCCGAGAGTTGCAGCGCCGATGGAGAGCCTGCTGTTGGTGCCGGCCCCTCCTGCCGCTTCCGGAACAGTTCCCAGCGATGGAGCAGAATCGCCAACTGATGTTCGTCCATGAGTGCCTTGGTGGCCCGGGCGAATGCCCGCTGGTAGCTGCCGGTCTGTGAATGGCCAAGAACCCATTCCTCGGATCGCTCGAGCCAGTAGAACGACGACGGGCTGTCGATCACCACAAGGCCATGGCGACTATCTCCGCTGCTGCTGTCGTCCCCATCGCTGCCTTGCAGATACTGTGAGAGATCCGAGTCCAGGTGCGATTCGACAATGTCACCTGTCTGTCTCAACGCCCCAAGTAACGACAGCGGCGATGATGGACGGAGGATGGTGAGTCGGCCGAGCGATTCGGTCAGGACTTGCTCGATCTCGTCTGGGGTCAGCCGCGACTGGGAAAACGGATGCGAGCCGAACGGTGTCGGAGACGCCGCCGAAGCCGCTGGGTATGATCGAAGCGCTGCTGCAGATGAATTATAAGCAGCTGCTGAGTGCGGTTTGGACGAGTTGACGGCTGCCGATACTGGAGGGTCTTGAAGAGCAGCTCTCATAAGAGCCTTGAGCTGGGTCATGCTCCATGATGATCCGCTGCTGAGCAGAACCACTCGCTGCCCTCGCCCTCCAACCCATCTTGGAGGGAGTGGGTGGAATGAAGGTCGGACCAAGCACTTCGGCAGCAGCGCTAAAGCCAGGATCGCCTTGAGACAGCAAGAGTATCCCATGGACAGAGAGACGAGCACATTAGACACTGTATCGTCGCTGAGGTTTGGGTTGAAGGGCATCGGTCAAAGCATGGCACGGCACAGGATTTGCGATTCCAGCAATCGGCGATTGCGACGGCATGGCGGATATTGTGATATGAGGCCGCAGCACGCAGGATGCCAGCAATTTTTGAAACAATACGACAGCCTAGCGGAGCACATGCAAGCGTACCAGCAGAGTCTCGACCGAGCCGCATCCAGGGATTCCGACCAGATCACACATCTGGCCAGGCAGCAACTCAAAATCCAGGGGCAACGACGAGGACGCTTGCATGCGTTGGTGCGAGAGGAGCGATCCAAGCAGAAGACGGTCTGATCGGGAGATGACGGGCTCATGCTGTTGGATCTGACGCCGGTGTCGGGAGTAGAGCTGGAGGGCTGTTTCGCAGGCAATAGTGGAGAGTTGATGATCGGCCATGGCACGGAGCGGGCGGCAAGATCAGGGCAGACTTGCTGGTCGGAGCTTTTGGGAGTTTGGGATCAAATGATGGAATGCCGACGACGGCATGAGCACCGAGATGCAGTTCATCTTGGTTCGGCAGGGAAGTCCGAGCGTCCGACAATGGCCAACCTTGCAGAGCCGGCGGTGGCAGATCAAGATGCTGAGTCTACTGACCTCGTCTCAGTCGATACCGGCGACGATCCAAACAGGAGCGCGGGCAGCGAGCGGCATTCTGGGGCCGGCAGCCGATGCAGCGGCCGGCAATCCCTGCCTCTCCATCTGTGCTTCTCTCACCCGATCGTCACAGCAGCCGCTGGCTCCGCATCCGAAGCATCATCCACAGGCCTTTGCGAGTCCGGTAGGCCAGATAGGCGGCAGTCCCTGTATCGACGCATTAAATAACCACAGGGCTCATGTCTGCACATCATCTAGGGATGATCTCCAACAGCGACATTCTCGTTCGCGTACAGTTTGAAGTCTTTGGCAAGGTCCAGGGTACGGCTGCCCGCTGAACCATTTCGCAGCGAGCAGAGGGTCTGGTTCGCCCGACGGTTGGCTCTGCGGCAGCGATCGCTGGGATAGGACTGTTTCGAGCGCTTGCTTATCAGGACTTTGATACCGGAACGCGGATGCCTCATCCTCCGATCTATGCGAAGGTGTCTTCTTCCGAAAGTTTACACACGGCAAGGCCATTGAGCTCGGCCTGGTTGGTTGGTGCAAGAACTTGCCCAGTGGGACAGTCCAGGGAGTCGCCGAAGGCAAGTATCCTCAGAATCTGGTCTCGTGGCATGGCAAGCCCGATACTGACGGGGTTGCTCTGATCTGTTCACGAACTTGTCTCCAGGTTCCGAGACCAAGGTCGCCATTTTGTGAGTATTCTGGCTCGCACTCCGGTCTGCCTCGGCCCCGCCGACCTGATTGCTGATTGCTTGTTCGTATCCTGCCACATAGCAAAGAATGGGTCTCCAAAACCGGGTCTCCAAGATCCAGAATCACAAAGTGCGAGTTTTCGGGCGAAGAGATTATCCCGACCTTGTCCTTCAGCACTTTTGAAATTCGAAAGTAGCAGTGCCTGGTGCAGCCGATCGCTCCGCAACACGAGCCAGCCGCCAGCCATGTTTGTTCTGAGTCGACTCCCTGACGACCGACAATGAATGCAAGAAATGCTGCTGTGGTCCGCACGAAATGGCTTTGGCCTAGCGAGACCCTGGATGAGAGGGATTGAAGGACTGCTCTTCCCTTCCAGTCTTTCGCCGAAGGAGAGCTGTTGGTTGGGTGGATGGAAGGCAGGTCAGCCCACGCCACCCATCGGTTGTGGAACTGCATTAGTCCTTGGTGCTACTGCATTAGCCTGTGTTACTGCATTATCGGAGCAGAGACAGACACCCACAGATGCCACCAGCGACAGCCGAGCAGCGACAGCCCATGCCAGAGTGGCAGGTGGGCCACTCGCCCCAGGTTCCACAGACGCGAACCCCGAACCAGTCATGGCCATTCCGATCGGCGAGGGGGTGAATCTGCATGCCATACCACATCCCACATCCCACATCCCACATCCCACATCCCACATCCCACATCCCACATCCCACATCCCACATCCCACATCCCACATCCCACATCCCACATCCCACATCCCACATCCCACACCCATCCCACACCCATCCCACTCCATCCCGCCGCATCTCGTCTTGCCTGCCCCTTTCCCTCTCCTCGTCCTCTTCCTCCCCCGATCTCCCCTGCTCCGTCGCATCCGCCACCAAATGGCCTCGAGCTCCAGTCTCCCGGCCAAGTCGTTGATGGATGTGGATGTCAATATGGATGTGGATGACACAACCTCGAAAGCCCCTGTCCAGCAAACCCAGCCCGAGCCGTCAAGCACGGCACCCTCCAAACCAGCCGACTCCCTTGGTCCCTGGCTCCATCCCATCGAGTGTCTCATCAACGGCGCCTGCGACGAGCCCGATGCCCTCCTGATCAACACTTACGAGAGCGGCGCCTCCGAGCGACACTCCTATCGCCAGGTGTGGAGGAGAGCATACTCGATCGCCCAGGGGCTCAGGGCCCTCGCCGGCTGGGACGACGCCGACCACGAGGTCATCGGCACCTTCTGCGAGTCCGAGGTCAACTGGGTGTTCTATTCCCTTGCAGTGTGGATGCTTGGCAAGTGAGTGTTGCTTGGATGCGATCGAGGGCGAGTCCCGCTGCATCCGTCGTCTGCTGCTTGCTTGCTCCACACATCCGCCACCAGCACTGTCGATCCAGTGCCATCGTTCATGCTCTGTCCTGGCTTGTGATGCCCTGACTCTGCGATCTTCCCTCCTGGCTCTGTGATCCTCCCGACTCTCCTCGCTCGTTCCTGACCACCATCCAGGAAGACAATCAACTTTGGTCTCAACCTGCCTCCGGCTGCCCGAAAGGCTGTGTGCGACAGGTGTGTGGTCTGTGGGCATGTCTGGATCGTCTGTGGGCATGTCTATTGTCTGTGAGATAGTTCGACCTCAGAAGTGATGATGGCGGCAGAGAGGGTGTCGATTGATAAACAGCAGCTGACAGGGCTGCATCCATCCAGATACTCGATCAAGTATATCCTGCACCACTGCGTCAAGCCCGGACGCACACAGGGAGTGACTCTTGCGGATGCATCGACATTCCCGATGCTGGACGACATCCCACTGCCCTCGCTTGAGGCGTGCGAGCCACTCGATGAGTTCATTGCCTATGCATGCACTTCTGGAACAACAGGTATGGATGGCTGCCAGAGTATCCGTCAGCTATGTGTCTGGGTGGAGTGCTTGATACACCATATGAGTGGCGCATCTGATGGCATGGCACGATCGAGCAAGTGTCTGTGGGTCATCACAGGACATGCATGATGCTCATGGTGGTTCTTGGTGCTCCTCGACAGGCATCCCCAAGACGTAAGTGGATCGAGACAGTGTACTGAGCACAGTCCGAAGCGAATCAACGGAGATCACTGACCACCCTATGCTCATAAATGTGTATCAGATACAAGTATTCGCACTTTGGTCCAATCACCCTTCAGAGTTCGGTTGGAATCCTCAATGCCAGTGTCGGACTCTGTCAGGTATGGGCTACTTTCGAGAAGGCTTGATATTATGCTTGATCATCAACTTACTCCTCAAACTCCACAGGCACCGTCTTTCATCGCAACTCTAAATCTCTTCCTGACTGCACTGAACCTCCGAGGATCAGCATGGATCCCCATGGCAACTCCGAATCCAGTTGAGAAAGTCCGAAGTATTTCCAAGATGCTCAACGATGGTCTCGAGTACATGGGATTGGTATGTAGGGAACTACGCAGTATTCCATTTGTATCGAGCTGTGACTAACCAAGATGCTCTGTTATATTATCAGCCTCCCTCGTTCCTCAAATTGATCATCGGAGTTGGAGTGTCGGATAACAGGCACATCATTTGGCGAAGAACACGAAAGATTATGCTTGGGTCCGAAATTGTGCCTCGAAGCGTCGTTTGTGAAGCCAGGCGCCGCTTCCCGAATGCCGAGATTCAATCTGGATATGCATCCAGCGAGGTAAGGTTTCATCTGATGACAGGTGTAACAGGACTGACTGCTTCTCGACTGACTCAAAACAACTCGTTGTGTCAGACTCTGTTGATAGGAGCCGCTGCGTATTTCAGTCTCCCGGCCGATGTCACCGATGTCCCTCCCACACTTGTGTACAAGCTCTCCAAGCCAGGAGTCCGCTGCCATATCATCGACGAGCACGGCAACTTCATCGACAGAAGGTTCTCCAACGGCGGTGTCCTTGTCTTTGCTGTCGATCCCGACCATCCGGTCAAGGATCATCCCAGCTTTGTCAACGCCGACCCGGACAACAAGATTGGATACTTTGGCTTCCTCGGCGACGGCTCTCCTCGTGTCTGCACCATGGACTGGGTCGATATGGTCAGCGAGAACGAGTTCACTGTGGTCGGAAGGTGAGTGCGATGCAGAGGCACTGTGTCGGTATGTTGGCTGCGATGTGGCATTCATCTTCTGCCTCACCACCACCCACCCAACACTCATCCAATTGCCATGTATCGACCTCACACACTTCTCACCCACATCACCTCTCACCACATTCCCATCTCACCACATCATCCCTCACCCACATCACCTCTCACCACATTCCCATCTCACCACATCATCCCTCCGCATGCACCACTCCAGATTCGACCAGAAGGTCAAGGTCAACGGCGTCTATGTCGACCTCAATGCCCTCGAGGAGCTTGTCAACCAGAACCTGAGCCACTCGATCGCCGACTGTGCCTTTGTCATGACCTCCGAGAAGCGCATCGTGATGCTCTATGTCCCCCAAAGCGGCCCTGCCATCCTCCTGAGTCCCGCCAACATCATCCTGATGACCGAGGAGCTCTTTGCGCTCTCGAACATCGCCAAGGTCCCGATCCACAACTGCTTTGCGCTCGAGCGATTCCCCTTCAACGACTCCAACAAGCGCGACCTCAAGAAGCTCAGGCTGTTTGCCGAGAATGTCGAGCAGTACACTGCGTCGGTCGTCTATCCGGCTCTCAGGATCGACAACACTCTCCTGTCCCGCGTCGCTGCCAAGATCTCTCAGATCGGCAGCCGGGTCCTGGGCAGGGCCGCCCTTGATGGCCGCAACTACTACATTGGCGGTGTCGGCTTTGACTCGCTCAGCGCCGGCCGCCTGTCCCTCGCCATCAAGGACGAGCTGGATGTCGAGATCTCGCCGCTGATCCTGCTGTCGAACGGAATGACACCCACCGATGTCGCCCAGCTTGCCATCGACATGCTCGACGACAGACTGATGGTCCCGCCGACCGTGGATCTGTACCAGGAAGCCGTCAGGTTCGACGATGCGGGTGTGACGGCCGACGGCCTCCCTCGGTTTGTCTATCCCGACAATCCTCGCGGCATCGTCCTGACGGGGGCCACTGGGTTCCTCGGCGCATTCCTGCTGTACGAGCTGGCCAGCAGGTTCCCCAGCGCCAAGATCTACTGCCTGGTCCGAGCCAAGGACGAGCAGGCCGCCATCGACCGCATCTTTGACACGGCCAGCAAGCTGATCCTCAACCAGCAGCAGATGCACGACCTCGAGCACAACATCCGTCCCAGGATCGTGGGTCTTCCCGGCGACCTGGCACAGGACAAGTGGGGGCTGTCGGACGAGCGATGGCAGGAGATCAGCGAGCAGAGTGATGTGATTGTGCACAACGGTGCCGAGGTCCACTGGCTCTACAACTACGAGGCACTCAAGGGCCCGAACGTCCTCGGCACGGCGACGGCATTGAGACTGGCCACGACCCACCACTTGAAGCCGCTCCACTACATCTCGACGATCGGTACGCTGCCGATGAAGGGCTCGGCCCAGCCGCTCGAGGAGCGAATGTCGCTGAACTGGAACCTCTCTGGCGGCTACGCACAGACCAAGTGGGTCTCGGAGCAGCTGATCCACAAGGCACGATCGAGGGGCGTGCCGGTGACGATCATCCGACCGGCCGCGATCGTCGGCGAGAGCCGATACGGAGGTGAGCGAGTGGTGATGTGGTGATGTGGTGATGTGGTGATGTGGTGATGTGGTGATGTGGTGATGTGGTGATGTGGTGATGTGGTGATGTGGTGATGTGCTTGGTGAGTCCTCGGCCGACACTCACTCGCTTTCTCCATCTCTCTCGCCACCAGCATGCAACGTTGATGACTACATCTGGCGATATGTCAAGGGATGCATCCAGATCGGAATCGCTCCCTCCCATGCAACCCCCGTCACCCTGACCATGGACCCGGTCGACCATGTGGCCAAGGTCGTCACGGCGATTGTGGCCTCGGAGCAGGCCCTCTCCAACTTTGTGTTCCATGTCAGCGACTCGGAGAACAGGTGAGGATGTGGCTCATGGTATGCTGGGGGAGCAGCGAGTGGGAAGGAAGGGCATGGATAGAGAATGGATGGGACAGCACCGGCTCACCACACCAACCCATCACACACCAACCCATCTCACACCGACACCCCATGCTCAGCCTCATCGCCGAGAAGAAGATCTTTGAGATCGTCAATGCCATGGGCTGGCGAGTCATGTTCGAGACACGCGAGCAGTTCAAGATCCTGCTCCAATCGGCTCCCTCCGTCGAGACCAACGCCCTGTTCCCGCTGATGCACATGCTGATGGACATGTCCGTCCAGGTCGACAACCCCAACACCCGCTCGATCTATCCGACACCGAGTCCCCCGGCCGAGAAGGTCGTCGAGCGATGTCTCCGATTCTTGGACCGTGTGAAGTACCTCCCTGCTCCGCCCGAGCCTGTCTCGCCGCTCCAGACGGACGACTATCCCGAGGTCAGCGTCTTTGGCCGCACTGGCCGCAACTGAACGGCACAGATGTGCTGGACCAGGCTGCACCGATGGGTTGTCCTGAGGCATGGCCAGCAGTGACCGGCAGTGGCAGTTGATGCACTGCACTTGGATAGCCCTCGGTGCTTCATCTGGGGTCTCACCTGGCAGATCCTGGTTGCTCGACCACACCATCGATCCAGTGTCCTCGACTGAGTCCTCGACTGAGTCTCGCAGCAAGCACACTCCTCCTTCTGTCGTTGCTTTGTATTGTGCTTGTTCTTTCCATCTCTGCCCCAACCTTCCCCTGGGCTGTTTCCCACTTGATATCCACTCGCTGTTCTTCTCGTTTGTCGGCTGTCTTGTTGTCAGATTTCTCGTCAAATTTATCGTCATCTCTCGATGGAATTATGCGTTTCCTCCGTGCAATATCCGTGTGATGATTATCGTCGACCAAACGTCCTGCTGTTTGAACAACGAAGTTGCCATCCATAAGGATCGGTCAGCAGCCGGCTATGACATGCCCTGCAAACACTTGCTATTTCCTCCCTCCTCAATCATGAAATGGGACAGTTCTATTTGCAACTTACAGTCTATCCAGAAAGAAACGGGACAGTCACTTTCTGGCTTCTGAAGCCCGCTGACTGACTTGTAGGCCCAGCGGGCAGGCCATGGCATTGCACTCCTGTCTTCGTCGGCAATCTCCTTGATTTCGTTGGTTTTGGAAGCATGGTCTTGAATACACCCGGTCGATCTCCTGTGGCGATGATCGACTGGCATACCGAGATCATGTTCCTTGAGGCATTGATGTCTCGATCCCACAGCGTATGACAGCTTGCACAGCTCCGGACAAAGTGTGGTTTCTCGATATCAAGATGCTCGGGTGACTCGAGTCGCTTGGCTTCCCGGCAATGTGAGCACACCTGGGATGTGTTAAACTCGTTCACCGAGCGCACATGGATCTTGGAGACGGATCGGTCTGGTGGGCGTCTCTGGTGATGGTGGAATTGCTCAAAGTACTTGGCAAACCTGAGCCTCCTGGGACTGGATGCGTATCCCTTCCCCTGTTTCCAGGATGCATTCCCAAAGGCAATCACCACTTCGGTCTCCTTCAGTGCCTGGTCGATGACTTGCTTGCACATCTCGTGGACGGTGCGCTGTCGCTTGCTGTGGAGATCGAGTCGCTTGAACCGCCGTCGCCGGGTCAGGCTGAAGTACAGCTGTTTCTCCAGCATGTCTCCATCGAACACATGGCGAATGTATTGCAGGAAGGGATCCAACCCAGGGATCTTGGGACTTGGTGTGGTGCTCATCCAGCGCGTCTTGGGCTGGAAGCGATTCCCACAATGGCGTCCTTGATTCAAATCACAGAATGGTCGTGGCCAGCGCGCGATTGTATTAGGTAACAAAATATTTGATCAATCGTCAAAATCACGGGTGTCCCGTTTTTTTTTGGATTGACTGTAATGCGGCTTCTTTGAAGGTCTGCATCTGAGAACAGACGGGCTGCTGTTCAGTCACTTCGATCGACTCGCACACGGCGATCGTGCTGCTCGCCACATTCACATATCGAGCGCAATGAACGACCGCTGCAGATGATATCTATGTGTATTTCCACCCGAAAGGAAGTTATGGACGCAGAGTGCTCCGCTTCGCTTTGCGAGTGTTGTGCTGCGGCTTTCGAATCCTCCACAAAGTGCTGGATTCAACTCGTCCCGCCGGAATACTTGGCCATGCTCATGCTCGGGTCGGGTTCGGTTGATTAGAGTTCAGTTCCATGTGTGGTTGGATTTCGTAATCTCATATGAGTGTCGTTCAGGGGGCTACCAGCGGCCGCCTTGGCGGCATCACCGAAAATGCCCTGCTGCTGGTTTACAATTTCATTTTTGTCTTGAGCCTGGCCCAGTGGTGCGTCGATGTAGTTCTCCGGGATGCAGGAGACGAGGCCGACCACGCTCAGCCAGAAAAGGACACCAAAGGCGAGCCCGAAGATCTTTTCCATCGCGCTGTGGAAGTACAGACCCGTCACAAACAGCATGCCAATCCACAGGAGTTGGAAGAGCATCATCAACGCAGAGAGCACCTTGGCGACTGGCTGACTCCATGTTTGTCGAGAGATCGTGTGGCTCATTGTCACGTCCTCCTTGTAGATGGCATCGAGAGCACTGCTTTCCTCAGCGATGCACAGGAACGCAAAACTGAGAAGGCTGTTTATGTCATTCCCAGCAAGAAAATCTGTCAGTGTGCGGAGCAGACCCGACGGACTCACAGGCAGGATTGCGAGGATTCAAACATTGCAGGAAAGCCCATGCGTGCGGGCTGAATATGTCGCCGAAATTGCATGTCGTCAATGAAGTATCAACTCACAATGCGTGGCCGGATATCTCGATTCCGTCCCATACAGACTCGCCCTTTCTGCAGGAGTAGGGGTCCGCAAAGGAGGCATTTCGGCATTGCCCCAGGAGTCTATCGGAATGGTGCATCAGGCGGCTCATGGTGGCCCAACAGAGCGTGGCCAAAACCCAGCGAACGAGGCCTCGGAAGGCAGCTCGGGTTTTGGAATTGAAGTGGTTGAGTGCCACGGACAGCAGCAGCAGCAAGCTTGTCCAAAACTGCAGAGAAAACCACCCCGAGTGTAAGTAGGTGATATCTGATCAAAGCTTGACAGGGCTCTGTCAGAGATCAGCCGGGCACGGTGATTGAGGATGTGAGGTGGGAACTGTGCGATTGATATGATGCGCTGCAGTCTGCAAGCACCATGTTAATCTCACCCAGCCCTTCTTCACAAACCAGACGTTGAGGAAGTTCTTGGAGTTCCTGAAGAAGCCCTCGACTGGAGAAGCGGCGAGGAGTGATACGACAGAGGCGTTGGCCAGGGCGACTCCGATCCCGAGGACGGATGCCACAATTATGAGCGCCTTCCGCTGCTCGTGCTTGAGCACTGGCCTGGGCATGGCGAAGATGGGCTGTGTGGGTCAGATCGATCGGTGTTGCTCGCCAGGGGCACCTCGCTGGTCGGGTTGGAGATCGCTGGCTGCAACGACCAGGCCCGACACGTGCCGGCCCAGCCCATTCCACGTGATCATCAACCGTGGTCATGTGGCTCTCGACACACACATGATCCAGGGCAATCTCCGACAATACGAGCATCCATCCAAGCAGCCACCCGAGCAGCCATCCGAGCAAGCGGCTTTCCAAACGACGCTGCCCCGCATATCATTTGGCCGTCCAGGACGTTCTTCGCGACCACCAGATCGCTGTCATGCCACACCACGCCAAGCGAGCGATCTGTGGCCTGGGAATGCAAACAACAGACGCACAGATCGTAAGCCCCCACACACTTTCGCCCGCCGCCGATATTCCATCTGGCTCGTCGCATTTGAATAGTCCAGCGAATTCATGCTATCTACCAGTGCTGACGTTTTATGTCTGCAGTACAACTGCTCCAACGTGTTTATCAGCACCGCACAGTTTCAAACCCAGCCCCGAAACAGGCTCTGCTCCACCTGCAACACATTTGATCAGGCGTGCCACCAAAATTGCTGCACGCTCATCAATACGGTGCGTTTCTACTGTCGAGATATGGGATTTGTGGGTCCGGGAAGCAGTGCTAGTGCAGTCCTCTTGGTCTGATCCGTCTTGCAGAACACCTCCTCGCTGTCGTGCATCTGCCCAGCCGACCATGCGGGCCAAGATTGCTCCTCGATCCTCCCATGGAGCTGTACCATCGCCCGCACTAGCCCCGCTACCACATGCGATGTCTGGACACCGGCCCTCCAGCGAGCCCAGTATCAAGGCTGCCCGGTATTCAATGACTCCCAGCCCCTCGCGAACTTTAGCTTCGCCATGAGCTGCAGTAGCTCTCGAACGCCATTGATCCGCGGAGTCTACAATCGCTCGACGGGCAGGTACTCGGACGGCGTATTTTCGTACGATATCAGTACCGCCAGGGTGAGTGCAGCGCAATGGAGACCGAGACGTAGCCGTCGATTATGGATCAATTGCAGCCCAGGAGTGAATCATCAATTCCCTGTCATCGTCGGCCTCAGAGATCTCCATCTGTCTGCATCGATTCGATCCTGCTTTCGATGTCAGCCCGGCTCCGGCATTGCTATTGACGTTGCTGTTGTCGCATGCCGCTGAATCCCTCGCCCCCGATTCAATCTCAACGCACCTTACCACCAATGTCCACCTTGCCGTCTCCGACGAGCCCAGCTCATCGTTCAAAGTGCTTATGGAGGAGTCTTTCAGATGAGGGCGTTTGACTTCAACCGGCCGACCGCCAGTGTGAACGTGACTAGTGCTCCGCTGCTACTCTCCGAGCTGGTGGGAAACAGCTCGATCTCCTTCAGCGCCAATCTTTCGGATACTGTCGCCCAGTCGTCAAGGATGGCAGTGGGTGGCCAGATCTATTACGAGGCCAGCAAGTATCTGCGGTTTGCATCGGAGCGAACCAGGCTGTTCTGTTGTGCGTCGCATGCTTGTCTTGGGTTTGACCATCCTGCAATTTCCCAGGGCTACTATATCTTGCCGGTTTGTCCCCAGCCATCGCGAGAGGCACGATTTCGTTCAAAAGCACCGATAGCGGGCAGGCTTCGGCCACCAGAACGGCGGTGCCGCTCTGGCTTCCGATCGTGACGAGCCTCCTGTGTGTGGCAATGCAAGTATCGGTCCATTGCATTCAATTGCATTCACTCGCATCTGATGCTCGTTGAGTCTTCGAGTATGTAGCCATAACTGTGGTTGCTCGCATGGTCCGCGCTCTAACTCCATTTTTGTGCTTTGCGTGATAGTACGAGCATCGTCCTGGGTCGGTTTTTGCGACACAGGCTCGAGGCATTCCAGCGCTCCCGGCGAGCCCGCCAAGTTCCTGTGCTGTGAGCCCTGCTCGTTCTCGCATCCATGATTCGCCTGGCGACAGCGAGCCAAGTAGTACCCCCGCAAAACCACGCTCGCCTCGGAATCCAAACCGTTGACCGCCTGCTCCTTCATATCCATTCGCCCGCTCTCCAATACACTGCTGGCTTTATTGATTCTTCGCCCTCTCTGATGCTGTCCACGATCGATGCGCTTGCGACTGCGAGCTCTGTGGAACCCGCCTCTCTCGCAGGCAAATCGGTTGCTTTCACAGAGGCAATAAACCACCCAAGTGCTGGTGGCGGCTACGACGCCATCTCGCCGGCTTCAGATACATCCACCCGCTTCGAAATCACAACCTCGACGCCTTCGCCGCACATCTACTGCACTCGCAGTCCGCACGAGCCATCTCCAGCGCGCACGTATCCTCGGTCTGGCTATGGGCCGGCGTGGCAATTGACCCTGGGTGAAGAACTGCGGCGCGCGGCGGGGACAAGTTCCCACAACCCAGACCCAACCCACAAAGCCAAGCCTGTCCAGGGATGCACCGGTTCGCCGGCCGGTCACTATAACGTTGATGCACCGCCGGCTGCCCTGGTTCTGCGACCGGCGAAAGACCAGCCGGCACCCTCTGGTCGACTCGGCGCCGCCAAGGCCGATGCATATCCCAAGGGCAACTTGCTGGCGTATTTGAATACAATAAGCCGCCCAACAGACGCTGGCGGCCAGTCGTTCATCCAATTGTCTGATATGAACTCGGCCGCGGATCCCCAAGCAGGCCCTTTGCAGGGCATCTCCAGCACTCTCCCGTTGCCTGTCCAAACCAAGTTGCCCCACGCCCGTCACGATCTCGGATTCTGGTCGCACTTTATGATTCGGTAAGTATCTCGTGTCTGCGGCACCACACCAAGCAATGCTGTGATGAAAATCTAATTCTTCGTGCTTCCCGTCGACCTATTGACAGCGGTGCGTCCTTTGGGAAGAGCCACAGACTCGCGAGAATCGGAATCGTACTCCTGACAGTGCTCTTTGTGGCTGCGGTCGCCATTCTTGTGTGATACATCGAGTCGTAGCGCTTTGGTGGTGAAGCCCTTGCCGTCATCTCGGGCCTATTTACAGCGGATTCGGACGCCTTCACACACGAATGGCTTGTGGGTTGTGTGGGTTGTGTGGGTTGTGTGGGTTGTGTGGGTTGTGTGGGTTGTGTGGGTTGGATGAGTCAGACGACGTTGATCGGCACCCAAGCCCCAATACACTTTATTCAGAAAAAAACGGGACAATATAGCCGTTTCCATGAACAGGTAGTATGTGCTGTGCTTGCGTCAAGCAAAGCCACAAGAAATAAAACAGATCACTTTGGCAGCCTCCGAGTGAAGACTGCCGGTCGCTCTCCGATCTCCACAATCGACCTGCATACTGTGATCATGTTGCGCGCCGCATTGACGTCGCGATTCCACACTGTCCGGCAGCTGGGATTCTTGCAGCTCCTGACAAAGTGGGAATTCGCAACACTGGGCGCATCGAGTCCTTCCAACCGAACTGGCTCCAGGCACTTGGAGCACACTTGCGAGGTGTTGAACTCGTTCGTCGAGACTACCTTGACGCTTCCATGATGGTGATTGGGACGGCGTCGGTGGTGCTCGAACTGCTCAAAGTACCGAGCAAACCGCTGCCTCCGAGGGCTGGATGCATAGCCCTTAGTACATGCGATGCAGCACACCAGAGTGGTTGATGGCAAATGCAGCCGAGACAGACTTGTGCTTCATATGATTGCGCTAGCGAAGCGAAGCACCCTTCGGCGAGTATCCGTAAAGAGGGAAAATGGATCTCCTGAACCCTGTCTCGTCGACAAAAACGAGCCGTCGTGGGTCGATGGAGCGGACCTGGTCCCTGAACTGTGCCACTCGCTCATCCAGTCGCTTGGACTTGTAGAGGTGTGTTGCCCTCTTGTGTGAGAGACCTGCTCGGTGGATGGCAGTGTGGCAGAGTGAGAGTGATACTTTCCTCTGGAGGATGGACTCGAGCTTGCATCGCAACACAGGACCAGTCTGGAACGGGTCCTGTTCAATCAGGGTGCGAATGACTGGACATGCCTGCTCGAAGAAAGTGGATCTGCGAGCTGGGACCCGGGATGGGTCATCCAGCTTGCATCCTCGGTGCCATCGATGGATGGTGCTCTTGGATACACTGAATATGGAGGCAACCTTACGCAGGCTATGGATGAGGGCGTAGCATCGCAATGCGGCGGTGCGAAAGTCGGATGTGTGGCGAATGGTCATGGCCAGCGCGCGATAACATTGGGTAACAAAATATTCGATGAATGGTCAAAATCCCGGGTGTCCCGTTTTTTATTGGATTGCCTGTAAAATCCGCCACTCCATGCATTTCCTGTTCGCACAGGGGCACCCAGGGAGATGATGAGATCCACTCGGTCGCTGTTGGCCGAGTGTGTGATATGATCCGCCAATGCCGTGTTACATCGTTTCCAAAATGAAATGGGACACCCTGTTTGGAACCATGACAGGGTTTTTTGCTGTGACCTGAATACACCCACCCACTCATCGCATTCATGGCCAAGCACAGTACCCTCGATTTCCGCATCGCAGAATGGTCAAGGCCAGCGCGCAATGTTTTGAGGCAACAGAATATTCGGCCAATGACCAAAACCAGGGTGTAATTTGTCCCATCGTTTCTTCAACACGCATCCAGCATATCGTGTTGACGGTCTGTCCATGACATCAATTGGTCAGTCTATTGATATATTATCTTCAAAGGAAAAGAAGAAAAAGTGAACATCTTCAAGGAGGGTGTGCCCTGGAGTGTCGTGCGGTGGGAGAGTATATCAAGAATTGCGATTTGAAAGCAGCAAAGGACACTCACACAGAGTGGTGTATGGCACACGGTGCGGGCCAGACAGGACCGCCAGTCTGTGTGCACGGAGAATAGAGCTTATGAAAGGTCCATCAAATCATCAAACACCAAGGACTCGGATGAGAGCCCAAGTTGCCCATTGTCGCTGGGGAGTTGGCTGTGTTGGTGTACCCGATGACGACCGGCAGGAAAGGCTTCGGCGGGCGACGCTGCTGGCTGCACTGCAAATGGTGTGAGAGTCGCTTGTGCTGTCGACACATTTGCTATCACAGATGCGCTTGCGGACCCGGTGACCCCGGCAGGAGACTGCTGCGTCGATGGCGCCACAGTTATGTCCAATGATGGCGCATGTGCATCTAGGACCATGATCACGTCGCTATCTGACCCCGTCAGGTCAATCGGAACACACTGCTGCGCTTGTTGGGATACCGAGTCTGGTCCGGGAAGCTGTGTCGTCCTTGCGCCTGGGTGGACTTCACCAACGAGCGGCACGATGGCTTGTGGCATTGGACGGATATCACCCATCGTGAGCGGGTTATATGAGAATGATGAGATCGCCGCACTGATCTGCGGTTTCTGGGAGGTCGTGGATGACAGATGAGAAACATCGTCGGGGCCCTTGGATGCCGTCCTCTTGAGTTTTGGAGTGGACTTGAAGCACAAGTGCCGGTCCGCATTGGGCGTTCATGATAGAAAGCGTGAGTGAGATGGACGAGTGGAGCAATGCAGTCCGATGGGGCTGCAGCAGCATCGGTGACACGGAGCAGACGCAACGAACCCTGGGCTTTCCGTCCTTTGGCGATCCTGGCCTGGTCGAGTGCTCATCCCCGGAGGTTGGGTCCTGTGGTTGGTATAGGGCTCAATTTAAGAGTCCTGGTTGTGCGGTGCCTGTATCGACGACCACCAGCAATGATCCTACCGTTTTTGAAAGCTCTTCCTCCGTTTTGAGGCGCCACACAAGAACCTAAAAGCGAGCGCAGTGAGATGGATGGGGCCTCTGGAAATGTCGGCGAGCCGGTCGTAAATGCGACATGGAATGCCATCGTACCTTGTCTGTCTGCCGGCGCTCCCGGACCGCAATCTCGGATATCTTGGCAACCGTGAGTCCTTTGTTGACCCGAAGCCTAGGAGTAGATCCAAACCGAATCAGTTGTGCGCAGAGTGCCCTTGAGCTCGTTATAGCAGACTGGGGGATCTGTCGCAGCATTGCGTCCTATCGCGACCTAGCGATCGCACTCACTTTTCCTTGAATTCCTCGGCCAGCTGGATTTTACTCTTGTCACTGCCTACCACGGACTAGGACACCGCGCGCGAGGTAGATCAGTATAGGGCACGTCGGTCTGGTATCCCAAAACCCACTGCCGGCGATGCGAACCAGCACAGGGATGGAGGAGGGCCGCAGGCTTTCATACCTTGATGAGTTCTGCGAGAAGTTCCGAGGGAAAGACCGTGCTCTTGGTCCGCCTCGAGGGCGACCGGACCGTCTGTAATCCGCCGTTGGCATTCAATCGCTCCTTATCATCGCCTGTGCCGATGGGAACACGGGCCTCGAAAGGATCGAGTGAAATATGCAGGTCTTTGGGATTCAAGAAAGACAAGGCACAACGGCCGCAAATAAGGAATCACACCAGCATGTGAGTGGTGCGCCGTCCCAGGGCTGCATCGTGTCGCTCATGGCCTACCTCCAAAAACATGGGCAGCCATATCGGCAAGGAGCGCCTGTGAAGACAGACTGCCGATGGTACTCTCCCAAACTGGGCCGACAATGACTGGCACAAGAGGCTCCAGGCGGCGCCGTTTTGGGAACATATCCTTCGTTTTGGCTGTGTTGCAATGCATCGTTGGTCAGGTCGGCATTGGCTGGAGTAAGCGCTGCTTTCGTCGTATCCTGACACTGTTGCGCATCACATATCGGACTTGGCGACATACAACTCGGTGGGAGGGCTGGTCGCGGGCATACCTTTTTCGCCAAGGTTTTCGTCGTGCTCGCCTTCGTCCTCCGAGAGATACCCGTGAGGAACGAGCCAGCCGTCCTGCAAGGTTTGCATCGCGAGGGCAGGGTGTGAGATGCGGCGGGACAGACATTGGCGCCAAGCGTCCGCGATTGCCGTACCTCTTCTTCGTCGATATCCTCGGCTTCATCCATATCCTCATCGTCCTCTGACAGCGAATCCAGTGCCTCTCCAGGCTCGTCTTCTTCCCAATCCTCCTCGCTATCCACGTCATAGTCAAGGACGGTCACATCGCGAGTATAAGGCGCTCTCGGAGAGATAACCCTGGATCGCTTCGACCATGTACCTGAAGCGAGTTGGAGCAGGCGTAAAACTTGGTAAGGAGCCAAGCCGAGGGATACTGAAGCTCTGGGCTAAAGCGCAAGTAATGTGGCAGAGCGGCTCACCAAAGTACGCCGGGCGGATGTTTTCGCCAAATTTAAGGAACTTGAGGCGTCTGTAAATGTATCCGACTTCGTCACTGCCGAGTTTTCGCAGGGGCTTTCCAATATACTGTCGCGGTTTCTTGCACCACGATAGGAACTGGCTTTGGACATCTGCATCGTCAGAGAAGCAACAGTGAGAATTCGTTCAGTGACTGAATCGAGTTGCACAGAGTTTGCATGAGCGCCAGCAATCTGCATCGAGTCCATGTTACAAAACCTTGAGAGGAGGCCTTGGGACCGTCAATAGGCGATTCACAAAGCAGGGGCGCATTCTGAGCACCCGAGCGAGCAATGAAGCGGTTGGTTGGGGCCAGGGTAACATTGTTGCGCACGGTGAAGGGCTGGAAGGAGGCGTTGTACTCGGTCTTGAGCACATTCTGCCCGGTACCCTCATCGGTCTTGTCTCCTTCGACGGGTCTGATGGTGTGAAAGAATTTGGAGATTGGCGTGTACTGCGTCGGGGTGATCCGCTTCTTTTCATCCTCTTTCTTGGGCTGAGCGATGCGAAGGTATATTTTAGCAGAGCGCCGAACAGGCATGCCGCCTTTCGGGCTGGCAGAGGCTGCCGGCTCTACCTTTCTCTCAAGCGGCTTGTGCTTCTCTGAAACGATGACTTTGGCCTTGCCCTTGTTGCTGCTGGCCTCAGGGAGAGCAGCAGCACTCTTTGTCGACGGTGCGTCATCTGGCACATCTTCAGTGGCATCCACCATAACAACGTCGCTGGAGACCTATGATTATCGCCAGGAGGAGGGACCAGGGGGTCGAATTGAGATGGGCGATCAGCGTCATGTGGGCTGGCCTATCGACCGACATGCTCACTCGAAAATGGCATACTACAGCAGTTTCTGCATTCTGGCCAACAGCGTCGCCGAGATCGCGGATGCAGAACGACAGTGATTCAGTCTGCACCGACCTGAGGCGACCTATAGGTGTCCGTGGCGCTTGCGGATCGGTCCTGTGGAATGCAACTGGGTCACTCGACGTCCAGAGCTGCGCAGTACCGTAATCGTAACCACAGATTGAGGGAACCTACCACTTCCACCGGCGCCGGAGCGACATCGACAGCAGCGCTCGGCCGGCCCCGTCGCTTCACAGCCATGAGCCTGCCCTTGTCCTCGGAAGGGAGGGCGTCGATTATAGCCGTAATTTCTGCCTGAGCCTGGGTTGGAACACAAGGAGATAAGTGCGTTGCTTCGGAAATTCCCCAGAGCGACGCATAGGCTTTGGGCAGAGCTACCTTTTGTCGTGCGCGTGTTCGCTCCTCAATGATGCCTCGCAGCTCGTTGCTGAAGTGGTTACGGTTCAGGACTTCCCACCTCCAGACTTGAAGGGCCTGTGCGTTTGCGCCCGATCAGCAAAGTGAAGTGCCGTCGCGACCATACGGCAGCTTAGGCCGAAAGAGTTGGGGATATCCCTCATGCCTTTGCCTTGTGGAGCTGCATTTCTCGAGGCATATCTGCTGCGTAACGCACGACACCAACGATCCAGTCTGCGGATGCGCTTACCTGCGGCGCGCTCGGCTCGGGATAGCCGTAGTTTACACGGCTGGCGATTTTGCAGATCACCTGCGAAACCACCTCCTTGGTGATCAGACTTTCTTTGTCTGTCTCCAGTACCACGGAGCAGAACGAAATGCGTGCATTAGCAAAGTACAGCCATCATGAGCAACAGAGTGCTCGTCGCTGTCAGAGGCAGCGTGCTTGTTCACAGCCTCACCTGAGCTGTCGCCAAAATCGGGAGGAGAGAGGTGGTCCTTCACAGACACAACCAACTTGTCGATCGTCATGTCGCTGAAGGAAGGACACACGTGTCAATGTTGTTTCGGGAAGTCGGTGATGCCGCAGCTTTGAGCATCGTACCTGTCCTGCACAAGCATCGCGAGCAGCCCTTCGTATTTTTCTGGAAACTCGGCAAGGACTTCGGACTTGTCCTCCATCCAGGTGTGAAACGACGCCAGCCCTATGGACACAGAGTATACAGGTTAGTGACCTCTCATGGACACATGCGCCGGCTACAGTCGGGACGGGCGCGGCTTCTGGCCACCTACCAGCGATAACAGATTGGTGGCGGGATAGCGGAAGCTTTTTCTCGTTGAGGACAATCTTGCCCCCTTTGAGCTGGGCCATGCTTTTTTCTTTGCCGGAGGTTGCCGGAGCACTTTCCAGTGGTTCCGCTATTGGGGCCTAAGCCGGGGAAGCGCAGAACAGCATGTACGGGTGAACATGAGTGTCGATCATTTCGCTGGAATCGAACGGGCATCTCGGTAGTCGCATGCATGCATAGGAAACCCGGGAGTAGCAAGCTGATTGAGAATATCAAGATCATGATGACGGTCTGCATTTCGCTTCGACAGCCAGGATCAGCCCAGCCCGAGCAAAGATGCAGGCCACTGGTAACCTACACCAAGACCGACACTCTCGTGAGTCACAGCTGGGCGAGGTTCTGTGTTTTCTGGTGCAGCATGGGCCGATACAGCCTTGTCCATCGGGGTCGATGACATGCTGGCTGGCTCGGTCGCCTCGAGTACTGCGTGCGACTGTTTGGCCTTCGCAGGCATTGGAGGCTTCACTTCAGTCGGGGCTGGCGATTCTGCAGCTATGGCCCTCTCAGGCACCACCGAATTCTCCATCAACCGTGCTGCTGTCGACACGGGAAGCGTCGCTGGTGTCGATGTCAATGTCGGTGTCGGTGTCGCCGGCGACTCGCTTCCGGAGACCGTGATCGGGCTTGCCGTTGCTTCGATGGGCTGCTTGGGCGCTATATCTGTCGTTGGATTGGATGTCGCATGAGTCCCGTCACCAAGACCCTGTTCGTAATAGAGCTCCTCTGACAGGAGTGGCCGACGAGCCCTGCTCCAAGATCCAAAAACGTACTCTCTTGGCCTTTCTTGGCGGGCTTGATGTCGATGACAACCTCCGGATGTGGCCCGTCCCTAGCCATCTTCAAGATTTTCTGTCGCTTCAACTCGGCCGCCTCTGTAGATCGGAAAAGGGTTGTCAATGCAACGGCCGGATGATCTAGCAGCCGATCCTTCGCAACTCAGGCGAGCTATATTCCGCGCAGATCGGGTGCTGTTGGCTGGAAGGCAATACATGGGCTGCTGCCCCGCGGTTGCATCAACCTGTGAAAGCGGGTGCGGCCAAGTACCGGCCCTGTGCTCACAGCGGCTATGCAGGCAGGCGACTTTCAGAGCCGGCTGCGGGGACTCACCCTCGGCGTCATCACGAGCCGTTTGGCTGTCTGCTTGCTTGCCGGGTCGATGCGAGGGCAACGGCGGCGACGAGCCTGCGGCTGGCTTTGCTCCCGTCGACCCGCCTGCCAAGGCACCCTGTCTCTGCGACGCCTTGGCAATCGGCTGGAAAAACTGGTGCAGCGTCGTTGTCTTGCGTTGCGGCGGATCCATGATTGCAGACAAGTCCGTTCGTCTTGCTGGCTGCGTGGCTGTTGGGTAATATGGCCAAAACGCGACAAGCCAGGCGGATGGATCCGGCTCGAGTGCGTGCCGCGCCACGTGCCGCGCCACCGAGTGCTGCGCCATAGTATCATGCTGCTTGGCCGCAACTGCCCCTCCGCTCCCGCCCTCCTGCCCGTCCATCAACCCGCCCTGTCTCGGCCTGCTTCGCCTTCCGAGCCCGGTCCTGCCGACACCCGCAGAAAAGAAGCTGCCCTGCCCCTCGCATCGGCCCCCGTTGCTGCCTCCCGGCCCAATGAATCTTCTCTCCCTCTCCAATTGCATCCTCATCGGCATCCTTGTCGATGTCGATAAGCCCGCTGAGGTCGTCCGGACCTGCAAGCGGCTGTGGCTGCTTGGACGGAGCCCTTCGTTCAAATATCGATGGCTCGTCTCTCGGCCAAGGGTCCTCAACGACCTCTATGGCAACATCCTGAAATGGAGCCTTGAGCAGAGCACCGTACGTATCAGGCGCCTGAGCTGCCGTGCGCTTGGTCCAGAAGGGATGCTCCGAAAGCTCACGCAACCAGCCGTTTGCTCTGACCGTCCGTCGTGTTTTCTCTCTATACCCATGTCTCTATCCTGTCTCTATCTACCGATTTCTACGTGTCATTCTCGATCCCGCTCTGTTCGCCGCATGCAGTATCTCCAAACTCCTCTCGAGAAGGAGCGACCCTCCGTCCCCATCAAGTCCTTCCCAGCCTCGCTGCTCACGCCTGACATCTGGCCCTTCCTCATCGCGGCATGCAAGGAGACGAGCCTCTACTTTTCTCCCCGCTACCTCAGCGACCACACCGTCTCTTTGAACCACATCATCTCGCTGGACCATTTTTACCACAACGCTAAGGACGAGACGCCCTCCATCCTGTTCCTCATCCGCCCTATGACTCTGTTCTTCTTGATCGTCAACAATATGGAAGAAGACGCTCGGCGCCTTCTCTCGGCCATTGGGTATACCGAGGACTCGGTCCTGGCGCCCATTTGGATGAGCATCATCAGTGAGACCATCATTCGATACCGTGATGGCCAAGACGGACAAGCCCAACTGCTCAGTCTTGTTATCGACCAGCTCCGTCAAAGCGCCGCGAGCCCACCTCCGTTTCCCACCGTCGAATACCTGGAGAGCTCTATAACCCAATCACTCTGCATCAACGGTTCCGTGGAGCTTCTCGACCGTCTGCGCACCACCTTCCACTGCATCGAGCGCCTTATACAGGAGTGGGGATTGCAAATGTTGATTGCTGCTCAGCTCCATCACTGGGAGTTTGTCCAGTCCGTTCTTGTCCGCTACCAGCAGCTTGGCCCCGACCAGGCACCGCCAAGCACGTTCAATTTTGGCCACATCATCTCTGAAGCCGCAAAGGACGGCAACTATGATCTGGTGGATCAGCTTATGCTGACCGCCCGCGAACGCTTCCCCTTTGCCGAATTTGAAGGAATCTGGAACGAGACTCTCGATGATGCCATCGAGTACGAAGTCCACCCCCTGGCCGTGTGCCTGATCCAGACGGCACCCGCCTGCTGGGACTTTGAAAACCCCCGCGCTATGGGCCACATCGGAGCCGCGGCCCAAGAGGGCACTTGGACCCGCCGCGAGGTTCTAGATTTGCTTCTCACCAGCATTTCGGGGCTCGACGGATACTCCAGCGACGTCACCAAGACAGTCATGAACTCGATTCACGAGGCCTCCTCGACCCACTACCAAGCCGTCGTTTCGCAACTCGTTGCCATGTGCACCACCGGTGACTATGTCTTTGAAAAGGCGTGCGAGCGCGGCCAAGTCGTGGATATGAGCTTCGCGCTGGCCTGCCTGCAGTCGAAGAGCTTGTCCGGAGACTTGCTCGATGCTCTCCAGACAAAGAATCTGTTCCATCATCTCAAGCATGCTCTCGCCAACTCTCAGCGACTCAAGACCGACATCGAAGCCGTCAATTTTATACTGAACCTCTATCAGGCCTCGGATCTCATGCCCTCGCCTTCGGCCAGTAGTCGCAAGGCGTGTCAGCAGCTGCTCGAGCGAGTTCTCTTTGCCGCCAAGCAACCCGAACTTGACCGGGGTGGTCTGGCTGAGATCATATTGGTGCTTTATGACAGCCTCTCGGATCAATCGCCATCCACCAAGCCCTCGAAAAGCAGCGATCGCCTGTTGCCCTTCCTGAACCGCTATCTGGTCAAGATCCATGCAAGACATCGAGAAGCCATCTCCGAAGGAACCGCCTTCCACCGAGAGTCGGCCGAGTCGGTCCTCAAGGCGTATCTGGCCCGGATTCTCGTCGCAGATGAACTGGCCCAAGCCAAAATCCTCCTATCCCTGATTATAGATGGCCAGTACGAGAGCATTGTGCTGCTGAAGGACTTGGGCGTCCCGCTGTCCGAACGTCTCATCGGGTTTGAGCACCGACAGAACTCCGAGCCCTCCCGCGACAACGAGAACAGCGATGATGAGGATGATGGGGATGATGAGGATGAGGACGACGACGACAGCGAGGCTTCAGATGTCGAGACTTCCTTAGGAGATCTGCATCGGCGATTCGAAGCCTACACTTCGGCTGGATATTGCGTCGATGTCGCGCAGAAGTGCATTGAGTTGCTGCGCCGCCAGCCTCAGGACGAAGCCAAGCAGGACCCGGCCGCCTGCTTTGAGGATCTGGCCAAGATCGGATACATTTTCCAATCAGCCCAGCTCGCTGCAGACGCCTCTGCAATCCGTTTGATCGCTCGGCACTTTATCGATCGCAAAGCCTTGATCCCGGACACCGTTTCGACCAACCTTCTGTGCTTGCTTGCCCTGGCCGGATATGCTGACGAGGTCAACGAGTTGCTTGACTTGGGGCTTGCCACGATGGGAACTATTGCGCCGCTGACACTTCTTGAGTATCGAGCACTCCTGAGCCTCGAATCGATCATCAAGAGCTTCGAAACCCCTGACCCCTCGATCGAAAGCCTCGCGCCGCTCCTCCGGGGAATCTTTGCCCCGGGCCAGAATCTGCTCTCTCGCGAGATCCTCGTGGACACAGCGCGCTACATTGCCAAGCGGGAGCTTTCTCCTGTGGATAGCTCACCGAGCACCATCATTTGCAAGGCCTTTGAGATTCTGCAGTTGATCCGAGCCGTCAATGTCCCGCTCTCGGAGTGCTCTGCAGCCTCCGACCTCTTGGTGATTGCTCTGTGGGAGAAGCAGCCTCAGGTGGCCATCAAGATCATCACTACCGGATCCAGCATTTCCCGTGTCACCCCGGCTCGATTCAGCAGCTTGTTGGAGCTGATCCGCAACCCCCTGGCCGGCGACACGCTGGGCAAAGACAAAGAGCTGACCGATTATCTCGAAGCAAGCTTCCAGGCCATCAAGGGCACCTCATCGCCCGTCGCCCCAGACACCGATGCGACCCTGGCGCTTACATCGCTTCTCTGGCGCACCCAGTACACTGCTTTTGAAGCCTCCTTTGCCCGGTCGCACCACTCCTTTAGTCTGCGACATGGATGGGTCGAGCACTGGCCCACCGTTACATGCGATGGATGTGCACAATTCCCGCTGATCGGCCGGCGCTGGAAATGCAACGACTGCGACGACTACGACTTGTGCGATGACTGCTACGCGAGGCGCGACGAGCATCACGCCGACTTGGCCTCGCATACATTCCGTCACGTGGAGTCCAATGGTTCATTCCTCCTCAATGAGATCACCAACTTGCTGAACGCCGGATTGCCTCTGTCTCCGACCACGGTCATGGATCTGCTGCTGCTCTCGGCTTACCACGGAGACGCAAATACCATGGATCGTATCCTGGCTTACCCCAGCTGCATCGGAGCCGTGTCCCCTGCCTCCCTCACTAGCAACCAGGCTGAACCTTTGCTCCTGAAGCTCGTCAACTACCGATACGTCGTCAACGACATTGCCAAGTCCAGACAGCTCCTTACCCTATTCGATGCCATCCTTGGCGCACTCCAAGCCAGATGGACCACCAGTGACCACAGCCAGGTCGCATCCCGTCTATTTGAAGCCGCAATTCGATTCGAGGACACCCAAGCTGTGATGTGCCTGCTCAAGTACCTGAAGCCGGATGCTGCTGCGCTTCGGCTCGCTGTGTCGGGCTGGCTGTGGCAGATTGCCTGCCTCTTGACCAGCGCCATGGATTCCTCCGTGGATGTCGACCTGATCATTGACGAGGTCGTCAAGCATCTGCGATACGGATCGTCAACGCCATCCCGACAAAGCGTGGAGTGGCGAGCAGCCGAGCCCTACATCAAGATGCGAAACCGATCCCTCAGCGAGAGCGAACGGGGTCAAGTGTTGAACTGTCTCCTGCGCATTCACAGTACCTTCAATCTCTCTGCGGATGTTGCAGTGGCCGAGACGACGTCGCCGGAGCCTAGGCCTTCCAGTACGAATGAGTTCTGCCGCAAGCTCATCTTTGAGCTGCAGGCCCATATTGGCTCTCGGCTGACACTGCTTGTTACCCGCCTGAGACGAGCGGCCGTCGTATTCACACCAGTCAGCGTCCTCCTCATCGAGTCTCTGAACTACCTCCTGCCGCGCGGAGCCGTGCACACGCCGGGCGAACCAAAGTTCATCACGCAAGAGGAATTCAGAGATTTGCTCGTTGCTCTCTGCGACAGCGCCTCTCTTTCGGAGGATTACTTTTACAGATCCTTTGAAGAGGTGCTCCAAGCATGTCCTCCCGAGATGGCTCTGGAGCTTGAGCTGCCACGGCTGCTGATCGAGACCATGGGCTCGGTCACAGAATGGGTCTGGCCAAGAGAAGGGACAGTCCATCGCGAGTTCAAGCACCTCTTTTACTATCTGGCTACTGCGCCGGCTCGTAACATGGATCTCGAAAAGCTGAAGCCGATGATCATGAACCCTGCGTTCCAGTCCCTGCGACTGCTGGACGGCCCGGAAGATACCAACGACGAAGCTGCGGAAAGCGGTGAAGGCCAACAAGATGAAGAGATGAACTCCTTTGATGACGATATGCCATTCCAGTGCCTCGGCGACCTGCAGACCTTCTTTGTCGACGCCGATGATGCGGTCCGCGGCACTCGCGAGCTCCAGACCTTTGAACAGCTCGCTCAAGTCCATCATGCTCCCTGGGCCATGGTCCAAGGCGAGACGACGATCCTGGACCACATCATGGCATGGCTTGGTCGGGATGAGGCCTAAAGCGCATCCAAAGAGACACACGACATCCTATTTCGAGCCGGGGTCGCCACTTTTGTTTTCTTGTCGTGAATACACATCCATCGAATGTCCACCAAATGTGCTTGCGGTGTGTGCGGTGTCTGGAGACGTGCGACTCGCTCAATCCGACTGTCTTGGTACCGTCCACACTCTGCCAAGAGGGTGCGCACCATGGCAAGAGCCGAATGCATGCGCATCTCGGCTTGTTTCCAAGGGCTGCCGGCTCGCCACATGTGGCAGTGCATCTCGCCAGGGTGTCCGTCACGTGCATCTCGCCAGGGTTGTCCTCGTCGACCACGCCCTGGCTCATCAGGAACCGCCGTTCGTCAGGATCGCCCCACGACTCCCAGCAACACAACCACCCCGGGCACGTATCGACCCAGCCGATCGACACACTCCAGCTCGAGCCGTCTGATTCCACCCCCCCCCGCAAGCAGCCTCTGCCGATCGCTACAACCCACGTTTTCATCCTCGTCGTTGTCCCAAGCCAATGTTCCTCACAAGATCCGAGTACGACCGCGGTGTCAACACTTTCTCGCCCGAGGGCCGTCTCTTCCAGGTCGAATACGCCATCGAGGCCATCAAGGTAAGCTGCCGCTGCCGACTTTGTGGAGTCCGTCCATCCTCCTCGACTCTCTGTGAAGAGCGACATCCTCTTTGGTTGCTGTTTGGAACAATCGGTCTGGGCTGCAGTGGCATCCCGCCGCCTCTCTCCCTCTCTCTTCAATAGCTGCTCCGAATCGCTCATCAAACCGCTGGCTTTCTGCCTCGCCCGTGCTTCACTCCACGCTCTATCCCTTTCCAACAGCTTGGATCAACCGCCGTCGGTATCCAGACGTCCGAGGGCGTCATCTTGGCTGTCGAAAAGCGAGTGACTTCGACGCTCATGGAACCCAGCTCGGTCGAGAAGATCATGGAGATCGATTCGCACATTGGCTGTGCCATGTCTGGACTGGTTGCGGATGCCCGAACCATGGTCGACCACGCTCGGGTCGAGGCGCAAGTAAGCCCAGGGCGATGGGCCGCTCGCTCGCTTGCGTGCCTGATTGCTTTCCTGCCCTCGGCAGATGCGGTGTCGGGGAACTTGTCTGGATCACCTTTGCTCTGTCGAACCCGCACTGACTCCCGCTACCATTGCCCTTCGCCACTTGACCTGGGGGTTGTGATACCTCCATTCAGAACCATACCTTTGTCTTCAACGAGAAAATCAAGGTTGAGAGTCTGACCCAGGCCGTCTGTGACCTCGCTCTGCGATTCGGCGAAGGCGCCGATGGCCAGGAATCCATCATGGTGAGGCGCTGTGCTGTGTCGTGAAGAAGTCCGTCTGCCCAGCCTCCTCGGTCATGATGAGGCATGACGGGGGCCGGGATTGCTTGTTGCTTGATGGACTCACAGAGCTCTTATTTGTTGCGATGCTTGTGACGACTGTGCCCCTCGTTTAGTCCCGTCCGTTTGGCGTCGCCCTTCTGATTGCCGGCATCGACGAAAATGGCTGCCAGCTGTAAGTAGACTGGGTACGGCCCTGTATCCCATGTGTCCGTGGCCTGGACCGAGTTGGATCGACATGGACCGAGTTGGATCGACATGGATCGACGATTGGCTCCATATTCAAGTGGCTTGCCTTGTCTTTTGCGCTTGGGTCTGGCTCCGAGGCATAGCAGGTGTATTTGAGTCTGCTGGCCCAATTGTGGCAGCCAGCTCTCGTATCAATGCTTATCATCCCCCTCTGCTCTCGCACCATCTATCCATCGATCCGACCATGTTGATGTACCGAATAGCTACCATGCTGATCCCTCGGGCACGTTCAGCCGCTACGATGCCAAAGCTATCGGCTCGGGCTCGGAGGGTGCCCAGACTGAGCTGCAGGAGCAGTACAACAAGGTACAGCATGTTCAACTTGATGCTTGGCTTGATGCTTGGCTTGGCCTGATGCTTAGCGACTCAGATGACCGTCGAAACTATCACGGTCGCGATTCTGGCCCCCCCCCATCGCACGATGATTCTAACACCGGTGCTGGATGCACAGTCGCTGACCCTGAAAGAAGCCGAAGTCCTGGCTCTCAAGGTGCTGAAGCAGGTCATGGAAGAGAAGCTCACGGCCAGCAACGTCCAGGTCGCATCGGTGACCCCACAGCGCGGCTTCCGGATCCACGAGGAGTCTGAACTTACCGACACAGTCGCCTCGCTGGTCTAAACGGGAGAACAGCACAGTAGCCTCGGCAGCCTGCTCACGTCCACTTACCCCCAGCGGCCATCCTGAAAACGACACACCTTGGTCTTGCCTGCCCCGCTTGCTACCCCCCCCCTCCTCAGCTTCACACACGCACCTACATCCTCTCCGCATGCGTCGACCAGCTCGCGCAGTCTGTCGAGCATGGGCAGCGGCATCATCACAGATCCAACATTGCCCTGTGTTCCCACGCCTTGATCCCTTTCCTCCTCGGCTGGTTCGCTCCAATATGATCGAAATTGACGAAACGTGCTGAGCCAAGTGGCAGATATGTCCCTGGCCAAAGGGTTGATGGCATTGCTGGAGCAAAGGCGGCACGCGCGGATATATTCACATAGGCATCGAGTAACAGGCCGGGTGGCCCGAGCGCGCGGGGGAGGGTACTGCCGGTGCATGGGTAAAGGGAGACGGGAGGAATGCAAAGCAACGGAACAGCCATGAGTGAGTGAGGAGGAAGGGAGTATGATTTGGGCCCAGAGAACAAGGCTTGCTGAGGGCCAAGCGAGAACTACGGCTCCTCCATGGCGGGATGGAGCCGCTCCAGTTCAAACTCGTCCGCCCGAGGATCGTTTGCCCGCGTTCGCTTCGAGGCCGCAGCAGCGGCAGCTGCGTTCGACGGCCCGGACGTCAGGTCCAGAGCGCCCAGCGGGTTGCCCAGGGTGATTGGCCGCAGCTCCATCTGCATGCACAGGTACTCGCCGCCGAGGGACATGCCGACGAGGGACAGCACAAAGTTGATCCACCACAGGAACGAGTTTGGCAGCTGCCGGGAATAGAGCGTGCAGATGATGAGGTGGAAAAAGTGCAGGGTGCTCGCAAAGTCGAGGCACAGCTTGGCGCGTTGGACGACAACGAGTAACGAGTAGCTCCTGAAGTAGGGCCACGTCGGCGTTGGAATGGGTCATGGCGAGGACCAGAGGGGAGAGGGAGAGAGAGCGAGCAAAATCAACAACCAGAGATAGTCAGCGGGACCAGTCAGAGACGATCCGCAGTAACTCGGACCGCAACTCCTCGTCGGCCGCTTGGGGCGAGGGAGGCCGAACCGATCTCCCAGAGCGACGGCCGGCCAGGCAACGACCTTGCCAAGTGATGATGCTCGAGAGAGCGACGGGTGACGCTGCTGATGGGACATTGACGAGCGGCTGTTTCGGCTTACCCGATACACGAATTGAGCAGGAACGAGAAAAAGATGGCCCAGCCCAGGACTGTGTCCGTCCGGATCTCAGAGGAGCCCAAGATGTGGCGAATGGTGACTGAGGAGCCGGTCAGAAGCTCCATGACAAAGATGATGAGCGACAGCGACAGATAGTAGAGACATTGGAGCGTCACTGCTCGGCCAGACCCCGGGGATATCCAGGGAAAAGGCCCAGTCCAAAGCCACAGATGGGTTGATGCATATCCGTCGACAGGGACAGCGGATCGGATCGGATCGGATCGGATGGGAATAGATCAGTCAGTTGGATGAGCGAGCGAATGATGCAGGCTGAGGAGAGCCGGCCCAAGTCTGAGGCGAGCCCGCGCGATGGGCGGTTGATGGTGGGCGGCCAGAGGAGGAGGGAAGGGGGGGATATCGAAGCCGGATCTCGACACCACCATCCGGCAGCTCGGACAGCGTTGGACAGAAGCCGATCCAAAGGCCGGCGTGCTTGTCGCAAGACTTGGATTCCTTCCTTCTGTTCGTACCATGGTCGAGACCGTGCAACCCTCCCTCGGTCCAGCCCTGGATGGCCAGGACAAGAGTGACGCATGCAACAGAAGCGAAGCTCGTGGCCGCTCAAGATAACATATGGCGTACCTATCTGTGCCACGATAAGAATCGGGTCAAATGACGAAAGCCGATACGATGAATTGGACATGAGGGCTTGATGGGGCGCAGAGAGGCGGCGGCAGCGGGATAATCACAGAAACAGACAACAACAGAGACGAGGGGTTGCGCAACTTGGACAGGATTCGAGGCGATGGAATCTGCCAGGGTCGATACAGCTGGAGCAGTTGTGGGAGCGATCGCCGAGGGTGGCCGAGCCGAGAGTGTCGCCGGAGGCTCTTGGACGGGCAATCGCAGGACGGACGGCAGGATGGGCGGCAGGGTTGACGACGATCAAATCAATCGATCGCCAAAGGAGGACCAAAACGAGAGGATGCGACCGAGACGGCCAGCGAGGCCGAGATGCAGCCGAGACGGCCTCTCGCTCTTGTCGCCGTCTCGCCGGGGCTTCCCGATCCAGCAAAAATCGCACGCGCATCCGTTCCCGAAAAACGAAAAGCCTGGACCGCCGTTTCGTCCGGGCTCTGTCGCCAACCTGGAACCCTCAAACGCATCCCAAGGCCATCGTCGACCACTACTGCCTCCCCGCACGGGCGCCATTGCCGGATTCAAAAGTGCCCGTCCGACGCTGCCGCACCCGGCAATCCCCCTGATATTCGATCCCCCACCACCCTGTTTATGCATCCGCACCCGCTGGCGGATTCTGGAGGATGCAACGCAGCCACACCGAGTCGGGCTCCTGGCTTGCCCTGGTTCTCGTTTCATGGTCCCTGTCGTCGTGGCTCAAGGCCGCGCTCTTGAAGAGAGATATCGACCCGGTCACCCAAACGGGTCTTTTTGGCGGTGCCTTGGCCGACGAGGCACTGCCTCGGATGCCGCGCTTCGACCGCCGACAGCGCTGGAGTCGCTGGGCAGCAACCTGGATCGATCTGCTGCGGAGCACACGGGCGACGTCGCAAGAACAGCGGCTGGTGTTCGGCTATTACTTGGCCGTGGCCCACATGGCTCTCAGCGTGGCCAATGTCGAGGTAAGCCTGGGCGTGGATGGCTTGCTTGGTGTCAGGCATCGATGCCGATGATGCTGCGGTGCACACCCCGGATCCTGGGCGAGCAAGCCAGAGTGAGCAAGCCAGGGCGAGAGACCAGCAGCCCCCGCCACAAGCAATCCACGGCGGTGGCCGCCAAGCCGCATCGCCAGCAATCCTCTTTCATGAATCACGTCATGGATCCCTTCATGGATGGCTCCATGACAGCTTTCATGAACGCCGCTGATCGCCTACCCCTGATGGGGGTGTTTCTTGCAGCTCCCGCACAAGACGAATGCACCGGCCGTCCGGTCTGCCTCGGGCCGGCTTCTCTGGCTCTATGCAATCTGCGGCTCGCTCGTGCCGGCTCTGCTCGACGAAGCCGTTGGGCTGCTGCTGTCGATACTGTGGTCGCCGCGAATCCACTCTGTCAAGGGCATTCCGATGACAGCACCATGTCTGCAGCAGAACGGGGGCAAGGACCGTCGGCCGAGAAGCTCATCCTGTCCAGTCAGTGGTGCCGTCCTGGCCAGCAGGATTCCCTGTCCCGTGCGGCCTCGGCGTGCCGTCTGTCGATCGGGCAGCCCCCTGGCCGAGCGAACACCCTTGCCGAAGGAGTCGCCCAAGTGTTCTGAATGGTCCAAGCGCACCGTACGGCCAAGCCCTCCTCGATACCCGCAGCAAGCACACACAACGGATCGGTTGGCCCGGTTCGAAGGTCTGGCAGCAGCGCCGGATCAGCCAATACCGCAACCACCGCAGCCACCGCCCGGACCAGGATACCTGCACAGGACTCTGCTCGGCCTACAGCCATCGACCAGGCAACAGCCGCCCTCTCAGCGCCAGGACACCCCGCCAAAGCACGCTGATCCGAACGAGCCACCGCCGCTCGACAACTCTGACTGCCCAATCTGCCTGGGATCGTCGTCGTGCTCGGTAGAGAGTCTCGAGCGGTTCTGCAAGGCCGCGAGACACGTAGCTCACACCGAGTGCATGATGTCGTGGTACTCGACCCAGCGCGACGAGCGCTGTCCGGTCTGTCGGCGAGACCTGGCCATCACCGCGATTGATGATCGCTCGTGGAGCCTGAGCCAAGGCCGCGGGCGCTGGTGGGGCCTGTGGACGATCGTCCAGGCCAGGTGGGACTGGAGCCGGTTCTGGACGAGACTGGGGACGCACTATGGGGTCGTTTTGCTGGTGCTGCTGCTGTCGCGGCTGCCGAGGACAGCGACGAGGACAACGACGAGGAAGCGGAGAGCCGCCGGACATCTCCTTGGAGGGTGAGCGAGAGACTGGTGGTGGCGGGAGGAAGAGGAGACACCGAAGACGATCGACGAGGTTGGTATCGCCGACGGGTGTCGACAGCTGTAACAAACAACGCACACACATGATACATATCTATGCCACATCCGCCGAAACGACGGAGGCAATGGTGGAGGTGGCTCGATGGAGGTGGCTCGATGGAGGTGATGGCCCTGGCAAAGGTGCGAGAGACCGGAAACCGCTGGTGGCGGCAAAGCATTCGCGTGCTGAAGTATATCTGAAACGAAGCATCCAGAGCAACATACCATTGACGGTGGCCAACCAGGCGAGCAGAAGATTAGCTCCGAGCATGAGGGACGGCGTTGATCCTGCAGCAAGGGCAAGGGCAAAGGCAAAGGCAATGCCGACACCATCGCCCGCCTTGCAGCCGATGGTGTTCCAGCAACAACGACATTGTCGGCAGTAGTCGCGAGACACCACTCCCAAGCAGATCCGCAGGCGCCCAACTCATCAGACAGTGGAGGAGGTCTTGACGAGATGCTCAACGGGACACCCGACGAGGCACCAGAGGAAAGCACCGGCCGAGGGTTGCCGGGATGCGACAGTGGCATCAGGGCCGAATCCGGCGGGCCGCAGAGGCCATCACGCCTGGGCGGTGCCGGTGGTGTTGGGCCGAGTCGCCGGCAGCATGACAGTGCCGCGGGACAGGCCTTTGGAGCCGCACAGCAGAATGACGGGGTCATGCTGGATCATGGCGTCCTATGCGGGAGATGACCGAGGGCAACCTGGCAGGGAGTGCTCCAGAGAATCGGGCAGGGAGGGCATTGGGGGGGGGAGCGGGCTGGTCGGGCAGGCGGCGGTCGCGAGGACGAGGGCGGCGGGGGGCCGGGGAAGAGCCGTGAGTCATGCGGGCAGCTCAGCGGACAGGCGGGCGGTCATGACCAGATCCGAGTGGACGCGGATGGCTGTGCCTGTGCGGACGCATGACGGGGGGGACGGACAGCGGAGCGTCGCCATGACGCGAGGCGGTGGAGCGCCTGCCCGGCGGCGAAAGGCGAGTTGAACATCATGTTGTGGACGTAGTGAAGTACGACGACACGGAGACGATCGGCACGCTGAATATCACGCATCAAGTGCCGATCGGTCTTTGGCATTGCTCCATGAACGGCCGCCCATCCATCCATCCATCCATCCAGCCATCCGTCCATCCAGCCCAACCAACAGGGGCCTGCCACGGCCCTGTCCGCAGACGCAGCCAGGCGCCCCCCGCGCGCTGATTCGTCCCATGGCTCCATGTCCGCCACGCCTGCCTGCTGGCGGGCAAGGCGGAGCGAGTGGCCGCTAATTGCCGCCCGACCAATCGCTGCCGCGACGCTCGGTGATTGGATCCGCGCGCGCCCGCTCCGGCGCTTTTGATTGGGTCAGCCGACCGACTGACCCGCCCGCTGCGGCCGCGTCATTCGCCGGCAATGTGACCCGCTGTTACCGCAGCCGTGGCCATGCCGTCCTGCGCGCGGCTGCCCAAACAGCCAGGCGGACGCCGAGCCGAGAAGAACGGGCTCCTCGCCGAGGCCGCCTCGCTTGCGGAGCGAGCTGCGTTGGAGTTGGGGTCCGGCGGTCGCAGACGGGCGGCGGGATATGGAAGATGTGGTAGTGGCATCGTGGGATCGAGAGTGCGACATTGTGGGATCGAGAGTGCGGCATTGTGGGATCGAGAGCAGCGCGATACGCATGGTGCGGATGGATGCAGGATAGATCGAAAGCAAAGTGATATCGCGATGCAGGCGTGGGATCGGCTCGCGAATACCATCGCCGAATGCGACAACGACTGCAGTATTGGCCTTCTCCGACCACGGCGGAGGCGATAGGAGTTTTTGCGACCCGCTTCTCCGATGCCGCTGCTTGAGCAAATCGCTTGAGGGCGCTATGGTCCCCGTCGGGACGGGCAGCACGATTTCAGACCCGGGAACATGAAACCGCCGCCGGTGCCAGGCCGCTCAATGCGAGTACTGGCACTGCGAGCACCGCCAGCGCAAGCAATGCAAACCAATGCAAATCAACGCAACCATTGAGATCAATGCGACCGATGCGACTGATGCGATCTGTGCAATGGTCGATAATGCCACTGCCACTACTCTGTCGACTGTCGCCCCCTCTGTTCCCACAGCAGTGCCGTCCATGCCATCCGTGCTTTCAACACTACCAACACCATCAATACCATCAATACCATCAATACCATCAATACCACCAACACCATCAATACCATCAATACCACCAGTGCCATCAGTGTTGCTGCCACCGGGGCCAATGCTCGTCGCCAGAATATATATTACTTCCGCCCACGCGGACTGCCCTTATCTCCGGCACCGCTTTCGGCTGCGTTTCATACACTTTGGCTCCATGCCGTTGAGTGAATGCATTCGTGCATATTCCCACAGCTGTGCCCGACGCATTCCCACACAGCCCTCATTCCCCGCACTCGATGCCACTCTCCCACGGCTGCATTCCATGCACTCCTGCTGCCCACTCTGGCTCGCTCAGCATCCTCGCTCGGGGGCTCCTCGCCATCTCGCTTCTCCCGTCTCGCTGTCCTCGCCTGCACCCCGGCGCAAGCTCTGGTCTCTCTTGTTGCTGCTGTCAGCTGTTGGTGTCAGATGTCCCCCCTTTCCCCTCGCCTCGGCCACGCTGCTTGCTTGTGTAGTCCTGTTCATGGCCCTCGTCTCGCCGCGCCCTTCTCGCTCGCGTTCTCGCTCCACCCCAAAACTTTTGCCCTCTATTCACTCCTGCTGTGCTCTATTTGCTGAGCACTGGCTTCATGTGTGTTGTGGGGGGGGGGTCATCGACGATCGCTGCTCCTGTGCAAAAAATTTTTTTCGGAGGGAAGGAGGGGGTTAAATAGCCCATCGGCCCCGCATTGCCATCGGCCGTTTTCTCTCCATCCTTTGCCTCCTCCCCATCGCCGACCCTATCTTTCGGTTCCACGCCATCTACCTTTCCGAGAGACCTACTTCTCACCGTCGACTAGGTAATGTCTGGTCTCCATCTGGTGTGCTGTCGCTTGCCGCCGGTGCTGCAATCGCTGGCGCTTCTGCCTCGATTCTGCGCTCCGGTGTGGTGACGGGCGGGCATGCTTGCTGGTTTTGCATCAATTCAGCGCCGGGCTGGTTCCAGGGTTGGTCTGGCTTCGGTTCGGCAATGGTCTTGGTTTCTGCTGCTGCTGGTGCTGCTGGTGCTGCTGGTGCTGCTGGTGCTGCTGCTGTTGCCTGCTTGGGCTCCTTGAATCGGTCAGTTGCGGAATAGCCCTCGGGCATCATTCCAGACCGTCAATGGAGAGACGCATTACGCGGCCTTCCCACAAGGATTGCCATGTCCTGCGCTCTCTGCTCCATCACACCCGGCGTCGGCCCTGTGGCCGCACGGCGTTTGCTCACCCATCGCAGTCCGCTCACGGCGGCCATTCGGTGGAGGTGCATTCCTCGTCGCCGGGTGCTGCTCTGTGTCGGGGAAGGTGGTGGTTCGCCTCCGGCAGAGCGGCCGATGAGCAGGCCCTTGGATCGTGCCTGGACGAGCTTTTCCTGGCCTGTGGCCTGGAGAGCTCCGGATAGGCTCCCACCGTCCATGTGGTCATCACTCCGGCTGGCCGATCGCTCGGTACTTCCTGCGATCGCCAGGTTTCCCGGAGTGCTTCAGCAGCACAGTTTGCTTCTTCTCCGCTCCGCTTGCCCTGCCCTGCCCAGCCCGCTGCCCGCATGACCCGCCAGGCTCTCTCGATCTGCTGAGCGGGCTGCCTGCCTTTCGGGTCGACTATGGCACTTTTCGCCTCTGCTGATCGTTGATCGTTGGTCGTTGATCGTTGGTCGTTGATCGTTGGTCGTTGATCGTTGGTCATTGATCACCACGACTCTGATGCTAACCGCCCACTATCTGTCCATCACTATCGCCCACCATCTGTCCATCACTATCGCCCACCATCTGCCCATCACTACCGCCATGTCCGCACCTTCCGCTCTGGCGGATCCTGCCCACTTCTCTCCCTCCTCGCATTTGCATTTGCATTGCCGTCTCGCCTGTTTTCGTGTTTGCTGGTATGTTCGCGTCGTTTGCTTGGCAATGCTGACTTGTCGTCAACTCTCCTGTCTCGTCGCCTTGATCATGTTTACTGCCTCGTGGTCCACCGTTTGCTCTCTACTGCCTGCGGCTCGCTGTCTGCGGTTCTTCTCTCGCCATCCGTCCATCCCGACTGGTCCTGGCCATGTAAATGACTCACTGTTGCCTCCCTCGCCCGTCTGCTCCGTGTCGCTCCTTGATCCTCTCCCCCCTTGCCGCCACACACACACACGATCGCTGTCATCATGCTGGCTCACCCTTGCCTGCCCTTTGCATCATTCGCACTCATCCGCCGATCCTGCGCACTGCCCCGACGCATAAATGCACCCGGCCGATTGCCTCCGCTGGATCCCGCATCCATCTGATCGGCCTGGTTGTCTTGATCTTTCTCCTGATCACCTCCCCTTCTTCCGATCCCGCCTCACGGTCTGCCTCCATCGCCTTTCTCCACACGCCCTTGCCGGCTGACCTGACCTCCCCTCCATGCAGTCCCTCATGCCTACCCCCGCTGCCGGCCAAAAGACTACCACAGACGATCTGAAATCGAGCCTGAAAATGCTCTCCGTCAACAGCTCCCAGGGTCTCGCCTCGGTCGAGAAGGCTTTCCCCGACTACATTGACAATGTCAGCACCATCGGAAAGAAGGATCAGTCAAAAACCATCAAGGCCCTGCAGGACTGCATCGACCAGGCCAACAACAACATCCTCCTTGCCCAGCCCTTCCTGATCGCTGCCCTTCCCGCCATCCTCAACGCCTGCGGCGACAAAAAGTCCAGCGCCGAGACCCGCGCCAAGGCCGAGCTTGCCGTCAAGACCATCAACGACAAGATGTCGCCCAACTGCCTCCGCGTGGCCCTCCCCCATCTCCTCAAGGCCACCGACGACAGCTGCCGATGGCCCACCCGTGTTGCCGCCCTCAAGGCCATTGCCTCCTTTGGCGACCACGCTCCCGAGCAGCTCGGCTTTGCCCTGCCCGAGGTCATCCCCGCCGTCTCCAGCTGCATCGTCGACCTCAAGCAGGAGGTCTCGGAAGCCGCCGAGCAAGCTCTGCTGGCTGCCTGTGAGGTCGTTGGCAACCGCGACATTGAGCACCTCACTCCCCACATCCTGCAGTCCGTCAAGCACCCCAACGAGGTCCCCGAGCTCATGCACAAGCTGGCCGGCGTGACCTTTGTCCAGTCCGTCGAGTCGCCTGCCCTGGCCATGGTCACCCCTCTGCTGATCCGTGGTCTCGCCACCCGCGCCAAGGCCACCGTCCGCCAGGCCGCCGTCATCATCGAGAACATGTCCAAGCTCGTCGACCACCCCATCGATGCCGCCCCCTTCCTGCCCTCGCTGCTGCCTGCCCTCGAGAAGGCCGCCGACATCCTGTCCGACCCCGAGGCCCGCGGTGTGGCCGAGCGCTCTGTCGCCCAGCTCAAGCGCCTCAGCGCCGCCGTCGACGAGGCCATGCAGCTCGAGCAGCACATCGACCCCGCCCGCGTCCTGGCCGTCATCAAGGACAACGTCAAGACCGCCGCCTCGGAGGCCTACCTGACGCACATTGCCGACCTGTGCTGCTCGCTCATGTCGATCCGCAAATTTGACGAAGCCCACTTCAAGGAGGTCGAGGACCACCTCGTTGTCGTCGTCAAGGACGCCAGCGTCGCCAAGGACGTTGCTGCCGTCCTGGCCCGCGAGTGCGAGGCCATGGCCAAGCCCCTCCCCAAGAAGGACGAGGAGGAGGACGACGCCGAGCAGCTCTGCGACTGCCAGTTCACCCTGGCCTACGGTACCAAGATCCTGCTGCACAACACCCAGCTCCGCCTCAAGCGTGGTGCCAAGTACGGTCTCCTGGGCTCCAACGACTCTGGCAAGACCACGCTCATGCGCGCCATCGCCAGCGGCTCGCTCGAGGGCTTCCCCGACGCTTCCGAGGTCCGCACGGTCTTTGTCGAGGCCGACATTCTCGGCGAGCTCTCGCATCTGTCCTGTGTCGACTACATCATGGCGGACGAGCGCCTCAAGGACTTTGACCGCGAGAAGGTCCTGGGCGTCATGGCCACTGTCGGCTTCACCGAAGACGGCAAGGCCAAGCCCACCAACCCCGTCTCATCGCTCTCGGGTGGTTGGAGAATGAAGCTCGCCATGGCCCGTGCCATGTTGCAAAACGCCGATATCCTGCTGCTCGACGAGCCCACCAACCACTTGGATGTCATCAACGTTGCCTGGGTCAAGAACTACATCAACTCGCTCAAGAACGTCACCTGCATCATGGTCTCGCACGACTCGGGTTTCCTGCGCGACTGCTGCACCAATATCATCCAGATCACAAACCTGAAGCTCAAGCAGTTCCGCGGCAACCTCGACCGCTTCATCGAGCTTAACCCCGAGGCCAAGTCGTACTTCCACCTCAAGTCCTCCAAGCTCAAGTTCAAGTTCCCCCAGCCCGGACCCATCGAGGGCATCAAGTCGCGCTCGAGAGCCCTCATGCGCATGACCCACTGCTACTACACCTACCCCGGCAACAAGAACCCCACCCTCCACGACATCTCGATCCAGGTCTCGATGGCCTCGCGTGTCGGTTGTGTCGGTGAAAACGGTGCCGGCAAGTCGACCATGATCAAGGTCCTGACGGGCGAGCTCGTTCCCCAGCAGGGTGATGTCTGGATGCACCCCAACGCCCGTATCGCCTACGTTGCCCAGCACGCCTTCCACCACATCGAGTCGCACCTCGAGAAGACCCCCAACGAGTACATTCGCTGGCGCTACGAGTTCGGAGAGGACAAGGAGGCCCTGGTCAAGGTCTCGATGGTCTTTACCGAGGAGGAGCAGGCCCTCCAGAAGAAGCCCTTCGAGGTCAAGGATCCGCTCAGCGGCAAGATGGTCAAGCGTGTCGTCGTCGACGTTGTCGGCAACCGCCGCACCAACAAGCAGACCGGCGAGTTTGAGTACGAGGTCCACTTCACCAGCGACGCCTCGGCCGAGGGCCCCTACCTCGGCGCCAAGCTGCTCGCCAAGCAGGGCTGGGAGAAGGCTTGCAAGGCCATTGACCAGCGCATTGCCCAGAACTCGGGTCTGACCCGCCGCGCCCTCTCTGCCGTCAACGTCGAGAAGCACCTCAACGAAGTCGGCCTGGAGCCCGAGTTTGCGTCGCACACCCGCATGGCTGCCCTCTCTGGTGGCCAGAAGGTCAAGGTCGTCCTGGCCGCTTCGCTCTGGAACGAGCCCCACATCATGATTCTCGATGAGCCCACCAACTACCTCGATCGCGAGAGTCTGGGTGCCCTCGCTGCCGCCATCGAGGACTACCAGGGCGGTGTCGTCATCATCTCGCACCACAACGAGTTCGTGTCGACCCTCTGCACTGAGGAGTGGGTCATGGACGCCGGCCACCTCACCACCAAGGGCCAGTCCGGTTCCTGGATGGACAAGCAGGACGACAAGATCAGCGATCAGGTTGTTCTGGAGTCGATTACGGATGCCACCGGCAACACCGTTGCCGTCAAGCAGAAGAAGAAGATGAGCAAGCGCGAGGAGAAGGCCTACATGAAGACTGTCAAGGCCAAGATTGCCAACGGCGACGAGCTCGACGAGGACGAGGAGGAGTTTGCCTATGCCAACAACCTCTTTGGTTAAGCGGCTTTTGCCTCGATTCGGTTGCGTCCTCCCCGTCCCCTCCTCCTCCTCCCCTCCTCCTCCTCCCCTCCTCCTCCTCCCTCCCTCCCCCGCCACCTTGCCTTTGCCCTCCTTCTGTATGTAATTGCTCCGCGCTTGAACTTTATTTTGCTGCCCAGCCATATATCCTTATTTGACCCCCACAGCGCTCACAATGCGAAACCCAGGTGACTTTTGGCGAGAATGGCTGCTCTATTTGTTGGTTTTCGGGATTCTGAATACATTGATGCCAAGCCATCATTCCACAGTAACTTCTAAGCTCAGCGGAATGTGATTCTCGGGGTTCGCTCTCAAACACACAACGTTGCCTGGTGGATGGACGGAGGGGGGGGGGAAAGGTCTTTGTTTCTTCTTGTTATGGGCTGTATTCAAAGTGTCCAACGTTGTTTCATGAACAAACTACATTCACGTGGAAGTCATACAATGATACACACAGATCATTCCCCCCAAGAAGGTGGGGCGGGCGAAATAGAAACCGGAGGTGGAGAGGGCAAATGATAGGGAGCGTGTGAGTCTGTGGGAAGGGGGGAGAGGAGTATATAATCCCAGAAACGGGCTCAAAGCAGGAGAGGGGGGGGGGCTCAGAAGATCGCGAGATCTGACGATCAGAACAAGTCGGCGCGAGGTGCATCAGGACTGATGGGGTGGGTGGGAGAGGAGGGGCTCAGGCTGAAAGGAAGGAAGGAAGAAAGAAAAAAAGGGGGCGAGTAAAGGATACAATAAACAGAGCCATCGTCCTGTGTCGGCCTTAGACAGTACTGTTCTTGAGATAGCACGTCTTGCAGTACGGCTGGTCGTCAATCTCAAAGAACGTCTGGGTCGCCAGGTTTCGCTGGCATTCGCGACAGTTGAAATGCTCGATGTGGCTGGTCGAGGGCGACGGGGGGGGTTTAGGAGGGGAAGATGGAGAGGCAAGTGTCAGTGAGTGGGACGAAGAGGCAAGCCAGCGAGCAGTAACCGCAAAGCAGCAGGATTGAAGCGCCTCGTGGTCGAGGTGCGACACTCACAAGTACGACTGCGACTCCAGGGCAATCAAGACCTCGCCATCGATGTGCTGATGGCATTCGCGACATCGGATGACGTTGCCGCGGTGCTCCAGGCAAAAGACTTGGTCGCCGAGGGTAAAGTACTCCTTTCCAGCCAGCTGTGAGCCGCATTGCTGAAGATGAGGGTGGGTGAGGAAGAGTTAGCAGCACGCCATGAGGCCACATGGCCAATCATGTCTGAAAGGATGCTGTCAGGAACCGGGAACCGCGATCGGCAGCCATGTGCATCGGACACCGTCCGCCCGCTGGCTGGCCGTGGATCACACTTACATCGCAAGTCCGGCAGTCAACGTGAAAGTTCTCGCCGTTGACGGTAAAATACTCGGTCTGGATCAGCTCCTTGCACTTGGCACAAACCAGCCCAATCTTCCACAGGTAGCAGTTGCGGCAAAAGATCTGGCCTTCGTACGGAATCAGCGTGGACGTCAAGTTGATTCCGCACGAGTTGCATATCAGGCACAGGGCATGGTATCGTTTGCCGTCCGCCTCGGCGATCGGGCCCATGATCGGTAGGCCGCAGCCGTTGCATTTGTTGTCGGCCGGCCGGGACTTGATGTGTTCTTCGCAGTAGAGGGCGTTGTCGGACAGGTACGCGTTGGTGTGCTTGAGCGATCGGTGGCACTTTGAGCAGTTAAAGTGGGTAGCGAGCCATGTTCGGGACTCAAAGTTGACCACGGCCGTGTTCGGCGGGATCGCGCCGTTGCAGCAGAAACATGTTGTGATCAGGCCGATGGAATTGGCTGTGAACGCAGACGACGTCCCCGAGGATGGGTCGCTCAAGGCCGAGTTCATCGATGGTGTCGGGTGCAGGCTCGGAGCCTTGTGTAGGCCGGCATCGAGGGCACCTCGGCTGCGATGGCTCTTGAGTCGAATGTTGGCCAGGTCCAGGCGGATCTTTTCGAGAGCCTCCTTGGGCAGGTTGCGCTTTGTCTCGGCAAGAGGGCCGCTCCGTTTGCCGGACGAGTCCGGAGACCCCGAGATCAACTGCGGCGAGTCGCTGCCGCTGTTTCTGCCGTTGCTTCGGTGGCTGTCGTGGGACACGCGATCCAGGGTTCGGACCATACCCGAGGCATCCTTGGCCAGATCGACAGAGTGCCGGAAGCTGGATCTGCTCAGGCGAAGGGCAGGTCGCAGGAGAGTATATGGGTTCGTCGGTCAGGACCAACGCACCGAGGACCAAACAATGTCCTGGGGGACCGCAGACCTCCATCACTCGGCGTCAGCTCACCTCTGTCCATGGATTGCTGTGTTGTTGCTCATGGAGGAGTACGCATTGACCATATTCTCGGTACTGATCTCATGCTCCAGCTCACCCAGGGCTTCCGTGGGGAGGACATCCTCGCCGATCACAAAGGGCGTGGTTGGCAGCACAATCTTGGTGAACGCCGCCTTCTCTTCGAGTATGCTCGCAACGCGCTGAAGCTCGATGTCGAGATTCTGGACCAGGGGCGTGATTTGGGCCTAGATCGGCACCAGACGACAAAGGTGGATGGATGAATGGAGATAGAGAGAGAGAGAGAGAGAGGGGTCAGATTGCTCCGCATGGCGATTGCCGGAGCTGGCGGGGAAGATACTGCGGGTTGCCAATGAGTGCAACGAAACAAACGGTGGCGCCTGTCCACATCAAGGCAATCTTACCGATGCATATTCGGGGGCGGTCATCTTGGAGATCGAGCGGCTGAGGATCCCATACAGCTCAGACGCCTCTTTGTCGCAGTCGATAGTGTTGACCACTTCTCGTTGGACAGGCTCAAGCACCTGCTCGTTGGGACTCTGTGGCGATAGGGCGTTGGGTTCGCAGAGGCGACATCAGATTGAGCTTCAGCTACAGCCGGAGGAATAACGACGCCCCAATTGGACAGCGACGTGAGCATGGCAAGCGGTGCACCCAAGTCAGCACTTACAGAGATCTCATCGACGTATGTCTTGAGTCCTTTCATACGGTCCAAAATAAAGCTGTTCATGACCTCCATGCACTGCTCCTTCTGGCCAAAAGTCACGAGATTGGACATGTTCTGCAGAACTTTGGCCGAGAGCACCAGCGTGCGGTTGGAGCGCGCATCGAGCGGGGCTGATCCGTCCAAGCGGCCACGATGCAGAAACGGCAAGGTCAGAACTGTTCTGTCGTTGCAGATAGAGAATGTCGTTGCCTGCTGCACAGCCGACAGACAGCCGCAAAACTACTGCAGCCACGACGCGGGCAGGAGACTTACGGAGGTCGATGCCGAACAAGCGGGGGCAGAGGACCGCAGGCGCAAAGAACCGCAGGAAGATGAAGCCTGTCACGGAGGTGTATCGAACGTTCTCGGTGTCGGAGAACCGGTCCTGGACTTCGTTCTGAATGAACTCGAAAATCTCACGAAGTTGTCTGTAGAACATTCCGAGCAGCGCGAGTGAGTCGCTGGGGCACCAGGAACATGTATACTGCCATTCACCGCCATCAGCCTCGATGGTGGACGGCCACGATCGCGGGATGACGTTGGTATTGCTGTCGCCGCTGCTCACCCTGGGAAAACCCCAAAGCTTCCAAAGATAGCTTCGGTGATGTGGAAGTTATACTGGGTCAAGTTGCGGATATTTTCTCGAAGGACCTTGCTGTCGGCCTTCTCGAGTTTGACAGGGTCGATCTGGACAGCGGCGCGAGCGCGACAGTAGAGCAATGGCGGGACGCCGAGCAATACCCCGTCGGAGCGATTACATGTAAACGTGTGAGTCTACAGCAGCACGACGGACGCCAGGCCGACTCATTTGGCACGATCGACAGAGCCAAGAGGCTTCACTCCAAATTGGCAATGCCTTTGGTCCGCGCCAGGCGCCTACCTCGCAAGGCTGGTTCTTCTCGATGATGTTTTGGAGCACGCCTTTTAGGACCGACTGGAGGTAGTCTGGAAGACGGATGCAGGTGGTGTCAGGAGCGACGGCACGAGTAAGGGGTGTCTACGCGGGCAGCGATGACTGGGGTCTCGAGGCGATTCCCAAGACACACTTACTGAGTCCAACGTGCTTCATGTAAACATCAAGAGCCTTTGAAGCCATAGAGTTGCCTCTGAAGAGGGTCTTTGCCGACGCTAGCGCCGCAGACGAGCCAGGAAACCAGAACGAGGGAGAGAGAGGAGTTGCAGCTCTGTTAGCACGCGGTCGACGGGGTTCGGGGAACCATCCGAAAACAGCACAGCTCGACGGACGGTGCTTGCCGCCACCAGACTCACGTGTGTTCCGGATTTCATTGCGGAGAAGCATTCTCAAGAAGTGGCCGATGTTGCCGTTGGTTTCAAAGATCCGGACCTAGAGTACGACAGCGTCGCAATGTCTGTGAGTCGACGCGCACAGGTGGACTACAGACGCACACAGGTGGGCTACAGACGCACACAGCGCACCCCCGTCGAAATGGCATTCGATATCGAGCAGCATGCCAACAGAGCCCGCTCCGGGTGCAACGATCGTGGTCAACGCCATATACACAGCTACACAGGAGGCTGATGAGTACACACCAGGCATTTAGCAGCATCTTCGCGCTCGGGGCTGACTTTTCCAATCAGCATCAGCAAGGCATAGTCGTTTTGGTAAAGAAGGTTGAGCATGGGCTCGTAATATGGCAACGGAAGCACAAACGACTCGTTGTACTGCCACTTGATCCGGATGGTGCCTGCAGCGTGTCGGGGTGGCTGTGTCAGCAGCTGGAAGCAGCGGTGTCGCCAGCCACGATTCTGGCGCAGCATGCAGCGCCGGCGCATCATCGGATCCTATGAACCACCGCTCTCGGGCTGGAAACCCCAAGAGTGCCGTGGCATCGTACATACCTGCGCTGCCACAGCTGGGGTAAACGAGATCTCGACATCTGTAGTGGCTGGAAATCTGGCATTCGGAGCACTGCAGGTGGCTCTCGACAAGGATGCCGCCGCAGTGGATGCAGTATGCCATTGCGGTGCGAGATTCGAAAAAGGTATGTGCCCGTCGATCGCGTCCGTATTCCGAAGTCTTGGACTGGAGGGCCTTGATAAGCGCTCGTGGACGGTTCCTCCGCTCTTCTTCGGAGTGAAGCTTCTTTCTGAAGATGCCTGAGGTTGTGTATTGGATTCATGGGTGCAGTGAACCCGACGACAATGTCAGCAAACAGATTGCTTCTCCAACATCGCAGTTGTGCCGCAGGGGTATGGTTGAGACCCACCTTTCTTTTCATCCATGGTGATATCTGCATCGATGTGGGGATTGGGTCCGCGCACGTATGGGTTGTTGGAGTGAGTATCGATTCACAGCGAACGCCGCTAAATCCCTGGCAGAGCGCTAGGCGCACGCTCGCCGAGTCGGGCTACTGCATCGATCGACTTACGGGGGCGTGGCAGCAGTGGATACCACCGATCCAGCCAGGCACTCCGACTCTCCTTGGTCTGCTCAACGATTTGAGCCACAGGGACAGTCAGGTGGCCCAGGAAACACTGCATCTCACTGTCGATCAGATTTTCGTTCCTGTAACGTTCGCGAATAAGTGCAGTTTAGAGAAAGTGACGAGCGGACTGCAGGCCTCCTGATTTGCCCGGCAGTCGTTGATACGAGGAGGGACAGGGCGCGATCGTGCACAATATGTGGCTCTTACCAAACCGAAACGTGCAACTCCTGTTCAGGCTGGCTAGACTTTAGGGGGCTACACCGCACGGAGCGACGAGCAGAAAGAGAGTGTGTGTGTGAGAGAGGGAGAGTGAAAATGCGATCAGTCGAGCCCCTGATTTCGGCGACAGCGGGCGGTGGCTTGCTCTAGTGATACGAACAAGATAAATGTCTCAGCAGAGAACACTGGATCGCGCGTCGGGGGCTGCGTCTTGGTTTGCTGGGTAGACTCGGCAGAAGGATCGGGGAGCAAATGCAAGGTCACGAAAGGCCTCGGGGCATCTGCGGACACATGGGGAGTAACCGGTTAGTTGACGCAGCGATGGTTTGTGCGGATCTGCAGTCCGTCACAGACAGGCCGTGCGGACAGACGATCAATCGTGAAAGTCGATGCGGAATACTTAGCGTGGCCAACACATTCTGGCAGGCTGGGGGGGGGGAGGCGCAACAACCTCTGCCTACCTGCTTGTGGGGCCAGGTTACGAGCTGCAATCACTTGAACAGAGACGGTTGCCACGGCCCGCTCCGGGGGCATGGGCGGATAGTATCTAGCCGTTGTGGTTGTAGTTGTGGTTGTGATTAGGACGCACATCGGAAAGCAGAATGGCGGATGGCGGCTGACGGGACACAGGAAACGGCGCCTACCGGCTTCTCAAACGGATCTCGCCATGGGCCGATCCTTCAGAGCCGTTCGACATCAAACTAAACCACTGGTCGCCATCGTTGAGCAAATGGCATCGAGGAAGATCGAGCTGGAAACCGGACGAGGCAGAGCAGAGCCAGTAAGCGAGCCGAGTTTGTTGGCTGGCACGGTACAAGCGGCTCCGAATGGCCAAGATGCCTGACACTACCTTGGCGATCGGGGTATCGGGCATGTTCTTGAGGCTGTTCCAGATGACAAAGCTGAGCTTTCGGAGATCATCGAGGTCCTCAAAGATGAATTCCTCGCTCTGGCGATGTGAACGGTTGGGCGGTGTTCAGTGCGCTGACCACAGATCGTGCAAAGATGCGCTGGGCGGATCGTGGGAGCCGGTTGCGGGCACAGCCCAGGCAAGCACAGCCCAGCGGAGGGATAAGGCCACTGCCACCCAGCATATCGGCCGACAGGATCATGACCGTTTTGAGGCTGCTGGCGGAGGGGGACTTGCATGCTTGGCGTTGTTCTTACCCAGAACGGCAAAGATGTGTTCCAACATACGGCCGTCTTGACTTCGGTCCTGGCGCGATTATCGAGCTGCAGGATGCAGTATGGGTTGCAGATGTCATCTGCAGGCCCAAACAACAGGTGACGGCGTAAGCTAGGTGCTATGAGGCGAGCGCCGCGTGGCTCCATCAGATTGCTGGGATTCTCGTCGCAGAATGCCCAAGCAAGCCATCCAGAGGACGATCCTGACGAGACCGACTCGGCGAGAAGGGGATCAAGGACACGGCGACGGCAATGCAGTGTGGCGGCACCGATGACATGGAGAGTGGCCCAGCACTAGGCTGTCTGGCCAGATTTCAGCAGGATGCCGAAGGAACCAGAGCCTGGGGAAAGGACGCAAAGAGGCTGATGCGAGGCTGATGCGAGGCTGATGCAGGTCGACGGCATCGGGGGGGGGTGTTGGAGGTACCGGAGGCAAGACGGAGTGGGACAGACAGAGCGGCTGCAGAACAGAAGCGAAGGTGTGCTCGTACCTCTGTGGCCGACGCTGGGCGCCCTGAGGTGCTTGGCCTCGATGATGCGCACGCTGAGCTTCTTGCTAATCGAGACTTCAGACATGATTCAGAGGAATTGCCACCGAGAACGCAGGGCGTTTCAAGGACAGGGGACAGCGGGAAAGAAGATGCAGGCTTGGCGACGGAGCCGACGAGAGCTATCGGCCTTATGGCGGCAGGGCAGACGCAGGGTAGATGGATAGCCAAGATGGATAGCCAAGATGGATAGCCAAGATGGATAGCCAGATGGACAGCCAGATGGATAGCCAGATGGACAGGCAGCGGGTCGGGGGAAAGACGCCAGACCCAGAGCGAGATGCAGCCGGGGGAGAACAGCGCCAGAGGACAGAGAAACGGCCGTTGTTGCAGTGCGGGCGGCCACGAAAAAAAGGCAGCCGCGTTCTGTGCAATCGGCGGGGCGGTATTGCCACGGGGCGGCCGATACGGCGCCGTGTGAGCCGGGGTGGGCGGTGGTGGTTGGCCGTCAGGGGGGGAGGGCGAGCGTGGGAGTCGAGGGAATGGGGCAGCCCACGCTGCGGGTGGGACCATTGGTGGTGTAAGTGGGACTAATGATGGTGCGAGGAATGAATGGCATCGCCGGTCTGGCTGTTGGATAGCGTTGATGGACACCGCAGCATTAGACTCGAGGAGAATGCCACCGTTGCGTCTGTGCTTTGGCTGCATGGCATGGCATGGCATGGAGGGTGCTCTCGCCCGTCTGGCCGCACGAGCTGCACGAGCTGCATGGCGACCGGTCCGGGGCAACTGGTCCAGGGCGACTGGTCCGGGCGGCTGGCCCGGGGGCCGCCAGAGCACCTTCATTGCTGGTCAGCCGAGGGCCGCGTGCCGGGAACGAGCCGCTGGCCGCAGCGATCGCACGATCCAGGGCCGCCCCGGCGAGCTGCTTGCTGCATGATCTGCTCTTTGAATCGCTGGATCATCCGCTCGTTGAATCGCTGCATGATCTGCTCGTCGAATCGCAGGACTCGCTCGTTCGATTGTTGGATCAGTTCCGGTGGCGATCCCTGTCACAAGCCACACGGGCCGGTGGCGCTGCTTCTGCCGACCACATCACGTGCTGTCCCTCCCGGCTTCGTGCCAGGAGTCGAACCGCCCAAACGGCACCCATCACATCGCATCCATTGCATCCATCGCATCAACCACCACATCAACCGCATCAACCGCATCAACCGCATCGACACTTGCACACCACCCCCATGGAAGATCTCTCTGCGCCGAGTCTGGCCGAGACGGGCGGCTCCTTTGGCTCGCTCGCCGACCTGGCCCACAAGCGCATCGCCACGTTCGCCTATCTGCGGAAGCTGCACGACGGCAACTCGTATTATCTCTCAACGGTGCTCCTGCCCAGCGATGCCCTGGTGAGTATGCTCGGGCACTATCTGTGCTTGCGCAAAGCTTCATCCCTGCCTGTCTTCTTCCGTGCAGCGCCTTTCTCTGTGCAGCATCTGCCTCCATGCTGTCGCCCCTTGGCAGGAGCGCTTTGCTGCAAGCCAATGGTTCCTTGCAAGCTTGCATTCGTTGGACTCACCACCGACTCCTCTACAGGCGGTCCTCTACGACAACACCAAAACGAAAAAGAGGTTCGCTTCCGTCTCTTGGCCCGGGTGCATCTCGCCCACTGCACACCCAATCCCGATCCCGAACGAACACGCCTCGCTCGTCTGGGTCGCCATCCCGCCCACAAACGCACTCACCCTCACATGCACCCCTTTCCGATCGATCCGCCAACAGGGCCATCAAATGGTTCAATCTCGGCCTCAGCTTGGGCTCCCTGCTGCTGGTCCCAAACCACATCGAGTTTCTGAAAGCAGCAAACTCGGTCATGATGGACTACGAAGCCGATATGGAGTCGTCGAAGCCTGGCCTGGTACCGTCTGGTGTCGCTGCATCCGATCCGATCCGATCCGATCCGATCCGACGAGCTGCGAGAACGGCCTTCAAGATGGCGTCGTGTGCTGTGCTGCGTTGCTTCAGAATGGTGGATGTGTTTGCTGACCAGCTTCACCTGTCTCCTGTCCGTCCCTGTCCCTGTCCCTGTCCCTGTCCCTGTCCCTGTCCCTGTCCCTGCCTTTTGTTTCATGCCATCCGCTTCCGAATGTGTCCCAGACTCGGCTCTTCTCCGCAAAAAAGTCAACATCCGATCTGCAGAGTGCAGCTTTGGGAGGCTCGAAGGAATCGCTGGCCCTGCCCGCGTCTCTCCTCGAATCGGCCCAGCTGGTAATACCATGTCGTCCATATTGTCCATGTCGCCCTGTACCCTCCGATGTGGCCAAGACTCTGGCTTGTTTGAGCAGCATCTACCCCGCTGCTGACCAACAGATTTTTGCTCGCCCTTGACTCGCCCCTGCGACACCAGCCATTTGAAATTGACTACGTCCAGGCGCTCTCGGCTCTCTGCGACATCTTCATGGCCTGCTACAACAAGCTCATGGAGCTCGAGGAGCTGGAGCAGAGTACTGTGTTCCTGGAGGGTCTGCTCAAATTTGATACCAGAGCCAAGGTAAAGAGTCTGTTCTCGCCCTGCTCATGCCACTGTCGCCGCTCGCAAACCGCTCACAAACACCCTCGCAAACGGCAGCTCAGTGCCCAATTGTCAATGTTTGATTTCCAAGCATGTGTCTGACCGCATTCAATGCTTTATCCCACCGATTGCTCTTCTCAGAAAATCATCGGATTGGTGCTGCTGGACGTGGACCAGCTGGCAAAGAACTTGCTGCGCGAGGAGCTCGAAATCATCAATCCGACAAACACCCTCTTTGGAGAGGATGTGCGATAGAGGCGGGTGCGGCCGCCACCGACACCGACACCGACACCGACACCGACACCGACACCGACACCGACACCGACACCGGAATTTCTTGCGATGGGAGGCACCGCTGTCCCCGAACTGTCACCGCCCTCAATACACTCATTTCGGAATGCTGTTTGCGCGACCATCGCAGGGGGGGGGGGCAATCCATCAATCGTCTATTCTCTACACTTTTCTGGATCGGGACTGGCTTCGGCGATCGACACGACCATTCTCATCAAGAGTGTCATTGGATTAGCGGCGCTTGCTTTCTTCGGGTTCAGTCCGCCGGCCCAGGAAGGCCCAAAGAAGAATTCTATCCATCAACAAAGTCCTGCTGCAGCTCAGAGACAATTTTCTGGAAGAGCTGCTTGCGTCGCGACGGAACAAACATGCTGAACCGATGGAACAGCTCAAACGTTGTCGGCAGCTGCTCCAGATCGGCCGCTCGCAAGCCAAAGACCTGGGCCGCCCCGCGCAGTGCCAGCTCGGCTTTGATGTACGGAACAAAGATCTCGCGGATGGCTGTCAAGAGCCCCTCGACGGTGACGGCCTGCTGCTGGTACTGTTCGATGGCATGGCGGATCTGGTCCCAAGCAGCGCGCGAGAGCACCGCCCTGACCTGGGTCGTGCCAGCAGATACATTGTCAGCGAGCGAGCGACGCCATCAAAGCGACGCCATCAAAGCGACTGTGAGAAGCCAAGCGTTGCCAACTCGTCCCCAATATACAACTGTCTCTACCACCGCTTTGCAATTCGCCTGCCTCCGTCCGAATCAAGCAACACGGACGATATCGGCTCCTTCACAGCACTGGGACTCACATGCTGTTTGTACTGGAGCGCCGGTGCGAGCGGGCCACCAGATTTGCGCTTGCGCCGGGAGGAGTCCTTGCTTTGCTTGACACTTTCGACAGCGGGCTGGCCAGACTCCTTTCGCACCGCGATTGGATCCGTCGGGTTGGCTGGGGTTGGTTCGACCGTTGGTGCGACAGCACCCTTGGTGACAGTTCGCTTGTGGCTCTCGCTGGACTCCTCGCAGTGCATGTTCATTCGGGACAGCGAGACGTCCAAATCCGTCTGTCTCGTCAGCCCTACGGCCCCGTGTGTCTCAGATACTGCCTGCGGCTCTTTGGGAGCAGAGTCATGGGTCGAGCGTGCCGATCGCGACGGCGCCACAAGTGCTGTTGGTAATGGCGCTGCAGCGGAGAGTGGAAGCGATGATATTGGTGGGGCTGATGCCGCCGGTAGCATTTGTGCAGGTGGCATATGTGTCGGTAGTGTTGGTGGTCCTTGGATCGATGACGACGATGACGACGACAGTGACGATAATGACGACACCGCCGATGGTAACAGCGACGGGTTTGCACGGATCGCCGCGGATTTTGGCAACGCATGAGCGCTGGAATAGGGCTCGGGTCGTCTCTGCTTCCGAGCGAGCTGCTGTTTGTGGAGGACTTCGAGCAGCTGCCGCTGCTTGGCCGAGTCGATCTGGTCAACCTTTGCCGAGAGCATCCGGGTCATGGCTTGGGAGTACCCAGAAGAACGCTCACCACTCGGTCGCGGGTTGTGGGCGGTCCATTCGACGTTGGCAACGCTGGTTGTCAGAGGCCTGGGTTGCTTCGTGATTGCCAGCCCGGATGCCGGTAGATGAGGAGGTGGAGGAGGGGGCATTCGGGTTTCCAAGCGGGGTACGGCAATGGGGTTGGGAGTGGCAATCGCCGGGGGCATGTTTGGCGGGTCCGCAGCGACAAAGTTGGTACCGAGGACTTTGGGGGGCTGATGGATCCCGTCAAGATCCAGCCGCTGGAGAGTACACCAAGCAGTCAGCACAGTCGACAGGGCGATTGCGTCTCGGCCACCAGCGCTCGCATCGTCCGCCCCCCCCCCGTACTCCAGAGCAGTGCGGTTGCCCATTCATACCTTGACTCGTTTGAAAAACTGAGAGATGGCCTGCGCTGCTTGGCCAAATCGGGTCTGTTGTTGCACGCACATCCCACAGAGCGCAAGTGTCAGCATCACCCTCGGGTCGGCAGGGCGGAGTGCAGGCCGGCATCGGACTTACGAGCTTCTGGACATGCGGACGGATCCATGCAGGCAACTGCCCGAGCTGCTCTGCCTTCTGAAACCTAGTTGGCAAGATGGTGAGCAAAGTAGTGAATCAAAATGCCCCCCCCCGGATGCTACCGGCACCTTGCGCCGATCCAGACAACAACAAACCTCTCGTCGCAAAGGATGATCGCGCCGTAGTCCTTGCGGTGGCGAATGCTGTCCAAGACAATCCGGCCAAAGTGAGAATCATGAAACAGCCAATCAGATTCATCATCCAAAGCCAGCCAAATCGCCAGTCCAATGCGGGAGCGGAACAGCGAGGCAAAGCCGGCATCGAGACGTACACGCGGCCGACGGCTTGATTGACCGCCCGAGAGGCTGTTTGCTTGTACCAGCTCTGGCCTGAGATGTACATGTGCTGCCAACAAAAGTATCGCGGCTTGAATCAGGGCCGACGAGCTCTCCGGTTGAGTCGACACATGGTGCACCAGGTGAGTCGACACAGGTATACCGGTTTCGCACCTGTTTTCCTTGACTCCGCGCGTTCTGTCGGACTTCGTCCAAGTAGTTCTTCTTCAAGTTGACCTTGGGGTCCGTAGTAGCTGGATGTTGCAAGACCGTTGGTATCGGTGCAGCGAGTCAGTTTGTGAAACTGCGACTATACAGGCTGGCGGGGCTTGCACCCAGTCTATCCGCATTGCGAGACGCCATGGGCGATGCAACAAAGCACAAAGGGGAGACCGACCATCAGCAGTTCCCACGGCATACCTGAAAACGGAATGCCGCATATGACAACGGCTCGTCCGCGAGCATCGCTAAAATCCAGCCCCTCGCTGGCTTTCCCCCGACAGACCGCAAAGAAGACGGCGCCGCCAAAGCGGCCATCGTTGAGCTTGTCATAGAACTGCTTCATGGCCTGAGCACCAGCATGGAGAAGCCAAGGTGTCAGACCAACAGCACCATGTGCTGTGTCGAGGCACGAAGTTCGCTTCCGTCGCCCCCCCCCAGTAGAGTGCGTGAATCATACCTCTCCGAAATCCTCCTTCCCGCGTGGTTCTATCACCAAATCCTTGTGCTTCTTGATTCTGTTGATGATGGAGTTCCCGCCGGTCAGGGGCTAGATCGTGCGGGACAGCAAATGGGCAAATGGCCACCATGATACGTGTGAATGAGAGTGTCCTGGTGGGCATTGAGGCGGACGGAAACGGGCACGGGCAAGGCAGCGACATGGGCATGAGCAAGTGAGAATTTCAGCTGCATTGGCCGGCAAATACTCTCTCATCCCCCCCGAGTCACTCACGACCTCCCGAGCCACTCACGACCCAGACTCCATACCGGAATAGCCCAGTAGTCGCAGCAGCTCTTCATCGCAGCATACGAGGGAAAAAACACAAGCATGCCGTCGGGAATGACGACCACAAAGTTGGCCAGCATACTGCCGAGCTCCTGGATGTACTCGGGATTGTGCCGGTTGGCATAGCTCGAGTTGAGGGTTTTCTCGGACGGCCCCCGGCTGAGGGCTAGCACCAGCATTTGCTGCGGATCGATGATATGCGGATTCTCGAGCCGATATGGGAACGGTCTGGATGAATATGGTAGCAGTTGGTGGCGGGGATCGGGTCAATACGATTGCATCGACGGCTGGAGCACCATTGTCAATCCTGCATGACAGTCGGCATCAGAAGCTTACATTCCCATTTCCATTGCAAAACCATCCAGAGGATTCTGTCGCAGCAGAGGAGAGCGTGGAGTATCGTATCAGCAACGCATGCTGCCAGGCCTCTTGAAGAGACTGCCAGCGTGGAGAGTGCATATCCGCCAATATGTTCCAATGTCCTTGGCGAATGCGCCATTCTCTCGCGTGCATGGGCGGCTCACCAGTGTGCCAGAGGCCATCACGATCGACCGCACCCCGTTCTGGGATAGATCTTTCATGACAACGCCTGCATTCATGCACCAAAAGTTGATCACTAGATTCCCGAGGCGCCTGGTCTTGCTGGACCGCGCTTCGCCCGCTTTCCAGGGAGCGGCGGCGTCCTCGGATACTTCTTGGATAAAAACCTGAATCGTCCATCAAAGCCACGAATCGCATCAGTCGCTATCTCGGGGCCACTGGGAGGAGAGTTTTGGAGGGGGGGGTGCACATACAAAGCACAGTGCCGCTCACAGATCCGCCTCGGAATACCTTGTAGCTCTTGCAGGTGTCCGCGAGATCGGCGCTGCTTCCGCGAAACGCCACCTCAAGGGCGCTTTTGAAGACATAGATCCCGGCTGGAGGAGGCTGCGCCTTGTCGTTGCCACCTGCATCCCGCAAAGGCGGCAGAGTAAGTATTTGATCGTGGTACAGGGGAGGGAAATGCAATGGCAAAACTATCCCTCCTGTCCACCAAACTCGTGGCGGCGCTTGTTGTTGAACCTGAGAGTCCACCACATCAAGGTCATCGACGTGAGGGGCGGGACGATTGGAAACCTACCCTCGGCCAAGAGCAGCGACGCATGGCTCAGGATAGCAAAGAGCGGCTCGATCGTCGTAAATGTGATGCCCAGCTTCGAGAACAGCTCAAAGATGAAGCTTCCCTCTTTGAGGACCTGGCGATTCTGGTCGAGCTCCTTGGACACGGTCGACAGCTCTGCTTCAAATCTCAGGATGAGATCTGGAGCCACAATATGATGCGCGCATTGGAGCGAAGACGATATTAGATCAGCGATGGATGATTCAACAGTGCCCTGGGCGTGGCTGTGTACACACCTTCGACCTTGGCAAAGTCCGATACCGAGGGTTCGTCGACAGGGTATAGGGGCGAGCTTGCAATGTCCTGGCATCGCCGAATCTCGATAATGGCATTGGCCAGATCGGTCGGCGTGAGCTCAAACGACGCAGCCTCTGTACAGGCACTCTCCTGAAGCGAAGGAATTGCTGCAGATCAGCGCCTGTTCAAACTACTGACACCCGCTGACAGCGATACACTGCAGATGGAAGCAAGTGGGTCGAAGCGAGCAGATGGAAGCACCAACCATGTTGTGCGCCTCGTCAAAGATAATGACGGCATTACTGAAGGGGCAGTCGTTGTAGCGGATGCAGGGAGCGGGTTAGGCACAAGAGCATGTCGCTACGATGGATGCGCTGAGCACAGCCATTGACATGCTGTTGCTCGATAAAGCGGCCATGTGCCAACCTCAGTGTGATCCCTAGCGACTTTCTCACAAGCGGGTCGATCAGGTAGCTGTACGGAACAAAGACAACTTCGGCGCCGCGAACATTGTGCTTGGAAATGTAATATGGACAGGCCCTGAACAAGAACCATCGAGCAATTCAGAATAGAGGATGCGTTGTCGGTCTGCTCCAGCAAGCAGCACCAAAAGATTGCCCGCATTTGATCTATTTGGAATGCGGACGTACTGATGTTGAGCGCCGCGACTGACAAGCTCCTCGATATCCAGGATGCTGTGGGCGAATTCCTGTCGGTGGGCAACCACTGACAGAGCGACGGGTCAGCACAGGAAGACGTGGATCGTTCAGAAGCGAGCAGACACTCAGCAGCCTCATTCCTCACCATCGACCCGTCGGTAGAAGCTGCAACTCTCTGTCCTGATGCTCTTGACGCACTGGGCAGACATGATCGACGACGAGGGTGCGTTCGAGATCTGTGGATGAATGCACATTTGATCCCGGCTGCCGAACGGAGCCATCCGCGGTCTGTTCATTCCGGACATGGTGTGGTTGTCGCAGAGACAATGGCGGTTAGCTGTGGAATCGTCATTGACGCAGAGACATTGTGCACTCTTGATAGCACGGTGATATTGCGGCCCAGGAGGGTCGTCATAGTGGTATGAAGACATTTGTTGGCGGACGAATGCGAACCTGTATGATGTGTTTCGCAATTCATGGATCGCCTGTGTCAGTTGCGAGTGAGTTCTTGAGGAAAAATAGATCGTAGGGACTGCCTCTGCTCATGAATATTGGGAATATGGCCATAGTCTTAGCAGTCCTTGTAGATACGGATGTCGAGGCAGCGGGTCGATGCGATTGGGTTCGTACCGGCAGGTGGATTCGGATTCGATGCTTGGCCGGGCCCGTCGACTGCCCGACGATCCAAGGAGGCTGGCTTGTCCCTTTGGGCGAGCCGGCCGGCCGACTTTTGGCTCCGCTGAGATCTGGCCAGGAAAGCCGATCGCCAGGCCAGGGCGGCGCACAACAGACAGACGGTCTTGCCGGTCCCGGTGGGCGACTCGATCAGCGCATTGTTACCCTGTGCGGCGGCGGAATCGTCAGCGACGTTGGAAGAGAAGCCACGGGAGACTCGGCAGGAGGAAGGCTGCTCCTGCAGATCCTGCTGTCGGGTGTTGCTGGAGGGGGGATGCGAATGCGGAGCGGCCTACCGTCTCGAGCGCACCAATGACCCGCTCCATGAGCGCAATCTGGCACTCGTAGGCATCATACGGGAACTCGACTTGAATGCCCCGGATGGTGTATGTCGGCATGGCACCGGGACAGCAGCGGGGATGACCATGGCAGAGCAGAGCAGCCGACGGCGATGGCCCAGAAGGCTGGGTGCGAGGGGGAGAACTGCGCAGCGCGATCCTGCAGATACAACTATCAATTTTTTCCGGCCCTCTCGCGGCTGCTCATCTCGAATATGAATACACGCTGTAGACCAAGATGCAGCAAAAGTTGGAATCCGGCCATGGTCGGTTGACGGCATTTGGTATCGTCTTGAGCCGATTGACGGTGGTGGTGGGCAATTGGTGTGGAGGAATGACCAATTGTATCATTGTTGGAAGCTCCACTCCGATTGCGGACAAGAACCACCACCGTCTGAATCTCTCTGGTTGGAAACCTAGTCAAGCGTGGCTGTGTGTCAGCGAGATGGCATGATCGTTTGGCTATCAGGCAAGACTCACCTTGACAAGATGTCTTCCCACGACTGATTGAGCGAGCGATGCGTTTCTGGATCTAAATCAAGGACGCCACTGCACAGTATCACTGCCAGCCCAAAATGCGCTGGTTTTGAGGAGAATTTTTCTTCCCCAAGGGCAGAACCAGCCATCGTCGCTATTTTCTCGCCAGATGGCTCCCAAGCGAAAGACACCCCCGATCCCGACCCGGGATCACCCAATGACTCTCCTGTGGCCAAGAAACCCGTCATCAAATCGTGTCGTGCCTGTGGCCTGACCAACCATGTTAGGCCCTTCACCAAGAAGTGCACAGCCAGAATCGACAGCAGCCCTGCCTCGGTCGCTGAAATGGTCAGCCAAGCACCCAAGGTCCCTGTATGTGCCACGTGCGGAGAAGAGGGTCATGCCAGAAGCAACACCCCAAAGTGCCGTTTCTATAACACTCTGGAGCTCTACCTTGCCTGACTGTGGCCCAAACGAGTATGCCAAGGCCGAGTACTCCACCGTCAAGTGCACCCTCGATGCCATCATCAAGAACGACACCTTGCACGACAAGATCGAGGAGACTGTCCGAGCCATGACTCAAGTGCAGTACGAAGCATCTCGTCTCCTGGAGCTGCATCTCAGGCGGTGCTTGGACGAGGGCATCACCCTCCCCACTGTGTCGTCGAGTGAACCCGCGTTTGTTCGAAAATGCTTCAATATGGTGCAGACAGGAACAGTGAGTGTCAGGACGAACACCCCGGAAGATGACAGGCACCTCCTCGACACATATGAGATGTACCGAAGTGCATGGAGTGGATCGTGTATCCTGCCTCCAGTGTCCCTCCCAAAGGGCACTGGGTCACAGGTCCTTGGTTTGGCTGTCAAGACCTATGCAGTCAACTGTGAGACCCACGTTCTCGATCGATACTGGTCTCTCCTCCGTCGATTCTGCAATTTGGTCCTGGTTGCTCCCAAGGGTGTCAAACGTCATACACACGTCGATGAGTGCATGAAGCTGATGGAGAATCCCCTCTCCAAGACACTCCTCGTTGATCTGAGAAAATCCTTCGCCCACCATGCCGACCAGTTGTATGAGTTTCGGTACGAAAGCCACCAGGACCTGTACAAAGTCGTACCAATTCTGGCCAGTGAAGTCTCTCGCCTGACCCACCTGAAGGAGGCCCTCTTCATGGCGGCCATCCAGAAGATGATCATTCCCAGGCTCGCGAGGGATACCGAAGATCTGAAAGGAGAGCGTGGGCGACTGAACGAGGAGATGTGTCAACCCATCCACCACATCGGGGCTGACAGACTCGAAGCACTCCAGACCCAGCACGAGGAGGTGTGCAAGCAGATCACCATCAACACGAAGCGGATCAAGCGATTGACCGACCGGCTTGCCCAGACCAAGAAGAGACTCAAGGCCCCTCGAGCACAGTGCACCTTGGTTCCCCTCTGTGATGCCCGAGCCAAGTATGTCAAGCTCGACACCACAGCATTGTGGGAGATCCTTGGATACCAGACTGGCACTGGACTCAAGTGGAACGACCTGAAGACCAAGGTCAACGACACCACAAAGCAAGAGACCTTCTGGCAGACCAACTTCAAGCTGGATCCGAGACTCTTTGGTGCCAGGGAGAAGGGGAAGCAGCTCTTTGGCTGCGAGATCACCACCGATGGGGTCGGGTGCTCGATCACCACGCTCAAGTACAAGATCCTGGAGAAGAAGGACCCTGATGCCAAACCAGAATCCACAGACAAGGACGACAAGGCGAGCGCACTCACTCCCGAGCAGAAGATCCAGACCAGAGTCGGTCCCATTGACGACTCTCGGACCACATGGATCGGGATCGACCCTGGTGTGTGATCGATCTTCACCGCTGTCATTCGGGCACCCGGTCAACCAACCATCCAGGAGCGAGACGGTGTCAAGGTGACCAAGGCACAGCGTGCCAACGAGAAGATCGTGTCGTTCTCCAACAAGGAGTACCAGCATCGATGTGGCACCACCCAGGCGACCAAGTGGATCCAGAGCACCAACAAGATCCTTGGTCTGCAGAAATGGATGAGCACCACACCAAGTCCCAAGATCCCTGGGTTGGATCCCTTCCTGCAATACATTCGCCATGTGTTCGATGGAGACATGCTGGAGAAACAGCTGTACTTCAGCCTGACCCGGCGACGGCGATTCAAGCGACTGGATCTCTACGGCAAGCGACAGCGCACCGTCCACGAGATGTGCAAGCAAGTCATTGACCAGGTACCAAAGGAGACCGAAGTGGTGATTGCCTTTGGGAATGCATCCTGGAAACAGGGGAAGGGATACGCATCCAGTCCCAGGAGACTCAGGTTTGCCAAGTACTTTGAGCAGTTCCACCACCACCAGAGACGACCACCAGACCGATCCGTCTCCAAGATCCGTGTGTGCTCGGTGAACGAGTTCAACACGTCCCAGGTGTGCTCACATTGCCGGGAAGCCAAGCGACTCGAGTCACCCGAGCATCTTGATGTCGAGAAGCCACATTATGTACGGAGCTGTGCAAGCTGCCATACGCTGTGGGATCGAGACATCAATGCAGCCAGGAATATGATCTCGGTATGCCAGTCGATCATCGCCACAGGAGATCGGCCGGGTGTATTCAAGACTGTGCTCCCGAGACCAACCAAAACCACTCGATTGCCAACGAAGACAGGAGTGCAATGCCATGGCCTGCCCGCTGGGCCTACAGTCAGTCAGCGGGCTTCAGACATCAGAAGCCAGAAAGTGACTGTCCCGTTTCTTTCTGGATAGAATGTAAGCATCTTGTTCCTTGTGCATTTCGACAGTGGATGCCGGGTCGCCCATATTCTGGGCAGTCCACTTCGGGGTTGCCATCCCTCTTGGGATGGTGATGGGAGGTGGTTGACTCCCTTGTGCAAAGTGTGTGTGTGTGCAAAGTGTGTGTGTGACGGCGAGAGGCTTCTCGCCTTCCCTCGGGGGTCTCTCGCCAGAGACTGCTCTTCTCGCCGACCGAGGTGGCTCCGAGAGCGCGTTTTGTCGTTCTCGCTCATTTTTTTAACAAGAAATTTTTTCATAGTGTACTGTTTTGCAGATCCGTTGATGCACGGATGGCAATCGCTGATTGTGCAGCCGCGACCGACATGCATCAATGCCAGTCGCTGGTGTGGCTTCCATGTCGAGATGTCGCTTCCATGTCGAGGCATGGCGACGAGCAAGGGTCTTGCTCTGGGCCGATCGGTCCGGGCCGTGTGGTGGCTGGTGCGAACGGCAGCCGTCCCAGGGCAGCGCCCCGTGGGGTTGTTCCGGAGCATGCGGCCGGCTGTTCGCAGGTGTTCATGGGACCGCGGCCGACGATCCCGGCCACGCGAGGGCAAATATGCATCTGGATTTCATGCGGACACGGCCGTCGCCACACCGCTCCCCACCACGAGCAACCCAGACAGCCGACACGCCGCCCGCATGCCACCCAGTATGGGCCGTGATGCTCTGCGTCGCCCTCGCCCGTCCTGCGTGCTTCTCATTCTCCTGCTCGCCACCACCGTCACCGGGCCCGTCTTCCTCCCCGGACGACCCACGCGGACCGCCCCGCCCCCTCGCAGCAGGCCGCTCCTTGCTCGGCCGGCACGGGAACTGCCCAGCAAGGCCGGCAGCGGCCGGCAGCGGAGCACGGGACGGCGGGGGCACTAGCACAACGCAACCAGCGCGGCGGCAGACCAACCAGCCGGCCAACCCGAAGCGAGCCCGGTGCCCAGCGAGCAAGCCCAGCAAGCCACGGCCCGACACGCGCAAGGACAGGATCTGCATGGCAGCGATCAAGGCGACGAGGAAGTGTAGTCATCAACACAAGGCTGCCTGCCCGACAGAGATGGTCAGATGAATGGCCTTCCTGCCTGGCGGCGATGCGGCTCCAGATGCAATCCAAGAACATGCCCAAGATCAATCCAAGAACATGTCGAGGTGCAATCCAAAGTGCAATCCAGGTGCAATCCAAAGTGCAATCCAAACGATCGATCACAGTCCAATCTGTCCAATCTGTCCAATCTGTCCAATCTGTTCAGCCGCCGGTCCACGCGCCAGGCGCGGTGGCCCTGTGCCCCGGTGCGCCGTCACACAGCCGCGTCCAAGTGCGCGTGCGGCGGCGCGTGCGCTTTGCACGGCAGTCTGTGTGGCCTCCTGGCTCCCGTTTGCACCGATTCTTCGCGTGCGCGGCCGTTTGTTCGCACCAGTCCATGTCCACTTCTGCCGCTGTGCCTTTTGTTACTTTTGCAGTTTTGTTACTTTACGGCTTTTGTTACCTTTGCCACCTGTGTATCTGCTGGCTGTGTCTCGAATGCCCTGGTCGTTTTTTTGATACTTTTGCCGGCTCTGCTCTTCTTCCCCACACTGCCCGGAGCACTGATCCCACCAGCCTGCATCCCTCTGCGTGCAGCCCCAATCTCCCGGACACCAGACTGCGTCTGTGCTCGCAGCGTGCTTCTCCTCCCCCCTTGCAGCACACCCACCCCGGTGCGAGCTTGGCGTGGCATTCCCCACTCCCGCTGGCGCTGCTGTCCGCCAGAGTCGGTCGCTGTCGCTGTCGCTGCCGGCTCCGCTGCTCAGTGGCTGCTGGCCCTATATAATCCAGCGCTCGCCTTGATCCCCGCCACCGTCTGCATCCAAAAAAACGACAACCACCCCCAGCCGCCCGCCTCATACGCATACAAGAGCAGCCGCCTCTTCACGCACTGTACATATCTTTGTGATTTCATTGTCCCGCCTCATCCAAGAGCACCCTCGCTCCAAGCTGCCTTCTATGCCCGCCGACGTCCTCCCCGCATATCTCGAAATGAAGTCGCACCTCGCCATGCTGGACTTCCTGACCCCCAACGACCGCTCAACGCTGTCGAGATTCACATCCTACGCCCACTCCCAGAGGTTTGCCGCCTTCGTCAACGACCTGCTCTTCCAGTTCCTGGGTCGTGACGCCACCAACGAGCCAATCGACCCTCAGGCGCTGGCTGCCGCTCGGGAGCTATCCGCCAACCTGGTGCACAGCGTCATCAAGTCGAGTTTCCCCGTTGTCACCTTCCCGGTCCTCGTCGTTGCCATGATCTTCATCAAGGACATTGGCAGCAGCAAGTTCCCTGTAGCCACAGGATCCGAACCCCATCTCTTTGTGATTGCCCTGATGATCGCCTACAAATACTGTGACGATGCCGCCTCGGGCCTGCCAACCAAAGAGTGGTCCCGCATCACCGGCCTTGCCCCCGCGCTGCTCGCCAGCCTTGAGCGAGAGTTCTGCGCGGCCATCGAGTACAACTTTTATGTCGATCCGGACCTGTTCCGAGAATGGGTCGCCTACTTTGAGAACCACGCCGAGCTCTGGCAAGAGTAGTGCCGGTTCTGTCGGACCATGTCTCGATCAAGCCCCGATCGCCGCTGCTCGATGGACTCTCGTTCCATCGGCAAGCACTCGCGGCAAGGTAGCGGCTCCAGCACACCTGCATCCTGGGCGGCCACAGGATGCACACGTACTGCTGGGCCATCGATGATGACGATGAAAGAAACCGACGACGACGACGACGACATTGGCAACGGTGATGGTCGTGATGATGATGACGACGACGAAGAACGACGACGAAGGACGCCGACGATTCTGATGATTATGATGATGATGATTATGACGATGATGATGACTACGATGATGGTTTCTGTGTATTTATTTATTGCGCATCCAGTTTGTACATATTTGGATGTCACCCGCACCCAATTCGGCGGGACCTCGCTTCCCGTTTTGCGCTTTTTTCTCTTTCCGTTTCCAGTTTCTGTTCTTCCATTCTCCCCCCTCCCAGTCCGCTCCGCTTCTCCTTCCTCCTCAATCCTTTCCTTTCCACTCCATTCCATTTCCTATTTATTTTGGCTGTGATTTCGACAGACCCCTTCGCCCGCTCTCGAGCGTCTCCATCCTGCGTTTGCACGCCTCATTCCATTTTTGCATGTCTTCTGAAGGGGCATCACACCACACACCACCGTACATCTTCCTCTCTCCTTTCCTTTTTGGCAAAGCATAGACCTAGACGCATCTCTGTTGTGTAGGAGATCACCTCATCGATTTTTGAACCATTCCAAACAAGCCGTGTGCAGTCCTCCTTCCATCGCTCCCTCCTCCTCCCCTTTCTATCTCGTGCTCGCTTGGGTTGTGTCCCTTTGCTGCGGCTCCACAATATCCAATGGCGGCATCCCTTTCCACTCCTTCCTCACTCCTTCCCCACTTCTTTCCCACTCGATCCACGGCGCTCACTCTTCAGGCACACATTCCAAGTTGCGATCAGCCAATAAACTGATCAACATTTGTTCCGAAACACATGATGCCACGGGTCGTTTTTGGACGACTGTCTGACTCCCACACTGTGAGCCATTCCGCTCCACACATGATCTGTGCACTCACGCCGACGAGGACAAGGACCACTGTGTATTCGTCTGGTTCGGGTCGCGGTGCTATTGCTGGCATAGCATCCGACTCCCGGTCGGCCGAAACTGGCTCGTAAAACCGCTTTCTTCGATTCTTCCCTTAGCTGCCCTTGCTGGAGTCAAGAACGTATTTGCGGTTGAATGCCTTGACCAATCCGTGCGCGCTCTCGACATCGTCAAAGTCGATGATGACGAGGGGATGGTTTTGAAATTGGACGGTAACTCTGGTATTTTCGTGCGATATCATATTGCGCAGATTGATTGGCGGCAGGGCAAACGGCTGTGGGAAAACAAGGCACCAGGGTCAGTGCCGCCGGCCCATTCCCCATCTCAGAGCTTCAGACACATGCGAACAGACCTGGAGCCCAGGTTTCTTGGAGCTGCACTGGCCGAAGCCGGGATCGACAATGATCGTTGACTCAACCACCCAGATACGCGACCGGCCAACATCCACGAGGGTGCTGCCCCGTTGGCAGATGCTGACCGCCGCGGGCAGGGATTGGATCGATTTGGTGGACATGATCGTGTCGCATGATCCCATGTCGATGATGTTACTGCTCTCAAGAATTCTGATCATGTCATACTCTGGGGCTCTGTCCTTCTTCCAAATCTCACACGCAACAGAAGCCAGAATAGGCGCCGCCACGGTCGTTGGGATCAGCAAGTGTGCGACCACCCGAAAAATGAAAATGAACGAGAGCATGGCTGGGATATACATCAGTGTGCCGAGGATCCCTGTCAGGGCAACCAGGTGGCTGGCGTGGCGTGAAAAATCGAGTGCGCCGTCGATACGGCGTGCATGTGTCAGCTGCGAATGCATAACGACAGAGTCGAGTGGCTCGTCACCACTCGGCCGCTGAGCAGTTCGTGTGGTCTTATGTGTCTATCGTGTGCAAGCCAGCTGCATTTGCAGCACTCACCTGAGGGAGATCAGAAACAGAGTGGCGTGGGTCCTGGAGTAAACAGCAAGTCCGGTAAGCAATGTGATCAGTGCGCACGATCGAGAACGGCGAGGATTGCATTCCCGGAGATGTTCGGCAACTGATGGACCGCCGGTAAGCTCGAGCGCTGCTCTCTTGGCCAGCGCGCGGATGACCTACTTCAATATCGGTGTCTCTGCCATGATCATGATGTTTCGCACAGTCCAGCCAGTCAACACGACCATGAGGGCGATGTAGATCCCAAGTTCAACGAACCACCCCGATGACTGCTCGCACATTGTATAGACCGTCAAGTTTGCCACCGGGACATCGACGGCAACGGGCGGATTCAAAGATATGCCGATTGTGGCGAGGATCTATTGGGAGAGCAGTCAATTGATGGAAACGGGCAGCTTTGTAAAAATGGCCCAGCCCCGATGGTGAGTGAAAGGACATTGTCGGGATGTGCACTCACCCATCCGGCCATGACCACAGAGGCGACCACAGGCCAGCCAGGCCGGGACATGACCGACCGCCGGGATATGCCGTTCTGTCGACACGGCGCCACACGGGCCAGCTCTGAGCCATGAGTTATCCAAGATACGGCAAAGTGTCGCGCATAACAATGCAACGCATGGCAGTGCCAAACCATATCGGGACGGGGACGATGATCAGAGGATGAAGCCACATGGCGCTGTGCTGGGATAACACCACATGTGCATGATCTCGATCGTCCGCGAGCACACTTACTGAGCGTTGTCGTCCAAAGTGAGCTGTGGCGATATGCGATCCCGTCAGAACACTTCTTCGACAGCTGACTCAGTCACCACGGCCGCCGTGTTCGGCCTCCGTGAGCCAGTACACCGCGCTCTTCGCCTACCTCATGGAGACGCCGAATGCAGCCATGGTCAGGTACGTCATCAATACACACTTGAGTCTGGTTGGTAGGCCAATGTGCAAGAACAGCACTCCATATCCTATCGCGGATGCCACTAGATCTGTGGCAATGCTTGCTCGTCAGCACATCGATGCTTCCTGCAGCCCTTTGGTGTTGGTGTGATCGAGCTCCGCCACCTCATTTCTGCCGACTTACTTAATCTTGCCATTTCGATCGGCACAACCTCTGTCTGCGGAGTGTATCTCCATGTCAGACCCAGCACCACCACGGCAGCCAGTATGAAACAGAGCGCCACCGCCAGCGCCGGTGCCATCCGAGTCAGTGTTTCGTTTGCTCGCGTAATCGGTGGATAGTCGACCGGGATGGTAAAGTCTGTCGCAGTATTTGCAGATCCAAGCACCGTCAGTAAGCGACACTCGGTGATCTCTGTGACCGCTCCAAACAACCGCAAGCCGACGCGCTGAGGCAGTAATCTCGAGCTGCAAGTGATTGCCAACATGTAGCAAAGCCAAAATCGGGCACGATGAATGTGCGTGGATAGGGCGATGCCTGGCACGGGTGCCCGCTGCTTGCATGCTCGAAGGGCATCACCATCGACTGAATCGCATTATTCAAGGCCATCTCTCCATAGCTTGTGCTGGTCATACCTGTCGAGTTAAAGTAGATGGAAAACACATCGCGGAGCGTCATCCCGTCTTGGAAGGAAGCTTGCTCAAGCTTGGCCGAGAAGTTGCCATTCAAGGGTGTTGTCTGCACAATAGTTTTCTTGCCATCGATCTTGGAAAGTCATACAAAGTGTTAACAGTATCTTGACGCGGCCTTTACGTTGCTTTGGATACACCTACATCGATAAGAATGTATAGACCGCTGTGAATGTTGGATGAGGTGAGTCGTATTCCATGGCTTGGATGACACACCAACCCAACTCCACCGCACTATCAACGACTCGCCATCGACCTAGACCCGGAGCGGTGCTTACCCGGATTGGGAGTTCCCAAGCTCTGTCATGGAGGAGATCGCAGATCAGCGACGAGTTTGGCGGCCACAGGCAAGCGACCGCCATATCGGTTCAAGCGTCGGCGAACACCGTCGTCGTCTCACCGTCATAGACCAACATGCCGCATGATCCCATCTTGTCGACCGAAAACGTCGACGGCTTTGTCAAAGCCGGGTCGAGCTGCCGCTGGGCGATCGTTGACAGCGTGACGCTTGACGGATACTCGCTCAGAAGCTGGATGGTCCGTCGGGATCAAGCATTGGTGGGGCGGATGGAGGTGCACGTGCGAGTCGTCGGGTGTTTGTTGATGAGTTGTATATCTGATTGCAGTCAACTCCATCGCAGCATTATCCACGCAGACATTCACCCACATACCTGGTCGTATCCATACAGCATCGACAGCGCACAATCATATGCCATCCTGGAGTGCCAGAGCAACCGGATGGCGGATCAGAGTCTGGCCTTTGGGCGATCGCTCACAGTGTCGCTTAGCAAGGCATCCATCCCATGTCATGCGTCCAAATACTTCTTGCGCTTCATTGGCGCGAGTGAATCAGTCATCGAACCGTGCCAAACCAAAGTCACTACTTACGGCATCACTACATGACCTCCACCTAAGGGATAGTTCAGTGGGCGCTGCCCGTATGTCGACCAAGTCTGGTTGAACTGCAACCACACCGGGTTGTCGGGAAAGTAGCTCACCGGGCCGTCCCTGTTCATGTGCGGGTAGCAAATTCAGCACGCCGTCGTTGCATTTCCAAAAGTAAGATGCGGCTCCAGTCCACTCAGACGATCAATGAACACATAGCCACATCGGTAGTCATGGCGGCCAATCTGCTTATAATTTCTGTTCACGGGCGGGATGCAGGACTCGCTTGGCCATAAACTAGACCCTCAATATCATCAGGAGTACGAGACGTGCATGCGAAACTCACAATCCGAATACTCTGCAGCGACAGAGAGTGCAATTTGAGTCAGTCGATGTTAGCCTTGGCTCCTCCATGTCCATACCGCCTTCACTGCATGTCCCTTGTCAGCTCAGATGTCGTGGACATCCCTGAAAGGTCACTCACGGGTTAAAATCCGATGCTGTCACGTTGCGGCCAAGATAGAAGCTTGCTGCTCTGTTTGCTGGGTCTTCGAAGAAGGACGCATACGTCGGGAGATCATATGGCTGTGCTGCCACAAACCACACGTACTCTAGACTCGTTAGACCTGCTTTGCTGTGAACAGAGGGCCGGTCAGTTGATCGTGGTTGATCAGGTATAAACCCAACACCGGGATGTTGAGCGACATAACACTATGCGCGGAATCTAGGAAGCGAGTGACTCACAGTGCCTATGAGGAGAGTTGATGGGGCCGAGCGTCCAGTTGGATTCGTGTTTGTCCATGAGAGCAAGCCCGGAATATGAGTGAATTCCGGTCGAAGCACTACATCGTACACACCGAGAATCGAGTGCATCTGGGTTCGAGTGCATCTGGGGTCAAGTGCATCTGGGTTCGAGTATGATTGATAGTCGCTTCGTTCTCTGGCACTGCGACTGAGATACCTGCAAGTACAACGCAGACACTGCATCCGTAAACGCCAAGACGATGAATATCCGGCCATTCGTGGCCTTCATTCGATTCACGGGAGTCACAAAGTCGTTGTCGGCCAGCGCGGGCGAATCGCCGCAGTATATGTAGATGGTGTCGAGGATGTCGATTCGGTTGTGTGCAGCCCTCTGAACAAAGCCGCCAAAGAACAGGAAGCCATATCCGTCATTGTTTTGGCACTGGTGTGGAGTGGCACCCAAGCCAATGCCGGGCCGAGGATCGAGAATGTATGGTGTCAGTTGGCTATGCCAATCCCAGCACAGAAGCACCCGCCATGCACGGCAGAGCAGTTGCAGCCCCACTGCCGTCGACTCACCGAAACAACCAGAACCACCTTGGTCCAGCCCATCGACACAACCCAGTCGGCGACACCTGTTCGCGACAAGAGGCAGCGTCATAGTGTGAGATTAAGCGGGATTCGTGAACGAGCTGTGTCGAGTGAATCACACCTGCGCCAGCAAGTTCGGCCTTGCCGATGGTCCGGAAGAAGGTTGGATATGTTGTCTTGTCGTCGAACTGATGGGTTGCATCAACAATCAGAGCACATCAGAGCACATCAAAGCACATCAGAGCATGTTGGAGCACATCAGAGCACATCAGAGCATGTTGGAGCATGTTGGAGCAACATGGGCGATCGAACGCCCTCAACAAGTCCCTGTTGATAGGCAGTGCCATGCGACAGCTCATGAGTGCGACAGCCAAGTCATTACCATGTCGTCAAACACCAAGGGAGAGCAGTACTGGGAACAGAACGGGATCATGTCAGCAAGCCGAAATCCAATTGATCTCGCCGTCGATACGGCATTCGCAGGCCCGACGTGCCATTCTTACCGGAACATTGAATTTGCCGGCCATCATGGCTTCGGCCGATGCCGTCAGGGTCCCGGGATTGACAACATCGGTGGTGTCGCCTATGTCGTCGTTCGAGCTGGATACATTAACGAGGCTGTCCGGGGTGCCAGTGGCGAGGATAAAGCCTCCGCAGACAGCATATTCAGATGCGAGCATCACTGACCAATGAACCCGGCGTATCTGTTGAGAAAGACGGCGTTCTGAGCGGCAAGATACTGGATGCAAGGTTGGTAAGGCACAATGTTTACTGTCAGGTGCGTAGAGGTCAGCCCAGAGATTGTGGATGCAGCTGGCAGTGCGTGGAGGCTCAAAGCAGCAGCAAATTGCTATCGAGAGCCAGCCGCCATCAAACAGCGCGGTTGCAACCCAGCCAAGTACTCATGTGCTCAGCAAGGATGATTAGGTACCGCATTCGCGATCTGGCCTGCACTCGTTGGGCTGAACATGTCGATAGCTTCGACAACCACGCGCTGGTGTTGGGTAGTAGTGATCGGCGAGGGTTGCAGGTGGACATGCAAATGGAGAGGTGCAGTGCGATAGACGGTTAGAGGGCAAGATTACGACCACGCTGATTGTAAAGCCTTCAACAGGCACTCACGATATCGGGCAAGAGCGTGTTGCTGCTCAAGGACGAAGCATTGGCGATGATCGTTGGGATTGCCCGTGGTTGGTCGATGTGGTATCGTGAAACAGGAATGGTGGATATGTGGAGCAATGGGCAGTGTGGCGCGTGTGAGTATATGCTTCACGATCGCATCACCAGGACTCAGAATCGCGTCGATAGCGATGCTATGCAGGATACGACTGAAGAAACACAATCAAGTTCCAGCGACCACCATGATGGGCAGCCACCCTCGACCCAGACAAACACCCACTTGGCATTGAATAGATCAGCGGCCGCCTGGACCGAGAGAAACCTGGGTGGAGACATAGAGCACCAGATGATTCGTGAGCGATGCGGCCCACAAGAGCGAGAAGCGTTGGCTCCATGGTCGATTGCTGCATCGGCTTACAGTTCGACAGCAGACTCGAGACCAGCAGCCCAAGCACCACCGTCATCTGGAAGCACAGGCGACGTGAACCAGCCAAAGACGCCCAAGGTCAGAACGCGCGTTGTCTGGTTCTTGGTGGGATAGAGAGGATAGGCCGGGGGATACGATTGATAGAGCGGGTTTGCTCCATTGAACACGGCCCAGACGAGCGGCACGGCGGCGAGGACACTGAGGACCAGCTGGACCCTTTTCATTGCGATGAAGCTGCTGGTTGGGTGGAAGTGGATCGCTGTGGACGACACCTGTGCATCGCGAGCTCGAAGCCCCTCGGCCACGGCTGGGCGAGCGCGGGGTTTTCCCACGCAGCACTTTCGCCCGCGTGAAGGGATTAGCTCATGATTCAAGATGCGTGCATGTTGCCGCGCTGGACAGCATGCTGAGACAACATGATTCCATGTACGGCCACTGGCCGGCTGGCCCAACCAGGGCGTCAGCACTGGCTCGGCTGGTTCAGCGCCCAGCGAGCCGGTCGTGGTGGCTGGACACTGTGGCGCAGCACATCGTGACACGCGCGTGACCGAGCGGCGCTCTCGTTGGCGGAATCACACGTGATCCACCCAGCGGAGGCGCAGCAGCCACGTGCTCCCCCGTCCTTGGCATTGCGCGCAGCCGCCTGTCGCTCATCCCAGCCCCCTCAAGCCCGCTCTGAGGAGCCCTCACACTCCTCATCACTCAAGCGAACTCTCCCACATCCTATGGAAGGCTCTGGATTTCTCCCTGGCGGCAACAGCAGAAGCGGAGGTGGAGTTGGAGGTGGAAGCGGAGGCAGCAACTACCACCATCACCATCACCACCACCATCACCATCACGACACCCCCGTCGACGACCATCACGACATCCGCCACGACGGCCGCACTCAGGATGCTGGCCTGAACCCCGTCGGCTTCGGCGTCGGTGCCTTTGGCGGCGCTCTCTGGGGGTTCTTTGGGTCCAATAACCCAGTCGACTCCTTTGCCGACACGGTCTTCATGGCGCTCTTTGGGTCGCTCATTGTCGGCATCATCGTTACCGTGATTTGGCCACGCAAGAAACCCGATCCCTGGGCAGAAGCTGACCCGCACACATATCCGTCCCAAGTCGGCCCATTCTATCACACGTCGTCCGCCGAGAGCATCCCTGTTCTTGGAGCAGTGGTCTCGCCAGAGTACCGGCGCTCCCGACGCAGCGGCTGCTGTACGCTCTCGTGCTGCGTCGGTGTCCTTCTGGTCATTGTCTTTGTCTTGGTTGCCATCGTCGTTCCAAAGCCCACCCCTATTGCGGTCGAAGTGGTGGTAAGTGCCTGTGCTCGTCCGAGCTTTTTGGCTGTGTATTTTGCTCATACAGCTTGCCGGCGTCTGTTCCTCGTCCGGCCGTTGCTGCTCTCTGGAGCTCCACAATCCCGCCTCTTTCTGCACCGCCACCGCCAGTGCCTGTCATAACCGCCTCTCTTACTTTCAATCCTGCCGTCGCAACCACCTTCAACGACCCTAGAACGGTGACCGAAAGCTGCTTCCCCTCGACGCCTTCTGGTCTAAAGGTGTCGAGATTGAGCGCCCCAACAACGTCGACGTCTATCTCCTCGACCACTCGCCTCCCCTCGGCTCCCCAAAGACTTTTCCGCCCAAGCTCATTAGCCCCAACATCTTCGATGGTATGTGGCTGGCTTTCGCTTGGAGTGCGACTGCGTCCAGCATCCAGTCGAGGAAGGCTCGGTGGTTCGAGACACGGTAGCTCGCCGCGGCTGCCTCGCCCTGATAGCGCCCTGAAGTGCCCTGAAGTGCCCTGGGTAATGCTAATATCATCATCTGCGACTGGATATCCAGGGTCGTACTATTTTGTCCGATACGACTTGCATGAAAACTCACAAGTCAAAATCGACTGGGATTTCCAGAACACGTACGTATTATTCGACAAGAGTGGCGTCCTCGACATCTGACGGTATCATTTGGTATCCGCTGTCACCTGTAGCAGCTCAGTTTCCCGTGATCCAGCCGCGCTAACGATGAGTCGCTGCATATTCTCTCTAGCGGAAACCTTCCGCCAAGCTTCGTCATCATTCGCAGCACTCACGCTTTCAACTCCTGGAAGACCCACCCTGCCTCCGTGAGAGCGACCTTCAAGCACTTTGAGTCCGAGACCTACCAGGGTCACTACACCTTCACCTCGCCCACATATGCCGAGTACTACTTTATTTTCTTTGGCAAGCACCATGCTGTCAAGGCCGAGGGTATTGTGACTTTCCGCCCGAAACTCATCACCTACAGCCTGCCAGATCCATCGGAGATTCTGGGCCAATGTGGTCCTGAAGATGTCACCTGCTCCCTGGACTACTCGACCCTCAACACAGCGGTGGTTCTGTTCTCGGCCCCGTGGTCTGATGGCAACGCCTTCACTGCCGTCGTCAAGCCGTCGCCCCGCATGGCGGTCTACTACTCGGTCGTGTTCTGGCCCTTGGGCATCTTCACATTGGTGCTCTGCGCTTGCACCGGCATATGCACGTGCTGCTCGTACTGTTTCTGCCGGACAGAGTGCGACGAGGAGGGCGAGTCTCACCGCAACATCCTCGTCGTCGGCCATCGCGAGATCCCGATGCCTCCCTTTGTCAATGGCTGGCGACTCGTCAACGGTCAGTGGGTCTACTACCACCCGATTGCCGGAGCCTCCGACGGCTATGCCGCCCCTGCGTACGAGGCTGTACCCGCTGGGCCTGCCGAGCCTGCTGTTTCAGCTACCTCGCGTGAGCCCACTCCGTTGCAAGCAATTCACGCCTCCGCACCCGCTTCCGCGCCCGATCCGAACAACCTGAAGCTGCTGCCGCTCGAGCAGCCCCGGCCCCACCACGAGCCCGGTCCTTCGAACGGCCCTCCTCCCCCATACACCCCGTAATTGCCTCCGATACGAGTTGGTTGTAGCCCTGGTGCCCTTGCTGTTGTTGCTTTGGTCTGGATTCTGGATTCTGGACGAGCCTCTGAAGTTCAGATCTGGGGCTCGTATCTGGGCTCGTATCTGGGGCTTGTATCTACCCACAGCGAACCTCTTACAGCGTTTCCAAAATGAAATGGGACCCGTTTTTAACCAGGACAGTGTTTTTTTCTGGAACCTGAATACACCTACCCACTCATCGCAATCATGGCCAAGCACAGCACCATCTTGATATCGAGAAACCACACTTTGTCCGGAGCTGTGCAAGCTGCCATACGCTGTGGGATCGAGACATCAATGCCTTACGGAACATGACCTCGGTATGCCAGTCGATCATCGCCACAGGAGATCGACCGAGTGTGTTCAAGACCATGCTCCCGAAACCAACCAAAACAAAGAGATTGCCAACGAAGACAGGAGTGCAATCACACGGCTTGCTCACTGGGGCCTACGGAAGTTCGGCAGGCTGCAGGCCGCTGAAGCCGGAAAGTGACTGTCCCGTTTTTTTCTGGATAGACTGTATGCCCAATAAATGCCCCCCCCCTCAGACAAGGCGAAAGTGCCCGGCCATGCTACTGCCATCCGAGCCGGACGAGGGCCCGGCGGATCGCAGGTGCTTCTGCGTGCTGGCTGGGGTCAGCGGGACAGTCTTGGGATTGCTTGAGGAGCAAGTCTCTGCCGATCCCTGTCGGTCTCATGCACATCTCATCCCAGTTGTGGAAACAGCAGCAGCAGCAGCAGTAGCACTTGCCAGCCTGGGAGTCAGGGTCGCAGGGTCGGCTGCCGCGGGTGGTCGGCTGCACCCTGGATGTTGTTTGCCTCCGACAGCGGGCTGCCCATCCGCAACCGGCGCTCGCTGCATGGTGGGCATTGTTTGGAAGCTCCAGTGCGCCCTTTTCTCCTTTGGCCGGCCCTGACCCTTCCGCATCCCCAGCGCCCATCGCTGCTGCCGCTTATAAACATGGCCATCGTCCTCGGGCTCGGGCTCGTTGTTCTTCCTTTGTTCCCACGCTTGCACTCGGCCGCTTCACATCGCCACAGCCGCCCATCATGCCACCACCGCTCGTATCTGCCATGTCATGTTTGCTGATCGTGCTGCTGCTGCTTCACGAAACCCTGGCAGCATGCACATTCACACCCTCGACCACACTTGTTCGGCCCAGCAATTTCTGGGTGAACCTAACGGTCCTCGATGCTGGTGGGCCGGCGAGCCAGTTCACCATCGTCTTCGACTCGTTCTACCAGTTTCCGCCGCCGACGGCCCTCGCTGGCGGCTCATCAACCCCAGCGTCCTGTCGCCTAGATGCCTCCAGCATAGCGTTTTCTTCATGGAATTGCTCTGGCTCGCAGGTTTCGTTTCGAATCGACACTAGCCCGAGAACGCAGTATCCTGCCGTCTTGCAACTGTCAACCCCGCTCGGCGGCAAGTGTGCCTCGACGGTGAGCGACAAATCAACAGGCACCAAACCCTCGTCGGCCAACTCGACCGTCTCGGGTGCGGTTGCACCGATACCCACAGATCTTGCGTCGTCGCAAGCGGCATCGCCCTCATCATCGACCCCAGATCTGATCGATCTGGGGCCCTTTGGCCAAGTCTCGAAGCTGGCCATCATTGTAGCTGCATCGACCTTGGGCGTCGTTGCTCTTGCAGTGGCGGGCGCCCTGTGGATTCGCCGCCAGCACAAGAACTCGGATCGATCTGAGCGTCGGCCTCCTGGTCCCGGTCGAGATCCCGAGCAGCCAGGCGACGAACCGAGCCGGCCGGCGACTGGAAGACCCAGCGCCGTGACATCTGCGCCATCGTTGGCTCTCTCGGCTGTGTTTCCCAAGATCGCCGCAACCAAATCTTCGGCCTCGGGCAAGTCGAGGCTGCTCGTGAACGAGCCTGCTGTGTCGTCGGCCGGGTCCAGCTCTTCGCAAGGCGATGATTCTTCGGATTCTCCGTTGGATTTGCAAGATGCTCCAGCCGACGTATCCCGTCGGCCTCTCAGTCGGTCGCTCGTCGATCCTGGTCCGGTTCCGGCGGTTGCTGTCCCCAAACCCGCGCATTCCCACAAACCCGGAGGAGCAGGCTCCGTTCGGAATGCTTCACGAGCAGCCACAGGAAAGTCTGATCAGTTGGACGGCACTAAGCTGAAGCGCAGCGGCACTCAAAGCTCTCGCACCGGCCCACCGAGAGCACGATCCCGGTCCGAGCACGGCGATCCTCCTGGGCATGCGACAGACATCCAGACTCGTCACGTCCCTCTGGTTGACAACGGTGTCCCTCTCCAGCGATCCAAGTCGGCCAGAAGTACCCGCTCAGCCCGCTCGAAAGCCGAATCGGTGTTTCCTGATACTGAGAGTCGATGTGGCAGCGAATGGAGCCACCTGCCGCCTATTCCCCAGCGAACACTGCTTGAGCAGATGGCTATCGACCAGCAGAACCGGAAGCGCGTCCTGGTCGATCCCCGCACAATCATCAAGTCCGGCTCCAGCGAGCACTCGCATCAGACCAGTAGCTCGGCACAGCGTCTGCGCTCGACGACGGCGGGTCCGCCCGGGTACCCACCCTCGGAAATGTCGTTCTCCAGAACACAGCACCTTCCCTTGGGCGGTCCACATCAAAGCGGTGTGTATCCGTATGGGCAAGGCGTTCCTGCAGGCCATCGATATCCGCTGCAGACATCAGCTATGATCCAAACTGCACCAAACTCTGGCGGAATGGGGATCGGCGACTATGCGGTCTTTCCGCACACCATGCCCATTCCAACGTCTATGCTGCCGCCGGTTCTGGTGCCGGTGCCGGCCCCAGCGTCGATATACGGCCCGCCTCGGCCACGGGGGGCCTATCTGGGGTCGCAGTCATCTGCAGCCAGCTGTGACGACGACGTTCCCCTGATCCTGAGCCAGCGCCGGCGGTGAGGCTGCAGAAACGCTGGTGTTTCTCCCCCACCACGCGCACCTCTTGACTGATTCATACTAACTCGAAGCCAATGCCCGAGAGCGGTGTGGAGACAACGGCTCCGCACCGGGAATGCATGCCCGAAACGAAGCAGATGGCCCCGCCTCTTGAGAGCAGTAGTCTTTCTGGATCTTGAATACATATCCATTCATAGACCTCCTTTAGCACACCGGTCCTCGTGGCAGAGGAATGCTGCAGCGTGGATCCGTCTCCTCGTCTGAGCACATTCCTTTGGCATGGTTTGGCCACCCAATTCGCATGGCCAGGGTCGCTTGGGTGACGCCGGCCGCTTACGTACAGCGCGTGCGCAGTCGGCTGAGATTTTTTCTTGCCGCATTTTTCTGGCTCTGGCTCCGGCTCAGGCACGCCCAACTGCACCCACATATCGACGCCGGCTCGACACCGACATTGACACAGAGCGCTGCGAGCATGGGCAAGTCCAAGATATCGAAAAAGACCAAGGCCCCCGCCAAGCCCAAGGTGGTGGCTCCGGAGCTTAGCGAGGAGGACGAGGAGTCATTCGAGACTGTGCCGGATCCAGAACCCGAGCCCGAGGAAATGGACTCGGACGCTGTCGTCTACTCATCCGACGACGATGAGTCGGACGGCGAGGCGCCCGAGGCGGTCTCCATCAAGTCGACCAAAGAGCAGGCGCTGAGGGAACAGCAACTGGCGAGTGAGCTCGAGAAACAGTAAGCGTCCCGGAGCGAGACTTCAAGACTCGGTGATGGATGGCTGGGGCAAATGGTGTTGCTGCATTTCGGGAAAGCAGACGTCTGCTGAATATGCAGCACGATCACAGACCAAATACCAGCGTGTGTAGATCCACATAACCACAGCTCCCCACTGGGCGAGGCCACCGCTTGACCGTGATGCTGTGGCAAAGGACATCAGCTCTGGATCGGCATGCTCCGACGCCGAGTGCTAATCCTCTCTTGGCTTTCTTTCTACAAAGACGAAAGGTCGAGGAGAAGAGACTGCGGAAAGAGCGGAGCGACAAGCTGAAGCAGCAAGCAGCGACGAAGAAGGAGCGCTTGCTCGAGAAGGCCCGTATGCTACCAATCGAGATCCTCGAGGAAGCCGAAATCGAGAGGTAATGGCTGCCAAAATACAACCACAAAGGACGGTGCCAAAGTGCTGCAGACGGATTCAAAAGAGGGCGTCGCCGTCACTGAGCTAACGGCATCTCGGTGCTCAACTGCAGGCCAGCGACCACACATCCCTCTGGCACGCATACCCGCTTGGCGACTCAGGATCAACGGCGCCAAAAGAAACAATTGCAGGACGAGCGCATCGTCAGGTACGAAAAGGCGTGAAATCCCGGACATCCGCCCTGCTCTCGGGCTGTTGAATGCATACAAAGGCGCGAGTCCGATGGTCTGCTGCTTTGCTCTCATGGCGGGTGCCTTGGACGGTCGCCTACTCAATGCTGATCTGCTTCACCATCTGTTGTCGATCGCATCATTGCAACTCGCTGCGAAAAACACGGACGCGATGAACGGAGCAGAGGATTCAAGGTTGTGGCTCTGAATGCACAGAAGAAGAAAGCCCGCCCGCTTGCTGAGGAGGCGCTTTCATTCCGACATCAGCATCTCTACGGCGGTCGAGTGAAGAGGACGACGAGCGTCGCCGATCTGTCGAAGCGCCGACAGAAACATGCTGCTGCTGTGTTCTTTGCTGCGAAGAAGGCGTCCTCGTAGTGCTGTGTTGAATACATACAGCTCGCGCAATGAAGCGGGACACCGTGTCGCTGTCGTCGTCGCCCGAACCAAGGCCTCGCCCATCTCCCATTTACCATGGCCAGGAGAGCGTACAGCTCGCGCAGAACATGGCGCATTTGCGCCCTTTGGACGGTCGCCACCGGCCTTGGGACATATCTGTCCATGAGCCTTTACGAGTGCCGCTTCCGACACCAGCATTGGATCTGGCATTCTTGGTCCCTGAATACAGTCTCGCTGCCCATTTCTGTCGCTGATGATCACCACAACACTGATCAAATCACCACGTTGATGAAACCGGCGCACCGCCACAGCCACGGGACCGCGAGCGAGAGCGCTCTTCTCGCCGAGACGTCCCTCGCCGGCCGCACCGCCCTCGCCCGTCCTGTCTCTGGCTCCGGCCGCTTGTGCGCCCCTCTTTCGCTTTCGCCTGCATCTCGCCAGCACCTCCAGCACAAACCAAGACATTCCCGGGCCTCTGCTCCAGCCGCCGTCTCCGCGCCTGCCATCCCGTCCACCTGTGGCCTCAGCGCTTGGTCTGCACCCGCCTTCCCACCGACAGCTGCTCCCTTCGTCGCCCTTTCCGCTGCCGAACTACTATGGCCTTTATTGGCTCTACTTTTGGACAACTTTTCTACGCTGTGCTGCTCCTCATCAACGCTGTTGCTGTCCTGCACGAAGAGCGTTTCCTTGCCAAAGGTACTGCTCCGAACTTCCTAATCTCTCTTGCTCGCACTGCTGATTACCGCCATCATGCTCCGTCCTGGAGGACTTTTGCTAGTCCTCGGACTTGGCCCACAGCGTCCCGAGCAGAGCTCATGGCCTCAGCGGCAGCGACGACACACCCGCTTCGCTCAGCAGCATCTAATGCAAATGCGCTTCTCCTCGCTGCGGCTCGGGCCTCATTCTAAATTGCCCTGCTGACTCGGTTATCCGGGAGCTAGTCGGCCTGGGCCAGGTCCAGTCACAAAACCAGTTTGACCCAAACAGCATCTCGCTCCGATCCAAAGTCGTCAATCTCATCTCTGCGGTCCGCACGTTGCTCCGATGTAAGTCGCCTGTCAGGTTGTCCTGCACCGCTCCTGTCGTGGGTGCACTCGGCAGCCTCGACCCTGCTCCGCTGACACCTTCTGCTCTCTCGTTCACCCATCGGCCCATCAGTCCCTCTCATCGGCATCAACGTCCTCGTCATTATCTATGAACTCATATTTGGATAAGCCCTATGGCTTCCCCTCCACCCGCTTCTCCCACTCGTCCTCGTCTCTGCTGCTTGCGCTCGCATGTCTCATCATTGCCTACATGGTCTCGACCACCATCCTGACTTTTGACTTGGGTCATGAGTTCAGTGGAACAACAAGCTACGAGCGAGTCCAGCGGCGAGGCACAACACAGAGCACGAGTCCCTCTGTCGGCCATAATGCCGCAATCGGTCGCACCAGCGGTGCTCCTGCTCACGGCAACCCCATCGAAGCCGAGGCCGCACGGCCAGTGCCGGTCTCGCTGAGGAGCCGGTTGCCGGTGCTGCGGAGGAGCCGTCTCGTGAACCTGTGGAGAAGCCGGTGCGGAAGACTATTTGGGCTGCTGATGGGGTTTTTGTGCTGGAGTCGGCGGATGCGTCGCAAGATGCCTGGGGTTGTCGCCGTGGTTATCCTGGCGACAGTCATGGGGATCTTTGCGGTTGCTGGCAAGCGGAAAATGATGTCGAGCCCATGACTGGCTGCCTTGTTTCTTCTCTACAATACCGTTTTGAGACCGGTGGCCATTTTTCTGGTTCCTGAATATACACACCCTCATCTATCATCTAATACCCAAATCCAACCTTTGTGTCGCTGTACTGCGGTGAACTGGACGATGGGCGATGATCCGGGCGGATGCACACCATAGGCAAGATGACAATCGCTATCCTCAGCGACAACAGCGGCGGCTGAGGAGCAAACGACATTCGTCGCTGATAACGACGTGGGATCTATTCTGTCTCGAGTGTGCTGTCGAATCACTCGTCTTCGTCCAGAGAGTAGGCCGCGATCGTTCGCCGCTCGGATTGCACCAAATACAAGGTATTTTTGCTAGCCTGGATGCGCAAGCTTGTCGCATCGTCGTCCAGCTCCCGGACTCGGTCCAGTGCGAGTACCTGCGATTGGGTTTGTCCAGGTCGAGCCCAGACAAGCTGGTTCAGTGGGTCAAGTCGACATGGCGGGCACCGTCGAACAGGGGCTGGCGATGCTCTTGAGTCAGCCTACCTTGGGTAGTCCATCTGCGAGCGACTCTGGCTCAATGCGCAAACTGGCCATCATTGTTCGACCCTTTGCGCTTGCTGTTGGCGGAATTCCACGTCATGGTAAATGCGGCGTTAGAGGTTGTGCCCAGAATCCGATGTGCTGGCATGTACAGCTGCGTATGGGCATTACCTTCATCCTTTGCTTGGGCTGCCTCCTCGCCTATCAGCGCAACTATCGTGTGGTCGTCCCAAAAGTCCCAATCCAGGATCTTGTGGGATACGTCGGTGGTGCATGATGCTGGGTCGACTTGTACGAGGCATGATGTTGCTGATAGACTAGCTCCGACGCCAAGCTTTCCCACATGAACTGACCGCAGAGTGATCTTGGGTGAGCCGGGCGTGCGCGATGAGAGAATGCATCCAAAGAATCGACTCGATTGTTCGATCAACTTACACGCGGGTCCGTCGAATACCGCAGTCGACCACGAAATCGAGCGACTGGTCTGGTGTGCGATGACGCAGCGTCATTTGGTCAGAAACAGATAGACTAGCGAGTCGATCGCTTGCAAATGGAGATGAGTGCATTGGTGGAGAAACAGCGGAAGTGGTGTCATCCTGCTTGCAGAGGAGGGTGAGGGACTCACCAGCGACTCGCGGAATCGGATTCCTGAGGTCCTGCACCCGGAGCTATTCGTTTGGTTCGAGTTATGAGCAAGCTGGCGCTCAAACACACGGCCCATGCTTGCAGTTAGCATGTTGTTTTTCCCAGAAAAGAATCGGTCGAGCGCGGCCGAGAGCCCCTTGAGGATTGCCGGGAAGCTATCACCGAGCCCTGAAGAACCATCTTGTGTGTCCGATGGATATGCACTCGCATCAAAAGCATCGAGGATCACCAAAGAGCACTGATCGTTCACATGGGCGCAAACTCCATCGATCTCCTTGTCGAACAGTGGGGGCTCCTTGTCATCGACATGCATATCGGCAGTCTCGTCCCGCAGCTTGATGTGCAAAACTAAGTCCGGACCAAGTTCGACAGATCCGCGCAAACGTGGTTAGATTGCCGTCAAGGCTCTATAAAGTCTCGGAAACGAGGCTCGGGCACGGGCTGCTACGGGATGCAGGCTTACAAGAGTTGATCCAGAAAATAAAGTCCTTGAACTCCAGATGGCGCTTCTTGGCTCGAAAGAGGCACTTGGTGGCCAGCACCATCAGTCGGCTGGACAGCTCGATGATGTTGTTGGTCTCCTTGAAATTGGAGTCCTCCCAAAACTCAACGACGGTGCTTTCGCTGGTAGATGCAGGATCGATCAATCAGAAAGACTTGGGTCGAACACAGCGACCTCGTCGTAGCTGTTTACTACGCTCAATTCGAGCCTCCACTCGACCTGAATAGTGCATCACCATCAGACGCACGCTTTCGGGGTTCCCTCGCGCCTACCGCTTATCGAACACTTGCAGACGTGTGGCCAGCGTGAATATCCGCTCGCAGACGGGGACGAGGTGTTTCTGCGCCAAGTTTCCAAAGTTCGTATAGGCGACCTCGGCGGCCTGCTTCCACCGACGAATGCCCTGCAGCCGCCCATTCGCATCGATTGGATATGTACCTGTCAGCGTCCGCGAACACCCCAGACGTGCCACCACCCAGCATTCAACGTCGACATCGAACAGTCTTAACTCCCCGACGGCAGCGTAGAATCGATGGCTTACCGGCAGCCCCATTCGGTCCACGAATTGCTTGATGCCATCGCCCACGATCCCAAACTCGAGTAGATTCATGTACTCCATCTGCGGGGTCGACGAGACTGGCCGTTCGAGGTGTCAGCAAAAGTAGTCCATACCGACATCTACTCCGATTCAGGCCCTGTGCTGTCCGCAAATCCCCGCCTCCACTCCGACTAGCTCGCCAACGTTCGTATCGACTTTGCATCCATCGATCACATCGACTGCCAAGCTCAAGAAGGCCAATGGAGACAGTGCTCCCCCTCCAGTCGAGACAGTGGCATTGGCGCCAAGGAGGGTGGGCTTTTCTGATCGGCACCATGAGTGACTCCGCCATACTTTCGCATTCCTCGAGGAGATCGGCGAATTTGTCGTGCTGCTGCAGCTCGAGTCTGTATACTGCCTTGGCCTCGGCCTTCATTTTTATCATGACTTCCTCGATATAACTCAGCAGATACTTGAAGGTGATCCAGCATCGCGAGACAAACTGGAGATCGGCTGCCTTGGGACGCAGCATAGCACCGCTGTAAATCGCCAGCGAAAATGCGTCGGCCTGCTGCGACGACACCACAATATGGGCCAAATCCGGGGTCACATACAAACGACAATCCTGAGAAGTATAAAACTGCGTAAATCCCAGGGTTCCGTCACAATCGGCTGCAGAGACTGTGCTGGACTTGCCTGGGCATTGTCGGAACCCTCGGGCGGGAGCATGAGCTCTGCGACAGTGTAGACACCAAAGGCTCTGCGATCAGAGGCGATATGTTGGTGACCAGATGACAGAACACATTCAGCGCTTGGTTCATGATCGTTCCGGGCTTGCCAGTACTCGTCTCATGACCGGCCTGACCTGACTTGGATCTGGCCCCCATCGTCGATGGATACCAGCAGATTCAGCGCGGCGGCTGTGTCCGATACAAAGATATCGCCAACGATCGACTCGCTGTGGCATGACAAACAAATCCATCACCGACGAGTCGGCATGTTAGAGTGACGATCCGACATGCCCACGGATTCCAGATCTGGATGAATGATCCTGCACCGTGCTCCGAGGAAGCTCACCAGTTCGGGAGGGTTGGAAGTGGCGGCAGGAATCCCGAGAACTCTCTATAGGCGACATTGCCCCAGACCGACTGACGCCATGGTCGCCGTCGAGAGTATGATGGTGCAGAGGTGCAAGTTCAGCATTGACAGTCGGAACGTGAGCGGGGGGGGGGTGAGCGACTGGTTGTTGCAAATCGCGAATGATCAAGGGCAGGCCCACTGCTGCCCTTTGCAGATCAGGCAGCACCGTACCTGCTGCGGGGCCAGGCAATCTTCTGCCCAACACAGGCCGACAATCGGCTGTTTGGACGAGGCACATGTAAACTTGACCTCGCCTGTCTCCGAGTCTCGCAGCTGGATCGCTCCGTTCTCAAAGCCGACGGCGAGCAGCTTGCCTGGCGGGTGGGGAATACCGCCGATGATGGAGGAAACGGATCAACTGAGGCATCCAGAAACCACCGGAGGATCGTCGAGCCAGCCAAGCAACGCCAGGGAGGGCCACATACCGTCGGGCCGCCATGCCATCGATCTCGGGCGATAAGGGCAGCTCTGGCTCCAGATGCGAGCCCACTCCCACGATCGGACACAGACCAGATCGCCGCGGGCGGTGCTGAGGGCCACCAGATCGACGACCGGCGAGGGCTCCAGCAGATCGATCGAGTCGTCTGCCTGGACGAGGCTGTACTGGCCATCGCCTCGGCGGAAGGGAAGCGGGGCAGATTCAGGATCCATGTTGGGCAGAACGCGGCTGGCCCAGCAAAGACTGGCGAGAGCCGAGAAATGGAAATTGTCCTGCGTCTCGCTCTCACATAGCGGTTGCCGTGGCGGAAGCATCGCAGGCAAAGAGAGTCGGTGCACATCTCCATGGGTGCATTCTTGGACGCTGGAATCGGTGCGCATATATTACAGCGTGCCCACATTGAACCAGGACACCCCAGCATGCGGATGGCTTGCGGATGTAATGTTACATGACTGATCGGCGTCGATCGGCGCTCGCATCGTTGTGTTCCACTATTTTCAATGCGCTGTATGCTTGCTTCATAGAGGCGCCGCAGCAACGATCCAGAGCCTCGGCGAGCCGGATCGCACATAGATCGAATGCCATGCGGCGCTCAGGCCGTTGCGGCTTGCGAGCTCTCCAGCATTCGCTGCACGATTGCTGTCCCCATCCAGTCCAGAATGTCGAGTTGGGCGCTCAGTGCCGAGACCCGATTGCTCCGCCGTGATTTGGTGTATTCCTTCAGCTGTGTCTTGAGGCTGTTCAGTGCCGATGTGTTTTCGCGGAGCCAGATGGGGTCGTCCAGGTGGAGGGCCGTCAGCCCCTCGAGCAGGGTGGTGAGCAGCCGGGCAAACTTGAGTGCCTGCTCGGGCTCGTTGCCAAAGGCCTGCGCCCGCAGATGCACCTGGACGTACTTCTGGATGGAAAGCGGCTGGCTGAGCTTGCCACTGACATCCGATGCAAATCGTCCGCTTTGAATAATCAGGGTGTCGGCAAGGGTGGCCTTGAGTACTGGAGACAGGATACTCTGGAAGGAGGGAAGACAGGAACAAGGTGTTGGCATGGCTTTGACATTCATCCACGACAGAGTGTAATGCAGCGTGCCAAGATACTGTTTCGCTCGCGAGCCGCAGACCTGGAGGAATTCAAAGTGCTTCTCTGGCGTTGAGATGTTGATCTTGAGAAATCGGAGGATAGAGGTCTCGAGGGTCTTCAGCGACACACAATCGCAGAGTGCAAGTTCTGAGAGCTAGCCGACAACAGGGATCGTCGAGCACGTCTTGTGAGCGATAGAACGACTCGGGCGGGCGTGTGAAAGTGAATGCCTGCAGCGTCGACAGAGCTGCCTACCGCCCAGAGCCACTGGTGACCCAGCCGTCGAACAGTGGGGCTCGTGCTCGCCAGCCAAGGTTCGATCATTTCCATGATGCGTTCGATGGACTTGCATGGATGCGAGCTCGGGCCCCGAAGAAAGTAGGCCAGCAGCGACTGCCCAGGATCGTCTGTTGGAAGCCAGCGGTCGGTTAATGCTTCAGAGCGGCGGCGCTTTGGTGTTGGCTATCGCTTATGCTGCATGCTCGAGACGCACCATGGTTCATGGCAATATCGTCCAGCAAAAGATCGCCGAGGAAACTCAGCCCTTCGAGGCCCCGCTCATGCTTTGGCATCACCCGAAGGCGTTTGTGCAAGGAAATTGGGGTGCGGTAATGTTGATCGATGGCGATTCAAGAGGAAATCGAGAGCCAGAATCAGCGAGCAGCGACACGAGGGAAATGCCACCCAGATCTCGGGCAGTCGAGTTGTCGCTAAGCACTGGCAGGCGCAGAGTTTGTAGGCCAGGCTGTGCGCCATCCAAATTCTCCCGCATACATTGACAAAACACCCTCCCACTTCACCGGACATCGTACCTCGGCGGCCATGTCGCTGCCCACCAGTTTGTCAAACGATCCGGCCAGGTGCCAGAACGACGACTCTGTCTCGAGTTCCCATATGCTCCGGAAGGGAACAACACCATGGAGCTCAAGCGTTTGAGAAAGGACGTGGAAACAGTCCAGGACCATCTCCGTTGAGATGTGGTGCCGCTTTGCCCGATCGGCAGAGAGATTGGATGGCTTGGCCAGCAGATCCAATATACCTTCGATAACCACCCTGTCAAGGGAGGGGGAGCTGATGCATCAATGATCTGGACCTTCGCTGATGGCCGATCCTACGAAGCCCATATTATACGAGCCGATACGAACGTACCTGGAAGGGTATAGCCTGTCACACAGCAAGCTCCTGCAGATGTCGATCGTTGAGCGCACTGAAGCAGGATCGGCGAGCAAAGTGAACCGGATTTGTGAGCCAGTCTGGATCCGAATGCCCATGCGGCGATCAGGTTGGATGGCCCAAGTTCACGCTGGCGGTATCGACCAATGGCTATCCTCTTACCATCTCTCTCCTCCAGTACCGAGATCACAACTGTGGTGTATTCGTTGGAGAACGGGGTTGCAGCATAGGACTCGTCGATGTGTGCCCGGTCGGGGATGGCAAGATCGTCAGCGATTCCTGAGAACGAAATCGGATAGTCTTGACGGACAATGAAGCCCCTTGAGACGAGGCTGTTGATCCGGCCGACGGCAAACTTTCGGAACTCTGTTTCTGCGGCAGTCATGAGCGGAGCGGTGCGGTGAGATGGATGGTGGACGAGGGCATTGGCCCAGAAACAGCCAGACATGACGAGACCCTTCTCGCCGAGATCGGTCCTCGGCACCAGGGGTCTCGCCGAGAAGCCTGGCGCTGCGCAGCATCCCACCTTCCTTTCTGGGCAAAGTGGCTGGATTCTCACCCCGTCGGACGGATGGGTGACCAAATGAACGGCCAAATGAGCGGCCAAACGAATGCATCTGAGGATGCAGAAGCACGGACGGGGTTGTAGCCGAGGCCCTGCCCCACATCGGCCGCCTGTCTCTGGGACCCATCTATGGTGCTGGTCCAAGTGTATTCAAAGCGCTTTACAACTCCTGGACGTAGTTGCCGGGGAACACTCCCGTGTTGCCGTTCAGGCGTCCTTTCCACCAGTCGTTGGCAAACTCGGTCCGCTCAATCAGCTCGATGCGGTCGCCTTTGCTGAAAGACAGGTCGCCGTTTGCCTGGGCCTGGTAGTCATACAGGGCAGTCACATAATTCGCCGCAGGCCCGCGGGGAGGACGAGGCGGCGGAACGGCGGCGGAAGGAGAGGCCGTGTAGTGGCCGCTGTTCGGCTGGCTCCATGGGTTGGATTCGGAGGGCGAGCCCGGGAACGTCGATTTCGGGGCCGTGGCATATCTCGCCAATCCCGCCGAGGCTGTCGAGGGCGCGCGGGCATCCCCTGCGGCTCCAGCGGCGGCGGATGCGGGCGGTACAAGCTCAGCGGAGGTTGCGCTCTTGACCTTGCGCAGACGTGGGATACTGAGGGTGCCCAGCAGCTCGATCTGCTGCTGCTCCATCGGCTCAAAAGCCTCCAGGACGGTCAGCGAGCTCTTGAGATGGTGGGGAACATTCAGTCCCTCGAAGGCGCTCGTGACAATGTGGTAGTACCTGTACTGGCACCAGTAGAGCGCCTTGAAGGAAGGGTTGATAAAGTGGATGGCCAGCGCGAAAAAGTGCGGCAGCTCCTGCATAAGCGTGGTGTGGAGGTTGTTGTAGAGCCTGGTGGCCTCCTCCAGGTCGGCTTCGGCCCGGGCCAGCTTCTTCTCGGCGCTCACATCCCGCTCCGAGGCCGTCAGGCGCTTGACGGCGTCGCGATGGCGGTCGTAATCGAGCATCTTGTGGTCCCGCTTCTTCATGAACTTTTTCACCTCGTCAAACATCTGGACGTAGTCAGCTGCAGGGCCGATGATGAGCCGCTCCAGTCGATCGAGCTCGGGTGTGATCTCCTGTCGCACCTGGGCCAGGGCAGCAGCCAGGTCCTGCACCCGCTGGAGAGACTCGGCGGATTCAGGGGAATGCGCGATCTGCAAGGACGCACAAGGCACCATCAGCAAACACGAAGCCAGGGCCGCAGAAGCCAGGGCTGCAGAAGCCAGGGCTGCAAGTCATGGCGACAGCACCAAAGGTCGAATGTGGTGCTGTGAGCCGTGTGTGCGCCATTTTCCTAATAGTCCGTCGTCGTGCTGCATTCGCTTACCAGGCCGGATTTGCTGTCGCCGACAGACTGGGCGGCTTCGTGCTCGGTGGCCGACGAGCGACGTCCTGTGATGGGCTCGTAGAGCTCTACCATGGTCTTTGCTACATTCTCCTCGAAGCCCAGCGCGGAGGTGAGCGAGTCCTTGAACTTGCGGGTATCGTCGTTGATCTTGCGGATCAGCGCGTCGAGCTGCTTGAAGCGCTCTTCGAGCTCGTGATACTCGGCGTCCTGCGTGGCCTCGGAGTGGCCCATCTGGGAGCTGATCATCTGCGGCAGGCGTGCGAACGCCTTCTGTATGCCCTTCAGACTCATGGCGACGGGTACATACGCAAGCGAGAGCGGAAGCGCAAAGGCCGATGATGGCTGGTGAGGCGCTGGTGAGGCGCTGGCCCATGGCTGCAGGTTTGTGGCATCAGCGGCGATAACGATCCGGCTCGATCCGACTCGGTCCGGCTCGGTCCGGCTCGAGGACGGCTCCAGTTGGATTGATCCAGCCAGCAATCACTGCCCAGAAAGGCAATCATTGATTCGGCATGAACCCTCTCCTCCCATCACCCGATCGGCATCGCCGGTTTCCACAGACCCGTTGCCACCAACACACCGCCGACACCCGCCCTTGCGACAGCGATGGAGCCTGCAGAGGCCGTGTCGATGGAGTCCTTCCAGGGACAGAAAGAAAACATCCGTCCGCTCAGGCAGGGCCGAAGAGCCGCCGCGCTTGGCGGATTCGGTGAAGACCCAACCGCAACCAAAATCAAGCTCGAGGCCCGTCGGGCTCAGATGGAGCAAGAGCTCGCTGCCGCGCCTGCCGACCTGGACGACCCCTTTGAGCCGCATCTCAAGTACATCCAGTGGCTCAACGAGAACTATGCCTCGGGCACCACACACCTCATGGCTGCGATCGAGAATGCTGTGCGGCTCTTTCGCAAGGACCCACGCTACCAGAACGACATCCGGTACCTCAACATCTGGATGATGGCTGTTGAGCACTCCTCTGACCCGCACGGCATGTTCAAGTACCTCAGTGTCAACAAGATTGGTCTGGTCTTTACTCTGTTTTACGAAAAGTACGCTCTGCTCCTCGAGAGCGAGAAGAGGTGAGTTCTCCGTCCATGCCGCAACCTGTCTCGAGAACGTCGTCCCGCGAGCTCAATCCACAGTGCTGACGAATGCCGCAACATCCTTGTCGCCTCAGATGGGACGATGCCGACGCCATTTACACCACCGGCATCCGGCGCAGCGCCCAGCCCCTGGACCGGCTGAAGCGGCTTTATGCCGAGTTTGTTCATCGCAAGAATGAGCACGCCGCCCAGGCAGAGTTTGAAAAGTCCCAGGGCATCGCTGACGACTCCATCGCCCGCCCGTCGCTTACTGTCCTCCACGAGGATGCAGAAGTCGTTCAGCCTCGCAACACTCAGCACCGCCCGACTCTTGGCTCCCAGGGCAACCGGGCTGCCCTTGGTCCAAGTAGATCAGCCCAGTCTGCTGCCGATCGCACAGGGGCGTCGAATCAGAGACTACAGGTCTATGAAGATCAACCCGATGATGACGACCACGGACGAGACCGCGTCTTGTTGCCCTCGGCCGAGTCATCCAATGCATGGGACGACTACGGCGCCAAGCGCTCGATCACAAAGGAAAACTACCGAGAGTCAAGCAAATGGAAAGGATCCACCCTCCCACAGAAGCTAAAGCCCGCCCCGTCCAGCGCCAAGATCGAGGTCTTCCAGGATGACGAGGAGGTAGGATCATCGGTATATTTCGTACGGCGTGGTCCGCAGAGTCAGTTTCGAGCCACATCCTGAACGTGCGGCGTTATGCTGTTCGATTTTGGCATCTAGCAGGACGAACAGAACGAAAGTGCACCCAAACCAGCAGCTGCTGGCTTTATGCGTAAGCCCCTGGCTCCGGTTGCTGCCACTGCACCCAAAGGCAAGTAGTCGGTTGTGCCATGTCGTTACACCCCCCTGTCGATGCGGTGCTGCATGACAAACCGCCGTCACTATCTTGCAGGCAGCGATGTTGAGGTGCGCCACGAAACTCACCGCCTACGAACCGACTCCCCCATCTTGCAGATGCACTGATCGATTGCATCGACGAGTCCATGAGCTCCGAAGCCGACAGCAGCGTCCCTGCCAAAGCAGCTCGTAAGTGATGAAGTTCCAGGGTTGTTGCGATCGTGCTCGCGGATAGAGTTTGCTGGTCACTGGAACTCCCTCCCACACACAATTGAGACATCAGCGGCCTAGACGCAAACCCCGTCCTCGGATACTCCATTTGGTTTCATTATGCGCTCCTGGGTGTCAGGTGGCGCACTATAGTCCTCTCATGCGATCCAGCGATTCTAACCTGATACTTGACCGCACTTGTTGTGTTCGATCTCTGTTTCCTACATTCGACTGCCTAAAGCCAACAAGCCAGCGGCATCAGCGTTGTCCGGCGGCAGTAGGCCAGCCGCGAATGGAGCTGCAGACAAGTCCGGCGAGCCCAGCAAACCAGCGGGCCGTTCCGAAAAGCCCCCAGAGGTCATGACAACCAACCTGGAGCTCTTTTGCGACGAAGCGAGCCAGAACTGGATCAGTATGGAGGAGCTTCGCGCCACACAATACACGGTGGAGCCGCCCAAGCCCGATCCAATCCAGCAGCTTTTCACCCCCAAGAAGGCATCGGCTCGCATGGCAGCGACTCCGCGAACACCTCTGGACCAGCGACACGAGTCGCCATTCGCGGAGATGAAGAGCTTTGAGGCTCCGCTTCTGGACTCGCCTGTGGTCCAGATTTCGTTCCAGACATACGGCACCATCGATGACACGATTGCGCGGACCCGGCCCAAGCTCAAGTCCTCGGTCATTTCCTCACCCACAATCAACACCCGCGCGGCCCTGGACGATGTCATGGAGATGTTCAACGGCCCACCGGTCGAGCTGGGATTGCCACACGCTAGCGCAGCCAGCGAGCACGCGGGCCACGGCATGTCCACTACATTCGATCAGGCCGATAACGAATCCGAGCGCGAGTACTTGCATGATTCCGAAGACGAGACCATCTCGGCACAGGTCTACCGCCCTGCCGCAAGCCAGTTTCAGATTTGCAAGGACGACACCGAGGTTATTCCGATGGCGGCTCGCCAGTTTGGCGCAGGCCGAAGATCACTCGTGCCTGCGACCGATCGCCCCTCGCCGCCAGAGACTGGACGATCGTCCTTCTCGGGCCAGGCGAAGAGAGACAGCGGCGGCTCGTCGCGATCTTCGCTGCCCTTCGTGGCATACTCGGACCCTCAGTCGGCGAACGAAAGCTGCGCAAGCCCCGAGTATCGCTCGGATCGAAAGGTCTTTCCTGAAGTGTACTCCTCGCCCCAGCAACACCTTCAGCCGCACGACCATCCCTTTGACGAAAACAATGTGGCCTCCACATCCAAACCCGCTGGTTTCAGACGAGCCTTTGGCACCGTGCTCCAGGCCAGACACACTAGTGCTGATTCGAGCGGCTCTCCACTCCAGCAACGCGGCGGGTCTCAGGAACCCATGTTGCAGCAGCAACCAATGCTCTACCAAAACCTGGATGACGACGGTGCATCGCCGCTCCATGAGACTGCCAAGACCCCGCTCCAGTCGCTCCGCCGTCGCCCTCGGGAATCTGCATATGTGGGCACAATGACCCCGATTGCCGAAGTCAGTATCCTCGGAGCCAACTCCAGCACTGTCCGCAGCAGCCGAATCTTTGGTCCGGAAGAGGGCACAGCGCCCTTCAACCTGACGATGAGCACCATCACACGCACACACAGTCATAGTCACGACGAAATTACCTTCAATACTGGGGGTGACGACGACGACGCTGTGCGCAAGAGCGATGGAGATGACGAGGACGATGGGCTTTGGCAAGATTCCTTGGGCTCCAACAAAGTCCTTGACACGATTGTGCTCCAGCAGCAGCAACAACGACAGCAACAACGACAGCAACAACGACAGCAACAGCAGGACGAAGCTTCCAGGAGCGAACGCTGCTCGATCGCACCTTCGCTCGATCAGGACATGACCAAGCTATCGTTGCTGAACGAGCTCGAGCAAACGCACAGCTCCATTCCTCGACAATCGCTCGGCACAAGAGTTAGTCTGTCTGCATCCGAACGGTTTGGTGCTCGAGGTGCCCATCCCGACGACGCGGATGCTTACGATTATGTCTCGGTCGAGAATCCCTGCGATCCACGCACGGCCCGCGTTCAGCTGCTGATGTTGAACTTTCTCCAAGAAACCCTGGTCACCTGGGACGACCTGCACGATTGCCGGAGAGCAGAGTCGCAGCAGCTGCGCCGCTCGCTCGACGGTCTTGTGCACTCCAAGAGGGCCCTGGAGCTGCCAAACGCCGAGGAGTTGCAATGTGTCAAGAAGCTGGGCGAGGGAGGCTACGGCGTGGTTTACCTGGTTTCCAGCGCCTCCGCGCCTCGGGGCAGCTCGCCAAGCGATGCCGACCACAGCTTCGAGCAGCCGACACCGTTCTCTGCGATTAAAATCCAGTCGCCTCCATCACCAATGGAGTTTTACAACCTCAAGACGCTCCGCCAACGACTGCCAGAGCGAATCCTGAGCTCGGTTGTGGCGCCAATCTCGCTGCATGCCTTTCAGGACGAGTCGGTCTTCCGGATGGAGTACATCAACCAGGGGAGCATCCTGGACTGCGTCAACCGCCAGGGCGGCCAGGGGCTCGAGGAGCACCTGGCAACGTTCTTTGCGATCGAGATCCTGCGGACGATCGAAGTAGTTCATGCAGCCGGTATGGTCCATGGCGACATCAAGCCCGACAACATCCTGCTGCGGCTGCAATCGGTGCGCAACATGGACGAGTGGGATCCGGTCTACCGGCCGGATGGCTCGCACGAGTGGAGCCGCATGGGCATCAAGCTCATCGACTGGGGAACCGGCATCGACCTGGGGCTGTTCCCAGAAGACCAAGCATTTGCCTTTGACCCGATGGACAGCTACGAGTCGGCAATCATCGGCACAGGCAACCGGAACGCCAAAGCAGACCCAAGCATCGAGAGCTGGGAGGTGCGCAACGGCATGCCCTGGAAGTACGATGCCGACTGGTACGGTGCGGGCGGATGCATTCACGTGCTCCTCTTTGGCAAGTACATGGAGGTGGCCGAGGAACAGGGCCGCAGCTACGACCGGCCTACGATCAAGGTCGCCGGATCGCACTTCCGGCGGTACTGGGCTCCGCATTGGAAGCCGCTGTTTGACCTGCTGCTGAACTCGGGGGCTCACAACGAGTGGCTGCTGCGCCAAATCCAAGATCGACGGGCAAGCCTACCGAGCATCGGACCGGATGTGAGCGACAGCAATCTCCAGTGCGAGACACTGGACTACCCAGAGTACGAGCGGATCTTTCCGGTTGTGCGCAAGATCCGCGGCCTGCGCAAGGACATGGAGACGTGGCTGCAAGAGAACTCGTCCAAGAGCGGCAAGCGCATCCGATCGATGCTCAAGGCGCTCCGGGACGATCTCAAGAAGAAGAACTGAGTCTTGGCGATTGGGTGTGGTGACTGGGGGAGTAGAGCGGGGCGGGGGCTAAATCTGATAGGACCTATGCGTTCGCTTATGCATGTCCTGAACAAACACAGTGTATCAACGACCACTCGGTGTGGGATGGGATTGTTGTTGTTGGAGGGAGGATGGGCATCGTTGCTGCAGATGGCTTTGCCAGGGACCCTGGGTTCGTCGCCGGCCATGTCGGAACGGAGTCGCCGCCGGCTCCAAATGCATCCGATGCGGGCGGGGGACATGTGCCTATCGTTGCATGTGAAACTCGTGGCGGAGCTGTGTCTCTGGCGGGTGGCAGACATGCCGCGCCCTCATGAGTCCAGGACATGGCCGGGAGGATCGCTGCCGGCCATGTGAAAAGCAGGCATGTCAACGGAAGACCGAGGCGGTCGGAGGCGGCGAGGAAGCCAGGCGGAGACGGTGAGAAGCAAGGGAAGGACAGCCAGGACAGCCAGGGCAGCCAGGACAGCATCTGGTTGCTGAGCTTATCGAGGGTGGGTGCACCAGCGACCCACCCCCCTCTGCCCAGCAGGATGGGGCCTTTGCGATGGCTCTGGAACAGCCGTGCATTTGGCTCGCACCCCAGCCACGCTGCGGCCAGCCACCTGTCTGCCAGCCACACTCCAGCCATACGGTGTCACCGGCCGCCGCGACAAGGACAAGCTCCGCCGTCGCGTGATGTGACATGGATGATGGCCGTCCAATCCGCGGCGGCGGACGGCGGCGGCGGCATGCGATTGGCGGGCCGTGGGACAGCCCAAGGTCCGGATCACGCGCGCTGTTGGCGGACATATGCAAGGCCGATACGCCACAGGACAAGGCCGGGCGGCATGGCGCGTGGGGTGCTCGCAGCGTTGCTGCGTCGTTGTTGTGGATGCTGTCTGGTGTGGCCGATTGAAACGGTTATGCTTTTGTCAGGGCCTTGGGCCGTGAGAACGTTGACGGCCGCCAAGGCTCTGGGCAGCGGCGGCATTTGCAAGCAACGATTACATTTTCGAGGCAGCGCTTACATTTCCATCTCGATGATTACATTTGCAGAGCGACGGGTGCACTTCCAGGCGGCGGCGTCGGTGTCGACGCAGTCTGCCTCATCCTCACTGCGATCGCCCAGCACGGGGCGCTGCCATGTGCTGTTGCTGTCGCCTCGCCCTGTTGTGTATGCGTCCGCGGGTCACATTGGGTTCTCCTGGCCTGGTCTGCAGGTCACTGTTGGTTCGGCGACAAGGTCCGCGGGAAAGGAATACCCTCCTCAGGCCCGGGCGACAACGCTCCTCGCCACCTCCCCAAGGCCCTTGCCCGCTATAGTGACTTGTGGCAAGGCTGCCGAGTGACCATTTGCTGCCTCCCGGGTAATCCTTCAGCGTCGCTGCTGCCGGCCCATGCGCTCATATGATTCACCCTGGCGGTTCCGTAAATCCCCGTGCTGCGACCCGCCGGTCTTGCGGCGTATAAAGCAGTCCTCTCGCCTGGATCACCGCTAGTTCCATTCCATCCCATTCTCGCTCCTCTCTGCTGCTGAGCCCGGCCGCTCTCTCGCTCTGCCATCGAAGCATCCCCTGCCACGCGCTCATAACCCCCTCCCACACACCGCACTGCGCTGCACCGCACCATGTCCTCTGCAAAGCCCGAGGTCGCCGCCCCAAAGCCGAAGCAGAAGAGCGTCGCCACCCACCTGCTGGCTGGCGGTATCGCTGGTTCGGCCGAGGCGCTCATTTGCCATCCCCTCGACACCATCAAGGTCCGGCTGCAGCTGAGAGGCGAGCGAGCATCCAAGTTCCCCGGCAGCGCTGCTTCGGCCCAAGTACCCCTGCGGCCTGCCGGATTTCTCTCCAGCGTAAGTCAGTCTCTCTCCCGCCGTTCCTTCTTCGTGGCGATGCGGTACCCATCCGCTGCGGCCCTGGAACTTCTGCCATCTCCTCTCATGGTGTCCGTCCTAACGACCCGCTTCCCACGTTCACTCGTTCACTCGTTCGGTGTTCGCCCGTCCTCCCCTCCGTCCAATGCGTGCCCGTCGCTTTCAGTTTGGCCCCAACTCGTTTATCGGTGTCGGGGCCCGGATCGTCCAGAACGAGGGGTTCTTTGCACTCTACAAGGGCCTTGGTGCTGTGATGACCGGCATCATCCCCAAGATTGGCATCCGCTTCACTTCCTTTGAGCAGTACAAGCAGCTCCTGGCTGACAAGAACGGCAAGACCAACACTGGCGGCATCTTCCTTGGTATGCATTCTTCTCGCCGTCCTGCAGCTTGATTTTGGGCTCCCCCTGGACCAGTCCTTGTTGCGGTGCGGCTCTTGATGGCTGACTCTCGGTCTGCATTCCTCTTGGATCCACAGCTGGATTGGGCGCTGGAATCACCGAATCTGTGCTGGTCGTCACTCCAATGGATGTCATCAAGATCCGCCTCCAGGCGCAGCGCAACTCCATGATGGACCCGCTCGACGTTCCCAAGTACAAGAATGCCCTCCACTGTGCACTGGTGATGATCCGGGAAGAGGGCGTCGGCTCGTTATACAAGGGCCTCGGCTTGACTGCTCTCCGCCAAGGTACGTCGTGCTTCTGAGCATATGCACTTGAATGTTCCTCTGGTTGTGCAGCGACTGTCTGTGCCCTGATGCTTGTCGAAGCCCATTGACGCCGCCCCTGACTCCTCTGAACTCCCTTCCTCCAGCCACCAACCAGGGCGTCAACTTCACTGTGTATCAGTTCATCAAGAAGAACCTCACCGAGATGCAGCCCGACCGCAACGGCAACCTCCCCCAGTACCAGACCCTGCTTGCCGGCATCGTCTCTGGTGCCTGTGGCCCGCTCTTCAACAACCCCATCGATACCATCAAGACACGCATCCAGAAGAACCCATCCAACGAGAAGGGCTGGCAGCGCTTCGTAAACGTGACAGCGGGAATCTATCGAAACGAGGGCTGGCGAGCGTTTTACAAGGGTGTTATTCCGCGGGTCCTGCGGGTTGCTCCCGGCCAAGGAATCAGCTTCATGGTGAGTGATCCGGTTTCCAGAACTTCTCTCAGGCGGCTGCCATCTTTCTTTGCCCACTGCAGCCACTGATACGCTTTCATCAATACCGTCCTTCCAGGTTTACGAAAGCGCTTACCGGTGGCTTACTGAAGCCGGTGCTCTGTGGTCGACCGAGAACGTTACTGCCCTCGCTGCCTCCAAGCACTGAGTGCCTCTCCTCCTCGATATGTCTTGAGTGTATTACACCTTCCTCCCTGCATCGATACTGTAATTGTCTCATAGCATGCCTATCCACCTTGTTCCATTTTTGCACCATTCGCCTTTCAGCTTTCATTTCGCTTTGTCCCTCCCTAGCTTCCCCCTCCTCCCTCCTTCGCCGCTGTCTGGATATATCGCTATACTGCAGATTCCAGACGCCGACCTCTTCCCGTCGCATCTTGGCATCAGAGCCCGTACCATGGACCCTTCTCGCAGTTGCATCTGCTGTATACAGTAGCATACCACTATCGTCCCCCTAAAGCACTCCGTCCAGTCGATACATGCTGCTCGAAAGTCAGAGGGTGTGAGTGTACTTCCGCAAGCCAAAGCTCCCAGGCTGCTTAGCCATCTGCGCGAACTGAGCTTCGGTTTGCTGATCACTGTGCATCTCAGGCTCATTCGCTCTGGTCACTATTGCTGCCGGCGTCAGGACAATGTAGCGGCTCAGGGCGATGCCAGTCAACATTGAGAGGATGGATCTATGTGCTCGGTTCAGCATCTGATTGGCGCCAGCGCGAGTTCCACCTTCGCCATTTGAACACCCCTTTCCTCTGCCGCGACTTTCTCTGCCCTTCGTCTGGCATGCGGTGAATCCTCAAACTGCTCTCTTGCGCATCCGTCGTCCCGGACATTTGTTAGAATTCCAGCTGATAAGCGCTGCGATGGGAAAGTCCGTCAAGGCCACCATCACCGACACCCAAGAGGCGCATGATGATTTTCTGGATCTCGACGACCGAGGGCTGAAGGAGATTCCGCCAGAGCTTTGTATGCGATGCCTCATGTCCGAGCCGCGGATGCTGGTGTCGAGAACGGACGACTGGGCCACATCGTTGATGTACCGCTCAAACTAACGCTGACTTGGCTCTCGCTGTCGTTGGAATTGTGCATCCAGGGAACTTGACATGGCTCACACGGCTGAACCTATCGCACAACAGGCTGAATGGTACGCCCCTGACTAAACCTTTGCCAACTGGGCAGGCTCGCATGCAACCAAATCACCGCCGACGCGACACTCCTCTCCATCTCAAACTCACGCTACTCGTCGATTCATCGTCCTGCGAACGAATCGATATTCACCGCTATCGCACATAACCAGTTCTCACCACCGAGATCACAAGACTTTCCAAGCTGACCAGCTTCACTCTCTACGCAAACCAAATCTCGTATCTCCCACAAAAGATCAGCACCCTTCCAAATCTGAAGCGGCTGTGTGTGAGGTGAGTGCGCGGAGGGGATCTCCGCGTTCATGTCAAGTGCTTGAGGATGGTACGTGGGATGAAGCACTACCCCGATGGTATCGCCAACCGATATCACCACGATCTGGATTTACGCCGATTGCAATACGAATGCAACGGGGATCGGCTGTTTCAATAACAAAATGACACACGCGGTCGCAACCCAAACAATGGCAATGAAACGAAAACCCTCCATCATCAACAGCAACAACTCGCTCGAGGAGCTGCCGTCGGGGTTTGGATGCTGTCCTGCCTTACAGTACCTCGATGTTTCGTGCAACTTTATCAAAGAGATTTCGTCCAACTTTGGGTTTCTGAGTATGTGCATACCGGACAAAGAGGCATATTCAGGATCCGTAATTGACTGGGCCCATTGACGCACATCCAGCAATTCGCATTCGCTATGGTGCTGAAGTCGGGCCTCCACCATTCGTGCCTTCCTTAACCGCTTCATTGTGGTTAACCATGCTGCGTCCTCCAGCCACCCTCAAGGAGCTTCATCTTGCCGATAATCAACTCAAGACTTTGCCCAAAGAAATCGGCAATCTGCACTCTCTCCAAACGGTGTGTTATCCGAGAATGTTCTTTGCCATCCAACATGGCAAAGAACATTCACTTTGCCAAATGGGCAAACAAGCCTGCCACCATCACCTCTGCCTGTCCTTGCCGCTCATCTTGGTTATCACCGACGAGGGCTCGCTTTATCCCCGATCAATTTCATGCTGACGCATTGACGATCATCGCTTTTCGATATGGCCTCAACATAGTTGGTTGTCCGTGATAATGAAATCGAGCAGCTCCCGCCGGAGATGGGCAAGCTCTCACAGCTCAAGTCACTGTTGGCCCAGGGAAACAGAATCAAGACACTGCCAAAGGAGCTTGGTGCGTCGTTGGCTCCATGGAGATGAGACCGAGTCCGTCGCCTCGCCACTGATTGTCAGCGTCGCTCCCGATTGTCAGTGTCACTTCCGATTATCAGGGTCGGTATTCATTCACACCCTCTCTCACTGACGCTTGCCTTCGTGGTACATTGTGATCGTGTCCTTAGCAAATGTGCCCCTCTCTTTGGATGGCTCCGTATTGCGTCTGGCCGCAAACCCTCTTCACCAAACCATTGTGGACAAACTGAAGGCAGGCGGTGTCAAGGAACTGTGGACTTTCATGAAGACTTTGGTGAGTGAATCGGCAGATGTGTAGAGCGCTTTGCTGTCTTGGTTTGCCCTGATACGCCTTGGTTTGCCCTGATATGCCTTGATTTGCTCGACGGAACTGGAGGAGTGCAAGGGCTCACAGAGTGAAACCTACCAACTGTCTCTGATTCGATCCAGGAATACGAGGCGATTCTCCCCAAACAGTAGCTCGACGATTATATATGGATGTGTATTCGGGATCCGGAAAACAGCAGCCATTAACGATAGAAGCAAGATGTCTCCGTTACGTTTCTTGAATAAAAAGTGGCGATTCTATGAAAAATATTGTGTGCGTATATGGGTTTGTGGTGTTTGTGTGCTTGTGTGTCTGTGTATCTCTACGATCGAAAGAAACGAACGGCAAATCATAATTGGGTGCATAGTTTTGATGCCTCACGCTAATGGTGATGATGGCCAGCAAAGGGTTGTGCCATCAAAGAAACGAGGTTCTTGAAAAGGTTGGTGTCGCAGCGGTCTCATAGCTTCTAGGCAAGATGGAGCCGTGCCTGTGTCGAGGGCGACTGAGCTGTCCGAATGCTCGAATACTCGCGCCGTGCTCCAGTATAGGGATACCAAAGCTTCGCGAAATGTGAAGCCGGTGCACCAGTCGATCTTTGTCGCAGGACAACGGCTGGATCTGCTCAAGAGCATACCCAAAACCCACTAGAAAACGTTGATTGCCAGCCAAGACGGGAAGCAGTTGCACAGCTGAGACCATGCGGCCTGCAGATCATCGGAACTGAGAGCCGTGGTTGCCGCAGTGACAACGGGCACTGCCCGCTTGCTTGCTGCCTTAGTTGCGGATGGAGACCATCATAAAGACGGCCAAAGTGACGAGAGTTGTCCACGGGGCTCGCATCAGGGTGCTGGCGTCGCTACTGAAGCTGCCCTGGACTGGAGCCGTAGGAACAGCCGCAGCAGTCGACGACGGGGCGCTGCTAGTCGTGGTGGTCGTGGTCACCGCAGCAGCAGGGAGGTTGCGGTACCACTGCATGCCGACGCAGTCGCCCACGGGAGCGATCTTGTACTTGATCGTGGCCTTGTTCTGCTGGTAGTACTTCATGATCTGCATGACGACATCGCTCGTGAAGGGAAGGCGATCGTGGCTGAGGGAGATAAAGCCGTTCTTGCCCGAGAACCAGGAGCCGGTGGCCAGACCGACAAGCTTGGTGGCAATGCTCTCGGTCGTCGTGACCTGGTCGGCAGCGGTGTCGTCTTGGTTCCAGACGGTAGCGGTGTAGCCGAGGGCGCTGACAATGGCACGCACTCGGTCGTCCATATCGCCATAGGGAGGTCTCATGAAGAGCGAAACTTTGCCGATGGTCTTGTAGATCAGGGCCTCGGTGTACTTGATCTCGGCGACGATCTGCTCGTTGGAGAGCGCCGTGAGGGGGTGGTGGGTCCAGGTGTGGACGCCGATCTGGTGGCCACGGTTGTACTCGTCCAGGACAACCTGGGGGTTCTGGATCATTTCAAAGCCAAGGACAAAGAAGGTGGCCTTGGCCTGCATGGCATCGAGCATCCCCATGATGGCAGTCGTGTCTTTGTGGGTGACGTTGTCGACGGAAGGGCCATCATCGAATGTGAGGCCCCAGGTGTAATCGGCCGGACACGAGGAGATGTCGCTGAAGTAGTTGGTGGTGTTTGTGGTTCTCAAACACTGATCTGCAGGGTAGTAGCAATATTTTACCGCTGGGAAGGGGAGAAGGGATGCCGGAGTTGGTCAGATAGACGATACTAGCCAAGAGCGCAGGAATATGGGTGGAGCGATGCAACAGCGACTAGGGGCGCTGAATAGCCATGCTGTGAGCAACCGAATTCAGGCGCCTACCATCGGCATTGTAGGTCACGGTCGAGTCCATGATGTAGGTCGAGGGCGGCACATTCAGCAGCTCAGCGGGCACAACTTGGTTGACATACTTCAGCGCACTGGGTGGGGGTGAGAAAGGATGAGACAACAGCTCGGGGCAGCAAATGTCAGTGACTCACGGGCGAGCAGAGGGGCGGAAATTACGCCGGGACTTACTCTTGCACGAGGGGATCGGCCAGCAGCGCCCCAGTGATGAGCACGGTTCGATCGGTCGATGGCCATTCTGCGAGACAAGGCGCGCGGCAAGACGGCAGAACATTAGGCACACGTGATAACCGGTAGTTCTGGGAGATATCTTGTCCGGCAAACGGCCGCACGGCGTAGGAGCGAGATTGGCGTTGCTCCGAGAGCAGTGCCCGCTGGCAAGCGCAGTACATGTCGCTCGTTGCCAGCGGGCACTGCTGGAGGGCGATGCTTGGTATTTCGTGTCCCGAGTACTCGCGAACTCACAGGCCGATGTGCTGACAGATCTACCATGCAACTTACGTGCGGGCATCGGCGGTGGCAGCTGGAGGGTCGACGGCGCGGCGGCGAGATGGAAGCCTCCGATCGGCACTCGGGCAATGTCAAAGCCCTGGAGAGGACGCCCCTCGGCGAGCGATCCCACGGCGAGGACGAAGGCAGCAGCGCGCCAGACAGAGAACGAGGACATCATTTCTGGAGCCGTTCGGCAGAAGCGAGCACAGAAGCAGGCGGATTGACCCCGACCAACGCTCGCCTGCGGGGAGATGGTGCTCATATATGCCCGTGGCCGTCTTCCTCATCGGGCATCTGGGCGCCCAGACAACCAGCCGGAAGGTGGCCGTGCCGCACTTGCCGATACGAGAGCCGGTTCCTCCGGCAACAAGGCCTCGTCGGTGGGAGGCAAGGCAAACGACGCATAGACAGTGCTGTATCGCCCAACGGACAGGCGCAAACAGGACCACCCAGACAATGGGTGGTCCTGTTTGCGGGTGTGGCGTCAACGGACAAGCCCGTAGCCGTGAGAAGCCAAGGAAGCCAAGGAAGCCCATGGCAATCGCATTAATGCAAGGGGATGCGAAGAGACAGCGGCGAGTCTGGGCGCTGTCTCCGCGGCCACAGACAATCTCGGTTGGATGGACAACGAACGTGGTGGAGGCGGACAGCGAGGGGCGGTGGGCTGGACAAGCACCGATGGGCCGCGCTTCGTCTGCGAATGCGATCTGCGCGACGTCCACAGGCAAAGCCGACATGATCCGATTAGAAAGGCGCAAGCGCGGATTTGAAACGTCGGAGATAGAGACAGCAAGACAGCGACGGGTATTCGGGGAAGATCGCGGCTGCTCGTGCGTCCATGAGCGATGCCCGAATCGCACCAGGCAAGGACTGTTGCCGATGCCATCCAGACAGAGGCATCAATCGGCAGAATCACAGCAACGCCGCCAACAGGCTCGTTTTGGTGCAGGTGTGGATGGTGGGGGGAGGCAACAAGCGGGTGCGCACGACCCGCGCCGATCTGGCCACGGGCGCAGCACGGTCTGGCCGACCCGATCTGGCCGACCCGATCTGGATGGTGGGGCAATGTCGGCCCATCCCGGAGGCAGGGTTTTGGGTGGATGCGGCAAACTTATTTCGATAGGGACATCTTCACACACAGATCGCAGCTCACTCCGGGCGATGTGTATTTGTCTGCGCTGCTCGACGGGAGTTCTCGGCATGCATGCAGCTCTTCCAGCCAAGGAGGACGCTGTTGATGTTGTCGATCATGGCCTCGGCTTCCTGCCGCCGGTCAGGGCGCACATCGGCGTCCGCAAGACATCCTTGAAGCACCACTTTGCACAATTGGAGGCATTCCATGGTCTGCTCGAGACCGCTTTGCATCGCCATCCTCTGCGCTCGGCCTGGCTCGGCCTTGTAGTTGTCCAGGCTGCGTCGTGAGATCATCAGAATGTGCTGTCCGTACCGCTCAACGACTGCGGCTGCGGCCGCACGTTCGTTGTAAGCCATCAGCAGCTCGATGTACTGACGAAACACCGCTGTGGTGAGATAGGGAACAGCTCGGGTGCTGCCCGACTTGTCCTCGGTTTTCTGTGCGCTCTTAACTGCGTCGCTGGCTGACTGCAGCCACTTGCGGCTCAGCGGTGCGGTCGGCGTTTCCTGTTTGGCGAGGGCCACAGCCAGGGACGCAATTCGGATGGAGTTTTGGGCGTGGCTCCTGGACTGCGTATGTTGATTGAGCTCGGCCGCTCGATCGAAGCGTCCTTGCTCAGCACAGAGCATGATCGCGAGGTTCAGGATACCGTCATCGCACTCGAGCTTGCGTCGCTGGAAGATATCGAACCAGACGAGCCCGAGGCACCCATTCCCCGTCGCCGAGGCCAAACGAAGGAGGGCAAACATCAGAGTTGGAGTGAGCAGGAGCTTTTCGCGATGAGGCTCACTCCATTCGTCCAGGATCGTCTTGTTCGCCGCGTCGGGGTCGAGTTGCGAGGGAAGATCGAGGTACTTTTGGATCACGACTTGCGCATTGCGATATGCTTCGGGATGTCCGGACTTGGCACAGAGGAGCAGAAAGGAAGCCGCGATGTGGGAGTCCATTTGGATGCCGTGGTAGATATTTGTGATCTCGAGCTTGCGAATGCCTTGCGGTGGCTCGTCGAGGATGTTTTCAAGGTCGTTCATGATGCGGAGTCCCATGGAGTACCCTTTTGACGAGGGAAAGAACGCACCACACAGTTGCAGCATAGTCGAGAACGAGATGGAGTCGGGAGGAGGGTAGGAGAACGTGGGCTCTTGGCTGTTGTAGGCACCTGAGTCAATGTCTTGAAGCTCATCGCGAGTCCAGAGCATCATGCCGTCAAAGATGTCGATGGCGACTTTCCAGCCACCCTCGTAAGCACAGGGGACGCAGAGCTTGAGCATTGCGTTGGCATGGATAGTCGAGGGATTGGGCAGGTCCTCCCAGACGGCGTTGATTTGCTGCAAAATGCGGCTGCGATCACTTGGGAGCACATCGGGACGGGTGACCGCTTTGAATGCTCCGTTGATCAAGCCAGTGTATGCACTGGGCGTGGGGACGATCTTGCGGCGTTTCATCTGAAAGTGCACCAAAGTGGAGTCGACGAAATAGGAGGAAGGATCCGAGAGAGAATGCGAGCCGAGACAATGTCAGCGCCAGCCAGGACGGGGCCATATCCTCTCGCCCACCGCCGACCATGAACCTGCATCCATGAGCCAGACCACTGCCAGCGAGCCCGCATGACCAACAACGTCGAGATCCGTTTGCCTGAGTTGGGGTGTGCAGCGCTGTCGTCGACCGATGCCGATCGATGCCGAGACATTCCAATCGATGCCGAGAAATGCCTCACAGCTCACGCCGTTCCCGCCCTGGATCATCATGCTGGATCATCCTCGCTCGACTCTGCCGCCACACAAGACTCACCAGCTTGAAGGCCTCGATCGCATCTCCGTAGTGGCCGTGGTCCTTGAACGCCTGGATCGCCTCGGCAAACACAACGTCGTTGGTCGCCCCCGTGTGTCGATCGATCAGGTCCCAGGCTTCGTCGATCTGGCCCGACCGGATCAGTGCCTTCAGCCGGGTACCGAGGTTCTTTGGGTCCGAGTGCCACTCGAGTCGCCCTGCTGGCCGGCCGGCCTGATGCGGATCGAGCGGTGTCTGCAACGCTTGCGACGCTTGCACTGATGGTCTCGAGAGAGACGGCGAGAGGGTCTTTGGCGAGTGCTTCGAGTGTGTCTCGGCTGTTCTTGGCTCCTTGGACCACGGTCGCTGTGTCGAGTGAGTCCCATGGCTCTGTTTGGTGTTCTTTTCACCAGAGCTGGGTCTGGAGCTGGAGCCGAAGCGGGATGTGGGGCGGGTGCTGGGACCAGATGCCGATGGAGAGCGTGAGGATCGGAAGCTGCGATCGCGGTCGTTGCTGGGGTGGTCGCTGTTGCGGCGGTCGCTGTTGCGGTCATTGCTTGGACCACGATCGTTGTTGCGGGAGCCTGGTCGGCCAGAGGACATCCATCGCCGTGGAATCGCTGGCGGCCACGAGGAGGGAGGCATGAGTGTGTCTGCGGGGTCGGCAGCAACCATGCGAGTGGAGAGCATCTGGGACGCAGGAAGGGCCCTGAAGATCGTGGGTGCCTGGCGACGGAGGATTGTGGATGGGCGGCCCGCGGCCCGGATCAGACAGGGCGGCAGCATGGTGCTGGTGGATTGTGGTGGATTGTGATGGGTGTTGGATTGTGGTGGGTGTTGGATTGTGGTGGGTGTTGGATTGTGGTGGGTGTTGGATTGTGGTGGGTGTTGGATTGTGGTGGGTGTTGGATTGTGGTGGGTGTTGGATTGTGTTGGATTGTGGTGGGTGTTGGATTGTGGTGGGTGTTGGATTGTGGTGGGTGTTGGATTGTGGTGGGTGTTGGATTGTGGTGGGTGTTGGATTGTGGTGGGTGTTGGATTGTGGTGGGTGTTGGATTGATGGTGGGTTGGTGTCGATGAGCCCAGACAGGCGCAATGCCAATGCAGCTCGACTCGGCGGCCAACTGAGGGAATTGAAGACTTGGAGACGAACCGGGCACTCGGAGACTCGCTGGACACTCGGAAACCAACCGGGCCAAGCAGATCGATCGAGCAGGCAGATCGGTCAAGCAGGCAGATCAATCGAGCAGGCGGATCTGGGACATTGATGGCGATTTGATCTGGCTGGTCCGCTGCCACGCCACGTGACGGCACAGCCACAGAACAGGATCCAAGGCCATGTCCATGAAGTCGATGGCCATGTCGATGGACGGGGTGGTGTGCAAGGCAGTGCGAAAGGCGGTGGGCAAGGCGGTGGGCAAGGCAGTGGGCAAGGCGATGGACGGGCGAGTGGGCGATTCCACTGCACAGCACATGAGCCAAATCGCCGTCGCTCGGTCGGTGTGATTGGATGGCCATCGACAGCATCCGCATCCACCAGCCTCGTCGACTTCCGCCTCATCGACATTGCCGATCTCACTTGGCCTCTTGCACGCTGTCAGGCCGAGTTGCCGCATCGTGGCCCATCCACTTGGAACCCACTTGGAACCCACTTGGAACCCACTTGGAACCCACTTGGAACCCACTGGGAGATCTCACCTGGATATCCGCGCGTCGCAGCCACCAACCGAGCAGGCCACCAGCACCGGGCCAACAGCCAGCACCACCAACCAGCAAGTATCCCTCAGCATCGCCCACACCAGACAAGCCAACAACGCGGGAAATATGAGCAACATGAACAACACGAACAACACGAACAATGCAAGCAGCACGAGCAACTCATCCGCCGCCGCGTCGGGCTCGAGCAAGTGAGCATGAGTGATGGGATGTGGATGATGGGGCAGGACTGGTGGGGTTGGAGTGATGGGACGTGGGCGATACGATGGAGTGATGCGATGTGCACCACGGAATATGGCTCGCCCTCATGGCTCTCGATGGTCGATGGTCGATGGTCGATGGTCGATGGTCGATGGTCGATGGTCGATGGTCGATGGTCGATGGTCGATGGTCGATGGTCGATGCTCAATGCTGATCTCTCGGTCCTCGACATTGCTGCCGCGATTCCGATCCATGCCGATTCCCACCAAACGCCATCAGTATCGAGTCTGGATCCAAGCCCTCTCCGAGACCGTCACAGCCACCACAGCAGCCAGCTCCGTCCATCCCAATGCTTCCGGCTTTCCAGCCACATCCTCCCATCCTCCCATCGCTCTCCCGTCCACACTCCCGCTCGCTGTCGCAGTCCCGGTCCCTGTCTCGCTCGCACTCCCGCTCCCAGTCGCTGTCTCAGTCGCTGTCCCAGTCGCTGTCTCAGTCGCCTCCTTCGGCCAGGCCCTTCGGTCGCCCGACCCCGGCCGCCACCATGTCGGCAAAGCCGATTCCGCCTCTGATTCCGTCGTCTGTGGTTGGCATCAGGACAGCCTCGTCCCCGATCTCGGTGGCTGGATCGCCAGTGAATCCAACGACCATCGAGGATGGAGGCGAGAATGCCACCCAAGGCACCGCAGGAGCAGACAGTGCAGGAGCAGACAGTGCAGGAGCAGACAGTGCAGGAGCAGACAGTGCAGGAGCAGACAGCGCAATCTCCACCAGGATCACTCCCAACACCAACACCAACACCAACACCAACACCAACACCAACACCAACACCAACACCAACACCAACACCAACACCAACACCAACACCAACACCAACACCAACACCAACACCAACACCAACACCAACACCAACTCATCGGTGTCACTTCCCACGGCATCCACCTTCGCCGAAGCAGCAGCCTCCATTTCCTCTCCAGCTGTGGTTGCTTCCCTCATCACAACTCTCCCCATCACAACTCTCCCCATCACAACTCTCCCCATCACAACTCTCCCCATCACAACTCCCCCCATCACAACTCCCCTCACCACAACTCCCCTCGCCGCTGCCAGTGACCCGCACCAGCCCAACCTCATGTCGCTCTCGAGTCTCAGTCTCGGCTCGCCATCGTCGTCGCTGTTGCTGGAGGGTCCGTCGACACTCTTGTCGTCATCGCTGATCTCGTCGTCGCTGCTGCCGCTGTCGCTGCTTCCGTCATCGCTGTCATCGCTGTCATCGTTGTCGTCAAGCACTGGGTCGCCTTCGTCCATGGCCGGATCGCCTCGACCAGTCACTCGCTCCGGACCAGTCCCTCCCACCTCGTCGTCTGTGGCCGGGACGACAATGCGGACATCACTCTCTGTCGCCGACCCGCCGTCTGTTGCAGGCGAGGCATCCACCAACGGGACACCATCGCCCAACGGCCAGGCATCGATCACCGGCTCGACATTGGCAACGACATTAGCAACGACGGCGACAGCGACAATGGGTGCTGCATCCACCAACGGTGTGCCGACCACAGGCGGCCCTGCAGCGACACCGGTGCCTCCCCCCACGGCCACGGGGACGGCCCCGGCCTCGGCCACACCAGCGGCAGCCATCCAGATCAAGTTCCGGACGTCGCTCCGCAACACAGTGTACGATGTGATGCGGGATCGGTCGTGGCGCGAAGGCGACTCTGAGATGGACTGGGACTTTTTCTGGGCAGATGTGCACTGGGTACACGAGACCTTTGACCATGTGTATCTGCAAGAGCACCAGAAGATCAACCACTACCGCAACCACTACGAGGTGAGTGAGTGTGAGTGTGAGTGTGAGTGTGAGCGGAGGTGAGTGTGGGAGTGTCTGAGTGAGTGATCAGTTGTGGGAGCCATGATCCAATCCATCCAGTCTCACCACTCTGGCAAGCCGTCGACAACCACCACATGTTGGTCCACACTGGCCGCCCACAGTCGACTGTGTCTCCATCGTCCACTGACCACCCGCCTCGCTGACTACCCGCCTCGCTGACCACCTCGCCTCAGCTCACCCGGAAGGACCTCCTGGTCAAAAACGTCAAGCGGATGATCAAGACCATGGAGAAAGAGTACGGAAAGACCGAGGCTGCAAAGTTCGAGTTCATCACCACGTCCTATGTGCTTCCCCAGGAGCACGCCCTGTTCCAGGAAGAGTTCAAGCGCAACCCCGGATCGGTGTGGATCATGAAACCCGTCGGCAAGGCACAGGGCAAGGGAATCTTCCTCATCAACAAGATGTCGCAGATCAGCCAGTGGCGCAAGGACCCGAGGGTGCGGGGTGGATCGGACGGCGATGCACCCGAGGCTTACATTGTGCAGAAGTACATTGAGAACCCGTATCTGATCGGAGGTGAGGCCGAGGGGTGGTGCTGGTGCTGGTGGTGCTGGTGCTGGTGGTGCTGGTGCTGATGTTGTGGGGTATTGTGGTGTTGATGTGGTGTTGATACTCCTGCTGCTGCTACTCATTTGTCGTCGGATGGCCCGGTCCATCCGAATCGACCACTGCACGGCGGTCGTGCTCGACTGACTGAGGCGTCGCTGTCCACAGGGAAAAAGTTTGACATCCGAGTGTATGTGCTGGTGACATCGTACTATCCCTTGGTGGTGTACATCCACCGCAACGGCTTTTGTCGCTTCTCCAACTACCAGTTCTCGATGAACTCAAAGGACATTTCGAACCTCTGTGAGTGGCGCTGTGGCTCTGACTCTGGGCTGCTCGGCTGCCCGGCTGTGACCTGATGCATGGCGTGTGTTGATGTGTGCTGTATATCTCGATGTGTGTCGTCCGTCTCGATCTGTTTCATGGCTTTTGTGTGCAACAGCTTGCACAATGTCGCCCACGATTGACTCGCCTCCATCACTCCACTCTCACACTCTCACACTCTCACACTCTCACACTCTCACACTCTCACACTCTCACACTCTCACACTCTCACACTCTCACACTCTCACACTCTCACACTCTCACACTCTCACACTCTCACACTCTCACACTCTCACACTCTCACACTCTCACACTCTCACACTCTCACACTCTCACACTCCCACACTCTCACACTCTCACCCCAGACATCCACGCCACAAACGTCGCCATCCAAAAGACCTCGCCGCACTACGATGGCGACAAGGGTTGCAAGTGGCTCCTGCGCAACCTCAAGACCTATCTCACCAGCAAGCACGGCACCGCCGCCATCAACGAGCTCTTCACCGAGATGGAGGCGCTGATTGTGCGCAGTCTGATGAGTGTCCAGAAGGTCATGATCAACGACAAGCACTGCTTTGAGCTGTGAGTAGCGGCCGGCGGTGCTGGTGCTGGTGGTTGTGGTGGTTGTGGTGGTGCTGGTGGCTGTGGTGGTGGTGGTGGTGCGGGCATGAGGACTGACTGGGCTGCTTGAAGATCGTCTGGAAATTGGCGCAGATGTGCATGTCGGTGTGATGATCACCACCAACTGCAACCTGCACCATTCCATCACCACCTGCACCACCACCTGCACCACCACCTGCACCACCACCTGCACCACCACCTGCACCACCACCTGCACCACCACCTGCACCATCCCATCACCACGCGCAACACCACCCCATCTGTCTCCAACCCAACATCCGCTCACCGCTCACCACGCATCACCCACCGCATCCACAGATACGGATATGACATCCTCATCGACGACGCCCTCAGACCGTATGTGTTGGGCCTGATCCTGGGTCGACTTTGACTGCACGCACGGACCCGCCACTCGCCGACCACCTGCTGACCATCATCCATCACCGACACGATCACTAACATACCGACACCATCACTAACATACCGACACCACCGACACTATCACTAACATCACCAACACCATCGACACCATCCGCCGATACCATGTCCGCCTCAACCCACTCGCCTGTGCAACGCACATCCTCCCACCCTCTGCAGATGGCTGCTCGAGGTGAATGCGTCGCCGTCGCTCACGGCCGAGACCCAGTTCGACTACGACCTCAAGTATGCAATGCTCAACGACGCCTTTGATGTCATTGACTTTGAGAAAAGGTCAGCGACGACAGGCGGCACATGGCGCCTGTGCCGGAGGTGTCTGTTGACCCAGCCGCCAATGTCGAGCAGCGGTGGCGGCTGGGCCAGGCAGAGGCATGATGAGCTGGGGCCGAGTGCGGTTCCCACCGCCACCACCACCACGGCTGATCATCCCGCACCACCACGGCTGATCATCCCGCACCACCACGACTGATCATCCCGCACCATCCGCACCATCCGCACCACAGATACACCAATGACAAGAAGCTCAGGACCCGTGTTGGCGGCTTTGATCTGGTTTACAACGACGGACCTGTCAAGCACGAGCGCACCAGCAGCTATGCCTCCTATCTCGGTGCGTGCGTGTGGTGGTTGTGGTGGTTGTGGTGTTGCAGAGCGAGCTGCGATGGCAGCGGCCATGACGAGGCAGACCGATCCAGTGACGGACGGTCGATGATGTGACATGCATCCGCGACGGGCCCCATGGGTATCCATGAACACATCCACATTCATGGCCACGACTCTCTCCACGGAATCGCTCTCCCACTCCCACTCTCACATCCACTCCCACTCTCACTCCCACTCTCACTCCCACTCTCTCACCGGCTTGCTCTCGCTCCAGGATGCTATCACCCAATCAAGCGTGCTCCGCGCATCAAGAAGCGGCTCGGTGGTGGGGCGGGATCGGGTCCCACCGTCCCGAATTGAGCCCCACCCGTCGTCGCCATCCTGGTGGTGGTGGATCGTTGGGCACGATGGTGTGATCCGTCTCGACACCAATTTTCAATTGTTTCAACCGCGCCGCTGGCTTCCTTGAGACTCGTTGTGGGAGGACGATCCGCTGGCCTGAGCTCGGCGTTGGCCAAGTATCCCTCGCATGGAGGCGAGAGGGGCGTTGGGGTGGGGGTTCTTGAAACGCCATCGGGATCGCACAAACGCCTTGCCTCTTCGCTCCAAAAAATTGCTCATCTCCCCACTCTCGCCCACCCACCAAGCGCCGCCGCCCCCCGTCAGGTTTCTGGGCCAGCACCCATCACCGAGGTCGATAACATCCGTGCGCAATCAAGTGTCGTGAAGCATTGCTGCAGTCAAAGCTGCGTTTATTCATTGTCCAGAATAGAGTCTTATTTGTCATGCACAAATCAAGTTAGGTCGGTGTGAAGAAAATTGGGGTGAGGGGACGAGAAAAATAAAAAGCGGAGTACCACAACTTGTTTTATAGCTGGGTAGGAATAAATACGATGGATGAACGATGAGTGCACATTAGAAGGTAGGGGGGATTTGTCGGGGTAATGAGTCTAGAAGTTCATAGCGACACCAAAAGCCAGAGCAGCGGCAGCCGAGACGAGCTGGAGACCAAGACCCTTGAAGGTCGAGGCGGAGCCAGAGACAAGGTTGGAGCCATTAGTGGGAGAGGGAGAGGAAGAAGCGGAGGCAGCGGCGGTCGACGAAGCCGAAGCAGAGGTAGTCGTAGTCGCGGTAGCGTTCTTGAGAGGGCGGAACCAAGGCTTGTTCACGCAGGTGCCAACGGGTTCAATGTTCAGCTTGATGGTGGCACGGTTGGCGTCGACATACTGGAGAATACTGAGGATGACGCCGCTGGTGAAGGGGTCGATGTCGTGGCTGAGGGAAATGAAACCGGCCGTGTAGTTGGTGAACCAGGTCGAGGTGGCAGTGTTGATGAGCTTGTTGGCGACGGAGACAGAGGTAGTGGTTTGATCGGCGGCAAGATCATCCTTGTCCCAGATGGTGACGCTGTAGCCAAGAGCGTTTGCAATGGCACGCACTCGGTCGTCAATGTCGCCATAGGGAGGACGGAAGAAGTAAGGGATCTGTCCGGTGGCGTTGTAGACGATGGCCTCGGCATACTTGAGCTCGGCGACGATCTGCTCGTTGGTGCACGAGGTAAGGGGATGGTGTGTCCAGGTGTGGACGCCGATCTGGTGGCCGTCGTTGTACTCGTCCAGGACAATCTGGGGGTTCTGGATGACGTTCGATCCAACCACAAAGAAGGTTCCCTTGATGTTCATCTTGTCGAGCTGGGCACGGATGGCGGCCGAGTCGTCGTGGGTGACGGGATCGACAGTGGGTCCGTCGTCAAAGGAGATTCCCCAGGTGCCGGGCTGAGGGCAGGTGTAGACATCGGCCTGATAGCCGTTTCCAGCGGCAGCGCGAACGCAGAGGTTGCTGGGCCAGTAGCAATTGGCGTTGGCTGTGAGCAGAAGGACGAGCAAGTTAGTTCGGGATGCCGATTCTTAGCAGCCAAGGCCGATTCAGTGGACAGTGGCCCTGCTTACCATCAGCAGTGTACTTGACAGTCGATCCACTGACGTAGGTCGAAGGTGCAATGCTCAACAGCGAGGCGGGAACGACAGATTGGACATAGGCGAGGGCACTGGTAGATCACAGCACAGGGGTTAGAAATCTGATTGTGACCATCTCGATTGGCAACGTGGACTAGTAGACGTGTGTAAACGCGACAAGCGAGTGACTCACTCTTGCACGAGGGGATCCTTGAGGAGATCACCGGTGATGAAGTTGGTCTGGTCAACCGAGGGCCACTCTGCAGTAACAAACGAGGGTCAGCTCGAGTCAGCAGGCCAAACAGATGCCACACCAGGCCCACAACTACAGGATGGGCAGCAGAGCAGGACAGCGGGTGCTGGCTTACTCTTGGGCATCGGGGGAGGGAGCTGCAGAGCAGGGCGGCCAGTGGACGCAGGAGCGGGGGCAGCCGAGGTGGTAACAGGGGACACGGCGCTGCTTGTGGGGTTGGCATCGGCAGCAAACACCCTGAAGCCGTTCTTGTAGATCTGGCTGAGATCGATACCGATGCCGTAGGCAGTCTGGGTGGCGCCGAGGAGGCAGAGGATGGTGAGGGAACGCATTTTTGTTGATGAACCTGTGAACGGGGAGCAGCTAAAGACGGGGCTTGGGAAACAACGGATGAGGCGACTTGGGGCCCAAAGGACGATGGAGCGAACGAACGAGCGAGCGATGGTGGGAAAGGACCTGCGCCAAAGCCGTCGGCTTTATACGTGGTGGAGGCGCGTATGACCGTTGTCTGCGCCTGTCCGCGGCCGTGGACGGCGATTTGCTGTTTGTTGATGCCCAGAGGGTTTTATTGGATGGCAGGAGCACAAAGAGACAACGACACAGCCCCCCGAAGCCCGCAACGCGCCTGGGACAGTGGCGGCGTCGAGTTTGCGTCCCGCGGACACCCTTAAGATGGCCATCGCCGCACAAGGCGCCATCATCCGCCGGCCTCCGTTTGGAGCCCAGTCGCGGCAAGGTTTGTGTCCGCTTGTCCGCTGCACATCCTCAGTCATTCGACAAAGGGCCCGCCACCGAGTGGAGACAACGGCGGCCCTGTCTGTTCGGCTGGATGGGTAAACACAGCCCCACGCCGGCCTTGCCACGGGAACGAGGTACTCACAGCCAGCAGATCACAAGCCCCAGCGAAAGACCGAGCAGAAGAATCGACGACGCATGCCCAGGTTCGAGAAGCCGTGTCGGTGCATGGGAGGCCGATTTAGGAGCGAGCGCCAGTGCGGTTGGATACGTCGGCGGAGCCGCCGGGCTGCTGCCTGTTGTCGTTACGACCGGAGCGGCCTGTGTCGAAGCGAAATACGGCAGCCCCGCGGTGGTTGGGCTGCTGGTGCGGCCGGTGTTGGTGCCGCCTGGACTCCCTCCGGCCCCGGAGCGAAACCAAGGTTTGTTCACGCAGGTGCCAACGGGCTCAATGTCCAGCTTGATGCTTGCACGGTTGGCGTCGACATACTGAAGAATCCCGAGGATGACGCTGCTGGTGAACGGTGTGATGTCGTGGCTGAGCGACACAAAGCTGGCAGACGAGTTGGAGAACCAGGTTGAAGTGGCGCTGTTGATCAAACTCTGGCCGATCGCAGCACTGGTGGTGTCTTGGTCGGCCGCAAGATCGTCTTGACTCCAAATAGTGACGGTATATCCAAGAGCGTTTGCAATGGCACGCACTCGGTCGTCAATGTCGCCATAGGGAGGACGGAAAAAGTTCGGAACCTGTCCGGTGGCGTTGTAGATGGCTGCTTCGGCGTACTTGATCTCGGCAACGATCTGCTCGTTGGTGCAAGCTGTGAGCGGATGATGTGTCCAGGTGTGGACGCCGATCTGGTGGCCGTCGTTGTACTCGTCCAGGACAATCTGGGGGTTCTGGATGACGTTCGATCCAACCACAAAGAAGGTTCCCTTGATGTTCATCTTGTCGAGCTGGGCACGGATGGCGGCCGAGTCGTCGTGGGTGACGGGATCGACAGTGGGTCCGTCGTCAAAGGAGATTCCCCAGGTGCCGGGTTGAGGGCAGGTGTAGACATCGGCCTGATAGCCGTTTCCAGCGGCAGTGCGGACACAGAGGTTGTATGGCCAGTAGCAGTTGGCATTGACTGTGCGAGAGTGTCGGTGTGGTGGTGTCGGTGCGATGGAGCAATAGTGTGGGAATGGTGGTGTGAGCATCGCGGTGTGGCAACATCATGATCAAACACACTCGGGCACACTCGGGCAAAGTCAATCATGGTCGATCATGGCTGATACCAGTCAGAGCCGACATCGAGAGCGTGCCGGGAAGCCTGGCCGGCCATGGCCGACCCAGGCCCAGTCCGTTGCTGCCTGCTGGAAGCGATCAACCCACAGCCCACTCGCCACAGTCTCACTCCGTACCATCTGAGTTGTACTTCACTGTGGCTCCGCTGACGAAGGTTGACGGAGGGATGTTCAACAGCGAGGCTGGAACCACCGACTGAACATAGGCAAGGGCACTGACCGACCACAGCCAGGCCCGATCGCAATCGCAATCGCATCGATCACAGTCCGGTTAGCAACTCGAATCGGCCCGATGGAGAGAGAACCAAATGACGGAACAGGAGAACAGAGATGGGTGTGGGATACAGGGTGACGGCATGCAAGTCACCGCATCACTACCAGATCACATCATGTCATGTTTCCCACACCAGATCACCCGCACTCACACCACACCGCACCGCACCACACCGCACCGCACCACACCGCATTGGCACACTGCTGCGAGACAGCACAGCGACAGCGACTCACTCTTGCACAAGAGGATCGGTCAGCAGATTGCCGGTGATGAAGTTGGTCTGGTCGATCGAGGGCCACTCTGGTCGATTGGATGCAGATCGGATGCGATGAGACAACAGCGAGGTGGATCAGATGCGATGGTGAGACATCCCGAGGAACAGCGACATCTCCCGCACAACTCACGAGCAGGCATCGGAGGAGGAATCTGGAGGGTGGCACGCTTGGCCAAGCCATGGGAGTTGCTGGCTTGATGCGGGAGTCTTGTCGCCGTGGCAGCACCGAGGAGGGTGAGGACAGCGGGTGCCAGAAGGAGCATGGTTTCTTGAGGATCGAGTGGTTCACGAAGCGAGGATGCCTGGTTGGAGGTGCTGATGATGGGGCTCCTCGATGGGCGACTCCCGGTCCTTAAAGACCCCCTGTGCTGTCTGCCGGAATATTCTGCGCCATCTCCAGCGAAAAGTCGACTCGGTCGCTTCGACCATGCCAGCGGAAATATTTGCCTTGGTCTGGGTTCATGTCCAAACACACTACAAGCCCGGTGTCGCTCCAAAACCTTCTTGGGCCACCTTCCACCGCCGACAAACAGTCGACAAACAGTCGACAAACAGTCAACTGCATGCGACGGGCTCGCCTCGCTAGTGTCTGTCTGATGCCGACTGGCATGTCTGGCCTGGGCCACTATTCATCCGAATGCGTTCAGGGCCCTGCTGGGATGTCCCAATATGCCTCCCTCACCAGACGGATGTGCTTGACACTTGATAGCCTTGATCCGGCCAACCAGCGGTCGTTCATTGGCCATCTCAGTCGCGCAAGCTGGGGCACGATGTGAGCAGGGCTGACTGCGTTGCCGCTGTTGTTGCCGCTGTTGTTGCCGCTGTTGTTGCAACCGATGCAATCAGCTTCCGATGGTCGTTCGTTGGGTGCGGTGGCCTGGCCGGCATCTTTGCCAAACAAAACAATGAATGTCGTCAGCAGCGGTGATTGGGTACTCGCTTAACACTATGGCTGAGCCGCCCGCAACCTTGACTTTGCCAAGAAGGCCGTCTCTTCCAGTACCGCGCAAGCATCGATTCACATCTCCAAGGCCCAAGCTTGCTGCTTTTCGCTGCCGAGCATGTTCCGTCCGCCGCCGCCTCTGGCCGGCCCTGCGGGCTCGCTGCCCGACAGGATCGCCCAGGACGCTCAGGTTCTGGTTCAGATTTTTCAGGACATTTGCCGCATCCACGCGGGCCAGTCGGCGGGCTCGACACGGCTGGTGAACGTGGGAACGGCCTATCGGCATCCACACGCCGGCACCACCCTGGCGGAGCAATGGGCCACTATCCAAGAAGAGTGCTTTCAGCTCGAGGAGCAGATAGGCGGTTTCCAGACCGACATCAACCCTTTTGTCGAGACTCTCAGCGACATCATTGCCGACGTCGTCACGGGCTGCACCGACCTCCGGAGCCATGAGGTCAACTTCCCTTTCAACACCCTCAAAATCCTCACGGTTGTGCGAGTCTCGGTCACCAACTACCTCGACAAGGCGAGAAAGGTCGAGGCCATGTCCTCGGTCATGGAGGACGACGGCACCGTCACGATGGAGTCTATTTCGCGCATCTTGAGCGGGGTCCCGGTGCCCGACGACGACGACGACGACGGCGTCGACATCGATATGGATTCCGAGAGCCTTGTCGGCAGCGCCGCCGATCTCGACCAGCGGTGGCCGCAAAACGAGTGGTGGGAGCCCACAGACCCCGACGGGCCCGTGGTCGAGTCGCCCATACTGCAGAGTCCTGGGTCGGTGTTTCTCAGGAGCGTCAATCTTCCAGCTCCCCCAGAACAGCCAGTGAAGCCCCATCCACCGCTGGCGCAGGCCTCGCCAAAGTTCCTCGCCAGCGGCGTTGAGCTGGTTCCGATCAAGCAGTTCCAAGAACAGATGAAGCAAAAGGACAGCAAGGCCGCCCAGCTCGTGCAAGAGCACGTCCTCAAGTCCTCTGCCAGCGAGACCGAGTCCAAGTCGCACCATCTCCCGTGGTTCTGGGATAAGAAGGGCCACTCTGCCTCGGGGTCGGAAAAGTCTTCACCCAGGAGCATCCGGAGCAAAGACGAGCCCAAGCCCAGGGACAAAGTCGAAGGCTCCAGTAGTAAGCTCAAGGAGAAGCGCGAAAGTAGTAAAGGCTCCAAGGAAAAGCTCGACAACAGCAAGGGCTCCAAGGAAAAGCTCGACAGTAGCAGGGGATCCAAGGAGAAGCTCGACTCGGTCGACATGGCCCGGGCGCTGTTCTCGTCGTTCTATTCGCGCACTTCCAAGGTGGAGGACTCGGAGCAGGCACAGCGCAAGCTCTCCAAGAACCCGCCGGCCAAAGGGGAGGGAGAGCTGGGCAAGGCCAAGAGCATCGAGAGTCTACTTTCCGAATCCAAGGCTTCCTCGCCCACGCACAACATTAGCATCGAGGCACACTTTGAATCGACTCCGCATCTTGCTGCAGACTCGACGGACGTCGTTGGCTCCCACGGCAACCGGCTCGTTCCACCGTCGACACCTAGCCCGGTCACCCCGGACCCGACAAGGCACGAACACACCCATCACGACTTTCACGAACAGCTGCAGCATATCCAGCAACTCTTTCATCACGAGCTCAAGCAAAAGGTCGCTATGCCGCGGTCCGCAACAAATGTCACAGGTGACTTTGAGCGACTTTCACCGTCCAAGGTACGTTGGGTGCCTGCCGAGTCCACCGCCCATCGAGTGACTTTCCGGATCGCCCGCAGGCCTCCCTTGCTTATCCTTGCAATGATTTCCCAAGAAACCCAGCGGCATTTCGGAAATGACAGATCAGGCCCTCCCTAATTGCCAATTGCTTTTGGCTGTTTCGCAGGAGGCCCACAGCGAGACGTCGCTCAACTTGGATAGCAGCGCGGCGTCTCGAGCTGAAGACAACCGAGCTGTCGCCGATGGTCTCAGGCGCCAGGTCGGTTCTCCGCGCCGGTCGGCAGCGCCAGCGCCAGCGTCCAGCGGTCATTCAGTTGGAACCGAGCGGCCAAGCCAAGAGTCGATCGTTCCGGCTCAGATCAGCGATATGCCAGTGGTGCATGGGGTTGGATCGATGAGCAGTTTGTATCGTCTCGCCGGTCTGGAAACACCTCCGACGGATTCCCATTCCGACGCATCCAAGCACGATGTCGCAATGCGGTCACGACTGAATTCCGGCTCACAAAGCCAACAGGAGTCGCTGGGCAGAGACGATGTCCTCAACGAGTACGTTGCGTTGGCACATCACTTGCTTTCGCATATCGAGCCTGGCAAAGTCGAGACAAGTGGCGAGAGTCCACCCAAGGGCACGATCGCTCAGCACAAGGATGCGCCAGCCGAAACCAGCGGGCTCCGAAGTCCATTCAATCCCACTAGTGCAACCAAGCCAGCGGGCAAAGCATCATCCAATGTCTTACCGAATACCACCACCGAAGGCAACATCAAGCCCTCCAAGCTTCGGCAGCTACCTGATGAGCAAATACATTTGTACATGGCCAAGGAGCGGGAGGCCACATCAAACAAGGCCATCCGCTCAGTCGAGTCGCACGGACCGACGGAAGACCAAGACAAAAACACCAGCCCCAACGCCTCAGAGGCTCTCACATCTGACGGAGAGAATGTAGCAATCGGGCTTGGTGGGCAGTTATCGGTCAAGAATGCAGCCCAGATGTTTGAAATGAAGAGTGCCAAGATAAGCGCCACGATTCCTCGGCCGGTGACGCCAAAGCGACGGGCCGAGAGCCGAGAGCCATCCGAAGGCAGCACCAGTGCTAGTGCTAGTGCTCGTGCCAGAGACAAGGAAAGCCAGTCATCCGCTGGATTTAAAGCGCAGGGCATCATGAAGAGTGCATCGGCAGCAAGCCAAGGGATACACGGCGCCGATTCAAATGAAGATCAAAAGTCAACCGAGGACCTAGAGCAATCCCATGTGACTCGCAAAGCCCGCAGTGGCAGCGAAGGTATGTGCTGGCGAGTGTCTCGCTATGTAAATCGCAGCCAGTCGTGGGAGTATGGGGCTGGATCAGGGGGCTGGTTCGGGGGCTGGATCAGGGGCTGGATCGGCATCGGTATGTAGCCAACTCACTTTCGGCGTCGTGACGGCTGTATGCGTCCAATTGAACCAAAAGTCGCTGTGGCGCTTGGACCGATTACCGACATAGCTGAAATCAAAAATCAGGCCAAATCAGCTTTGAAGGAGACCGTCGTGCTACTACCGAACCAAGAGATCCCTTCGAAACCTGCCGATGCAAGACTAGCCGACGTCCGTATTGAGTCAGGCACTCTGGAGTTTGGAATCCGGTCCACGGTAGCGACGCTTGGAGATGTGTCTAGCAACGCAAAGGACGACCCAGGTGTTGGCACGAGTGACCGGTCGGAGCAACAGCAGCTCTCTCTGAAACAAATCCCGGGAGCTCGACCAGGCAATGAAGCATCGCACCCACCCGGCGTCGAAACAGTAGGCCTCGGAGCCGCGATAAAGCCCAGAGATTTCTTCATGCCTGATCGCGGGGATGCATCTGCGGGTATATACATGTCCGAGCGCAACCAGGGCGACAAAGACAGCGACTCCGAGTCCCCTGACGAACCCAACTCGGCAACACTTCCACACCGCCACGCCCACGAATCTTCGATTGCGAGCACAATAATGAGACCCAACCCGTTCACCAGCAAGGTTACCAACGACCCCATTGGAAAGCTGCACTCCAGCTCCTCGCTCTTGTCGATCTTCAGCTCGAACGACGACCTGGTCGCAGATTCCCCGCAGATCATCCTGCTGCCCCTCAACAACACATTTGAGCTCTGCCATCTGGTTCTTACGACTTGCTTCACCCTCGGCCGACACAACGCCAACAACTCGCAATACTTCAAAGTGTTCAAGTCGCAGGTCGTGTCCCGGGTCCATTTGCAGATCTGGGAAAAGGACGGAAGGGTAAAGTCGAGTTTCTGTCGAACCCTTGCCTGCGGCGCTCTCATGTATGGTTGGCTGGGGGAGGGCATATGCGGGCGAGTGTTGACTATTCAAACCACACATGTGCAGGCGTGTAGGAGTGCCTGGATCCTGACAGAGCTGTGTATCTTTTATCGCAATCACGATGCGCGGAATCAACTCTCCCAATCGCCCTATCTGGACAACAACCCGCTCGCAACGAACCGCCAACGTGCACCGAAACAACCGATCCCGGATAATACATCGCGAAACACAACCAACCGGACATCGCATCGGAAACACAACTTCCTCACTCTATCTCCCCGGTAAAAACAACCAAACAAAACCCAAATACGGGGGGCATTGGCGTGTGCTGTTGATATGATATCTGCAATATCGATAGGTCTTTATTCGCGACATGGGCAGCAACGCCGGCACTTTCCACAACGGAACTCGCATCAGCGATGTCGGCCAAAAGAGCGGCGACGTTGAGATCAAGTCCGGCGACTACATCCAACTCGGCAAGGACTACTGCAAAGAGTGGGACACCAGCAAGGGCGTGCCATTTATCGAGCGTAAGTGCAGATTGCCCCTCCCCGGCTGATCGCGCTGCTCAAAGGGCGACGGATGGGCGCATCATTGAAGCAGATCGAGATGGATGCGATAGAAACTGCTAGAAGCCACAGTTTTAGGCAGCACCGCGAATATGGAACTGACCAAGGCTGCTTGTATGGTGGGTTTCTTTGCGACACAGCCAGACACCAGTGCATCAAGATGCAGGTGATTATTGTTCCGAACCGCCGACAGATGGAGGCGCTGGAACTCCTCCGGTCCAAGGCAGAGGAGAATAAGCTGTAAGTCCCATCGAAGCGAGGCCGGTTTATTCGTGAATATGTGACTGATGCGACTCATCCTGGATGGTACACACACAGCGAGGACTCTGGGTTAGCTGCGACGTAAGTGAAGCGGTCCTTGCGATTGTTGAGTCCGTGTTGGTCCAAGGCACCTGTGAACGATCTAGCAAGCCATTCGACCCGAGCATGCTCTGTTCCGTTGATTGACGGCATCGTTGTTTCGGGCTGCAGTGCTCTCCTCAAACGACTCGCCAACGAAACCAAGAAAAAGGAAGAGGAAATGCGCAAGCGCGCCGCAAGCAACGAATCGACTCTTCAGGGCTCGCCAGCAAAGTCCGAGGCTGCATCAGAGCCCCCGCGACCGGTGACCCGCAAGCATGTGTCGTTCATGAAGGTCACGCAGAAGCAGCAGTTTGTCATCGGCGTCATCTCGTCTGGTACGAGCGGCAAGGTTAAGAAAGTCCAGATATCGACACGGACAGGTGCTTCAGCGGTTGTGGTGAACCTGAAAAAGTGGGAGACAAAGAGGTAGGCGCCGAGTAGAAGCTGCCGGTGTCGATAGAGGACTTGCAAGTGCGGACGAGCGAGGGGAGGAGGCAGAAGCAACAGGGCCCAGGGCACGACGGCATCATCGCTGACTCGTTTCCCGGCGGAAAGGCTCTTGACCATCCGCGACACCCGACCCCAATTCTCGGCCACCGAATACCTCGAGCTCTATAACAGCGACTTTGACATCAACAACCCGAAAACACACAGCCTCTATCCCGCAAGGTACGTCATCCAAACCGCGGGCGTGACGATCGCCCACCTCGAATACGTGAACCAACTCAAGATCCAGATCAGCCCGAACTACCCGGGGGCACCCATCTACTGCTGCACAGGCGACTTTTCGCTCGGCAAGTACATCATCATCATCAAACACCCAAACTCGCGCGAACAGCGCTTCTTTGGGGAGTGTGGCGGTCGACACTTGCTCAAGAAGAGCATGATGGACTCCAAGGTCACCTACTACCTCGAGACCGAAGACTGTGAGAATTCGCAGTTGGTGCTCTCGGCGGTGTGCTTCATTGCCGCAGTGACCTCGTCCTTCAACTGAAGGAGGCTGCGTTGGCTTCGAGGAGGTCATCGCTGTCTGGGCAGTCCGCGAGATGTGCTATGACCGGATGGATTGCAGCCAGCCAATCAGCCAATCAACCAGCCAATCAGCCAATCAACCAGCCAATCAGCCAATCAACCGACCAATCACCCAATCGAAGTGCTTCGATATCATACCCTCCGCTTGGAGCCTGTCGCCCTGTCCGCCCTACCGACAGGGAGGAAAGACCAAGGAACACAAGGCATTGCTCCGTACCAATAAAAATCGGTTCTTCCTCTTTCATTTGTACATCAAATCATATCAAAATCACATCCTGGGTCTAGTGGCCCTGCTGGATCCGGCGACAAACATCACTGGTTCTGGAGCCAAGCTGCGTGTATATGTGTGTACAAAAACCACAACACGCTGGAAGAAGAAAAAGAAAGGGGGGGGGAAGTCAAAAGGTAGAAGGGGAGGGTGGGCAGCGGGCGAGAAGAGGAATACGGAAAGGGAGCGGAGGGGAGCGGGCACTCGGCACTGCAGAGATTCCAGCAACAAACAACAATAAGAAATTAGTCGTGTAGAAGGGGCGGAAAGGCAACGAGGGAATGGCAAGGTAAGAAGAAAACGAGGGTCACGAATCGGGGAAAAGGGCGAGCTGGCACTGAATAGTAATCTTGATAAATAATAGTACAGGATGAGATCATATGAGCTACGGAGAGACAGGCGTGAACTCAGACGACGCATACTCTAGGAGGAAAGGCGATCAAGCAAACGGAAGGGAGACGCGGGAGGTGAACGGAGTGAGGGACAGTGAGATGTTGCATCGAGTCAACACGGAGGCGAGACGAGACGAGACTTGGTCGTCGATCCTCGGGACTGACAGCGTCGACAAAATGCAGCGTAGAAGGAGTGGGGACAGAAAGTACATGGAGAGGCGGGGCCGAGGCCACCGAGCCGAGGGTGGAAAGTGGAATCAAACGGCAAAAGTGACAGGGACGACAGCAGGAGCCACATCCATCACCCTTGGGAGGGAAGCATGGGGATGGGCATGACAGCGACGGCGCAGAATCGTGGACTAGTTGTCAGCACCAATGACGATGACTCCGGGGGCGGCGTTTCGCGTCATTGCACGCTGCTGTTGCTGTTGCTGCTGCTGTTGCTGCTGCAAAATCGACGGATGGGGCATCGGTGGCTGAGCGGCGGCCGCGGCATGCAGCTCCTCCTTGGACTCTTTCTTCTTGCGAGTGAGGGTCCAAAAGCTGTTTCCAGAGTTGGGGGCGCCGACTGCGTCGGAGGTGCTGTTGCTTTTCAGGAAGTTCGGGATGATGGCGTGGCCTCGAGACAACGAACGCTTCAGGCTCGGGACGCTGATGGGGTTGCGCGTGGCCCGGTCGACGGAGGTGGAGCGCTTCAGAGAAGGGGCGCTGGTGGCATGGCTGAATCGCTCCAGCGCGTGCTGGGTGTTGTGCTGGTGCGAAAGCGCCGACATACTCGAAGGCAGGACGACGGCGTTGTTGGGTGGGGCTGGGAAATTGGTACCCTGTGGAGTCGTCGCCGAGACGGGCGTGGAGCTAGTGGGCGACGGCAGCGGCGGTGGAGGTGGCTGCGAGGCAGGGTTGCGGGGTCGGGTCGAGGACATGGACATTCGGTAGGACTTGAACGCAGGGCGCAGCTCGGGGAGCTTCTCAGAGAGTTCCTTCTTGAAGGTTTGGATGGTGCGCAAGAAGGAGGTGTATTCGGACTTGGAGACGTTGATGTCCCAGTTGAGATCCTTGAGGATGACCATCTCGGCGCTGTTGATCTCCTCGAGCGAGCGACTGATGACCTTGGCCCACGTGCGATTGGTATATCGGTTGTCGTCGAGGAACTTTTGCGACAGGATCAGACAGTTGGTCAAGATCTCGTACTCTGTGGCCGTCTGCGACGGCTCCTTGAGACGGAAGAGATAGAGCAGCGAGAGGACGCTGATGGGAAAGGAGACCTGGGTGATCTTGAGAACGGATCGGATGGACTCCTGGGTCATCATGTAATGCTGAGGCAGGGACTGCTCGTTGGCGATGACAGCGTTGGGGTGGAGACGACGATAGGTCATGTACACCATCAGCTCGGGCAGATCGGGGGTGATTTCAGGAGCAGGAGCCGCGGGAGGCGGGGCCGTGGGAGTCGTGGGTCTCGATGACACGGGCGAGGGAGGGGCAGCAACAGGGCGACTGAGCGTGGCCTGGGCGACGGCGGCGGCATGCTCGGGCGAGGAGACGAGAGCGGGAGTCTTTGATCGAGCCAGAGTATGCAAAGGAGTGGTGGGCCGGGTGGGCATGGGGGCAGTCGGGGTGGTGCCAAAGGCGGCATGGCTGGTCTTGACGGATCCAGGCGTGACCACCGCCGGGGTGGTGGCCGAGAGGTATGTGGTCGGATGGGGAGTGGGAAGAGTGAGCGGGGGCAGGTTGAGCGTGGGGGCGCTGGTCAGGGCAGGAGTGAACTTGTTATGGAGAGTTGTCGAGGCAGCCTCTTTGATGCGGGTGGAGGCCGTGGGGGTGGTCGCCATGGTGCTGGAGGAATCCTTTGGCCGGAGTGGGAGGGAGTTTGTCGGGGTGGTTGCTGGTGAGAGCGGGAATGGTGATGAATTACGAAGGAGTGGGTGTGAGTGGAGGTGGATATCGAGCGTGCAGAGTAAGAATCGGATGCCGGAATGCACCGAGGTAACACTACAGAAGAAGGCCCGAGGGGGGCAGAGGGATTGCCCAACTTTGATCGCGATGCAATAACGTCCCTAGACATCCAACAACCACAAATCTAACAACCACAAATCTAACAACCACAAATCTAACAACCACAAATCCAACAACCACGACAACCAGCGATTCCGACTGTCTCAACATCGAGCCGCCACTGTATCCAGGAGGCTGCCTACCTTCCGTGGAGAAAGTCGTGATTTGCAGGTCGGAAAGAGAAAGACTGGCAATGGGTATTCCAATAGGTTTCGATGAGGTCGGCGAGGCTGTCTTTTTGGAGCCAGCGTTAGAGCTGAGGGGTGGAACGATGGCAATCGAGAGGACGCCTTCTTTGGCCAGGCAGTCCAGCGACGACGACCGGGACTGGGGAATGACCGAGAGAGTTCGTTTGGGAATCCCCGAGCTCGAAGGCGGCTGCCGTTGCATCGTGGAGGTCGAGGGAGGAGCGCCTTCTCCAGGAAGGGCCTCGTAGGAAGGTCGGCTGGGAGTACTCATGAGGCTTGTGATATCACACGCAGGGAATATGCAGATCAGGAGGCGGAGGACGAGGTAGCCTGCAGGTAGAGGAACAAGCGTCGCGGGGCCGATCGAGAGTCAGCGGCAGGCAATAGCGTCCAGCCACGGCGGGTGGGCCAAGGAGGGAGGGGAACTCGCAGGGAGGATGCCGAGCCGAGGCGCGAGTAACTTGGAATGCAACTGGGGCTCCAGGAAGGGGCGTTGCTTATAATGGGACGGCGACGAAAGGCCGAAGCGAAGACGAAGGAGAGGCGAGATGAAAAGAAAAGAGCAACGGACGACCGGAGCAGAGGCAGCACCCAGAGAGGCAACACCCAGGGACAGAGGGCAAATACAGGAAATAGTCGCAGGAACACGAGATGGACGACAAACGCAGGACACACGATGGAGCACAGACCTGCAGGAACAGGGCAGAAAACAGACCGAGCCAGCCAGCCAGCCAGTGAGCAGGACACAATCGCCACCAGTCTTATTCTCGACGGCGATTCGACGGCGTCAGTCCTGGTCGGTCCGGGCCCGTCCCGGCGATCGGCGCCCAACAAGCGCTTCTGCAGAAGCGCCTTCAGCCGCCCTGCGCGTTCCTCCCCCGTCGCGGTTGCCCGTGCAACGAAAAAGGAAGGCGTTGCACGCACGACGCCGCCGACGCGTCGGCCGCGCACAAGCACCCTTACAGACACAGCAGCTGGCAGCACTCTGGCGCGGCGCAGCCAGCTGCCATTTCGGGCGCTTCCAGGCGTGAGTGCGCGTCCAGAGGAGGCACAGACGCGGCTGCGCGGCGCCCGGCTGTGTGCTCATCGCAGTGCCGTGTGTCGCCGTGATCGGCTGTGTTCTGTGCCACGAGAGCCGCCCATGGAGTGGGCGCACGAGTGTATGCCTGTGAGCGGATGCGCGTGCCTGCGGGGTGGGGGCGCCGCCGATAGCGATGCTGCGCAGATGTTGCGTTGGTGCTAAGTGTCGTTGGATTGATGCTGAGTGTCGTTGGATTGATGCTGAGTGTCGATGCGCTGCTTGGCGTCATTGCCCGTGAGGACTGCGCGATCCTGTCGGCACCGGTTCCATCCGTGCGAATGATGCTGCTCGCGATGCAGAGTGCCTCTGCTGCTTCGCGGATAGTGCCCGCATTCAGCAGTCGCAATCAACCACGGGCGACACCAGCACACGCTCCCATCCAACAGTCGCGCTGGTTGATCCGGTCGTGCGGGCCCACCCTGCACCAGCATCCGTCGCCCATCTCGGCCAATCTGTGCCGTTGGACAGATGCCAGGAGCATCACAACCCACACATGCTGCTGGCGAACAGCATCCGCCGCCACAGACACCGGTCCCACCCGGTTTTGGGCTTGCAGTTTGGCTCGCCCGTCGCACCGTCGCGTCTGGTGACATGGTTGTGTGCCCTGCAGTTCCACCCACACATGCTGCTGTTTGGTGGCGAGGCAACACCCCACAGCAGTCCCATTCTGCTGGCTGCACAGCCCCATGCGGCGCTGTATAATGTCTTTGCTGACAGAGCAGCACATTGCCTCCACACAACAGTGGCCGTGGCGCGCGCCTGTACAACGGCTTCGTCTTGTCCCACTCGGCACCCCAGCGCGTCCGCCCCGTCGGTCTTGGTTTGCCCTGCCCGTCGCCCCCGGCTGCGGGTCCTCTTCGTCCTGCATCTGCCGCCCCTGCATCTGCTGCCCCAGCTATTCATTCGCCATGGCGCCCAAGACTGCCCTCGCCGTTGCACTCGTGATGCTGCTCGATGCCCATGCTGCCTCGCTCGTCGCCGCCGCCAGCTTCACCAAGGTCGCCGAGTTCTCCGGCCTCACCTTCTTCGACAACTTCAGCTTCATGACCGCCAAGGATCCAACCCCAAACACCACCAACCAGTATATCTCGCGCGCCAACGCTACCAAGGCGAACTTGATCTACTTCAACCAGGGCGCTGGCAGTGCCTTCATGGCCGTCGACTCTTCCACCGTCGTCCCCAGCGGCGGCAAGCGCAGCTCGGTTCGCATTCAGTCCAACAAAGTTTACAACTCTGGAACCTTGCTCGTCGCCGACATTGGCCACGCCCCGACGGGCTGCGGAACCTGGCCCGCCATGTGGTTCAAGGGTCTCAACCAGGGCGAGCTGGACTTTATGGAAGGCGTCAACACCATGAGCTACAACAACATGGTCATCCACACCTCCTCGGGTAGGTTGCTGACTTGCACGGAGAAGCACAGTCCGGCGTGGGTCCGATAGGCAGCCGGGGTGGGTCCATCCAACCCAGACGGTGCTATTTCACTCACCCATCCACATAACGCTCACATTATCAACACATCATGTCACTCGCCTCCCCATACCACCACCCAAGGATGCTACGGAGAGCCCGACAGATCGAGCCAGCTCGGCCAGGCGCTCTCTCAGACCTGTGGCATCAACGACCCGCCCGTTCCCAGCCCCGCGCTCTCCAACGGCTGTGCAACCAAAGTGAACGATTCCTCGACCTTTGGTCCTCAGTTCAACGCCGTCGGCGGCGGCGCCTACACCATCAACTGGGACACCAACGGCTTTGCCATCCACTTCTTCAGCCGCCCCAACATTCCCGCTGACATTCTGTCCGAGAACCCCAACCCCGATACCTGGGGCCTTCCCCTGATGCGCTTTGACTTTGGCTGCTGTCCCTCGAACCACTTCCAAGACCTGCGCCTGATCATCAACACCGCGCTCTGTGGCAAGTGGCCCATCAGCAACTGGGGCGACTCAGGATGCCCTTCCGACTTGACCTGTGAGCAGTATGTCCTCTCCACGCCAGGGGGTTTTAACGATGCCTACTGGGCCATTCATTCCATCAAGGAATACAAGAACAATGGTAAGTAGAGTGGCCGGAGACAGCGACTCACAATCATCCAATACAAGATATGACGAGAGCGAGGGAGAGGGAAGGAAGCAGTGTCTATGGACTTTCGGGTGGACACTTCATGGTCCAGAACCAAGTGCATCGTCTGACTCAGCCCTTTCCTGAACCCAGCCCCCGCCGATCCGTTCACAAACTCTTCGATCACCTGCCCGCCCGGCGTCTTGGCTGCTTCGGCCAGTCCCCTTTCAGCTCCCACGGCCGTCCCGACAAAGAAGTCTTCCTCGGGAGCCCTGAGGACCAGCGTGACGAGTGCCACCCTTGGGCTGGGTACACTCTTGGGTGCACTGGCCATGGTCTTCATTTAGGAATGAGCATCCAGACAAGCTCAGAAGCGCAAACTTACCGCAACGAACATTATATCGCTAGTGAAAGGAATCTATATTGAAGAGTATCCTCTATGGTTTTATAAAAACTGGAACCCAGCCAACTCCGCCATAATCTCGGTCAATGACTCTATGTGAAAGCTGCCTGGATTGTTTGATTGAATAGAAGTGCCCGAAGGGCAAGTTAGTTTTGATGTCTGTACTCTAGGTTATTGACAGAGATCCCTGGGGCTGTCAGATGTACATGCAACGAATGGATGACTCGGTGGTGAGGTGGCTGAAGACTCATAGATCGATGTGACTCAATTCGGGACGGTGGGACCCGATCCCGCCCCACCACCGAGCCGCTTCTTGATGCGCGGAGCACGCTTGATTGGGTGATAGCATCCTGGAGCGAGAGCAAGCCGGTGAGAGAGTGGGAGTGGGAGTAGGAGTGGGAGTGGGAGTGGGAGTGAGAGTGGGAGTGGATGTGAGAGTGGGAGTGGGAGAGCGATTCCGTGGAGAGAGTCGTGACCATGAATGTGGATGTGTTCATGGATACCCATGGGGCCCGTCGCGGATGCATGTCACATCATCGACCGTCCGTCACTGGATCGGTCTGCCTCGTCATGGCCGCTGCCATCGCAGCTCGCTCTGCAACACCACAACCACCACAACCACCACAACCACCACAACCACCACAACCACCACAACCACCACACGCACGCACCGAGATAGGAGGCATAGCTGCTGGTGCGCTCGTGCTTGACAGGTCCGTCGTTGTAAACCAGATCAAAGCCGCCAACACGGGTCCTGAGCTTCTTGTCATTGGTGTATCTGTGGTGCGGATGGTGCGGATGGTGCGGATGGTGCGGATGGTGCGGATGGTGCGGGATGATCAGTCGTGGTGGTGCGGGATGATCAGCCGTGGTGGTGGTGGCGGTGGGAACCGCACTCGGCCCCAGCTCATCATGCCTCTGCCTGGCCCAGCCGCCACCGCTGCTCGACATTGGCGGCTGGGTCAACAGACACCTCCGGCACAGGCGCCATGTGCCGCCTGTCGTCGCTGACCTTTTCTCAAAGTCAATGACATCAAAGGCGTCGTTGAGCATTGCATACTTGAGGTCGTAGTCGAACTGGGTCTCGGCCGTGAGCGACGGCGACGCATTCACCTCGAGCAGCCATCTGCAGAGGGTGGGAGGATGTGCGTTGCACAGGCGAGTGGGTTGAGGCGGACATGGTATCGGCGGATGGTGTCGATGGCGTTGGTGATGTTAGTGATAGTGTCGGTGATGTCGGTATGTTAGTGATGGTGTCGGTATGTTAGTGATCGTGTCGGTGATGGATGATGGTCAGCAGGTGGTCGGCGAGTGGCGGGTCCGTGCGTGCAGTCAAAGTCGACCCAGGATCAGGCCCAACACATACGGTCTGAGGGCGTCGTCGATGAGGATGTCATATCCGTATCTGTGGATGCGGTGGGTGATGCGTGGTGAGCGGTGAGCGGATGTTGGGTTGGAGACAGATGGGGTGGTGTTGCGCGTGGTGATGGGATGGTGCAGGTGGTGGTGCAGGTGGTGGTGCAGGTGGTGGTGCAGGTGGTGGTGCAGGTGGTGGTGCAGGTGGTGGTGCAGGTGGTGATGGAATGGTGCAGGTTGCAGTTGGTGGTGATCATCACACCGACATCCACATCTGCGCCAATTTCCAGACGATCTTCAAGCAGCCCAGTCAGTCCTCATGCCCGCACCACCACCACCACCACAGCCACCAGCACCACCACAACCACCACAACCACCAGCACCAGCACCGCCGGCCGCTACTCACAGCTCAAAGCAGTGCTTGTCGTTGATCATGACCTTCTGGACACTCATCAGACTGCGCACAATCAGCGCCTCCATCTCGGTGAAGAGCTCGTTGATGGCGGCGGTGCCGTGCTTGCTGGTGAGATAGGTCTTGAGGTTGCGCAGGAGCCACTTGCAACCCTTGTCGCCATCGTAGTGCGGCGAGGTCTTTTGGATGGCGACGTTTGTGGCGTGGATGTCTGGGGTGAGAGTGTGAGAGTGTGGGAGTGTGAGAGTGTGAGAGTGTGAGAGTGTGAGAGTGTGAGAGTGTGAGAGTGTGAGAGTGTGAGAGTGTGAGAGTGTGAGAGTGTGAGAGTGTGAGAGTGTGAGAGTGTGAGAGTGGAGTGATGGAGGCGAGTCAATCGTGGGCGACATTGTGCAAGCTGTTGCACACAAAAGCCATGAAACAGATCGAGACGGACGACACACATCGAGATATACAGCACACATCAACACACGCCATGCATCAGGTCACAGCCGGGCAGCCGAGCAGCCCAGAGTCAGAGCCACAGCGCCACTCACAGAGGTTCGAAATGTCCTTTGAGTTCATCGAGAACTGGTAGTTGGAGAAGCGACAAAAGCCGTTGCGGTGGATGTACACCACCAAGGGATAGTACGATGTCACCAGCACATACACTCGGATGTCAAACTTTTTCCCTGTGGACAGCGACGCCTCAGTCAGTCGAGCACGACCGCCGTGCAGTGGTCGATTCGGATGGACCGGGCCATCCGACGACAAATGAGTAGCAGCAGCAGGAGTATCAACACCACATCAACACCACAATACCCCACAACATCAGCACCAGCACCACCAGCACCAGCACCACCAGCACCAGCACCACCCCTCGGCCTCACCTCCGATCAGATACGGGTTCTCAATGTACTTCTGCACAATGTAAGCCTCGGGTGCATCGCCGTCCGATCCACCCCGCACCCTCGGGTCCTTGCGCCACTGGCTGATCTGCGACATCTTGTTGATGAGGAAGATTCCCTTGCCCTGTGCCTTGCCGACGGGTTTCATGATCCACACCGATCCGGGGTTGCGCTTGAACTCTTCCTGGAACAGGGCGTGCTCCTGGGGAAGCACATAGGACGTGGTGATGAACTCGAACTTTGCAGCCTCGGTCTTTCCGTACTCTTTCTCCATGGTCTTGATCATCCGCTTGACGTTTTTGACCAGGAGGTCCTTCCGGGTGAGCTGAGGCGAGGTGGTCAGCGAGGCGGGTAGTCAGCGAGGCGGGTGGTCAGTGGACGATGGAGACACAGTCGACTGTGGGCGGCCAGTGTGGACCAACATGTGGTGGTTGTCGACGGCTTGCCAGAGTGGTGAGACTGGATGGATTGGATCATGGCTCCCACAACTGATCACTCACTCAGACACTCCCACACTCACCTCCGCTCACACTCACACTCACACTCACACTCACTCACCTCGTAGTGGTTGCGGTAGTGGTTGATCTTCTGGTGCTCTTGCAGATACACATGGTCAAAGGTCTCGTGTACCCAGTGCACATCTGCCCAGAAAAAGTCCCAGTCCATCTCAGAGTCGCCTTCGCGCCACGACCGATCCCGCATCACATCGTACACTGTGTTGCGGAGCGACGTCCGGAACTTGATCTGGATGGCTGCCGCTGGTGTGGCCGAGGCCGGGGCCGTCCCCGTGGCCGTGGGGGGAGGCACCGGTGTCGCTGCAGGGCCGCCTGTGGTCGGCACACCGTTGGTGGATGCAGCACCCATTGTCGCTGTCGCCGTCGTTGCTAATGTCGTTGCCAATGTCGAGCCGGTGATCGATGCCTGGCCGTTGGGCGATGGTGTCCCGTTGGTGGATGCCTCGCCTGCAACAGACGGCGGGTCGGCGACAGAGAGTGATGTCCGCATTGTCGTCCCGGCCACAGACGACGAGGTGGGAGGGACTGGTCCGGAGCGAGTGACTGGTCGAGGCGATCCGGCCATGGACGAAGGCGACCCAGTGCTTGACGACAACGATGACAGCGATGACAGCGATGACGGAAGCAGCGACAGCGGCAGCAGCGACGACGAGATCAGCGATGACGACAAGAGTGTCGACGGACCCTCCAGCAACAGCGACGACGATGGCGAGCCGAGACTGAGACTCGAGAGCGACATGAGGTTGGGCTGGTGCGGGTCACTGGCAGCGGCGAGGGGAGTTGTGGTGAGGGGAGTTGTGATGGGGGGAGTTGTGATGGGGAGAGTTGTGATGGGGAGAGTTGTGATGGGGAGAGTTGTGATGGGGAGAGTTGTGATGAGGGAAGCAACCACAGCTGGAGAGGAAATGGAGGCTGCTGCTTCGGCGAAGGTGGATGCCGTGGGAAGTGACACCGATGAGTTGGTGTTGGTGTTGGTGTTGGTGTTGGTGTTGGTGTTGGTGTTGGTGTTGGTGTTGGTGTTGGTGTTGGTGTTGGTGTTGGTGTTGGTGTTGGTGTTGGTGTTGGTGTTGGTGTTGGTGTTGGTGTTGGGAGTGATCCTGGTGGAGATTGCGCTGTCTGCTCCTGCACTGTCTGCTCCTGCACTGTCTGCTCCTGCACTGTCTGCTCCTGCACTGTCTGCTCCTGCGGTGCCTTGGGTGGCATTCTCGCCTCCATCCTCGATGGTCGTTGGATTCACTGGCGATCCAGCCACCGAGATCGGGGACGAGGCTGTCCTGATGCCAACCACAGACGACGGAATCAGAGGCGGAATCGGCTTTGCCGACATGGTGGCGGCCGGGGTCGGGCGACCGAAGGGCCTGGCCGAAGGAGGCGACTGAGACAGCGACTGGGACAGCGACTGAGACAGCGACTGGGAGCGGGAGTGCGAGCGAGACAGGGACCGGGACTGCGACAGCGAGCGGGAGTGTGGACGGGAGAGCGATGGGAGGATGGGAGGATGTGGCTGGAAAGCCGGAAGCATTGGGATGGACGGAGCTGGCTGCTGTGGTGGCTGTGACGGTCTCGGAGAGGGCTTGGATCCAGACTCGATACTGATGGCGTTTGGTGGGAATCGGCATGGATCGGAATCGCGGCAGCAATGTCGAGGACCGAGAGATCAGCATTGAGCATCGACCATCGACCATCGACCATCGACCATCGACCATCGACCATCGACCATCGACCATCGACCATCGACCATCGACCATCGAGAGCCATGAGGGCGAGCCATATTCCGTGGTGCACATCGCATCACTCCATCGTATCGCCCACGTCCCATCACTCCAACCCCACCAGTCCTGCCCCATCATCCACATCCCATCACTCATGCTCACTTGCTCGAGCCCGACGCGGCGGCGGATGAGTTGCTCGTGCTGCTTGCATTGTTCGTGTTGTTCGTGTTGTTCATGTTGCTCATATTTCCCGCGTTGTTGGCTTGTCTGGTGTGGGCGATGCTGAGGGATACTTGCTGGTTGGTGGTGCTGGCTGTTGGCCCGGTGCTGGTGGCCTGCTCGGTTGGTGGCTGCGACGCGCGGATATCCAGGTGAGATCTCCCAGTGGGTTCCAAGTGGGTTCCAAGTGGGTTCCAAGTGGGTTCCAAGTGGGTTCCAAGTGGATGGGCCACGATGCGGCAACTCGGCCTGACAGCGTGCAAGAGGCCAAGTGAGATCGGCAATGTCGATGAGGCGGAAGTCGACGAGGCTGGTGGATGCGGATGCTGTCGATGGCCATCCAATCACACCGACCGAGCGACGGCGATTTGGCTCATGTGCTGTGCAGTGGAATCGCCCACTCGCCCGTCCATCGCCTTGCCCACTGCCTTGCCCACCGCCTTGCCCACCGCCTTTCGCACTGCCTTGCACACCACCCCGTCCATCGACATGGCCATCGACTTCATGGACATGGCCTTGGATCCTGTTCTGTGGCTGTGCCGTCACGTGGCGTGGCAGCGGACCAGCCAGATCAAATCGCCATCAATGTCCCAGATCCGCCTGCTCGATTGATCTGCCTGCTTGACCGATCTGCCTGCTCGATCGATCTGCTTGGCCCGGTTGGTTTCCGAGTGTCCAGCGAGTCTCCGAGTGCCCGGTTCGTCTCCAAGTCTTCAATTCCCTCAGTTGGCCGCCGAGTCGAGCTGCATTGGCATTGCGCCTGTCTGGGCTCATCGACACCAACCCACCATCAATCCAACACCCACCACAATCCAACACCCACCACAATCCAACACCCACCACAATCCAACACCCACCACAATCCAACACCCACCACAATCCAACACCCACCACAATCCAACACCCACCACAATCCAACACAATCCAACACCCACCACAATCCAACACCCACCACAATCCAACACCCACCACAATCCAACACCCACCACAATCCAACACCCACCACAATCCAACACCCACCACAATCCAACACCCATCACAATCCACCACAATCCACCAGCACCATGCTGCCGCCCTGTCTGATCCGGGCCGCGGGCCGCCCATCCACAATCCTCCGTCGCCAGGCACCCACGATCTTCAGGGCCCTTCCTGCGTCCCAGATGCTCTCCACTCGCATGGTTGCTGCCGACCCCGCAGACACACTCATGCCTCCCTCCTCGTGGCCGCCAGCGATTCCACGGCGATGGATGTCCTCTGGCCGACCAGGCTCCCGCAACAACGATCGTGGTCCAAGCAATGACCGCAACAGCGACCGCCGCAACAGCGACCACCCCAGCAACGACCGCGATCGCAGCTTCCGATCCTCACGCTCTCCATCGGCATCTGGTCCCAGCACCCGCCCCACATCCCGCTTCGGCTCCAGCTCCAGACCCAGCTCTGGTGAAAAGAACACCAAACAGAGCCATGGGACTCACTCGACACAGCGACCGTGGTCCAAGGAGCCAAGAACAGCCGAGACACACTCGAAGCACTCGCCAAAGACCCTCTCGCCGTCTCTCTCGAGACCATCAGTGCAAGCGTCGCAAGCGTTGCAGACACCGCTCGATCCGCATCAGGCCGGCCGGCCAGCAGGGCGACTCGAGTGGCACTCGGACCCAAAGAACCTCGGTACCCGGCTGAAGGCACTGATCCGGTCGGGCCAGATCGACGAAGCCTGGGACCTGATCGATCGACACACGGGGGCGACCAACGACGTTGTGTTTGCCGAGGCGATCCAGGCGTTCAAGGACCACGGCCACTACGGAGATGCGATCGAGGCCTTCAAGCTGGTGAGTCTTGTGTGGCGGCAGAGTCGAGCGAGGATGATCCAGCATGATGATCCAGGGCGGGAACGGCGTGAGCTGTGAGGCATTTCTCGGCATCGATTGGAATGTCTCGGCATCGATCGGCATCGGTCGACGACAGCGCTGCACACCCCAACTCAGGCAAACGGATCTCGACGTTGTTGGTCATGCGGGCTCGCTGGCAGTGGTCTGGCTCATGGATGCAGGTTCATGGTCGGCGGTGGGCGAGAGGATATGGCCCCGTCCTGGCTGGCGCTGACATTGTCTCGGCTCGCATTCTCTCTCGGATCCTTCCTCCTATTTCGTCGACGTCTATCGCCTCCATCGACTTCATGCAGTATTACAAACGCAAGTCGCGTGCCTCCCCAGAGCTCATCACGTTGGGCTTGGAGTCCATTGTGCTCTACTGCCAGTCAAGCGATACCTTCGGAAAGGAGCGGAATGACCTTGTCGGCTTGGCCAACTCTATGTGGAACCGACTTGTCCCGCGAACCGTCGTCCAGGCAAATCTGTTTCTCGATCTCTGCCGCTCTTGCGTCTATGAAAGCGGATGGAGCCGTGGACTGGAACTGTTCCAGTCCATGATGTTCTGGGTCCGGCCAGACGGAATGTATCTCAAAATCCAGCCTTCGCAGAGCAAGTCGGCTGATTTTCCGCCACCGGATCCTTATACTTTCATCATCATTCTCAAAATGTGCGCCCTCTATCGCCCGCAAGTTGTTGGCTTCGACGTTGGCTCCACCGTCATGAGTCAGTTCATCAAGATAGCCACGAACCCGTCGTACCAGTCCCGGCCCGATTCTGGTGTTCATGGTCAGCCTTTCAAAGTGGACTCGGCCATTTTATCCGCATTCTTCGACCTCTGTGCTGCTACGATGAAGAAAGAGTCCCGCCGAGAAGCCTTGGCACTTTTGTCCAGATTCTGCGATCTGCCAACCGAGGTCCAGGCAGGTGCATCCATCCAAGAAACGGTCAGCCTCTGGATCAAGCCCGTCCCAAGCAAAGTACCGCTCTCGCCTGAATTGATGCTCTCGCTCTTGCGATTTGCCTCCAGTTGCATCAGCGGCCCTCTCGGTCGTGTCTGGTTTGAGATATTTGAGCAGCGCCAGCTCCAGATATGCAGCGATGCCGTCAATCTTGTGATTCCATACTACTTGAGGCATCGCGAATTCGAGCGGGCGATTCGGCTCAACGAAGCGCTTCCGACTCGGGATCAGGCCCAAAACGCCATCAAGATATCCTTATCGGCGGCCAAGCATGCCCAACAAACATCGCCTGATTCTCCCCTGGATCGACGATGGCTTCGGCTCGCAGTCTCCGCGATCCAAGCCTCAGAATCGGCGTGTGCCACAGATTCTGCGACCAACCTTGTCGAGTATCTCGGTATCCCAGTGTATTGCGAATACGTCGAGGTTCTGTGCGCTTACGGTGACCCAGTCACGGCTCTAGCCGAAATCCATGCAAGGCTTCCACAGATGGGTACAATCGTGTTTTCAAAGATCAACCATTTCTGCCGACTGCACGAGCCAATATCTCGCGAGCCTTTGAGGCCCGTTCTCGAGCATATATTCGAAGCCCTCGAACGGCTCATATCGACCCTCGATGAAATGAAGAAGCCCGGCCTTCCCTTGCGAGTGCAGGCCAACCTCGGCCGAGTGCGCGGCCAGGTCGACTCATTGGTTGCGTCGTGGATAAGGGCAAAGAGCCTGTTGCAGACTCGCTCCCCTGAATGGCTGAAAAAGGCGATTCCAGCAGACCCCGAAACCGAAGGATACGCTCGGGTTGCAAATAGCACCACGGATTCAATCGGCTTTGCCAAGTTCGGGCGCAACTACCGCACCAACACACCGCCGTCGACCAACCCACAGCCACTGAATGCCCAGCAGCAATCCGAGCGCGATTACTACAACAAATGGGTCCAGCTCGTCGAGCCGTCCGCAGCAGAGATGAAACGTCTGAAACTTCGCCGGAAGCGAAGGGGCCCGCGTTGGGAGCGGGAGAACAGGCGCCGTCGCTATCGCTGAGGCCTTGTGTATGTCTTGCGATCAGCTGCGCATGTTGCTGATCGCTTTTTTCCGTGAATATCCGAGCCCAAGGAAGCGGGTGCCTGTGCGTCTGAATGACTCAGAGGGGCTTTCGGATGCAGACAGATCCGAGCCACGGTCCCGGAACGCACATGCGAAGAACAGCGATTCCGGGGATGCTGCGCCTGCTCATGATCGAATGTCTCCATGGCGTGCGTCGGGGCCGTGCGGTTGATGCGATGGGTTTGGTTGGTGACCTCATCTCGGCGATCGGCCTGGCTGGGGGCCCGACTGGTGGCTTGCACTTGCCCGCCGGATCGATGGGAGCACATCCGCCTCCAGCCACGGACAGCGATGGTGCGGGTCGTTCGCGGTCCAGCGAAGGCGTGACTCAGTGGCGGGCAGCATGACGTCAGACAAGAGTGACACACGAGCGACATAGCGTCAGACAAGGCCCCCCAGCCACGGGCTGGCACCACCAATAGCCAGGCGCACGCAGTCACTCTGAGCCACCGGGCTGCGACCAGCCATGCTGCGGCTGCTGGCCATTGCCGCAGCCAATCAGCGCCCGCCGACGGCAGCCCAGAACGCACGCCCTGGCCGCGTCGAATTCCCAGCCCTGGGCTGGGCTGTCCACGCCACCAGCCACGGCCTATATCTAGGCCGCCGCCGCCGCCTCCTGCCCCAGCATCCCCCCCATCCTGCATCTGTTCCAGCAATCCATCCTCCCGTCTCTCGTCTCTGCTCCCGCATTCCGCCACCATGAGTCTCGATATCACCGCCCCCAAGAACCCCATCTACCACTTCGAGCTTGAGTTCGAGAAGCACGAGGTTGTTCCCGGCGATGTCATCACTGGTATGTCCCCATCGCTGCTGCCTTCGTGCAAGGTGTTCTACTTGCTTCTGCCGCGAGAACGGCGTTCTTGCCTCTGTCCTGGCGCCGGATGGGTATCGGCTCTTCTGCCGGCGCTCCCTTCGCACAGTTTGGTCCAGTTGCTGACTGACTAACCTGCCACTGGTCCCATGAACTGCACTTGCTGATTTCAGGCAACATCATCATCGACTCGCACCACGATCTCAACGCCGTCAACGACATTGTTATCGCCTTCGAGGGTGTTCAGGTAGGCCCATCATAGCAGTTAGGGCTACGAAGGTCGACAGGGGTATAGTCAGGCGCCATGTCGGGAGTTTGCCGGCTCACATTCTCCCTGCCCTCTCTGTCCACTCCAGTACCACATCCAGCCCCCCAATGCCGCCCAGACCGGCTCCAAGGGCAGCCACCAGCGCAAGATTGGCCTTTTCGGCATCAAGAACCACGCCCACGACGACGACCCCTCGAACCTCAACCACCACCCCTCTTTCCCCCACGAGATTGTCTCGTCCTCCGTGACCAAGGTCTGGACCATCCCCGCCGAGGACGGAGGCATCATCAAGCCCGGCCACCACACCTTCCCCTTCACCATCAACGTTCCCTCCACCCTGCCCGTCACCGCCGCCGCTGCCGACGACAAGGAGGTCAAGCTGATCACCTACCGCATCCGCGCCATCATCGAGCGTGCTCCTCGCGCCATCCTTGGCAACATCGATGCCGCTGCTCACGTTGCTGTCGTGCCCAACTAAGGGAACCTGCAATGATCTGTCGCGTCATCAGAGTCGCTTTGAGGTCGCTTGAGGGTTGCGCAGACCTTGCCGCCATCCACGGCGGCTTTGCATATATGCTGCTTGACTGCGTACATACTTGTTAATATACACAATTGCAACAAATCGCCTTATTTGCTTTGTTTTTATGTAGTTGACTGGATAAGGGTAAGGGTGATGGGAATGCACGCACATCCATCATCATCCACCCTACGGAGACAGGGGGGGGGAGTGTGCTTCTGGTCTCTGCCACCTGGGGGTTCTTGGGGAGCACTTGAGCAGCTCCTCGTCCATCAACAGAGGCCCACGATCCACTGCAGAACGTGCGGATAACTCCAACCACAACGGACTCGACAATGAGAGCAACGACGGTGTGGAAGTGACTCGGTGCGATCGGATGTGAAGCGATGGTGTATTTGGGCTCCAGGAACAAACAGTTGCCACCAGCCATGAAAAAAAAAGAAGCAACATGACTCGTTCGCTTTATGCACGGACTGGAACCAAGAAAAGGCGATCGTGGCCAGCGTTGATGGGTGAGTGAAGTATAAAGGAGAAGAATATGAATAAAGAATTAAATCAACGGAGCGGAGGAGCGAAAGGGAGTCGACAGGGAGTTGGAGGGGGGGGCAACTCAGAGAGCAGACACGATCCATAGTGTACACACAAGATGACAAGGCATGCACGAGCAAAAGCTTTGGGATGCAAGGGAAACAACCGAAGGAGAAGGGGGGGGGAGTTGAGAGATGAAAACGAATCGAATGGAGCTGACAAAGGGCTTGGAGGATGTGCCATCGTGAAGAGTGTCGATAAAAACACTCCGTCGATGGGATTGTATGCTGGTGGCCGATCGTTAATGGAAGGAAACGTTGTAGTGCTCGCTATCGCCATGATCCGTCCGCTAGAGTCGTGCGGCATCCGTGAGGCTCGATCCGATTCTGGAGCGGGGGGGGGGAGGAGGAACAGCGGAGGGAGCAATGGCTACGATTCACAGAGGACCGATGATCCGGGACTCTTAGACTTCGATCTGGATGATCCGGATGCCGATGTTGCATGCAATGATGGCAAAGACGATCAGGACCATGGCGCCCGTTCCGAACAGATCATCGTAGGTACCAAAATCTGCGAAAGGCAAAGGCAGATGGGGCTTAGCGTACTGAAGGGCGTTGGTCGGTGGGCTCGGCGGAGAGGAGATTGGCGTTCGAGAGCCCACCCAAAGCAGGGATACAGACTCCTAGAGAAGCTGAAGAGGGAAGCGATGGTTGTGGTATAGAGAGCTAGGGTGGGGGAATCGCCGAGAGAAGCGCGGATACCTTTTCTCTGGAGCCGATTCAGGCGTTGCAGATACATCCACAGCGAATATCCGATGATGATGACCGACAGAACGGTGAAGCCCAGGCCCATGAACTTTGTGGGAGAGCCGCCCTCGGCGTCGCTGAACTGGAGCATCGAGATGGCGACCGCGCCGATGACGAGGGCGACTGGAGGTTTGGTGTCGGGCCAGATGGCAACGACACGAACGTAGAGGTCGACGGGAAACGACGAAGAGGAAAGTATGGGTGAGCATCGAGGGCGTTGGTGGATAGCGAGTGGTGCAGGCAGCGGAGTGGCTGCAAGATCCTCCAGCTCATCGATGGAGTGCGGCGCCATCAAGCAGACAGTGGCGGCTTTGATGAGATGAGGAAGAGGATGCGGTCGACCATCCCGGTTGATTCACAGGTCACTCGACAGCTCGATGAAGATGCAGCCACGTACAATGCAGCCAGGCAACAAAAGTGCGCTCGTTGGCCAGGAAGACCTTGGGGTTGAGAACGGAAGGAGCGGTGACGGAGGTTCGTGGCTCCTCGCCGATGCGAGAGTATCCGCTGCGGCGGAAAGGGTTCCACCAGGACGACTGGGCGATTTGTTCGGGCATTGGGAGAGTGGTGGTGGTGGTGGTGGTGATGGTGGTGGTGGTGGTGGTGGTGGGTGAGCGGATAGCTGCAGAGCAGATAGCGGCTGGCGAGACGAAGATGATGGCAGAGGAGGGCAAGAGTCGCAGAAGGACGATTTGGGCTTGCTGGAGGGGATCGAGACGGCAAGAAGCGGCAAAAAAAGGGCCAACAAGCAGGCGCATTCGAACCAGGGCGCGTGCACCCGAGGCACAGTCTGTGTGGGGGGCCAGCAAGTCGAATGGCGGCCTTGTGCAGCGGCGCGTGCTCAGCGGATTGGCTGCACGGCAAGGGCGAAAGTTGTTCGGGAGCATTCACGCAGTACTTTGCAGAGCACTTTGTGGATTGCTGGCGAGAAGCGAGACGGGTGCGAGACGGATGCGAGACGGGCGCGAGATCGAGGGAGCAGATGAGGTGCTGGATTCCGCCACATCCCGAGCGAGACTCATCCTATCGTTTCCACACCGCCATTGCGCATTCTGCAGTGGATCGTGAGCCTCTGTTGATGGACGAGGAGCTGCTCAAGCGTTCCCCAAGAACCCCCCAGGTGGCAGAGACCAGAGCACACTCCCCTCCCCTGTCTCCGTAGGGTGGATGATGATGGATGTGCGTGCATTCCCATCACCCTTACCCTTATCCAGTCAACTACATAAAAACAAAGCAAATAAGGCGATTTGTTGCAATTGTGGGTGCATAACCAATAAAGGGACCGGAATGCAGAGATGGCAGACCAAGATCGGAAGCTAGGTTGGAGAGTGGATTGCAAGATACCGCTATCGCCCGGTGCTGTGCCCCAAGGCGTAGCAAAACTGGCGACAGTACTTTTGTTTTTGGCGCTGTTGCTGCTGCTGCTGTTGTTGGTGTTGTTGTTGCTCCAAAGAAAATACATGGCCCAAGGATCCAAGGGGGACCCCTCAAAGGTAGGGGACTTGTCCGCTAAACACCGGCGCAACCACCGTGAAACTGCGACAATGTGCCCAGAGAGCGATAAAGAAGAGAGAGAGAGAAAGAAAGAGAAGGACAGGCGCTTGAGACAGTCCCAACGCCCCCGAATGGAGAACAGGGGATGGGTGCCTTCATCGAGTAGCACCGGCGCTTTCTTCGGGATCCAACAGGCTGTACTGCTTGAGCAGCTGGCATTCGCCGCCGCGTTCCTGGTCGAGACTGAACTGGTAAAAGTAGCCGGCCGCTGTCACGACCATGACGTGTGGGATTCCGCTGCTGATTGCACACAGGTTCGGGGTGCCCTTCTGACTGCTGCCGCTGCCGCTGGAGCCCGGATGGGTGGGTATCTTGCAAAAGGCAAAGTCGCGCGTCGGCTCCCACATTTCGGTGATGACGTCGGGGAGATAGGAGCCTACGGCGGCGCTGGCGACAGCGGTGGCGTTGGCCAGCGGCGATCTCCTGTGAGCCAAAATGGCAAAAGGAAAGCATCGAAGACTGTTAATCATCCATCGCGCGAGGGCACGGCAAGCCCCGACAGGCAAGCGTGCCGAATTGAGACAGGTGAGGCGGGCGACGGAGCAGAATGTCACTGCTGGGGGCAACGATTGTGCCCACAGAGCCCAAGCTGAATCAGGTGTGCATATACACGCAGTTGATACTAGATGACAGCATCCTCAACGCCAACATCGTCCAGGCCGCCACCCACCCACGCTGCTCACGCAGTCCCCAGCACTTACAATGAATCATAGACGCTGAACTTTTTGTCGCTGCCGCTGGACTTGCGCTCGAGGGACCGGTCACTTTTCTTGGGCGTGGGAGCCGTAGCCAACGGCTCGCCTTCTGCACCGCTACCGCTTCCAGCGCCATTTCCAGAGCCGTCCTTCTCGAGCTTGAAGATGTGCACGGTGTCGGTATCGCTCGAGACAGAGAGGAGCGTTCCAGGAAGGTTGAAGGTGATCGAGTAGATGCGAGCCGGGTAAGTGCCGCGGCGGAACTGGAATAGCTTCTGGCCATCCGGGACGGAATAGACTCGGATGACGGTGCCCTGTTGAGTTACAGTCGTGTGATCCGAGTGATCGATTCCCACAGCGACATGGGTTGTGCGGGAGATGGATCGCGGTGAGTCCGTTGTGGAATTGCGACGGAGAATCCAAGCCGACCCGCTCGATCCGCCGATTGGCGCTATCATCATCACAATCACAATCATCATCATCATCATCATCATCATCATCATCATCATCATCATCATCATCATCATCATCATCATCACAATCATAACAGACGCTACGCCTGCAATCAACTCTCATCAACGCGATCCTTGCCTTATCGCTCGAAGTCGCCACCATGGTCCCGTCAAAGCTGAAGGCAATGCACCCGATCGGGCTCTTGTGCGCCTGAATAATGTTCACAGCTTGGAGGGTGATGGTGTCGAAGATCAGCAGCTCGCCGGTGGATCCAGAAGTGTTGGTTGGGTACGCCATGAAGCAGTTTTCCGAGGATGGAGATAGGGCGCAGAGAGCTGCATAAGAGGGATCGTAACCGGGGGGGGGGTGGAGGAAAACCCCTCCCATCGGTTGAGCGTTAGTACGATATACTCCACAACGTCACCGTCCCTGGCCATTCGGCACATCCATGCACTCCAACGACGTACGGTTTGGGCTCGGACTGGTGTCGATCGAATGCAGTAGCTTCATGTTGCTGATATCGTATATGTAGATGTGCTCCTCGAGCCGGACGACCAGCCGCTTGCGGTTGAGCTTGACAGCGACAATCGCGCTGACGTAGGTCAGCTCGCAGATCGTCGACTCTCGCTGAAGAACAAATCAGTAGAAGCAGAGGCACACCAGCGTCAGCATATCGAGGGCACACCATTCCAGCGCCGTAAACCGCATCCTGATTGCCGAATGGCCGCTTGCAACGGCCGCTTTCAATGGCTGCCTGAGCCACACAAGGATCGACGTCCATGTTCCCACCGGCTTTGACATCCATCGAATCCGCACCGAGGACGTCCGCCAGGAAGAACTATCCATTCGACAATGCGATGGAGCCACGGCGCCTCACCTTTGTGTTGGTAATCTGCAGCCTCCGGGGCGAGAATGCGGGTTGTTCGCCTGCACCGACCAGGGCCACCAGACTCGTGCAGAACATCATCTCGATGATTCCGATGCCGCCGTCGGCTGCGGGAGAGGATTGCCCGCCCCGACGCAATTGGATTTGGTTTGTTCGAACAGACAAGAGCGGGTAAGTGGATCAAATGAGGCAAACGGACGGCGCTTCCCTCTTGGCTCCTCCATCTCCATCTGTCGCTGTCTCTCGGCGGCAGGGGGATTGGTTTCAGTGGCACATTGTCGATGCAGGGTCAAGGACCCAAAAGCAGCTCGTATCAGCGCAAGCAGCGACATGAGCAGCAGTAGCAGCAGTCGTGGCGGTGGTGGTGTGGTGGTGGGAGATAGATTACATTTTCCATACACCTTTCCAAAGGGGTCGCAGTTGTAGATCTTGTGGCCATGCCGGGTGCCGACCGAAATGCAGCTATATCGCGGGACCGAGGGAGTAGCGAGGACACAATGATGAAGCCCGGGTGAGCAGAGGCCGGAGCAAAATGCGAACCAGCGAGGGCAGGGTCGGGCCTGGTGGGAGAAGGGGGGCGAAGAGCACCATGCAACCAAGGCAACTGAGCGAGAGGGTAATGAGGCCACAGACTCGGATATGGACGAGCATTGTGCGGCCTCATAAATGAGCGATCCAAGCGATACTGTACGAAAAGTCCTGGTTGAAGTTGATGAACAGGATGTCGTTGTGTGCCTTGCCGCCGGTGTTCATGGTGGGCAGACCGCAGTGGAAGGGAAAGGGAGAGACGGACAGGCGAGGGTTGTGGAGAAGCCAGAAGCGGAGACGATGGCACCCCGGCGCTGATGGCTGGATGGATGGGTGGGTGGGTGGATGGACGGGGATGAGAGACAAGAACGGAGAGGACAGCAGCAGAATAGACGACAGGCGCCGCGGCGACGAAGGAGGATGTGCAGGGAGGAAGGGGGCGAAGCAGAGCAGAGATCGAGCAAGAGTGCCCGGAAGACCAGGCCGACCAGGACCCAAGACCGAGGGTGCCGCCCCCCGATGCCGCCGACCGCCCGGACCCCAGCAGGACGACAACCAGCACAGAGCGGGCCGCCGACGGTATCGACCGACAGTATCAACCAACGGTGTGCCGAGTGAGCCAGGTGTCTCGATGGCCGTGGTCACCAAACGATATGTGCTTCATCGCCGTCCATGAAGTGGCAGGGCTCTTTCGCTGGATCGACACGACGACCAAAGCTCGGACACTCGGCCCAGCGACACCTGCCTCTCGGACAGACACCACCCCGGCCCAAAAGCCCCAATCGATATGCCACGGATACATCTGCAGGGCACACGGTATGGCCCCTTTATATTGGTGCACCCCGGTGATGCACTGCGTCTGGCTTTTCACCCCTGCTTCTGCGCCGCAACGATGTAGTTCATCTCGAGGTCGCCAAAGCTGTTGTCGAGGAGGTTCCATTTGCCCGACACAATGTCGTAGCTGATGCCAGTCATGTCCTTGACCACACAGCCGCTCTGAACAAGGGCATCGCTGATCTCGGTCGGGGTGATGTACTTGTGGTGATGGTGGGTGCCCGGCGGGACCCACCGCAGGAGATGCTCGGCCAGCAAGATGGTGAAGAGATACGACGTCGGCGTCCGGTTGATGGTGGAAAAGAACAGCAGGCCGTGGGGCTGTGGGTTCGGGCGATGGGTCAGACCAGCGAGCAATTGGAGCAGCAGCCATGGGGATCGAATCGAATCCGGATCCCGAGACGCCCAAGCATCCTCGATTGCATCTCTCCGCCCCCAGGACAAGGCTGCAAACCACGGACCTTGGTCAGTTGCGAACACAGCTTGACGAATGCTGAAGGGTTTTCGACATGCTCGATGATCTCCAGGCCGCAGACCATATCGAACTGCTCTCCCTGCTCAGCCAGCTTCTCTGTTCGTTGGAGACGAAGCCAAATAACGGTCAGACAGGTCCTGGGGGCTGCGACTGGGGAATGGGGTGGTTGGCACTGGCAGGAATGGCCAGCCCCGGGTCTGTTATGTTGACTGCTCGAAAGGCGATCGAGCAGACGATATGCTCGCTGGATGCAGTACAGACCTGCTGTCGTGTGTCGAAAGTCGATGCTGCCGGGCTCGCCCACAGGCTGCGAGGCGATCCAGGGATCCTTCTGCGAATGCAGCTTGGCGATCTGAATGTTCTCATACCCAGCATCGGCACCCACGACGACACCTCCGAGCCGGGCCAGAGCCTGCGGTGCCAGCGGTGCCAGCGGAATCGTCGAGTCGCGGGTTCAGCAGCGGCGATCGGCCGAGACGCCATTGCAGCATGAAATGGGAATTCCATGCACACGATTGCGGATGAGGGGGCCAGACCCAAGAATCCGATAGCCAGACCCAAGAATCCAATAGCCAGGGCCAAGTATCCAATAGCAAGGGCCAGGTAAAACGAAGCAAGGGCTCAGAAACCGTGCTCGCATCAGTCAACTCCACTTTACGCTTGCGAAACTCGATACCGGCGCCCGATCGACCGCAGTGCGTTGATTCTCAGACTTCGGCCTCGCGCATGGCCACGCACCTCGGAGAGAAGGCCGCCTCCGCATCCGATATCCAAGATGCGCAGGCCGGCGAATGGCCGGGCGAGATCGTGGCTGGCCAAATGGATCGCCTCGGGCGACTCGGCGGCGATCTTGTGGACCTGTTCGCGGATGTACTTCATGCGGGTCGGGTTCATCTTGTGCAGCATTTCGAACTGGCCATGCGGCTGCCACCACTCCTCCGACGCTTGGACAAACTTGCGAATCTCGTCTTGGTTGACGGTGTTGGTTGCGGTGCCCGAGGTGTCTGTGGTGGTGCTGGCAGGGGCAGTGGAATAGCGGGCACCCATGCCAGCCGGGCGCTGGCGCAGAAGCGCTCCCAGCGCCGAGGAGGGGATGCGGGCTCGCCGCGACAGGGCTCCAAAGTTGCGGTACATGATGCGACGAACCGACGGCGTGCAGGATGCCCGTTGATCGCTTGGGCCGGCAAGATCAGGACAGAGGACCGGTTCTTGCTGCGAGCTTGGTATCGGCCTTGTGCGACAGGCCTCTCGCTGTTGCTGTCGGTCGCTCTCGCTCGGGGTTCTCGGGGCGGTGTGCGGCCTTCATCAACGACAAGGCCCCAGCACAATCTTCTCGCGCCTGCCTGGCCCTTTCCCCCCTTGGCACCAGACAGCCACAGTGGCGGTAACGCCAACAGAGCCGCGGCCTGGCACGGCCCCCGAAAAGGGATGTGGTTGCACACATGTCGCACTTGTGGCCGAGAAGCACAGGGCGGGCGAGAGCGCGCCGAGAGCCGCCCTCTGCCGCCCTCGGCTCGGCCTTGGGGTTTCGTTTGAATTGGCTTTGGATTGGCTTTGGATTTGCCGTTTGGATTTGCGACTTGGACTCGCTTGGACTCGCTTGGATTCGCTTGGATTTGCTCTTTGGATTTGTCCTTTGGATACTTGTCCTTTGACTTGTCGTTCGACTTGTCCTTTGGCTTTTGCTCTCCGAGTTGCCCTTGGATTTATCTCCTGGCCCTTGGCTTGTCGCTTACTTGTCCCTTGGCTTGTCCTTGGCTTGTCGCTTACTTGTGCTTTGGACCGCCGTCCCTCTCAGCCCGTCCTTTCTATTTATAAACCCTCTGCACCCTGCCGAGTCCCTTCGTCGCTTCGCCGTCCCTCTTGGCTGTCCCTCTTCGCCGTCCCTCTTCGCCCTTTTTCGTCGCTCTCCGCCCTCCCTCCCTTCCCCCATCCGATCGGCCATGTCGACCTTCACCCCCGTCTTCGGTGCTGGCTCCTCCTCGCAGTCGCCCCCACAGCGCGGCCCGCCCGCTCCTGTTCCCGCCTCGCTGCCTCCAAAAAAGCCCCCGCGTGCCTCCAGGTCGTCGCTGGCCCTTCTCGAGACCCACAATGCTTCCGATCCTGTTCCGCTGGCCGGTCCGCCCGTCTCGGTCCCTCCGCCCAAGCCCATGCGCTCCTTATCGACCAAGCCCGAGCTGCCTCCACGACCTGCCGTCAAGCCCAAGCCCAGGCTGCTGCCCCAGTCGTCCGGAGACCAGCACCGGCCCTACTCCACCTCGGCCATCAACGACATTTCCTGGTTCCGCTCGGCGTCGCCAAACCGCCTGTCGCGCGGTCGGGACAGCGGCGATCACAGCTCGGTCCGGTCCCGCTCGCCCTCGGCTCTCGGCCGGGCCTCCCAGCAGGACAACCCCGTTTCCATTCGCGAGCTCTCGACAACCTCGGACATCCTGGCTGCTCGCCACCTTCTGCGCCACTACTTTCCCGGCAACCTCCTGTCGCCAGAAGAGTTCCTCGACCTTGTCGCAAACTCTCAGCAGCACCAAGGCATTCTGTTCTATGGCTGCTTCCTCTCCATCAGGTATGCATAGGTTTTTTGCCTCTCCGCGGTGCATCTGCGGGTTTCCAGTCCCATGTGCGCCGAGTCGGCCGGTCCGTGTGCACCGAGTCGGCCGGTCCGTGTGTATCGATGTTCCGGCCAGCCCCAGCAGCAGCTCTGGCTGTGCTCGTTGGCTCTTCGACACATGGCGGATCCAGCCGTTCTTTCTCCTCCATCCCCTGTGTCGGTGTGTGGCCACCCATCCACACCGCCAGACCCACATTGCCTGCCTTGCCCATCCCAATGCTCCTTTTGCATACCGCGTCCCCCACCCTTTGCTTGCTCCTTGGCGTTTCCCAGCATCTCTTGGCATTTCCGTCCCCCTCCTTGATCTGTTTGCACCAGCTCACCTCTCTCTCATCCTCTTTCCTTCCTCTGGAACAGCACACCGGCACTGCCGCCTACTCCGGCCCTCAGCCCATTCGCAAGTCCTCCTCGCTCGCCACGTCGCTCGTTTAGCGTGGGCTCGGACATCCTCGCCAGCGCCACCAGCCCGCCGGCTGCCGCTGCCGCTCACCTGAGCCAGCTGCCCCTCTCTGCCATTGATTTTTGTGCAGGCGTCGTTCTGCTCAGCAAGCAGTACACCCCCATCGAGCACTTTTACGTCGAGCACCTCCGCATCGACGACCGCGCTCGAGGATACGGCATCCGAACAAAGCTGCTGGCCCACGTCGAGATCCTGGCCAGCGAGAAGGGCCTTCCGCTGGTGCGAAAGGGCAAGGAGAACGACAAGTCAACGCCGGCCTCGGGAGACCTGCCAGAGTCGTCTCGCCGTCTCAGCCGATCCTCAGGCACCGACTGGGAGCATCGGCGCGTCACTCCCTCCTTTGCCGACGAGGAGGCCGAGGCCGTCATGAGCCACATTCTGCGACTGAAACTCGAGGACGAACAGCTGCGGAAAGCTTCCCAGGACTGGGACGAAGCCTCCCGCCGAGCATCCTCCTTCATGTAGACTTTTGCTGCCAAACGTATCCGCCTTCCTCCACTGCCCACGGCCCGCATACGCCCTACCCTGCAACGGGGAGGAGGGGCGTCCCTGGGCAACGGACAGGTGCCGTCACTCGATTGTACTGAAACGCCTCGAGGAACGCAAGATCTGTGTGGCATGTGTGTTCCCGGTACTCAGGAGTGCCCCCACGGACCCACATCGATATTGCCCAGATTGCAGATGCGCCTA